TTGGAGCATTGCTAGTATACTCAGTCAGGAATATTCCACCGTCTCAGTGCTACTTGTCTTAGTCAGTTTACTATTTGTTTGTGTTTATCTACGTATTATTCACTTGTTGAGTAGTTCGTACTAACGTGTTGTGAAGTGTTTTACCCTACACTTCTTTCTTTCCTTCCGTCCCTTCTACCCCTTTCCACTCCTATTTCCCCTATCTGTACTACTCAGTAGTATAGTTTTCCAAAGCCATTATTATCAATAACACACCTCTCAGCCTGCACAACTTGGGTGACTGTTTGATCTATCTTGACTGATCCAACTACATCCAAAGCATTTAGTGAAAACCCCACTGAGTGTGACAGCGCGTGGTGTCGCGCTGATTGCCGAAAATAGGCGCCCATTCACGAAAAGAAAAAGAAAAAGAATATTAATAATCGTGAATAAGCGCCAAATAAGCGCCCATCTCAGGGAAATGACTTATCTTTAGATAACTGTTGCTAATCCATTTCTGGCTGTCCCAAAGCGGAAATTACACCAGAAAATGCCAATGAAACTCAAATAAATTGCTAAAAATTCATAGAAAATCATAGAAAATACAATAAAATAAGATAAAATCATAACAGCACTACAAAATAACATATTGGCCATGACATTGCCATGTGATGTCCACATGAATGCCAGATGAACCCCACCACAATACTAGCACTTTGTCTACCTGGTATATGGGTGGCATTCATGTGGTGTTCAGGTGGAAATTCAAGTGAATACCACATGAACATCACATGGATACCACTCATCCAGTATGGCTCACCTGGTGTCCACCTGGTAAAAAGTGGCCAAAAGTGGTAAAAAAGTGGCATTTCTGGGCCATTACAGCCAAACCAAAATCCACCTTTTTGCCACTTGAATGCCAGGTGAGTCCAGGTGAACACCAGGTGAATGCCACCCACCCACCTGGTTCCACCTGAGGTCCAACCGAAGATGTGGTAAATCGTCAGGTGCTCCAATCCATTGACGAGTTCGAGCGACGAAGGGCCGAGCTGGAGAACACAATTCAAGCAGTAATTGACAACAATGAGATTGTCCCAGTCTCAAAACTGAGCCCCTTCTGCAAACGATGGTGGAATGCGGACCTAGCTGCAGAAAGGAAGGCAGTAGGCAAGCTCTCACGCACTTCGTACAAGAAGCGACACCAACCGAACCATCCTGTACACAAAGAGTTCCGGAAAGCGAGGAATCACCTAGCGGATACCATCAAGAGCGCCAAACGGGAGCACTGGCGAGAGCTCCTCGAAGGTGTGGACAACAACATAGTATTTGTCACTGGGAGATTTGTCTCAGGACCAGGAACTGATGGTGGAGCGATACACATGCCAGCGTTAAGAGTCGAGGTAGGAGGTAGGGAGCTACGACTGACAGCAAATAGGGACAAGGCTGACACCTTCTACAAACTATTCTATCCACCACCGCCGTTAATGTCCTCAGTACCACCAGATGCGGAGTATCCACCGCACAAATGGAACTTCAGGAACATTGCAGACGACCAAATTGCAGCCACCATTCAGCGTTTATCACCTTATAAGGCAACGAAACCAGGAACCCCTCCCAACAGTGTCTTCACCCATTGTGCGGACGTACTTATACCATACCTCGGCCCCTTGTTCAGGGCCACATTTAACCTCGAGTTCTACCCAGAAGCGTGGGCAGAGACAGAGTCGGTCATCATTCAAAAGCCAGGGAAACCCGACTACACCATCCCAGAAGCATGGAGACCGGTAACTTTATCTCACGGAATAGCCAGGTTACTGAATTCTTGCATTGCAGATGAACTCGTCTCTTGCATCGAGAGACATCACATCCTCCCTCTGAACCATTTTGGGGGAAGACTGGGAAGGTCAACAATGGATTCAGTACACCTACTTATGGAAACGGTAATGGACACATGGTGCAGGAATGAAGTTGTGTTGGCTCTATTTCTCGACGTAAAAGGTGCCTTTCCCAGCATTGCGATAGACCGATTACTGCACAACATGCGCGAGGCCGGCATCCCAAATGAATATGTCGAATGGGTCCTGCACCGGCTAGAGGGACGCGCTACCATACTAACTTTTGACGACTTCAGGTCCGCACCCTTTCCAGTCATCAACGGTCTTGACCAGGAAGACCCACTCTCAGTCATCCTATACATACTGTACAACACTAGCATCCTCAGATTGGTCAAGGGCACGAAGTCAGAGCTGGGACTTCTCTTCATCGATGATGCCGCCATAGTGGTAACAGGAGCAACCTTTCAAGATACGCACGAATGACTCAGGGAGATCATGATGGGCGAGGATGGCATCTTTGAGTGGGCAAGAAGACATAACTGTGAGTTCGGAGTGGACAAGTTCCAACTTCTGAACATGTCACGGAAGTGAGTCCGCCACACCTTCTTACTCAATCGGCGAGTGCCAATGCCACGATGGAACTTGACACTGGAGGAGTACACCATCAGATCAGCGGAACAGGTGTGATTCCTCGGCATTCTATTTGACAGGGAACTACAGTGGAATAGACAGGGAGCAGCCACCCTTGCCAAAGCACGGGATTGGATATCAAGATTCACCCGGCTTGCACGGCCATCACAAGGCATAACTGCGAAATACGCCGGGCAGCTGTACAAAGCCATCGCCCTACCAAGGATCATGTATGGGGCTGAAATATACCTCACACCACCACGGAGGGCCCCGACAGAGCAGCAACACTTCAAGGGCATGAGGACACAGCGGGCCACCGTAGGCAAGCTGGCTGCCACACAGCGGCAAGCAATGCTAATGGTTACTGGTGGGATGCAATCCACGGCCAGCGACGTTCTGAAAGTCATCACGGGATACCTGCCTTTTCACTTAATGGTTGAGAGGTTCTGATTCAAAGCAGCACTCCGACTTGCAGTGCTCCCACCGACTCATCCGCTCTTCAAACATATCCAGAGAGCAGTAGTCAGGGATGTCCAGCGACACCGCACCCCGATCCACGCACTTCTCCACGACTTCAGAATCTCGCCGAAGAACATTGAAAAAATTCAGGCCACACGATGGGATGCCAAGTGGAAATTGAGGGTCAAGTGGTGCATTACCGAGGATAGAGAGAAGGCTATGGAAGAGGAACATCGGGATAGCAACAGAGTGAAGGTGTACACAGACGGCTCAGGGTATGAAAGGGGAATTGGGGCAACGGCAGCGATGATGTCAAATGGGCAGCGGCAAGAGGCAGCAAGATTATGGTTGGAATGCACGGTGTACAACGGGGAGTGCGCTGCTTTAGCCATGGGAATGGAACTGATTCTGCGGCAGGTTTACGTTGAAAAGGCAACTATCTACGTGGATAATCAGGCATCCATCTGCGTGCTCAGCTCTCGACGCCCAGGACCTGGACACTACCTCCTCGACTACTTCCATGAAGTCTTTGTAAAGACCAAGAAGAAGCACACCGGGTTGCAGCTCACAGTTCGATGGATCCCAGGACATGCAGGGGTGGAGGGAAATGAGTGGGCAGATGAGGAAGCAAAGCAGGCAGCCAAGGGACAGGGAATCAACAGGACGAAACTACCCAGAGTGCTGCGGGCAGAGGGCACAGTGAGGAAGAGCAAGTCTGCCCTGTTACAGGCCTTCGATGTGAAGTTACGAAAGAGGGCACAGAAGGGGTGGCGAACTTCTCACAGATATACATACGAGGATGGCCAGACTCGGCTTGGAGGCACCATCACGGTGCTTGTGGGAGGTGTTGGCATCCATGTCGAGGAAACACACCAGCATTATCACGCAGCTAATAACCGGCCACATCCCCCTCGCTTGATACCTGTACCGAATCAAGAGGGCAGTCTCACCCATATGCCAGAGATGTGGCCTATACGACGAGACAACAACACATTATCTGACGCAATGCATGACACACCGAGTAGCCAGGGAGAAGCTGCGAGTGAAGCTGGGCAGAGTAGCCACCCACGCAGACCGCTTACTAGCCAACATCAAGCACTTTAAAGCTGTTATTAGATTTGTGGAGGAAACAGGCCGGATATGGTGGAACCGGAGGGATGGGACAGGGGAAGAAGATGGGGGGCTCAGGCAGGATGGAAGGCAGGAGAGTTGAGGGTGCAGGAAGGAGGCGATGACTCGGGCTCAGGATTCTGCTCTTCCACTTTCTCTTTCTGATTATCTTACTCTAACTCGTTATAGTCTACTTACTAAATGGTGTGCCCCATGGGCCACCGACTACTCGTGGTGCTCACCGCCAGGCTGCCACTCAGTGGCACCAGGCCGCTGTGCAGGAACAGTCAATGGCTGAACTAGTTTACATTTACATACTTACGGTACAGGCGCCCTCCCACATATGGCTTCGCCACAATGGAGGTAAAACTGAGACTAAAAAAAAAAAAAAAAAAAAACACACCCATACAGACATTTTCCTTGCTCTGTTCTTTCAAACTCTTGTTCTTTTTCTTTTTCTTTGGTGAAACCTTTTGTATAATGGACTTAAGACCCCCAAGAAGGTTCCAGCCACGCTGGAGAAGATATTCTCTCCTCTTTGGCATGGGAAACGAGTTTGTGATGTTGTTGTGATGATCGGATCGAGTGTGCTTAATGACACACTGGTAAGATGTCATTTTGATATCTCCTCTTTGAGTACAACTCTCCTTAAAATTTTGACGAGTACAAAATCTCCATCTCCAATGTATTTTCACTTTGTAATGGTGAATTATCTGTACATGTCCTACTTATTATTTTACAGGTTTCTTTGTGCATATAAATTGAATGTCTTCCCGATTCAGCGCTTGTCACGCTGAGTCATGTGATGTTTGTCGAAAGTGTATGTCGTCTACCTTATCTGAATATCATCCGTTGGTCTCACCTTACCTCCACTTTTAATATAACCCACTCACACAGACTATCGCAAGTTCAGGTTACATGGCGAATGGTAGTTTGTCCAAAGGCAAACTGAGATTACAGCTCGTGCTAACAACCATATATTATGTATCAATTCACTGCTATAGTCGTCGGTTGACCTTCGGGATTCTGTGAAGTAGGGACGCCAGCTCGTGACAACGCGGCACCAAGGGCTTGAGTACGAATTGATAGCCCCCGTGTCTTCTCGATCACAGACTGGTAGATTGGCTGTGGAGGCCTGTTGATCTCGATTACGTTCTGAGGGAAGGGGATTAGGAACGAAGAAAAGAAAGGGCGAAAACGGACCTTTTCGAGGTCAATTTTTGCGTCCTGACCCATGCGCGTCTCGCGAATGAGATTGACAATCCACTTTTCGCCTTCGTCGCGGGACAAATTCAGGCGGTCGGAGAGATCCCTAACTCGGCTGTGTGAGGAATATTTGTTGGGGGGAAGGCGCGACTTACCCAATGTCGATGCGTTGATGTATCCGGCAGTATGCCTCGCTAATCAGATAACGAGCATTATCCATAAAGTCGTCTTTGAACTCCTGCAGGAAGAAATCGTTTCCAACAACCTTCTCCGCGAGGCCAAGATGGCGCTGGGCTGCCTCGAAGTCAAATTCAACATACAGTTCCTTGAGGAAGGAGGTGACGGGGTCTTGGAACTGATATTCTTCCATCTGTATGACGCGCACGACTTCGCGGATGGCGTTTCGGACGCGAGAAGAGGCAGGATTGGAGGCGGAACTGGCAGCGGCAGTCTTCCGTGATAGGATAGCTGCAGTAGCGAGATACCTCAGGATCCAAGGACAAGCGGTTTGGATGGTATTTAGGTAGGTGGGGGAGAGAAATGTCTCGAGGAGAAGGGTTCGACCTTGCTCGTGGTTAAAGTAGACAAAGAGCGACCAGTGGAGTAGCCATGAACGAGAGTGTAGTTGGGTGAGAGCTGGCTCGGAGGCATTGGTGGAAGAAGAGTTCGGGAGTAAAGGAGGGGCTTGGCGTGAATCCACGACGTCCCGAAGGGAGTTGAGCTCCTCGAGGGCGACATCCCACTTCCCGGTGAGGATATCCGATGCAAGTTTTCCCCAATGAGCAGAGGTGTTCAGATCGTTGTCGGTGGACAAGACACGGAAGTGGTAGAGGTAATCGGCAGCACCGCTATAATTTCCGTATGAGAACTGATATTGCCCGAAAGTATACAGAGCACGAATTTGATCAAGCGTGAGCTGTAGGTCGTCTCCCTTAGCGAAATCAACGTGAATCAGACCTGAGAAACGCACCCCGAAATTATCTTTCAAGTACTGTAGATTTTGGTTCTTATCTTGGCGCAGCGCTTGCGCAACTTCAGGGTTTTCGATAACGTTAAGGACAGCCTGAGCCTCTTGCTGCAGCCGTTCATTTACTGAGACCGCATTTTCTCGTTTCTCATCGAACTCTGTCTAAAGTTTCATTATGAATATCCACGGATGCAAAGGTTTGCTCACCTGCCGGCACCTCCTCATCTGGGTGTATTTGGGCGAACAGACTCGCAGCATAGGTGAACATGTTGGTTCCTTTCGCCAACTCGAATTGTGCAATCTGGACTTCGCTTTCGGGGAACAATTCCGTTTCAGCAAGATGTGCAAGAATGGGGAACGTCAGATGGCGATCAAGGTAAGGTATTATCGTCTTCGAGAGGTCATATTCGGCCATTTTGGATAGGATATATATCGTCGTGAGCAGCGCGTCCATTCACCAGGCGACGTTAAATTTTGCCTGTATCCCGATTTAGATATAAATTCTCACAGGCGATGAGCCCCTATTGAAGATATTGGCACAAGAGTAAACGATTCCAAGCTCAAGGTAACGATCCAAGCACTAGCTTTGGAAGCCTTGCTCATGTTGGAGGCTCGATATTCGGACTTGCACAAATCTGAACAATTCACCATGGCTGCCTCAGTGGCAATAAGACTCTTGGGTCCCGGACGGCGACCAGATCCTTCTCCTGACCAGCGGTTTCATGGAAGACTACAGGGGTTAGTACATTCCCTCAAATATTACCATCCTTGATGCATTGAGCACTCCCCTTAGATCTTATGCTGAACCGCCTCCCCGAGGCTCGAAACTTCTTCAAGAAGCAACGATGGGTCATCAGCATCTGGCTCTGTATGCGATGCATTTCTCGCTGCACTGTTTCACCAAGCGTTCATCAGTGGAAGATTTGCTCAAGTGTCCCCCAAACTTGCTGCTAGTCACTGGTACCAATATCTACCGCTTAACAGAGGCCGCAACCGACGAGACGTTTATGCCGAGGTTCTTGAGCAGGCTGAGAAGTCCATTCAAAACGAAATACAGAGGTCATACTAGGTAAGTAGGTTTTAAATTTGTCAAGACGACCTAAACCTGATGCAACAAAAGAATCTTCTGCACGTAACCTCCACATGTTGCCCGAGTTCGCCAAAGGCCCTATTGTTGTGTACTTTGACGAAGCGTACGAGCTTAGGTATGACACCTTACTAACTATGACAAGCCTATTCACCAGCCTTGCTTCAAAAGATCAACATGTCGCGGCAATTCTTCTCTCAGCTCAACCATCCCTGAAGACACTCGCCCCTACACATGCAAATTTTATCCCCCCTCCCACACAACGACTTTCCTGCACACCACCTCTCGCAGATCCGCACGGCTGAGGTTGCCTGTCATCTCGGACGACCTATGTACATTATCTACTCCTTTCCTTCCGTCCCTAGCATCCTAATGGTCGTTCAGGTGGCTCGCCCAGGTTCTTTGTCGTTGAAACCCGCACCAATGTCAAAACGGGTTACCCGCCTGAGCCTTTCGTCGTCGTCGTCGTCGCCGCCGCCGTCGCCAGGATATGACGGAGGACATTCAAAACTTAGACCTAGCTGCCCATGACACCTCTCCCGATGCCATGGTTGTTGGCACCTTCACCAAGAAGATACTACCATCCTGGCTTGGTGTCATAGTTCAATAAAGCGGTTGCCGACAAGCAGATCTCCCGTTGGGATAGGGGAGAGCTCCTCTCCGGAGTTGCCTATATACTCGCTCGCTCGCATGCATGCATACGTTGAACGTTACTAACAGGCCCCTCCCTGATCTGCACGAAAGACGATGTTCTCCCTGGTTACGAACCTGTCGCTCTGAAGCATCTTCTTCCCCCGATCGCCCAAGAGGCCATTAGGCACACCAGGCCGGAGAACCTTTCAACGGGCAAGCCACTAGAAGAGTTCATCGAGCGTGCGGTCGTCGACTTCACCTGCTTCACCATGTCCGATGATATCGATATTTTTACACTGGACGGAATGATCTCCGTGCTTCTGCAAGGCTGCGCCGTTGTCTGGAAACCCAATCAAACGGTATATGTCCATATTATAGTGCTCTTGCTCTTTTGAAGGGTGTCACTCAAAGTAACATCGGAATCATCGGCGATCAATCCAAGAACAAGGCTGTCACAGGGCCCGAGACAGTGCCCAGCAACATCGCCATGATTGACAAACAACATGGCTATGGTGACTCCAAGCCCGCTGAGGGGAACAAACACCCACCACGAGGTAGTACTGAACATCACGAAGCCAGCTTACCACACTATCAACTGTACCTCCGGGACAGCCCTCTCATTCCTACGACCATACGCCAATCTCTCCTCGAACTCGATACGGCATTGACCTCGTACAAGAAGACCCTTACGCAGGAGGGTTTAGCTTTCAATAATGTGGACTTGCAAGATGGAACGACTACGCGCCAACCGGTACTTTGGAAGCTCTTTCCTGTGTCCGTCCGCTTCAATGAAAAAAGGTCCTGGTGGCAGACCTCAGCTTTCCAGTACCAGCTCGGTGCATGACAAATGTATATCTATTTCCTGAATATGTATGTGCTTCTCGCCCTTGGTATCGACGCAAGTAAGCGGTTAAGACATCATCCGTCTCTACATTAAGTAACACAAAAAAATCGCGACAAGTCCTCGGGTCATCCTTGTTATGCGAAAAGCCGCTTCGTATAGCTATGAGTGTTAACAGTCCATTAGCAGGTCTCCAACAAACTGATTAGCACTTACGAATTCAACCCGTGAACGCCTCCCTCGACCTGAGCGCTACCGCTCCTGATCTCAAACCTGACCCGCCCGCCCTCAACGCCCTCAGTCAGCTCGTTCAGGTTCTTCACTCCCAAATCCTGCATACCATGCTGCACGCCAACATGGAGGTATTTGATGAAGGAGAAGACACTTCCCTTGTCTTGAACATCGCCAGATACACCTTGCGCGACCTTGATGGACGAAGATTCTGAAAAGTATCGAGATGTCGCGGCGTTTTCGATGATGGTGGGGTTTTTGGGTGTCCCGCCGATTCCGCCCATCTTTGTAGAGTTGACCTTGACGCCGCTTCCACCGCTTCCGCCCTTACTTGAGGCTGCCTTGCTGTTCGCGGAATTGGAGTTGCCCCCACCCTCCATAGCTTCCAAGCTGCCCATCCCGCGATAGGCTTTAACACGCTTGCCTCCTTGCCAGAAGTACTCCCCGGGAGCCTCTTCAGTCCCGGCCAGCAAGCCTCCCATCATGACACCCCCCGCACCCATAGCCAATGCCTTGACCACGTGCCCAACATTGCCTATCCCTCCATCGGCGACGACAGGCACTCCAAACTTCTTCGCAAACTCGGCCACCTTGTAGACTGCTGTTGCTTGCGGCCTGCCTACGGCCATGACTTCTTGAGTGATGCAAATGGATCCTGAGCCCATGCCCACGCGAAGACCGTCGGCGCCTGCAGCGATGAGGGAAGCGGCTTGTTCACGCGTGACAACGTTGCCTGCGATGACTTCCAACGAGGGGAAAGTGGATTTAATCCATTTGATCATCTCGATCTGGTAAACTGAGTTCCCCTGCGACGAATCCAAGATGACAACGTCCAAACCCGCATCCACCAATAGCCTCAATCTCTCCTTGTCGCTTTCCCTTGTACCGACCGCAGCAGCCGCGATCAACTGCTTCGTTTTCTCATCCTTGCTCGCGAGCGGATACTCCTGATTCTTCAATAGATCAGATCGAGCGAGCAGAGATACGAGATGACCGGAGGGATCAACGATGGGGAGTTTTCCCTTTTTAGAGTCACGCAGGATGTCATTTGCTTGTGAGAGGGTGATGCCTTGAGGGGCAGTGACTAAGGTCGTGGACATAATCGTAGAGAGGAGGGTCGAAGAGTCTTGGAATTGGACATCGCGGGACGTGACGATACCAAGTAGTTTGCCACCGAGTGCGCCAGTGTCTAAGTGGTAGTAGTGTCAGTCAAAGATGATGGACCACAACGATAGCAGGCTAGTCAGAATCCAAATGTGTATCTCCGCATATCACACGAAGGATCGCGTTATAAACTCGGAAGAACGAAGGTTATGGAAATAAAGGCTCATCGTGTGCGTAATAACAGCGAACGAACGATGCCCACTCACCTGTGATGGGGATACCGCAGAAACCTAACCTCCTCTTGATATCCAATACATCTTCGACCGTATGCTCCGGGGCCAGCACGACCGGATCGGTGATAAAGCCGTTTTCGTGACGCTTTACGGCTCGGACCATAGCTGCCTGCGACTCTGGGGACTGATTGTGATGGATGACACCAATTCCGCCTAAGAGCTGCAAGGAGGGACGATGAGGAGAGGTGATTGGTGAGTGATATAGAATGTACCGCCATAGCAATCGCCATCTCACTCTCGGTCACGGTGTCCATGGGGCTACTCATGAAGGGAGTCTTCAAAGTGAGCTTTTTCGTGATGCGACTCTCCGTCACGACCTCAGAGGCGGGGAAGTCGATTTTTCCGGGAAGAAGCAGGAAGTCATTGTAGGTCAGACCGCCATGGATGGGGGAGTCCATGAGATCAGTGACGCTGAGACCATCGCGGGACTGATAGGATTTAAGGACGTCGAGGGCAGAGGCAGCATCGAGAAATTGGGCAGACGACATGGCGAGTGGGCGAGATTGCCAGAAAAAACTGAGCAACGACGGCAGCTTGCTTATATATGAAGCCCATGTTATTTGTGCGTATTTTGGAGTATATCGGATCACATGCATACATTGGATGGAATATCAAGTACAAGCCTACGAGTAACTTTGCGTAATGGAACTAAGCAAATGAGGGAATGCGAATGAATACACGGAGAACATCGAGCGAGCAGACGACAAGACAATCAGGCTACAACAAGGAGAACCGATAAGCATCATGGTCGTAGTGCACGACGGTTCAAATCAACTCACAGCGAAGCATTGTTTTGAGAATAGATTACCAACGCTCACCGCCTCCTCCTCCTCCTCCTCCATAGCCTCCTCCTCCACCTAGTCGAGTGAGACGTGCGCAAGAATCTGAGAACAAATGGACAAACCTTGGTAACCACCACCGCCACCACCACTTCGGTAGCCTCCACCTCCACCTCCACCACGACCTAGTCGAGTAACATACTGAGCGTCTAGTCGTCAAAAGGGAGCATCAGAAGACATACCATAGCCTCCGCCTCCTCCGCCACGTCCACCTCCGCCACCAGTTCGTTCGGTAGCCATGTTAACCTTAATGCGTCTTCCATCAAGTTCTTGTTGATCATAGCCGGCAATAGCAGCCTCGGCCTCTTCGTTGGTCCCATAGGTCACGAAGCCAAAGCCTCGCGAACGACCAGTCTCGCGATCGTTGATGACAATGGACTATATAGTGCATCGCACACACATAAACTCAGCTTAGCAAACGGACACAACGGTCTTTCATGGAAGACACAGAGAGAGATAAGATCGCGCACATCAAGGACATTGCCAAATTCTCCAAAGGCCTATAATTGAAAAACGTAGTATGGTAAAACATCATGATCAAGAGAAGGAAAGCGGCGCGCAGCTGCGATCCGAGGGTTACACTAACTTGACGCAGAGTATCGTCGGTCGTGTTCCAACTGAGACCACTACATCAAATCAACATGAATTTAGCTTCGGTCGCAGTCTCCCACATCGATGGCAGGAGATACAAGGGGAAACCATTGCAAGGCGCAGACTAACCCAACAAAAATCTTGAACGACATGTTTTCCTTTGGGGTGAGATGGGCGAAAGGAAGAATGAGGTTGATGGCAGAGAACGCTCTTTTTATCATCGCGATGTAGATTCAGACTCCGCTCATATCGATGCCCAGCGCCTAGATCAAGTTCAATCTTGGAAGTACACCCGCATTCTAGAATCGACGTAGTGCCGACGTTCTCTGTAAACTATATTAGGCTTATTGATTTTGGTCTGATTCGTAGATTTCGATGCTCCTTGGTCGAAAATAATAACCGACTTAACGTCGCGTAGCGTGAAAGCGGTGTCCGAGAACTGTAAGCTATAGTGGTAAAGCGAATGTGGTGACAGGACGAGGACTACAGAAACAAATGATACGAGCTCTCGACCGGGAGATGATACAGAGTACGGTAAGAGAAGAGCTTGGACGGCGCGGTGATTACGCATATGGGTTTACTGGACCCATTTGATAGTCGGGCGAGGTGAATTGTAGCGCACATAGTGATCACCAATTTGATACGTCGAAACCTTGTATCCGTCGCCGCTCTCGTCGAAGAAGACGAATTGCCCTGTGCGAACGTTGGAAAAGTCCAACCTGTATTTCCATATGGATGGCGAGTTGGAGTGGAGTTTGTAGCGCGTAATGCCCTTTGCTCCAGTATCGACGTCCTTCCAGGTATCGTCGCCGACTGGCCAATCGACAGCAATAGGGGGCCCATCGCGTGGGCGGTCGGGTTCCCCCTCGTCAATAGCTCCGCTGCTAAGCTTGACGCCAACTTCAAAGGTTGCACCATTCTCGCTCTTCATTTCTTTCCAAACGATGCCTGCAGCATCGGCGGCTATGACCTGTTCGGTTGACATTGTAGCTTGTTGCTTTTCTGTGGTAGCAGGCTTTGGGTCAGTAAGAACCAGCCTGAAAGTTTGGGCGAGGACGTACTGGCTCTTGTGGAAGTGGTTTGTGGTAAGTGCATAGGATAGCGAGCCCGGGATATCTTATATAGGACGCTATGACACAATTGTTGGCATACTGGGACAAACAGCTCGCAGATCTTTCAGGATGTTGTATAGCACTCGACCGGCACTTTGTGCTCCCTATCGGTGGCTGTGAGTATGCCTTCTTGACGTATAGTGTGATGTACGATTACTTCGGCTGCAAGCATGCTCATCGGACTTGGGGATATCCCGTTGATTGATGTATGGGCAATGGTGGTGAGCATGTGGGTGCATCGTTGGAATGTCGGAATGTCCAGAACTCGTCCATCACTTCACTCAAGCTCAATCGGACATGGGTAAAGGCCGATACTTGGGGACATCAGAATCAAGTCAATGTACTCATCGTTCTTCGGGCCTCGCTGTCACACGGAGGTCGTCACGTCGGGTCACGTACCCCCTATCTGAACTTGACCGGTTCTCTTCCGGGCCCGGTTCTTGCCATTGACCACAGCGATGCGACCATCACCAGCGCGCCTTCTCAACATCCTCGTGCCCGTGAAACGGTGAGCATATTCGTCCTCGTACTGCTCCGCGTGTCCCCATCATTTTGTAATTTCAGCGCGGTCGACTATGCTGTCAAAATTCGTGTCAATCCCCAGCAAACGGGTATCGACACCAATGTGAAGCACTCTATGGTACGCATAATCCTTTCGACTAATCGCTTGACATATTTACAATTTCAATACATCAGAACCCATTCGATGAAATCGGTTAGCTTTATCCCATACAACGCAGCCCGAGCCTGACCCATCTATGGTTGTAGCCGTCGAAGAAGCTGTCCGCCTGCGCGAAAAGCTGAAATCCTCCATCGAATCCATCAAGCTGGTGAGTATTGGACCCTCCAAGTGCTCGGAGACACTTCGCACCGGCCTTGCCATGGGTGCCGACTCTGCCATCCATATCGAAACACCCGACTCGGCTCCTGCTCCAGAACCGCTCGGAGTAGCCAAGGCACTGCGCCAGATCATCGCAAAGCAAGAAGGTGGCATCGACATCGTTATACTGGGCAAGCAGGCCATCGACGATGACGCTGGTCAGACCGGTCAAATGTTGGCGGGTCTCCTAGGCTGGTCACAGGCTACCTTCGCCTCCAAGGTTGATATCGATGTTGAGAAGAAGGTGGCTACGGTGCTGAGAGAGATAGACGGAGGTTCAGAGGAAATCCGCTGCCGGCTACCTGTGATTATCACGACGGACCTTCGGTGAGTTCTTATCCTACCTACCCTTTCACCATGCTTAGAAATGGACCCCCGTCGCCTTAAATCCTGTCACTCAAAAGTCTGAACGGTACGTGAATGATCATTATGTGCCAGCTGGGCCTTAGCTGAACTCAGCCGCTCAGAACCTCGGTACGCGTCGCTTCCCAACATCATGAAGGCCAAGAAGAAGCCAATCGAAAAGCTAACCCCCGAGCAACTGGGAGTCGACTTGACACCCCGACTCCAAACCATCAAAGTTTCAGAGCCCCCAAAGCGCGTCGGCGGTGCCAAGGTGGAGAATGTCGACCAGCTAATAGAAAAACTAAAGGAGGCTGGGTTCACGGCCGCATAATCATCACCATTTTGAAGTTCGTTGCATCAAATAGAACACCATTGATATATTGTACATCTCGTGCGACGTGCAAGGCGGATCTGGTTTGTGAGTACTGCATTGACTCGTTTGCAACAATGTCATGGTACCAAGTACAGCCGTCGCCACGACATGTCCGATTGCCATTACCTCCTGTAACGTTTAATTCAGTATGCTCATAGAATCATTCGTACCAGGACAACCTCCATAGTGAGGCTCTAACCCTTTAGGAATGCTCTTTGATCGTGCGATCTGAGTCCGCTCTTATAATCCGAAAGCGCGGATTGAAGGTCACACCTGAACGAAGGGAGGTCCCAGACTGCGCCACGATCGCGAAGTTTTTGTCTGTCTGCGTCTACGAAAATCTGTCTGCGACCGGTGTCGTGACTACAGTGTCGCGCTATTCGAGTTGATGAACACCAAACACTCTACGAGCCGATGTGTCTCATGTAACATCACCGCAAGGAATCGGCGCGGCTCCTGTGTTACTACTAACACTATCTCTAGAGCGGGACCAGCCGCCCTGCTTCAAGAGAATAGTGAACCGAGTAGGATCGCCTGGCGCCCAAGAAACTGATTGACAGCCAATGAACAAGAAACCAGCCTTGTCGCGAATGGCACGGTTTCAACGTTGTCGGGATTTACGAACAGTGAGTGCCCAATGTGCCCAATGTCTACGAATCGGGGCTGAGGCTGATGATAGATTCTCACCGCGTGGGTGAATTTCTTGCTGTCCAGTGTCGACTCAAAAGTTTGTGTTGAAACATAGCAAGATCGAAGAAGAGTGTCCGTTCAAGCGCTCATGGTGGTTCTGCCAGTTGCCACTCGATCTCTTCAACTGTTCTTCGGGACCTCAGGATGAGCTCGTGGAAGAACCCGGAGACAACTTTCATGAGGCTGAAGTTGGATGATGCCTCATGTGCTGGACGAAAAGGCGAAATCTGAACTCCAGGAGCCATTCCTCGCTGATCTTCATCGCCCAGAACTCTAAGGCAAGGCTGCTAAAGACGCCACCTGAAGGGCCCTCCCAACGATGTGGAAAGGAGGTGCCCCCACGAAGTCTGCCCTACGTGATCCATTCGTGCTCCAACACAATATGATATGTCGATTATACTTGATTGTTCCAATTTCCAATTTTTTATTCCAAAGCGGTTTGAAACCTACTATGTAGTGTGCGCGTACAACTATATACTAAGACGAAGACTAACAGCTGCATACCATACAACGAGACAATTACACCCAGTTTACACCACCAAATCCGAAAATAAATTATGCATCTCCAAGCCTCCAAGACATCTCTCACGCGCGCCGCCTGAACTTCTCCTTAATCTGCGATGCGATGCGCTCGTTCCAGCCGTACGTCAGCGCATTCGCGAGGCCCACAAACTGGGTCGACGCCTGCATGATCTGCGTGACCTGCGACTTGTGCCCGGTCGCCTCGACGATGCGGTGCGCGAGGCCGGGGATCCACAGCAGGATATACAGCAGCGGATACGCATTCAGCAGCAGCACGCGCTGGATCGCGCGCTGCCGCGAGTTGCCTGCGCCGTCCGTGCCGCCGGGGGTGTTGGGGCCGGCGGGCGGGAGCGTGCGCTGGTGCGCCATGATGTGCGTCATGGGCATCGACGCCTTCGAGAGCGTGGTCGTGGGCGCGGCGGGCGGCGCATCGTCGTCGATCGTGATCGTCACGCGCTTCGCCGAGTAGTCGCCGTCGTCGCCGTCGCCGTGCCCGCCCGACTGCGAGATATGCACGTCCTGCTTGAACTCGCTGAACGTGATCGGCGTCAGCGGTATGCTGCGCGTGTGCTGCTCGCCCTGCGACGTGACGACGGGGGGTTCGACACGATCGGCACCGCCAGCCTCCTGAAATGCCTCCTCAGGTAAAAATGGAGGTACGTGTACACGGCGACCTCGATGACCATGAAGAGGTAGCGCCAGCCGTGCGTGAGGACGTAGCGGAGGTAGACGGGGTCGGCGGTGAGCCAGCACCAGTTGCCCGAGACGGGGGCGTACGAGTGCTTGCCGAGGGCGAGGAAGCCGGTGAGGAGGGGGAGCGCCCAGATGGCGGCGGTGGCGGACAGGATGAGCGGCCACTCCCACTCGCCCTGGATGAGGCGCGAGGAGGAGGTGCGCGTGATGGTGTAGACGGTGACGAGCGCGATGGCGAGGATGGCGCAGTCGGTTGCCTGGGATGGGCGGGATGGGTGAGTGGGTTGGGGGGAGAGATCGATCGACGACATACCTGGACAGTGATCTGGCCGATCATGCCATTCAGCACGCACCCGGGGCCGGGCACGAGATCCCTCCTATGCATGATAATCTGTCCCCCCGACGCCGCGTTATTCACCGAGTTCGCAAAGTCTATAATACCCGAAAAACCGCAATTAGCATCGTCGTCAAATCACCGCCCAACAACAACAACCCTCTCCCCCATTCTCATCCAACCCCAAACCCCAAACCCAAAGCAAAGCACACTCACCCGCGACCGCCAGATTCAAAATGAGGACGTGCCTGAAGTGGCGCTTGAGGGGGAGCGCGAGGTAGCAGAGGAGGATGCACCCGGAGCCGAGCGCGGAGAGGAAGGAGCCCGCGAAGGTGAGGCTCGCGAGGCCCCAGCGGAAGCCGTGGATGCCGGCGGTGGACATGCGCGAGACGGTTTACGTTGAGGAGGGTGTAGGAGGGGGAGGGGTAAGGAGAGGGAGAGTGAAGGAGGGGAGGGAAGGGTGTAGGGGGAGATGGAGTGGAGGTTGCGTACGTCCGAAGGTGTAGGGGCCGGAGGACGGACGTATCGACGGAGGGTATCGAGGAAGAAGGGGCGGCTTATTCGAAGCATCCCAACAATCGCCCGTCCTCTTTTATATGTACACCCTCCATACCCTTCAAGTTACTCTGGAGAGCCCCTTTGCGCCCCTACATACCCCCGTATCCAAATGCCAAAACGCCCAAAACGCTCGAGCTGTCCAAAGCTCGAAATTCAGGATTTCAGGGAGGTTCAGGACCGCAAAAGCGGGGGCTAATCACAAACCACAAAACCGCTACTTGAAAAATCGAAAAATCGACAATCTCTGCGGCGGGGGCTATGCCCTCTTGTCAGTCACTGTGTTTGAACTTTGGTGCATTGCGCAATCCGTCATTGTTCCTCGATTCATTCGTGAACATTCGTGGACATGTAACTCTTGAATACATGAATACATGAATCGTAATCTGTCGAATCTGTTGCCGAACGTCAGTTGTCCATCAATACTTCAGAATCTGTTCAATACGCGACGGATCACTGAACGTCACTCACCACCCACTAATCGCCAACGACCCTCAACGTCCGCGTCAACCCCGTCGGTGTCCATCGCGATGTACAGGCTCGAGCTCGAGACTTGCGAGCTTGAGTGTCTCCTTTCCTCTACTCTCACCTCTCCTCGCCCTCGCCCTCCGCCCACCCCCCTCGCTCCCCCTCAGTAGGGTCAGCTACCGAGTGCAAGGGGCAGGCACGGCACGCTGCACCTGACACGCAACAACGCTGACAGCGTTCATGTTGCTCAGGTAGGTGGTGGTGGCGTTCGCGAACCTTGTAATCTTGTAACCTGAGGATCTAGGGTCGAGGGTCGAGGAGTATTACGGGGGGAGGGAGAACTCGTGACGCTCATTGGCTTCCTAGACCCGACCGTCTCCTTCCTATCCTATTGATCAAGTCGAGGGTCGAGGATCTTTTCCGAGTTGGGATGGTTCCGAGTTGGGGTAACGCCAACGATTGATGATTGATGATTGAGGGTCGAGGGAAGTCAATGGGTATTGAGTATCGATGAGGGGACATGTTAGTGACGAAGGGGGCGGCGCATATGCCCTGTGGCTGCTACGCATCAATAGTCAATAAAGTTAATAGAGTAGAGTAGTGCATATGCATATGATTACAACGGACATGGGCGATATATATTAGGTGTATTATCGATGATGTTCGGTGTATATAGAATATTGGACGATATGCGAATGACATACCAAGCGTGATGGAAGTTGGAACTGGAGGTGGCGCGTTGACGAGTGATCCTGGAAGGTGCGTGACGAGTGGTGAAAAGAGGGGGAGGAGGCGAGCGACAAGAGAGGATCAGACCAGACCAGAGTCACCAGACCAGAGTCACCAGACCAGACGCGATGAGACAAGCCCAACGTTGTACCCGAGTTCGAAAAGGCAAAGTTTCAAGGCGACATCATTGTCTCCCTCCAAGCCACAAGACACGAAAACGCGCAAACCGAAAAAGAAACGAAAAAAGTTCACAAGCCGAAAACGTTCAACGCAAAACTTGAGCCGGGAACGAAAAAACGAAAAACGGGGGTTTTCTGCGAGGTGCAGCACAGCCTCTGGATTTTGAGAGGCGGAGGGGTAGATGGGCGAAACACGAAACGATACTTGTGCATCAAACGCCGGTGGCAAACGTGCGTATAGGTATAGACAATGTATAGGAGCGTTTTTAAAGGGTACGAAGTCGGGAGTATGGGTAGGGAGTATAGGTGGATGGCAGGTAAGTGGATGTAAGAGGATAAGGACGAGGGTACTGAATTCGCTGAGGGAGGGATGTGGAGGATGTCTATTATGGGTTACGCTACGTACATTGGCCAACGATCGGCAAGGACCAGCGAGGAGATGTTCACGTACAGTCCAAACTGCAATGCTTCCGTATACGAGGCACTATGGTACCAGGCACCCGAGGCGTCTTAGCCCTGCACATCACAAGGAATATCGATTGAGGGACTCGCCACTCACTCGTGGCTCGAGTTCCGGAACAAGAAGCAACAAGAGCGATGATGCGATGAAGCATGTGCACGAGGAATGGCAGGGATGGGCGGATGAGGACAAGCGGATGGGGGTGGCGTTCGGTAGGCAGTCCCCTAGTCAACGTAACGTCCTGCCAACGTCGCGTTTGATGGAACCGTCAAACGTACTCACTGTGTTCCGATATTCACATTCATGTGCATGGGCATCATATCATATCGAGGCCATTGACATTGGTGTTGATACCGTCTTCGATGTCGACTTCATTGGTCTCTCTGTTCTCGCTCGCCGATGCTCGTAGTCTGCCCACTCTTCAGGTAATCAAACTCGCGTTTCCTGTGCTCAAGCTACACTCTCGTCCCACATCGCATATCGCACTTTCCATCTTCCAGCCTTGGGCTTTGAGCTGCGCTGGGTTTTGGATTTCGGTGGTTTTGCATGGAGCAACGCGAATGTCACATTACGCATTCTAAATTACAAGTTCCAGGATGATAGAATACAACAGGGGGTAAGTACTAAGATAATTGGCTTGGATCCAACAAGGTCACGCAAGTCACATCCATTACAGGGGCTCTGTCACGCCCTTTCTCCTCCGATCCGAGTCGTCAAGACACTTTATGTCAGACGTGATTGTCCCCGTACAACCATGCATCCCCCTTCCGCAATTTCCCCACATACCCGAAGAACGCACGCCCCTTCTTGATGCCATCTACAAGGCCCTGCGTGGCAATGGCGCAGACCCCGTTGACCAGGTCCATCGCACGCGCTTCGCAGCACACCACCCCACCGGCAGCGCGTTCATTGGCGAGGAGTTGGAGGTCGTGTGGGACAGCAGAAAGGTCCTCCTACGCACCGGCGGCATCATCCGCAAGCAATGGGACTTTTACGCAGTCGAGAAGGAGAACATACAGTGCGTAAGTATCGGGTGGCTTGATCGCAGCGGGGATATCACCAAACACGGCTCCCGCGATCCAGAAGTCGTCGAAACCCATGACAAGCGACCTACCTTTGGCCCGTTCGCCAGACATTCGGCCACGGCTGAGCGACCTGAACACATCCAGCATGCCGCCACCAAGGACCTCCGCATACGCGCCATCTATGTCTTCCTGCGCTTCACAGCACATATCATCCCCATCTCCAGCGCAGCCTGGAACGCCGAGGCCCACAAACACCTCCCACCCAACGTCTGGGACTCGCTCTCGGACTCGTACTCGTTCGCGCTGCCCTTTGTGGCACGCGCCGCATGGCCTCTGTATCCACACGGGGTGCTGGTGCAGCGCGTACTCGAGGACAGCGAAATAGAGGATGCCAAGAGCTCGGGGGAAGAGGTGCTGCCCACGCTCTTCACCGTGACCAAGGCTTTCACGGAGCTGGGCAGCGTAGGGGTCACGCAGGGCATCGTGGACTCACCTGCGGGCGTCAGATTAGTGGATGAGGAAGAAGTGCGGCGAGGGCCTCTCAAAGCAGTGCCGCCCACGGAAAAGATCGTATGGGTGTCATGTAATTCGCGGGATAGGTACGCTGCTTTGTTTCGCTCATGGATCGCGACGATTGATCGCGTTCCCCAGCAACACGACACCATTGGAGTTCATCATCAGCTTGGATGAAAACAAGAAAGTCCTGACAGTGTGGAGATACGCCTATGTGCCTCAGCCCGAGAGGTATATACAAGTACGCTACAATCGCAGCGCCGTGTCTGACAGTGACTAGCACCAACAGCAGCAAACCCCCACCACCAGCGAGCACAAATGCACATACGACAAGGAGAAAGCGGCATTCCGCATTGGGGCACGCTCGCATCCCGTCCAGCGGCGTCCCCAGCGACATGGTAGAGCGGGCGGATCCGCTGGGCGACGATGCCGTTAATCCCGTGCACGACTCTGGCAGCAATCCAAACGCTGCGGTCAACCCGCTGCCCCAGGTCCCAGCAGCAGGCAAAACGAAGGCGGACCACATCGCGCTGGGCGCGATACCGAAGATGAAGCCCGCGCTGACTGGCGCGCTGACGATGGAGGGCTTGATGCATGGGATGGGTGTGGAGGCCCCATCTCCGCAGACGGGGAAGGAGGGAAAGAAGAAGTGGCTGGAGCAACAGGCTGAATGGGCGGCGAAGAGGGAGAAGAGCAAGGCTGCTGCGACGGCCAAGACCGCGCGACGGGAGTCTGGGTCCAAGTACGATTTGAGCGTCACGATGGACCGAATGGCACTTGGTGGACGCGGCGGGGACACGGGGGATGACGGCGCTGGGGACGACGGAGACACAGAGTGGTCAGGCGAGGCCGACGAAGAAGTGGGGAAATTGAGGACGAACTACTGGCTGCAGAAGGTACAATCGCATGAGATCGAGGAGGACGAGTGAGTCTCTGTGTGATTTGTTTGTAGGGGGTTACTGATCTCGTTCCCTGGCCCCAGTGCTAAACAATGGAGGGGTATTAGCGTGGCGGTTTATGATAAACGAACCTCGGGAGCTGGTAAACGCAGCTCCGAGCGCTGTAGGCTGGCCATCTGCCTGCCCGCGCAGAACATCGTCTTGATTCATAAATTGACGCTGTTTCCAGAACAAGATGTCAATACCAGCGACAGTGCCATTCCTACCGACGAAAAGAACGCGTCGGAAACAACGAAGGACCGTCGCTGGATCGTCGATCCCGAGGTCACGAAGGTTACTGGCGTGTCCATTGCAGCGATCAGAGCTACGCGGGAGTCGATTATGGACCTGTTAGTGGTGGATACCGGGGGCAAGCTCGCGCTTTATTCCCACTCGGATTCCCAGGTATTTTCCATGGTGCTGCGCCATCGAGATGGTAATGGGCGAGACTACATCACAGGCGCGAAGAGGATCAAGGATGTCGTCCACTCGACTGCTCTGTTGGACATCGCCGACGTTACCTGCGAAAGCGGCATAGGGGAGGTCAGGGCCTGTTTCGATTTTGTCCCGAAGGACGAGTTGACAGCGAGCTGCCTGAGACTGCTGTCGATGGTGCTTCCGGATCCCGCCGTCGCCAATTTGCACCGCCGATTCTTCTCCAAGTGGCTGCTCTCCGGATGGATGCGCCCCGCTCTGGATGCCCCCCCTGTCATGGCACGGCTCGGAGCCGACGAGTTTGAGAGTTTGGCGAGTTCGCTGTATGACGTCCTGAGGGTGACGGGTGTGGACACGGGGACGATAAACGCAGAGGCCAGTGGCGATACCAACAACTGGGATCGTATGTCGTTGTCGCCATCGTACGAGCGGTTCGCGGAGGATCCTGTTATGAAGTACCTCAAGAAACCGCAACAGCTAGAGGATTCAGCAAAGCGGGCCGGCGCGCAAACCCCGAGACTCAAGGACAATGCCCCAGCCACCGCGTGTGCACTTGTGACCCCCGCCTTATATGGTCTGCATCTTCTCGCCATGGATATGCGCTTGTCAGTGAAATCGTACGGTGATGTGTTGCGACTATGCCCCGTGATATGCACACTGGCGTCGATCGTGCGGCCGGAGTGGGTCGACTTTTGGGCGACGCTGTGCCCGACGGTCGTGCAGGTCGGGGAACGTGACGTCAATGTCGATGGTGAGGACCAACGTGATAGAACAAAAACAACCACTGATGCATAAGTGACGGCATTTTTCTTCCGTTCAGATGAGAAGTACTTCGATAATCGGATTCCCGCTTGGCCCCCTGATGGGAGTGCCATTTTATTCGGCAAACTCACGGACTCATCATGGGTCGCCCCCCTCCATGATATCGAAGCTGTCGCACGCGAGGTACTGGGCGGTACCCCATCGTATGCGTATGGTGCCATCAACCCGCTAGTGCATCTCCCTCACCTGTATCAAGTGTACCGGAATCTGGGCGACAAGTCGAAGCCCTCGGCGCAAAGACGGGCGGCAGACGCTATCAGCTACTTAGTAGACCGCGGGATCATCAAAGACGGCGGGGAGGGGGACGGAGAGTGGTTCCGTTGGCTACCATTGGGGATCATGGCTCCCATACAGGAGGCTGCCAGAATGTGCCAAGTCGCGCCTCTTACGAACTGGTCGGCTGCTGCGTATTCGTTTATCGGTCGGAACGATTTAGCGGCTAGGGCAGTTAACGCACCCGATCCATTAGTCAACGACGGGTATGGATCCGTGAAAGACTTCGTGGTATGCCCAGCTTTGTTCTCTTTGTTTCGTGGTCCGACCTGTGTCCTTTAGAACCCCTCGAAGCCGAGGAAGACCATTACTGAGTTTGCGCTCCACGCCAGGTCCATGGTCGGCGGCGAGATTGACACCATCTCCGGCGTCGAGCTGGGTCTCGAAGATTTTACCAGCATTCGTTTCGGGCAAGATCGCAGGTTGGACGAAGTTGCACGCATCCTTTGTTCCTCGGTTATTCCGAATGTGCGGTACTTGGAACGTCCCGAGCTTAAGCAAGTCGCCTTGTTGCTGCTGTGTGTCGTATTGCTAACATGCTTCTTTCAGCGAACATGATCAAACAAGGGAACAGCAAAATGTTGTGCTTCGTGTAGCTGAGAGAACATTGGCGCTTCCATATGGGCGCGCGATGTTTACTTTTGGTTCCGTCTCAAGGGTTACGCGAGAAGCATACTCGATCCCTAAGCTGGAGTACGCCATTCGACTCCAACCCCTGAACATAACGGTAGCTCCCGAACCCAACAAGATATCCGCCGATTCCACGAGTTGGGGCGAATTCCATAACGGGGTAGCGGCGGCTTTGAGGATTTCCTCGTCTTCCCGCAGAATCGAAAGTTCGTGGATCGCTTTCAATAAACCCTCTGACCTGAGTCCTGAGCACGCCGGGTTCCTCCTTGGGCTGGGGCTAACTGGTCACCTGAAGGGGATGCTCACCTGGCACACATTCTCGTATCTTACCCCCAAGCACGACCTTACTTCAATCGGTGTGTTGCTCGGCCTCGCAGCCGCCAACGTCGGGACCGGAAACCATCATGTCATGAAGCTACTTGCAGTCCACACACCGGCTTTGCTTCCCCTTCCGAGCGTGGATCTCAACGTGTCTTTGATGACTCAAGCAGCAGGTCTCGCGGGCGTTGGGCTGCTCTGTATGGGCACAAAAAATCGGAGAATGGCAGAGGTTTGTTTGGGTCAAATTAGTCGGAGAGATCTGGTACAACCCGACCTGAACAACGAGCACCGGGAAGCGTATACACATGCATCCGCTATTGCATTCGGTATGATTATGTTAGGTAAAGGATCCAATGTACCAGCGGACGCCGCCATCCTCAACCGCCTGGGCGTCCTTGTTCATGGAGAACACACTGGTATGGGACGCGGCGAGGCTTTCGATATTAATCTCACATCCCCTGCGGCAACTATCGCTCTCGGCCTCATGTACCTCCGCACCAACCGTCACGACGTGGCTGAGATGCTGAATATTCCCGATACCGTGCTCGAGTTGAATCGCATCCAACCAAGTTTTGTGTTTTTGCGTACACTGTCCAGGGCGTTGATTATGTGGGACCATATAACCCCTACCAGCGAATGGTTTTCGGCCCAACTTCCCCGGCCGATTGCGGCTGCCGTTGAGTTACGCTTCCAGGGAAAACCCATTGACGACGCTCTGGAATTGGCGTATTACAACCTGTCTGCAGCCTGTTGTTTCGCCCTCGGCCTCAAGTACGCAGGCACCGCAAGGCAAGAAGCATATATCAAGATTATCAGCCACTTCGACCTGTTCACCCAACTTGTACGTCTGAACGGTGAGCGCCCTTCATTTGGTACGATGTTCTTTGTCTCAGTGCCCTTTTGCCAGGCAACGCATTTGATCAAAAGATCAAGCGATCCGCAATCAGGGACGGGCTAAATATGATCTGCATATCGTTGAGCATGGTTATGGCTGGCACTGGGGAGATCACTTGCCTACGGCGGCTCCGCTATGCATACGGCATCCACCAGCAGGCGCCAAAGTATGGTGTCCACATTGCGACACACATGTCGCTGGGTCTTCTCTTCTTGGGTGGCGGAAGGTTCACCCTAGGAACATCGGATGCTGCCATCGCGTGTATGATTGCCGCTTTCTTCCCTCGGACCCATCAAGTGTCTAACGACAACAAGAGTTACCTACAAGCTCTGCGCCACTTGTGGGTACTTGCAGTTGAGCCGAGATGCCTTGTAGCCCGTGATATCGATACGTCCGAGGTCGTCTATCTCCCCGTTAAAATAACCATGAAGGATGGCAAGGAAGAGTCTACGACCCAGCTAATCTCCCCCACCCTAATACCGGACTTGGACCACCTCTCCGCGATTCGGGTAGACACTCCCAGATACTGGCCGTTTTATCTTGACGTCGAAAAAATTCCGAAACACAGAGAGAGTCTTTTGAACTGCCAGACGCTTTACGTCAAACGAAGGACTGCCTTCCTCAGCTACACGGAAGACCCCAGGGGCAGTAGGAGTCTGTTTGTTCGGTCTGGGTCGTCTTCGGGTGATGCCTTCCTATTGGACTTCCCACAGCTGACCCAAGCGAAACGACACCCTGCCAACGATCTATCGGAATTCATCACGTCTTTCTCGAACGACGTTCGATTCCTCGCCTTCGCAGACCACTTTTCGAGATCCCTCATCGATGTGCAAGCTGAAGGGGCGGATGATTTGACCGAACGAGAACGGTTATTCCAAATGTACTGTCATGCCAGTCTGCTCGACTGCATCCTGCAAGACAAGCCCTCTGTCCTGCAGGCCCACTTAACTCTTTGGTCGTTCCGAAACATGAAGCCTACTTCCAAGTTCTTCCATTTGAGGCTCGCAGATTTACGGTTCTGCGCAGACTTTTACGACAAGTTGTACACAAGACGCTTCGGCGGGGGCCTCAGCCCGTCAGGAAAGGCAAGCAACCCACTGCTTCAAAAGCACAAGCCACCCTTGATCAGGGATAGTACAGTTGGTGGTGTAATGTTGGCCTTGGACAATTCGTTGAAGCGTGTGCGGGAGATGGACGGTTTCAAATCTGCACTGCGAAGTTATGCAAATGGGCTTCGCTTCGACGGCAGCATGATGCTAGAGTCGATATCGCCTGTTGGACCAGGGGAAGAGCCGACCAAAGTCGCCCAATACCTATCGTGGTACTTGTTAAGGCATTGCGTTCCGGCTTCCGCCGTTCTGTTTGTGTTGAAGGACCTCGCGCAGAGCGCGCATGCTCTGTGTATGGACAAGGCCAGGAATGATCCTGCCTCGCTGTGGTCTACGCATGGCGCATCTACGAATACGCCTGGTCCATTTATGGCTGGAGCAGTGTTAGGCGCAAGTCTGGCCGCTCAACCAGTGGACACCGTTTCCTTGAATGATACTGGGCCAGGTGGAGAGCGAATGGCGGTGGATGGCGAACGGGAGGCAGAAGGTACTAAGCCGACAGGACTCGACATAGCCACCAATGGGCTAGACGAGGGGGCTTTGGACTTGGCCATCAAGACAGTGTTGCATTCGACTGGGACGAAGATGGCCATAGCCTACGGATCTGGTTGGTCGGCAGAAAGCTTGGAAGACGTAGTTGCCGCTTGGCAGGCTGTTTAAAGCAACGCGCGCATGCCAACTCTTAGAATAATTCATAGCAAAGGACTTGTAGTATAGATCACGCATTTCTGGGTGCATTAAAAGTCACTAACTTCTGGACAGCGCGTAGAGTCGAACTAACAGCGCCGGCCGTGGTTAAGATGAATGATGCATTCTAAAATTCCTAACCGCATCAGTGACAGTTCAGTGCTCAGACTCTAGAAGCACCTCTAAGCTAAGTATGTTCAAGGATCAAAATATCCCAGCACTTGGTATGTTCCCCAGCTAGGTTATTGTCTAGATTGCTGTCTTCTCCAGGTAGTTGGTCCTCCCTTTCGGAAAAAAATACGAACTAAGTGGTAGATAATCACCATGTCAGGGTGATAGATATCGCCGAGGTCCATTCTCTTTGTCGCCTCATCTGTATAAAGGGATATGTGGTTTGCCTACGGTAACCAGCAAGCTGCTGCAGGCGATATTGTGTAAGTGTCTTCAGTTCGCAGTAGAATCATCGCCTCATTGAAGCATTACCCCAAACAGCTTCCCAAATACCGTCCGTGCTATCTCCCCTAGCTGTGAAGGGCATGACTGATCCATTCGTACAGACCTCAACATGCGCGCTGCATTTGTCGTCCTCGCACTGTCTTTCTTCGCAGTTGCCCGTCCCTTTGTCGGCGACATCGATGTCCGATCAGTGGATGAGGCTAGCCTTCAGTCAACCCCAGAGACATTGCGTAAAATTGTGGGTGCGCTCAAGGACACAGTGAAGACCCAAGGCAAGGCCTTGCTCTCCGATCTGGCTGGAAAAGCCTGCGACCATGTCCAAGCCAAATTGGCAACTAGAGAAGTCGATAGTAGTGACCTAGAAAACACTATCGATGCGGTCGCGGACAAGATGTACGAGGAATGGATTGCCGAGCATGATGCGACTACGCTCGAGGACAGCGGTATGTTCTTGAAGAACTTGGCCACTGCTCTCGGAGGTGCAGTACAAAAAACAATCAAGGGCGCCGCTTCCGACTTGGTAGGCCAGGGATGTGAGGAAGTTCAGGCGAAGCTTAACGCTTAGGCCTAGCGGTACTACTGGGCGGTGGTACTCTATGTTATCAGTATGAATAGTCCTGCCTGTATAGTGGTTGTTGAGTAAATCGTCGTGGCTAGTTTGTGCATAACGATGTACTTCTTTGGTAGCTGTGATCCTTGCCCTCCGGCTGGCGAGTCTCCAGCAAATTGTGATCCGAGTCGAGTACGTATGCCAGGTGCTCTACCTTTGGACAGTATTGTCTGGAATCTTGTACCGCTAGTTTATTCCTATCAAATCTTTAGAAACGTAGAATACCCCTGTCATCACCCCTGAGGATTTGCCCCAAGCGCCCGTTAATTCCGCGCCGAACTTGAAGCTGAACGACGATGAGCACAGTCACACTAAAGCCTGTTGCTGGCTTCTGCGTCAAAACAACTGTTGCGAACACTCAAAGCAAAGTCTTCGTCAATGTCGCCTACGACAAGAATATTCCTCCGCCCACCACCGCCTCTACCGACTATACTGAATGGACCATTCCCGTCCTCGTCTCCGATCCCCGCAAAGATGTCGATAAAGGTTCGGGAAACCCATCATCCGTATTCACAGTGGAGGTACTAATGTACAGAATAAGTATAGCTGGATCTTCTTGTCTAGTCTTCGACTGCATCTACAATCCCAGTATAAAGTCGAACATCACCCAGCTCGACTCCGACTTCCGTCTCTTCATCATCGAGCTTTCTTTCCAACGCATAGAAGCACAGTCAGGGAATACTGTTCTACTCACGCGCACCCACATCAAATCACCCAACATCAAGTCCAAAGGAAAGCTCGAGGAACGGACAGTAACTCTGCCAGATCCCAAACCGAGGCTGAAACCGGCACACAAACCTATCATTGAGACTATAGGTGATACTAACGCGGAAAAGTCGAGCTTGAATTCGAAACCAAAGTCGATCCTAAAGAGTCCTGCCAGTGGGGATCCGAGCTCAGTCATTGTGCGTCGCGCCTGCTAGACTGTTGAGTGTATGCTCATATCGACTAGAACCGACCATCATGGTCGTGGGCGAAGGAGCCAATAATCGGAGACGAGTACACAATCGCTCTGACTATCCTCGTTCCGTCCCTTGTAAGCCATGTCGTTCGTGACTAGCAATATCAGTGCATAGTTGATGTCTATCACCGCAGACACATTCCCTGCACGCAACCGCATCCCTCGACATTGAACCCCGTCGCATCATATTCTCCGTCCCTTCCATTTACTTCCTCGACCTCAATATAGCTCTCGATGACGCTGAATTCGTTGCACTCAAGCGTCTTCGAGCCTTCGACGTCGACAATGCACGCGCAGAATGGAGTGTGCGTAAACATACTTTGACTATCTACTGTTAACCGCTCTATGGCTTGAGACGTGTACACACTGCTGCTCTCTCTTATATCAAAGGACTTTTGTAAATAGATCTCAACCAGTGGTGACCGTTCTTCGGAGTCTTTTGTGCCTGCACTCCCCTCCTGGTTGAATCTCGAGCCCCTCGATATCGGTGTCGAGATGGCCGTCTGCTACGACCTTTTCCATTACTCCGTCAGGCTGTCTACGATGTGTATTACGAGATGGATTGGGCCTGGAGTTCAAGTTCCACTGTTGAACCAGTGCTCCCATGTTACCGTCATCTCAGTGGTGTGTGCGGGGATATAGTCAGTGCGCTAAAAACGGAATACAGCTCGTCTCCGTCTTCGTCTCAGGTCAAAGTTACAAAGAAAGGTGACTAAATGTCTGGACATGAAGTATTTGCATGACAAAACGTCTCCGCTCTCGGATGCTTCGCGTCTTGCAGGATCTGCTCACACTACTGCTGACAAGCTAGATCTTGAGTGAGCTTCAGACGATTGCGGCGGGTCGGTCCTTGGAGCGTGGGACTTTCACGATATGGCGGTATTGATCATCTAATCACGCCGTCCTATATAAACCCCTGCCTCCTCTTTCACCCGCAATCTCCACTACCACTACCATCCCCAACCACCCATCCCTTGTGACTATGGTGAGTCTACTAATATCCATGTACTATAACGTACCTCAACCCGTATGCAGGTCAACGTTGGCATCAACGGGTAGGCATCTCGTCGCGTATTCAACTCAACCTAACTCGAAATACATCCGGGCGGGCATATATATAGCTTCGGTGAGTCCTGGTTCGCTTTTCATAAAAGCCCGCCCACTCAATAAGATGTATTCCTGATCAGGTCGTATCGGCCGCATTGTCTTCCGTAACGCGCTCGAAGTCGGAGGCGTCGATGTCGTTGCAATCAATGAGTGAATGGATTTGACATCATGTCGCTCGGATGACCTTCTCACATCGCTTGTCATGCAGCCCCTTCATTGATCTCGATTACATGGTTCGTTTATTTCCAAGGCCCACCGATCCTAGAAGTGCTGACTTGAATTTGATCCGACGCTTTCGCTTACTTGCGATTGTCTTTCTTTCGATCGGTCCATGCTTAGGTCTATATGTTCAAGTACGACTCCGTCCACGGACGCTTCAAGGGCTCCATCGAGGCCAAGGATGGAAAGCTGATCGTTGAGGGAAAGCCGATCCATATCTTCGCTGAGAAGGACCCGGCCAACATCCCTTGGGGATCCGTCGGCGCTGACTACGTCGTCGAATCGACTGGTGTCTTCACTACCATAGACAAGGCTTCAGCTCACTTGAAGGGCGGCGCTAAGAAGGTTGTCATCTCTGCCCCCTCCGTTGACGCACCAATGTTCGTCTGCGGTGTTAACCTTGAGTCGTACGACCCCAAGTACAAAGTTGTAAGTAACCGTATGATTTGGCGTATGTATCCCACTGAATGATGCGTGCTTGCCCTTTATCCAGATCTCAAATGCGTCTTGCACAACCAACTGTCTCGCTCCCCTGGCCAAGGTCATCCATGACAAATTCGGTATCGTCGAGGGCTTAATGAGCACCATCCACGCTACCACCGCCACCCAAAAGACCGTCGATGGTCCATCGCATAAGGACTGGCGTGGAGGTCGTAGTGTGAACAACAACATTATTCCGTCCTCCACCGGTGCCGCTAAGGCTGTCGGCAAGGTCATCCCTTCGTTGAACGGAAAGCTCACGTACGTTTCCCGTGTATATTCCCATACTCCGTCAATATTAATCGGGTCTTAACTTAGTGGTTTGTCCTTCCGTATCCCCACTCTCGACGTCTCTGTCGTTGATCTCGTCGTCCGTCTCGAGAAGCCCGCTGATTACAAGGAGATCGTCGCCGCTATCAAGGAAGCCTCCGAGACGACACACAAAGGCATCCTCGGCTTCACCAGCGACTCCGTCGTCTCTACTGACTTCATCGGAAGCACCGATTCTTCCATTTTTGATTCCACCGCCGGGATTCAGCTGAACCCCAACTTCGTGAAGCTGATCGCCTGGTACGACAACGAATACGGATACTCCCGCCGCGTTGTTGATCTGCTGAAATATGTTGCGGAGAAGGACGGTGCGCAGTAGATGTTGTCTCACTATCGTTCTGTGGTGAATCTTGATGTGTTTTCGTAGGTTCTGTTGAAAGAAAATCTGCGTTGTAGTTGTCGGCGAGAACACATTTGTACGTAGATACTGTAGTTAGAATAGAATTCAGACGACTTCTCATGCTAAGTGCAAATTGGCACCGTTTTGAAGACAGTATCCACCGCCCGTACACATGTAGCTTCGATTCGTCTTTTCCAACAACACTCCCCCTCTCCTTTATTGGCGGGGCCAGATAGACGTCCATGGCCAGTACAAGAGATCCTGTGTAAGACCACCGTTTAGCCTTGAGGAGGATGGTCTGAATTTCCTGACCGACTACATAGGACTTCTCGAGTCTTAGGTGCATGGTTAGTAGAGACTCGGAGACCTTGACACATATAAGCTACATACATATTTACTTTTTATATTCGCGCAAGTTGGATGTTACATGAGGATGAACAACGAACTACAACATAGGCATGTACATACAACAAGACGTCGAGATACACCTATGCACGTCGAATGTTACAGGCTTAATGATAGGGACGGCGTAGTCGGTGAATGGGCGGAAAGCATGACACCAAAGAAAGCGGGGAAAAACAGAGAGCTGTAGAGAGTTTGATAATCGATTATAATCGCGAAAATGTGATTGGGTAGAAACGACGGACCCAAATCAACTGGAGCCCTTGGGCGCTTCTTTGACAGAGATGGCCTGATGAAGAGGTGGCGTTAGCGGGAACTCGGGTGCAGTGGCAGAAACACACCTGCTCTTCACCCATGGCGCTGACGATGGTGACAAGGAGATCCTTGCCTTCGTCAAAATCGGCCTGAATCTGCTTTCCAAGATCGCCTTCAGGGACCTTGACGTCGTCTTTGGCGGCACCGTCAGCGGTCATGAGGTTGAGGAAACCATCGTCAATGTTGACCTGTGAAGATTGTCCGTAACACGATCGAGGGGTGGAAGACGACGACGTACAAGTTGAAATTCGTTACGGTGAACATTAGGTACGTCCATGTTGTGGGTAGAAGGACAGATATCTTCCTGTTGATACGATTAGATTTTTTGGAGCACACGCTTACGATGGATGATCGGACTGACCAACTTCTTCCCGGTGAAGATCTAGAGGTAAAATGTTATTGCGCACGATCGGAATGGATCGAACGGATAACAACGCACATCAATGGCGACTAGATGAACCTTTGCGTGACCGTGCTTTCCGGTCTTGGAGGTGGACATATCGACGATCTTGCAAGGGCGTCCTACGTATCGCGTCAGATATAGAGTAGATAGTTGATGGCGCAATTGCCAACATACCCTTGATAACGACGTGTCCGTTTTTGCGGAGAGCAGAACATTGCATAGGGAAGGTCAAGGACGCTCCCGCCGAAGCCTGTGAAGCGCGATTTAGTTGATAACGTTCATCGTTGAGGGGCAAGGGGGCTTGCCTGCTGGAAATCATGTTGGTGCTGCTCATCGTCGGACATCGTGAAGGAAAGAGATTCAAGGAAAGTCTATAGCGGTGGTGGTGGGAGGTCTAGAAATTTTTCAGCACGATGGTTAAGAGGATCAACTGTGCCCAATTTGAATCTCCGACTAATCGCAGTTGTATCTCCGCTCACTTCTGGCGCTTGATTGCGCCTGCGCGTCTCATCTTGCATACAACCTTTCTCTCACTGCGACCATGCATCCGTTCACCGGGACTTCGGTTTGCCCCAAATGTCTGAAAGCCGTATATGCTGCTGAGCAGGTCAGTGTCTGAGACTTGGCTAGCGAGCCCGATTCAACTAACTCGGCCTCAAACAGGTAATGGGCCCAGGACGAATGGTGAGTGTCCATGCCTTTGGTCATCTTACTGAATACCGAGTGGATTTTGTAGTTGTACCATAAAGTGCGTTCTGCGGTATCCAAGCGTTCCGTAAGATGCTAACGGGATCACGCGGGAGTAGCCATGTCTGGCCTGCACGATGTGTAATAAGAGGTTAGATTCCCTCACCCTGCTGGAACATAATCATAAAGTAAGTCTCAACGTCGCTTCCCAGCCGAGCTGGTCCTCATATGTCTTACACTCACAGCCATACTGGTGCGTCTACCGATGTATCTCCTCGATAGTTGTATTGATTTACTTCTATCAGTAAACTTTGCCATGTGAAGCATTTTGGAACGAAGGACCTTCGTCAGGCGAACCTACCTTACATGCCGGCGGACTCGTCACAGCCACCACCACTTCCCCCATCGCCAATGAAGAGCCTACATGCACAACCCTCAAGCGGCGCAAGCTTAGCAAACCCTTCCGACTCTCCAATCGTTCAAGTAGATGGATCCCCCACATCCCAAACACTGTCCCTTGAGCAAGAGCAAGCGGCAGAAGAAGACGAGGAACGAGATACTGTTCCACCCGTTTTACCGTCGCGTTCTACCGCCAATCTGTCTAGAACACCGGCCATCGCTAGCAGCACCGTCAGTGCGACGGCTCAGGCGCCCATACGTACTATGACCACAGGTGGCTTCCCCACTCCGCATCGTTTCAAGCATCGTTTCTCCTCGAGCTTAGACTCCTCCGCCAACAATCGTTTCAATGCAGCTACCATGGGCCGCTCACATACCGCAACGGGGGTTCCAATGAGCGACGATGCTAGTCAGAGCGTGCGCCCGTTGGTGCAGACTGCTACAGGTGGAGTCGCGTATCCGTTAGTCCCAACGGCTACTGGAACGAGATACGGCATAGCTCTCGGGGGGAGTGTAGGTGTCAATACGACCGGGTCGCCGAATAAGAGGTGGAGCATGGGAACCAATCCAACTTGTCCGAAATGTAGTAAAATGGTATATTTCGCCGAGCAGGTGCGCTCATATATCGACTTGTGGCTCATTTTTCGCGGCATATCCCAATATAACCTGTCTTTGCTCCGTGTTTAGGTTAAAGCGATAGGCAAGACATATCATAAAGGCTGTCTACGATGCACGCAATGCAACACGTCTTTGGATTCGACTCGTCTCACAGAGAACGACGGAGAACCATTTTGTAGGCAGTGTTATGGCAAGGTGAGTTTTACTTTGTCCTGTTTATTTCATCGCTGGAATTCGGGCGCCTTTCCGAGTCTTTGCTCAAGGCTGCTCCTTGATCGTGACTGATGTTATCTTGCTAGATACATGGCCCACGAGGAGGCGGATATGCCCTCCTCGGCAAAGCAGGCGGTTGACTCAATTTATGGACGATTCACACTATTCATCGTTCCTTGCAGTGAATTAAATGATTCGCCTCTCGTTTGTCCATGGACCCTCATTTACTCAGCACTATACCTACACCTTTGCTATCGAGCCAGCCCCATTATTATAGTACTTCTCCCTGTTGTATTTATGCGGACTCTATCATACTGCGTTGTAACTTAAGATGCATAATGCGACTATGCTCTTCATTCGCATCGTTTGAGAACGATCTTGAAGTTGAACGTTGAACGTTGAACAATGAATTGATGAAGGTTGAAGCTTTCAAGATTGGCGCGCCGCGTGCACCGATCACATGATGTGAGTGTGATATACCGCAACGAGTATGCTAAAGCCACTGAGACGCAGTGTGGGTTGGGTGCTGGTTTGGCTTCGGTTGGTTGGAAGGGGCCGATTTCGCCACCGACGCGTATGCGACGAGGCGGGGGCTTGCTGCCGCGAGTTGGGAGCGCTGTGAGCTGAGGTGAGCAGAGTGGGCTGGATCCAAGGCGCCTTTCCACATTCGAAATCCTCGAGGAGAGGTTAGCCTCCAAGCTGTGAAAGAGCTGTTTGAATTCTGATTTAAATGTATCAAAACCTTTATCCTGAGTCGGCGCGGGCACACTGGACCGAAACCATGCTGTCGATTTCGTGTAGTGTGTTCTTGAGTGCTTTAAAACCTCAGCAACTGCGTCACCGTCATCAGTCCAGCTGAGTGTGCTCCTGGCACCGTCTACCATATCCCCAAGCAGCTCTACGCAGGTTCTGCGCCATTCCGCGTACGGCATATCTCGAGTCCCCCCGCCGCGACGAATTGCCGTAAATGTGGCGCGATGAGGACTAGAGGGCGGTATGACATTGTTGGATTCAGTCCTGGCACGCTTTCGCGTTGGGGTCGTGTCGGCGCGGTCGGACATGGGGCATCGAGGTTTGGCACTAACTTTGGTGGGAGTAAGAAGAGGCCGCCTGCTCACATGATTGACCAGCAACACTCTTCTGAGTCCTCATAACGTTACACTCTTACCATGACCCTCAGTACTCCAAGCAAGCATAAACTCGCCAGAAACGATAAGGCTGGCAATCAACTCACAAGGTATGCTCCCACTTTTGCAAATCCACCTGTTCTCATAGTTGCGCGCGCCACAGGCTGAAAGACCTCGCCACCACCTTGCTTGAGGAAACAAGTGTTGCCCAAGTGTGCGACTTCGACGATTTCTTACGCGCCTTGTCTTCCGCTGTCTGCGCGACGAGTTTTCCCTTGAAACTCTTCAAGACGAGATCGAGAAACTAGAACGCAGCGACCTCGACGAAGGCCAAACGTCTGACCGTCTTCACCTCCTGCAGAAGGAAAGGCATGACGCGCTGCAAGATTACCTTGAGCAGTGCCTCACGGCAGTATTGCCTCTGGCAAATGATGAGAGTATAAGAAAGTTACTCTCCGAATAGTGAGTTGGTTGTGCTCGTAACTATAGCAAAATCTGACTTCATTGGTCTAGCCTAACGTCTTTCTCTGGCGTAGGAACAGATGGATATGCTCCGTACGTCAGCTTATGCAACAAGGCCCTGTCGTTGCTCAAAAAAGTACATCTCCCACTTCGTTCGCCGACAGCCACAGACCTGCAATACCGTCGCCTCGATCCTAGCGCCTTCAAGTCCCACACGGAGACCGACAATGCTCACAGAAAGCCTGATGTAGGAAAGGCCGGCGAATATGTAGTGAAAGCGCTGGGCTCTGCCCTGGACAAAGCCCCCGACAAGGGTGCCGAACCCAAATTCGACTCATTCTTCGGCTTGGAAGAGTTCAAGGCCATCGGAAGTCCCAGCGAGCAGGCTTGCGTCGCTATCAAAGAAGCATTCGCTACGACATCTAGGCGTGTGCACGTTAGACAGCAGGACAACGAGATAGACGAGGTGCAACCGTCTCCGGTCAGTGGTTCTTCTCCCAGCGTGAGTGCAGTGCCCCCCTCTACGCCACCGGCCACCGGCTCTCGATCTTCGAAGCGCAAACTCGAAGCAACGAATAACCTGACTAGCGGCAAGAAGTTGTGTCTCGGCTTCGACAAAGAGGGGACGGAGTTGCGCAAAGAAAGTTCGAACTCGAAGAATTTCGACGGCCGAGTGCAGTGTGCTGCCTACGCGCTAGAGATGTTATCTCAGAACCCGGGTATCCAGCACACAATCAATCTGCTTCACATCGGTGAGTTACAGCACGTTCACGTCTTCTTGCGAGTTTCCCATAGTCTTGTAGACGATTGTCTCTTCATCTGGTACTTTGACCGCGAAGGCATTGTGCGGTCCAATGGCATTAGCTTCATCGCCGACTTCCCCCGTGCGCTCGTTCTCATTGCTCTGTTCCAACGATTTACGCCTGAGGACTGGGGTCGAAACGAGACCTTCAATTGCCCTCCGAACACGGCGTCGTTCAACGTGTCGCTCGATGATCCACTTCTCAGAGACACATACAACCCCCGTAACTTCCAGGGGCTCGAAATCAAGTGTTCAGACGAGGACTATTTGTCGCCACGGCCTCGATGTTTGGGTGGACGTGCCACCAGAGTGCTTCCGTGCGAACCGAAGTTGAAAGATGGCGCTCGCCTGATGGAGTCCCTCATAGTCAAGATCTCGCATCCAGAAGCGCGTCGCACCCACGAAGGCAAAACCATGAGAGGCATACGAAATATCGCGAACAAGTACGACGCATCGATGACCGATCATCTGCCCGAACTGCTCTACTACGCCGACGTCCATGGCACGGATACTGGGCGCATTCGAAGCTTGATTAGGCAACCCGGCAACGGTTATCGGATTATGCGAATCTTGGCTATGAAGAGGTTGGAGAAGATCAGCTCATTGGATGCTCCCTCTTTCATTCGCGCTTGGCTCGACGCCGTAACGTGTATGTCGACCTCATCGAATCAAGAATACTGACTAACGGTTTCCGTTTTACAGGCCACGCGTTCCTTTGGAAGCACGGTGTCGAACATGGGGATCCGAGTCTCTATAACATCATGTGTCACCCCGAAACCCACCGCGGGGTGTTGACGGACTTTGATCTGTCGATTTTACAGTGGGAGGACCGTGTCCCTGGCTGCGATCGCATGGGTACTGTTCCATTCATGGCCTTCGAACTCCTGAAAGAGGGTTACTGGAGTGGAGATATCATCCGTTATTATCATCACGAACTGGAAGCGTTTATCTGGTGTCTTCCATTCATGTGCCTCGGTGGTTTTGTAGCGGACTCGAAGTGTCACAGGGTCATCGCAGATTGGGTGAAGGCAAGCCCTGAAGAGTGTCGAGGCATGAAAACCAACTTTTCAGTGGACGCGCTTCATTATTCCAGCTACGTCCCTCCCAGCTTTGCAGCATGCTACCAGCTTGCTATACAGCTCTGCTATACCGCTAACGATGCATACACCAAGTTTTCCCGTATCGGCGAAGACGACGAAGATAGCGACGATGACAATGAAGAACACGAACCTTCTCCCGCTACCCGGTCTCTTGGACTGTGGACAGAGTTTTTAGGGACCCTCAAGAAGAAGAAGTGGCAGAAACCGAAATCAACTTCCGCACAGATGTTGGACGCTGCCGACATTGCATCGCTCATTAAACGGCTTGAGAGCCATCAACCCTACTTTGATGGCCTAGATGCCGACAGGAGATCCGAGCTCCAGGAATTGTTCATTGCCGACTCTGAGCCCCCAGCACTCCGACTCCAGGCCCCAAAACTGAAAGACCGCATGAAGGGCCGTCAAGACCCTTCGACCGAGCTCGACTCCTACCCTCTCTTCTTCGGTTGATTGATCACCGCTTTGCAGGCAAGGCTATGTATGGCAAGGTGTGTCTTACTTTCAAGCAGCCTTCATTTTCATTGCTTTTTCCGACTCTCTAATCAAGGTTGCTCCCATATTGTTACTGATCTTATTCTGGCTTTGCTAGATATTTGGCCCACGAGGAGGCGGATGACTGGTGGACATTTCAGACGCTTTATTGTAGCCTTCTAATCACCTCATTGTAATTTTGGACACTCCTTTCTTCTCATATTGAAACCGGAATTAAAATCCTTTTTTCTTGATTTGCATGGGCTACTATAGACTTCGTGTGACAACGAGCGGTGAAAGGCACGGCACGAGTTGAGAGGCGAGTTACGTCTGGCCAGGTGCGTCGTAACCGTGTATTCGTACACCATGGTCGCGCATTTTCGACTCTTCATTCAAGGGTGCTCCTATATCATTACTGATGTTTTTATTGCTTTGCTAGATACATGGACCACGAGATGGCTACACACTCCTCGGCAAAGCAGGGGGTTGATATGGACATTTTAGCGGCCTTACCGTTCACTCTCCTTCTAATATCATTGTTTTACTCTGGACTCTCGTTTCCCCATCGCCTGAATGTATACTCACCTTGCTCTTGTTGCCGAGCCACATACTTTAGTACTTTCTGTTGTATTTGTGCGGACTCTATCTTAACTGGAGTGTGCAATCTAGAATGCGTAATGTGACTTGCTTCGTTAACATACTACCTTTCGTCACATCCATTTGTCCAGGTGACGTGTTGTAGGCGCATCCAGGAGGCCCCTTAGGGGGTACTAGGGGCGCATGCACGTGTGTTCCCAGCTATGGGCTCGGGCTGCGTATACACATGGCTACTCGGACTTCTCGGATTATGGACTAAGTACATATTTGAGCATTCGAGCACACTGTACTTATTATGACCGGACTCATTGCTGTTTTGTGAACGTTGTCACACTCAGTGGGTTTTCACTGAAATGTTTTGGATGTAGTCGGATCAGTCTAGATAGATTGGACAGTCACCCAAGTTGCTGCAGGCTGAGGTGTTATTGAAAGAACATTCACTGGGATTATACAAGGTAGTAGAAAGGGGAATAGGGGATGGATAGGGATAGGGATAGAAAAAGAGTGTAGGCTAGAAGTCAATAATGGCTTCACGAGGATGAGGAACAAGGATAGAATACTATACAGTACTAAAGATGAGTTGAAATGAAGTATGACAATAAGACTATGAAGAGGAAATATTCTTTCCCTAGGATATGTTGTATGACTCCTGTAAGGGCAACCTCAAGATGGCCGCACAGCGCAAGCCTAGCAGAGGGAGAATCCAAAGAGATGAATAAGACTAACTACAATACATGAGAGAGCTGCTCACCTAGCAGAGGGAGAATCCAAAGAGAACAGGATAAGGATTCTCCATGCTATGAAGCGAAGTATATACTGTAGTAGCATGGGAGGAATGAAGGGTAACTGTACAGTACACCAGCCACAGGTCCGAATGGATATCACAAGGTACAAGGAAACATGTGATAATGAAGTGGAAGGGGAATGTATAGGAGTCATGCCAGCGACCTGGGGAAGTAAGGGTAAAGAGTAATGAAGTGGGGAAGGAGGACAGAGGTAACCCGGACGAGCCCCAAAGTGTATAGACAAGTCTGAGCGAGTCTGAGCGAGTCTGAGCTGTCTGAGCGAGTCTGAGCTGTCTGAGCGAGTCCGAAGTGTCCGAAGTGCGGGAAGACTTCAGAGTCACCGGTGTCACACCCTTTTTGTAAGTAGGTGTCTGGGGTCACTGGTTCCTTGATAGAAGATCGAGTGTTGGCCTGGTTGTTCTAGGAGTGTTTCTTTGTATTTGTTTCACCGATAGGGGTCATCGCAGGAGAAGGTATGTATTTGTTTATATTTGGTGGGTAGAGATGACGTATACGCAGATAACGGCGAGGTATAGTCTATGCTTTGTATTTTGGGGTGAAGGTTGTTAACTAAAGAGGTTAGCAATCACAAACAGAGATTCTAGTATGTAAAAGGGGCAAGTGTGCAAGAGAAATACAAGATTTTCAAGCAACACAGATGTTCTATATGGAATATTGGTTCCAAAAGGAAGAGAGAGAAAGAGAGGGGTTTTATAAGTTTTATGAAGAAACAGGGAGAAATGTAAGTATTTATTTTATTTGGTTGGAAAAGGGGTTTCGGATTTTTTAGGGGTTTCTTGTCAAAGTTGTGAAAGTATAAAGAAATAGGTAGGTATTTGAAAAACAGGGAAACAAGGTAATACGGCTTTTGAGTTTTTTAAATTGATGACTTGACTTTTACTGGTGTTAAGAACCTCTAGGCAGTACTAGATCAGACCTACTCTTTAGATCTTCTAGGTACAGCTAGATCAGTTCCCAAATCCTTGCAGATCTTAGGTGAACCTTTCTTAGGGGGTAAAAACTTCCCTTATTCTATATAATACAAGGCTTTATATACTAGTCTTGCATGGCTATGTAATGTAAGGACTGAGTCATAAATGGTGAGGAGGAATGCAGAGTTGCATTCTGAAACAAAATAAAAGAAGGGGAAGAATTTAGTTTGCATTCTAAAATTTTAAGTTATGAATGTAAAAGGACAAGTTTGGAAAATTGGGCTCCAATAGAATGGGAGTAGTAAGCTGGAACAAAGGAAATCATATGGATACAAGCCATGCTATTGTGTCTTGGTGACTCAGCAGGAAGATTTTAGAATGGAGGGGAAAATTTAGAATGGAAGGGAAAAATTTAGAAGTGAGGAAGTTTTCAGGAATGGAGAAGGAAACTTGGTGCTTTTGTAAGAAGCCTCAAGGGAAAGGGTAGCAGCAATTATGTAATTTTTTGTGAGAGATGCTGAAATGTTTGGGGAACGGTAGAGTTTTTGAGAAGGAAGAGTTTTAGGAGAAATAGGGGTATAGGGGAAATAGGAGCTCGGGGAAATGGAGAGAGAATTGCTTGAGGGAGTACAATGCTGAATATACACATTTACCATGTCTACAGACATGGTTCATGACACCGGACATGACTTGGATGCAAAGGGAGTGGGCAGAAAGGAAGTGGAAAGGAAAGGGAACGAAAGGGATGTATGTAAGAGTCCGTGGGACGAAGGAAAAGAGAAAGGAACAAGGAAGGGAGAGGGACAGGGGAATAGCAGAAAATAGGAGTGTCCCCTTACAATTACTTGGATTCTCCCTCTGCTAGGTGAGCAGCTCTCTCATGTATTGTAGTTAGACTTATTCATATCTTTGGATTCTCCCTCTGCTAGGCCTGCGCTGTCGGCCATCTTGAGGTTGCCCTTACATGGATGGAAAAGAAGTGGAAAGGAAAGGGAGCAAAGGGGAACAAAAGGGAACAAAAGGGATGTAAGTAAGAGTCTGTGGGATGAAGGAAGGGAGAAAGGAATGAGGAGGAAGGGAGAGGGACAGGGGAATAGGAGAAAATAGAGGTGTCCCCTTACATCAAGCCTTTGCGCACTTGCCCCTCTTTGCTCTCTCTTTTCTTGTCCACTTTGCATGGTTTTGTTTGATCAATGTATACAGTGGCAACTAAGTTAAAGAAGCGCCCACTGACATGTTGAAATGAGATGCATTGATACCTTACAAAAATCTGTGTTGCTTATCTATGGTATAAAACAGTCTCGTATCTGCCGCGCCAGAGGCATTGGCCTGCTAGTTTATGGGGCAGAATTATTTTTGTGAATTCCGCCAACAGAGTGGCAGAACGGCAGATCTCATGTGTGGCAGAATGGCATATTACCATTTTAGGAATACTGTGTACTACGTAGCAACTACACCTTCCAAGGACATTAAACTCGTGGTATCCCACCCTTGCTGTGCAGCATCGATGTTCTCATCCACCAGCCTGATTTCTCTATCAAATGTGGCTGGTGTGAATCCCTGGTTAACCTTCTCGAGCTCCTCAAAGCTGTATACACTGCTGTGTACGAACATCGCTGGGCACGTTTGGACATGCTCGCAGGCTTGTTGAATGGTTGAGTAACCTATTGTCACGTCCTTCTATTTTCACGAGTGGAAAACAATGCTTGCATGTCCAGTAGTATCTTCCGGACTTGTTTGCGAGCTTCCCAACGTTGATGAAAACAATGATTGGTAGCGGTATGCGGCCTCTTGATCCTGTTTCGGTCATTTCACGGGCCTCCGAGGGGATAGACGTTGTTTGGCACATTGACTTATGGTCTATTTCATACAAAAAACAGGTAATTATCTAATTTTTTCTCACTATTTCTGCCAGATCTGCCACCAGTGTTGTGCCGGTCTGCAACTAGTCGGTGAAGTCGATGAAGTCACACGACTTGCAGACCACGGGCTACAGGTCGAACCGACCTTTCTCACACCCCGAACAGTCGTTACTGCCTGATACGGACAATATTCTCATGGCCGCAAAAGTACTAAATAGGAGGATAGGGGTACATCAAGGTGGACTAATATAACTACATATGCTCATGTGCTACATCAATTGGCGAGAATATCACCAACAGCATCATCAATATCAATATCTACATCACCGTCTGCATCCAGGTCAACAAGCTCATAAAGCTCCAACTCCTCATCAAGTGTGCGTGAAGCACTTCGTCGGTGAATCTCCGTCCAATGAGTAGAACAGTAATCAAATAAGCCGGAGAGCTTGATGGATATCTTTGAAGGAAATTCAAGAGTTTCATCGTCATCATTGTCATCCAACATCAACATGAAGGATGTGACAATTTCGGTAAACTCATCAGCCACTCCATCAATGGCAGGGGGGTGCAATTGTGCAGGTATCGGTGTTGGTCCTTGGGGTAATGGTGGCAGCGGTGGACCTGTATCTTGTGTTTTGCGTTCACCAAAGAAACATTTCAGATGCTCCTTGGTGCCACCCCGTAAGTGTTTGTCTCGGATATGCATCTTGAGCTCTGCGAGTGCGGTGAGGGAATTGTTACCAAGGCAGTTGCGAAGCTTGGTCAGAGTATTGCCAAAGACACTGAACAGACGTTCACAGGATGCTGAATTCGTGCAGATTGATAGAAGATGCAAAGCGAGTTTGCTAAGTGGTGGATGGTCACTGCCAAGGGGTTTAATACCATTATAGACCTTCCGTGGGTCAAGTGGGTGGTTCTAATTCAAAGGGTAAGGTTGAAGCAAAGAGAGGCAAAAGTATAATCTCACGTTGCGCTGAGCTTCATTAGAAACAACCTCAGCGTAACTCTGTAACTCCTTGTATGTGCCTTGGTTGTTGAAGCAGTCCTGTAGGTTATCAAAGAGCTGAGGAGGAGAAGTGGCGACCTGGAAGACATGGCAGTATACACATGTGAGAAGTGAGAGTACTCCTGCAAGTGAGAGCCATTGAACAGTTTGCCGAAATGGTATGACTTTGATGAACGGGTTGAGAATAGTTGCGGCTATGAATATGTCTTGATCCGACTTGGCCCATTGCTTTTCCAAGCTATCGAGAATTGCGGTACAGGCAGTATTATTGGTGTCAGCTTCGGTTTCATTCTCTGGTGATATGAGATACGTATAGTGGACAAAGAGATCCCCGAACGTTAGGAGAGTTTGATCAAGGCGGCATGATGCAGCTTGTGCTATGTTGGCGGCACGGGCAAGAGGTTCTAAATGAGTCTTCATCCTGGTAAATAATCAGAGTAGGTCTTGGTAACAAGATAGAAACCAAGCACACATACCGAGCAAGAGACTGCCAGAAGCCTGGTGTATCAATGATGGCTAACATTTCCCTTGCCTTTGTCCGTGATGCACGGTCCCCCGTGATGAGACGTTTTTCATTTGAGCTCAGCATGGCATTGTCAGAAGTCATTGCCTGCAGTGCTGGGCCAAGCTCAAGAAGATGGCGGTATGCTAGATAATGAGCGGTCCACCTAGTCAACACGGCACAGATGACAGACAGCGCAGTTTGGCCTGCCCGGGACTGTACATCATGAAGAATCGCCAAGATATAAGTCTTGCTACAGAGCCACGCAATGAGTTCGGTGGCCATCTTTGTGAATACAGTGAATTCAGTCTTGACTTTGAAATAGTCACCGACAACGAGGTTAAGCTTCAAGTGAATTAGATCTCGCAGGATGTAATGAGAAATTGAAAGGCCTACTTGATGGGCATAACAATCAGGACAAATAAGATGAGGGTGGGACTCTGTGAGCATCTTGCTGGCTTTGTGGGCTTCACCTGATGCATCAGTAGTGAATCCCACAACTACTACCTTCCAATTGACATCAAGTATTCTGAGAACCTCTATCATATGGTCATAAAGAAGCTGAGCCATCTTGCGCTCATTAGAAGCATCGTGGACGCGGACCGTGTACACCTTATTTCATGGTTAGTTATTTAGAGAAATAAGAGAAATAGAAATAAACTACATACCTTGTTGCTAATGGTGACCATGAATGCAATGTAGTGGTGATTGTTGAGGCCACTCCATCCATCACATTGTGCAGTACCGTGTTTACCAGACACTTGAGCAAGGATCTCCATTCACATCACTGTTACGGCATGAGGAAGAAGGCGACGAGTCAAAACTTTGCGACTTGGAATGATGGCATAAGGGATAAACTCATGGCAGAGGCCCATGAACTTGGGGTTCTCCACCCATGAGAGTGGTAGACCAGCTGAAGCGGTGAGTCTAATGAGCAGACGCTCAAAGGCTATTTGCCGCAAGTCATTCCACTCGACTACTGGCATTGGTGATTGCTCTGAGAGTGACCAATGACTGCGCTTTCGAGAGATGGATGAAATCGAGTCTGACGGGGTTACGCTTGAGACAGCTGAGCCCATTGCCGATGTGGGGCATATGACTGAGATGTTGTCCGGCCTTAGATGGGAACGACCAGCTGCATCACTGAATTGGATGGGAAGCGGGAGCAGAGCATTACCCAGCGCCCAAGTGCCGACCTGGGGAAAAGTAATGCCTTGGCTGGTGTACCCGCTACTGCTCTACTAGATAATTAGTACCCTCGAAACAACTACAGATTAATAAACTCACCCCTGGTACCGGAACTCGTGGTTGTTGCCTGCGAGCACCCTTATTAGCAGCCAGGGCGTCACGTTGCTTCTGCTCCTCCTGTGCACTCAAGCAGACATCCACTGGCTGAAACTCACAGTTGCGTAGATGGTTGAGTAATACGTCGCTGCGGCTGGAAAGCCATCCCCTGTTGTGGTCCCCTTGAGGTGTACTAAACACTGGATCGGGGCAGAGTTAGCGGCATGAATAATCCAATTTGAATATAAACTAACGAAGCTCGACTATTGCGGCCGTCGTACGTGACTCGATGAGTGTCGGATTATTGAGATCGGCGGCTTGCTCGGCGGCAATGCACCGTTCCAAATAAACCTTACAGAAGACCTTGGCTTTGTCCTTCGTTGCACCGGTGCCAGCATATGCGTCAGGATCATGATGAATGAGGCGAGGGTGGTCAAGGAAGTAGGCTCGCCACCAGTTACGATTATTGGAAGCCGGAGTAGACATGTTGCCAGTTTGTTGCCAGTCGGTTGGTTTCTTTGGAAGTGGTATTTATATTGCCTTGCTGCTCATGGGAACGAAGTGGGATAACAACGTTAGTGCCGACATTGGTGCGATATGGATGTGGTAATGGTAGTTTTTGCGAGACGGTAGGACAGAGATTGCGGCAATCCGATCATCGATTAGGCGTCAGATAATCACACATGATCAACTCACGGTTCGTCATGGTCTGGTCGCTTGAAGGTCGGCCGGCTTGTCAGCGACTAGCCAGAAAGTCGCCGACCCGACTTTCGCCCTTGGCCGCCGACTGTCCAACACTGTCTGCCACCCCCTGTTCGTCACCCCCAGTATTTGCCTGGCATTTGGCCAGCGGCAGAAATGGCGTGGCAAATTGGCAGCCATCTGCCAACAACACTATGGCCCGCTAAACCAAGTATGATAGAGCTCGATCTGATGTATCGTGAGTTAGCGTTCTCTCATAAGAAATTGTACCGTCCTCTGTGCTCGTGTGCTAAGTACATTGGCCCGCCTAGTAGCACACAATATAAGTGGTATAAGTTACAGTAAATCTAGCTAAAGATGAAAGCAAATGGTCCACAGTTCGAAAAGTGCGAAGAATATTAGAAGACGAAACTCAGATAACATGTCTCAATAGTATCCACCCTGCCATCATGGAGGTGACCGCCGTCACCACCGAAACATATCCGTGGATAGCAGCGCTGGCGCCGTTGTCGATACTACCGAAACTCGTGCTGCCCATCTTTGAGCGGTCCTTGCCTGACATGCCGTTCGACGTCTCGAGAACGGCGGGATCGACGGTGGCGGTGTTCATGAGCTTCGTGAAGGCGGTGGTCGAGAACGTGATGTCGCTTTCTTCGACTTCTGGGTTGCCGTTGATGAAGACAAGGGCGAAGCCGGGGGCGGGGACGCGGATTTGGCAGGTGTTGGAGGCCTGGTCGCAGGGGACAGTCACGATTTCGAGATCGCCTTTGAGATGGCCATCGACCTCGAAAGCGTTTCCGAATGTCTTGGTGAGGGAGATGTCAGCCCTGGGGGGAGAATTGGAGGCGGGTTACAAACCTGGTTAGCCCATGTGATGTTGACGCCGGTAGAGACAGAGCTAGCTGCAAGGTATCTAGTGGGAGTGCGTAGTCAGGGGAGTGGCCTTTGCATGTGTGTTCCTACTCACTTGACCTTGACCTCAGCAGGGGATGAGTTCGGGGCGCCCGTATTTCCTCCTCCAACGGAGATGGTTGCGGTGTAATCGCTCGCACCAGATGCATCGTCGACGTAGTTGAAGAGGGCCACCTTGGAGAGTACGTCTTGATCGTAGATGGCGTACGCCGGGGTGAAGATGTTGTCGCCGTTGGCGTTGAGATCGATGATCCTCGACTGGTTGGACTTGCCGAAGGACTCTGTCATGACGAGGACGGAGTAGAAGATGGCGCCGACCGTCCATTGATGGAAAGCGGTCTGATTAGTAGGAGGAGCTGATGAAAATCAGTCAGCGGGTGATGAACACGATGAACATTCACGCACCAGTGAAAGGCTGTTCGGGACGACTTAAGTATTAACTACGGAAGGAAATATACGGTTTCAGACTCACGTTGTAGTAAACGTTCTGACCACCAACGTGGAAGAGGGCACCGGAGAAATTGGCATACGCCATTTGGTAACTGGAATAGTTCGCTATCAGAATCCTTCGATATAAGCTGTGAGGCAACTCACCCGTAGTCCAAGGCCCAAAGAGTGGCGCCAAATGTATCCGAAATACCGGGGAAGCCACCACACGAAGCCGTGTTGGTCTCGAACATCATGAATGGTTTCCCTGCCGCGAGCGCGATGGCACTGGAATTGAGGTACGGGCGGACAAGATCGCGTCCGGCGTTGTGGTTAAGATAGGCGGCAAATTCGTCTTGGGGGATCTTGAGACTCCCCGATCCACCGAACGCAGCGAAACAATTGTTGTTGGGGTAGCTATGGGCGTTGCGAAGAGTGAGATGCCAAGGACAGAAACTCGCCGAGGGAAAGTGCGTACTGTTCGACGGCAATGATGCTTAAGACGTCCTTGAAAGTTTCGATGTATCCGGCGTCCCAAACCATTTCGGGAGTCCAGTCGGCGGAGGCGACGCTGGGGCCGATGAGGTTGTTCTTGATAGGGATGTTCGGATGGTTGTTGATGAATGATACCAGATCACCGAATTCGCGCATGTAGTCGGCCACATGCCAAGTTTCTGGTCGTTTCTGATGGCTGCAAACGAAGAGAGAAGGACATGTTAGATCGGGGCCGTCACAAGGCAAGTAATGATGATGAAGAACACACCGAGCGTATAGATCAGGTTCGTTTCCCGCTTGGAGGGCAAGGAGGTTATCTCCCAAGATTGCCTGGCCGTACTCGGATATTCTCAAATCGAAGTTGGTGTCGTTGAACGGAATGCCTGCACATCTCATTAGAAAGCGAAAACGGGCTTTGCATGCGAATAACGTACCGAGATACCACTTGACATTAACCAAGGACGAGATGTTAGACATGATATAGAACAAATCCATGGTGTATAAGACAGCGGGTGTTTGTGTCTGGAACTACTGTTAAAGGTTTTCGCAAACGCAATCGGCCAACGTACTGGATTCAGGGCATTGCCTTTTTCCTTAGCAATGGCTGCGCCATTGTCCAACTGGTCCGTAAATCGAGCTAACTCCTGTGTATTACCACCACAACGGATGCGAACGCTACCGGCACGGTGCTGAAGATTTCCCAGAAGATTGAGCAATGGAACAGCGATATGTGATCTGTGGGAATCATCGCATCAGGCACCTTTGCGATGAACGTGGTTGGACGTACGAATTTTTGCCAACTGGTTAGTCAAATAGAATAAGAATGAGTAGGAAGAAGGGCTTGCAGATAGGCTCGATTCCTAGCACTCACGGACTTGATTGACAACAGACATTTCAATGGAGAATCCTAAGAACGCTCCGGATTGGGTAATTGACAAGCCCGGAACGCTTGCTGCTTGAGGCTGAAGCTCTAATCCAAAGGCAGTTGTTGGTGGTTGAGGCGGTCCTGGGGGAATGAGAACTGTCTTGTCGTAGGCAGGTAGGGTAGGCACCGGTCCAGATGCGAGGGAGGAAGTCATGGTCATGCCAAGAGGCGTCTGCCCGTAAACGGTGACAGCAAAAACTGCATGGTTAAGAGTGAAGAGTAACGACAGAAAGAGAGATTTGAGAGAAAGAATCGGTGGGGAGAGGGAAGCCATTATTGAGGGAAGGAAACTGCGCCCTAGTTTTTCTTTTGTAGCATGCCAAGAGAGGCTCGGCATGGTCCTGAAGCTCCGCACTCAGTGCCAAGGCTGGTCGATGAGCAAGTATCAGCCCTTGATGCATAGTTGTAGGAATGACAATGTTCCCAGTATCAGAGGCGTTTATATTGTCAGTAAATTGAAGGAGACCACGAAGGTAGTCAAAGGTTGGTACTTGGTTCGCGCTGATCAATTTCTTGAAGCGATGGCGATCACGTGTACAGATGTCCCCTGAAGCGGTCTCCTTCTCACGTGATTGATCGAGCCTTGCACCAATTCCTTGAAAGTGACTCTGCGTACAACTTGGCTGGCCATTGAAAGGTGCGAGATCGTCAAGATTTGTTGAGCGATGAATACCACTGACAGCATCGGTAAAGAAAACACCGGGGCCTCAATGCCCCCTCATCCCCAGGACACTGATTCCAGCAGACCAGCCCGACCGAGATCCAACACAAATTCATTCCCGTTCAGTGCATGGCGTCGGAACAGGTCAGATCAGCTGCAGACAGCACCTCTCCCCCCATCGCCGTCGCCTGCCATACAAGTACTCATTGATGACCTCACCCCGCCCGCTGTTCCGAGCTTGCAGTATGCGCGTTCACTCGCCAGCGCCCTGGCTGCACATTCACCTCTTCCACGACCATCTATTCTGAGTCCCATACTTGCATCTTTGTGTGCCGTTGACTCTCCTCCCTCACTCCAAGTGGCAGGGTATGATATCCTCTCCGCTTACTGGGAAAACTCGGAGGCTACAGCGCTTTCTACGTCGGATCGGCTTGTATTTTTCTCCTTGTTCTTAGGCCCAACGTCAACCTGGACCATAGACTCGTGGGAACCAAGATTCAAGGCCCTCCGTGCATTTACAAGGTTTGGCACCGAAATCGTTGGAATCGAGCTCCCATTTCTCAATGTTCTCAAAGGGTGGATCAACAGTGCGTTTGAAGCGCTGGGGAGCGACTCCATAGAGCGTGCTGAACGTGCAGAGAGGGAACGTTGCATCGATATTCTAGCTTCCTTTTTGACTTCCGTAACTGGAAGCCAAGATGTCGTTGCAAGGATACCGGAGGAAGAGCTAGCGGGCGTGTTGCAATTCTACGCGAGTCTCGTAGATTATGGCATGCGGTTCCCCTCTCATCACCCCCAATCTCCTACGTCTTCCCCCGTCATTGAAACTATCCCAAGCCCACGGGTACATCGCCGTCATCAATCGTCGGTCTCGGTTTCTTCCTTAGCTTCGCCCAACATTGCTAGTCATAGCCCATCATTCATAACAAAGCACCCGGCCGATATTGCAGTCAATCTATATCTCAATCATCTCTCTTCCCAACTCAAAATCATATCTCCGTCCCACCTCAACGACATACTTCCACTTCTCTTTCGAGCTGCCGCATTCTACGCTACGCCATTGCCCAGAATAACAGTCATGTCAACCTCATCCTCAACTTCAAAGCCTGCTACGAACGAAGAGCGCATCACCGAGTGTCTTAGCGCGCTCTACTCTGGGCCATACTCTTCGTCATGTTTCCTGGCCTTAAAACGGTCCTTGTCACCTGTGATGGCCAAATCTGACGATGCCAATTCTTCCATCCAACGCTCCCTGGGTGCCGTTCGTACGCTACGCGTCCAAATTCGAAAAAGTCTATCAACCAGGCTTGCTCGTGCGTACATATCCCGAGACGTAGCCACTAGCTACACCGTATCTGGTGCCCCTGCTCAAATGGAAGTGGTGGAGAGGGAGCTCATCGAACGCGCATGGGCAAAGGATGATTTGGGAGGATGGGATGCGGGGCGGTTGGGGACCGTGTTAGCTCAGGGAGTGGAGGCCTGGATCAAATTCGAGTTGCCTCCAGGATTGAATGGTGAAGAACCCAGCGAGGAGGCGATGGATGGATTTCGCTCCGGTCGCGAGAAGATATTAGACGAGGCTGCGGGAACATTGAAAGACGTGTTCCAGGAGTTAGACGCGAGGGACGAGGAAGACGCCGCTTTGGACGAGGAGGAGGCCTCTGCTGTCGGCGCGACGCTGTCCAAGCTAGCGTCATATGTGACTCTTCTTAGGTGCGCTGCCATGCTGGCCTATCATCTCAAATTGATAATTTTTGATAATTTTGTGCTGAATAAGAAATCCAAATGGCTCGATGTTCGTTCTACCGCTGTCACAGCCAAGTGATGCCCCAAGCCCATTTATCCGCACGTTGGCTTCGCTTTTGGCCCGCGACCATGCCACAACGCTCTGCCCGCCTCTGTCCGCTATTTTGCTCTCCGTAGCCTCGAACCTCACGGACGAAGACACCGCCAAGCTCCCCGTTCTTATGACCCAAGAGCACGATCTATCTCCAACATCACCCGACTGGTTAAGCAACTGGGATAGCCTTCTAGGAGAGTCCACCCTTCTGATCGGGCGTCCAGCGACGAGGGAGGCCGTGCTAACTGCTCTACAGTTGGTGCATGACCCTGTTAAGGACATGCCGCGCTATAGGCGTCCTCTTGCGGATTTGGTGCTGGCATTTGCTAGGAGGGAGCACGTACGGGAGGAGGACAGCGCTGTTGCGGTCGCGCAGGGGGATACAGACGATGCTGTTTGGCTTATTCTGGGCGATGAGGTTGTTGCTCGCCAAGTCGAGGACCAGGAGGGCGATGGCGCTGCAATCACCGAATATCTGGAGTTCATCGAGCAAGTGGCGCATTCACGTGCGTACGATGAACCGGTAGACGAAGAAGAAGACGATACTGTGTCCGTCGCCGCCTCTGCTGACATCTCGTCGCCTTCGTCCCACCCTAGTACCTCGACAATCGTCTCGCCCCTCTTATCCAGGATACAGTCTGATCAGATACCAGGCAAAGTGGAGAAAGAACCTTCGAATTTGCCCTCGGTGATGTCGCTATTGACCTCGATAACAACAGGGGGCAATACGGCGCTGTCACAGTCTCGTTCGGAGTCGATGCAACCGCAATCGGTCACCATTGGCTCACCCGCTCCCAACAGTGACCAGATAATACAAGCAAAATGCAAGCCCAAATACAAATGCAGCTCCGTGGGCGCCACCTCTGCCCTGATCTCCATCTTTCATCAACTAGCCCTCACTCCTCTATGTCGCTCCGAGCGCAACCTCCAGATGGCGCTCTCGGTGTTCGATAAATTGTTGGCTATCCTCAAGCACGAGTCGCAAGCATCGGCAAGATCACGGCTGGCTGTCCTGCAGTTCATCATGCGACTGCGCGCTGATAGAGACCATCACCTATATTACGTTGAATCGCAGTACGACCGCGACGGGTTGATTGCGATGTTGGCTGGCCTTGTGGGGCGCACCGAACAACAGCCCGGCGAGGGCTTTTCGCCGACGCCTGGAACGGGTTCAGAGCGGCTGGGAGAAGACTTTGGTGGTGACCCCCGAAAGGCCCGTCCGCGTGTGCCTGCCCCGGAGCGATACGGCAGACGTCTTTCTCGCGGGAGGGGCGCCGTGGGGCTATCGAACAATTCCGCTACGAGTCGAAGTGGGTCGAGGATTCCCCTTCCGAGTGCCATCTCCCCTTCACGCCATCGAACGCATGTGCGATACCCTATATGGGCACTCCCCGAAGAGCTCCCTTTCGATGTCTGTGAGATGGACTCCCCCAGCGAGACGTTGATATCGTATGATCCCGAAGGACCGGATAAGCGGTCCGTCCTCCCCGTTTCCTCGTATCTACGACTCGTGGAGGAGATTCTTGAGAAAGAAACGGACTGGGAGATCTTGTCCTATCTCTTATGCCACCTCCCCGCTCAACTGTCCAACAAGCATTTATTCTGCGGACCGAAATCGCGAGACGCCATCGCGGGGATACTGAAGACGATCTGCACCGGCATTCTGAACGGCGGGTTGGCCTCTACGGTTGAGGCGTGGCCGTCTGGGCTGAAGACGCGCGACGCCCAGGGACTCGCATACCACACACTCTCCGTTTTAGTGAGTTACAGGCGGTGTTTCGACATGCAGCTCCGGCATCTCCTCGTCGAGGTGTTCCAAGCCGGCCTGAATGGCCACCCGTCGACCATCAAGTGCTGCCTCCACGCTCTCACGCTGTCGGCGTTCGAACTGCAGCCGTCGATGACCAAGTGCCTATCGCGAATCCTCGAGAAGCTGTCCCAGATCATGTCGAACCCCGAGATGGCGGTTCATATCCTCGGGTTCCTCTCCGTCGTCGGCTCGCTGAACGCGCTGCATGCCAATTTCACCGAGGCGGACTTCAAGATGGTGTTCGGCGTGGCGCTGCAGTATCTTCAGCACCACAACCAGAACAAGACCTCGCCGACGATTTCGTGGGCTCTGTCCCAGCACGTCCGCATACTGTCGTTTTATATCGTCTATGTGTGGTTCCTTGCCATCAAGATACCTGACCGGCCGCGCCACGTCAAGTTTATTACGCGGCAGCTTCTGCTTGCGAACGAGGGCAACCAGGAGGTCGACGAGCTTACAGAGGTTTGCTTCGACTGGCTGGCGCGTTATACATACGCGAGTGCCGATCCACGACCATCCAATTCACTACTCAACGACATTGTCATGAACCCAAACAGCACCCTCGCAAAAAATAATGAACGCAGCGAGAAGACTTGGCTGATAGGCAACTCTGTTCTCACTCTCCGCAGCCTCGAGCGCGCGGGGTGGGTAGAGGTCTTGTCCCGGCGCCCCTCGGGGTTCACCAAGATCCTGTGCCGGATAGAGAACGTGCCGCTGACGAACGCGGGCGAGGTTGACCCGGATCTGGTTTCGGTTACGGCGAGCTTGCTTATGGACCGCGATATATCGAGGCCGAGCGGGCCTCCCTGCGGAGAAGACGCGGTTGATGTACGACAGGTAAGCTGGGTGAACCGTCGATGCTCCTTGAGAAACCCTTGGTGATCACGACATAGAGCGATTTGTCGGCTATTCTACCAACAGACGATGAGGAGACGGCCAATGGTGACGCGCCAGCTGAAGACCCGCCGCCTCCACCCGATCCGGTTACTGGCTACGTGTGGAGTGGATCTGCGCCGTCGCAACGGAGAAAAGACGTCGTTGTGGATCCGGCCTTTCTCGTCCTGCAGCTATCTGCATACCCCGACCAGCGCAGTGCGCCTGATGTTCGCAGGCTCGTCTCCGCGCCGTCTCTCCAAAAGTCCCTTCAAGGGCTGGACAGAATTCCGGTGATAGACACGCACAAGGTCGGGATACTATACGTTGCGCCTGGGCAGACCGACGAGGTGGATATTCTCTGCAATACGCACGGCTCGCCGGCGTACACCCGGTTCCTTGAGGGGCTGGGCAGGCTCATCAATCTTCGCGGGCAGGTCGACGTGTATGCGGGCGGCCTGAACCCGGATGAGGATGGCGAATACGCGTATGCGTGGTGGGACGATATCGGGCAGATCCTGTACCACACTGCGACGATGATGCCAACGACCCCGAACGATCCGCTAGCGACCGAGAAGAAACGCCACATTGGCAATGATTACGTTCGGATTGTGTGGAACGACTCTGGGCGGCCGTACGAGTTTGCTACCCTGACGACGCAGTTCCAGTTCGTCAACATCGTCGTCGAGCCGCACTCGGTGGGGGCGATCGCGGCGTTCTCGAACAACGTGCATGAGATTGAGTATTTCAAGGTGACGATGCAGCTCGCCCCGCGCATGGCCGAGTTCGCGCCGATAGGGCAGTTCAAGCTGATCTCGGCTGAGAACCTCCCGTTCTTGGTGAGGCAGGTTAGTCTGTTGGCCGACTGGTTTGCGTCGGTGTTCGAGAAGACGCAGAACGACACTGTGCGCGTGGAGATGAAGACGAACTGGCACGCACGTCTGGATGCGATCCGGCGGCTGCGCAACCAGCTGCCGGAAGAGGAGGGGAATGACTCGGCGAGCAATGGGATTATGGCGCAGGAGCGGTACAGGGACTTCACACATACCTTTTGAAGCAGCACGAAAATCATGTAGCCATACGAGATACTGATTCTGTAGTATATTGTCACAGACTACGTACATTTCTGGATGTCCATAAGGCGAGAAACCTGAACCAATCCAACGATACAAGATGGCAATAGAATGAACAGGCCGTTTCTTTGCGTACGAAAACGCACGGCAAAAATACTACGGAGACAGGTAATAACGAGATAAAGAGGGCGAATAGAAGAAGGAATCACGGCAGCATATATAATCTACGGCACCCTGTGGCGGCTCCTGATTCCATTTCTTGATGTCGTACTGAGAATCATGTAGTTCTTGTTCTCGCTGTATTTCATTCATTTTGTCTCGACCATCACACTCATGTGTATATACCAAAATGACTCACGCATACTGTCGCCGACTCGGAGTGAGAAAATTGAAACACAGAAAACTGAGTTCATATCATTGCAGCCTTTGAACCACGCAAACTACGCTCGACAGAACATTTCAAAGCGACATCGTATATCGTACACCCTTCATGAACTCCTTTATTACTTTCTCCTCCCGAACCGTCTATCGTCATCACCACGTCGAATCTTTAGATCCTCGATGTAACTCTGTCCGGCACTTGCAACTTGTCCAAGACTTGCTGTCTGACTTTGGCATAGACTTGAGAGTTTAGCTCCATGTTTTGAGAGCCTGCGTATCGTGACAGCGTCAGACGACGCAAAAACACAATTAATATTGCTTCCCACCTCTGTTAAACGTAACCCTGTTCTGGCCAAAGTGAAAGAAGAAGACGTCGTTCACCTGTACGGTTGTCTTGTAGTGAAAGTAGGAGATGTTGAACAAAACACCATTCTTGCTTGGCCTACAATATTCGTTGGCTTTTGCAGTCGACTTGATAACGGCATACTTCCTTGCACACTCCAACTTGGAAGTTCGCGACCTCATGCATGCCCGAAAACTGATTGAAGATCATTCTGCCTCTGCGACTGCTTGCAAGACCTCGGACGGATGCAATGAAAAGCGCCAATGCGTTTGGTTCGAGAATCGTCTTCAGAATTGCGAATACAACTTCGTTCACAAAGCCCATCTGCTCCGCATTATTGATGATCTCCGTACTCAACTCAAAGCTCAGCGACACGTTTGGTAGGGTATGTCGCGGCCGACCCCTTTCCTTGTATTGTTCAATCACTGACGTTTGATTCACGTAGCACGATCTCGCGTAGTATACATAGCTCTACCAATCCATGTACCGCTGTGTATGGCCCCAAAATAAATACTACCCCCAGTACCCTCGGCCCCATCATTCCAAGCTGGTCCCATCGTCCCAAGCTGGCCCTATCTTCCCAGAGTGTCCAAGAAGCGAGCTGGTATCGTCCAAGTACCTTCGGATCCAGGGGACCTGCCGGGGCTTCCGGGAGCACTGGAACTCCTGGTACCAGATCCCCCGCTATCTTGCTGATGTAACTCGCGACCCGAAACCGAAAGCCACATCTGAGCAGCCCCGAACCTCTGACATTTCTATGCCCAACCCCTTGAAAGTTGAAACCGCTTAAACGGATCCAAGAGGGGTAAGCCTTGATCAATCAAAGCGAAGCTAACGAAAGTCAGAGGCGGCCCGGGGAAAACCGAGTCGCGATTCCGCAGGTTTCGTCATACGATTCGCAGTTTTTGGCTGCATGCTCAGTAGCCGTTGGAATGCGAAACGAACTCGCTACGGCGCGTCGAGGGTGCTTCACCCTATCGGAGTCGTTGACGCATCAACATGTCGCCACCAAGATCCTCTCCAGATTGAGAGCACGATACGACATCTTCAAGCAGATCAGCGAGGCAAATCGGATTGCTCTGAGCAATCGAAAAGCCACGAGTATAACACTGTATAACACAACACTCGGACGTCGCCACGAAACCATTGAACACATGGTTTGAAGATTGTCGTGAACTTGATAATCTACGCGGACGTCGGCGTGAACTGACCGAGGCGCTCAGCCAAGCCAGGTTCGACGAGAGTAGTAACGTACCGAGCATCGCAAGAAAAGCTACGTTCCTCAGCCCGTCATGATGGTTAACGAGTGCCAAGTGGGCATTCACGACGACGATGACGAACAAGGTGCAACTCATTGGTGCCAAAAGAGAGTGTGGGCGATCTCATAGATGTGTCATATTACACGCCGGCGCGCCTCTGGAGGGTCGTTCGAATGGCTATGGCGACATACGGAATGGGATACCTCCGTCGCCAAAGACAGCTCGACTGGATTTGATACCAGATATACTGGTGCGCTGCACTCGAGAGGAGTTTGGTGGCTTGTCGAAAGAATGCGAGGACAGTTCCAGATCGGATGTGAGTCATCAATTACAGAGCTATAGATTATTCATTGCGAGTCACAGTGTCCCTCAAGTACGTTTAACAAGCAATTCTCAAGTGGCGATTCTCGTTGAAACGGCGAGATATGTAGATGTCACATCAAACTAGCACCATTCATTGTTCAAAAACGACCCGATATCTGTAATCTTGTCAACTGCAGTACTAGAAGTTCAAGCCCGACCTCCTTGACTATGCCGTGGCCTTCTCCACTCCCAAAGCCTGCTGACACTCCCTCAGGCTTTCACTCGAGTCCCTGGAAGGCGATGTTGGGGTTGGTTGCAGTCCCAGTGACAAGGAATGAAGCCTTCTTGCTCGCATCCTTGATGAAAGTGATGACAACGGTATCCATGTTTTCGAACCCCTGGCCAGAGATGATCTCGACTCGAAGCTATACACCCAGTGAGTGACTGTGAAATCAATCTAAAAGGTGAGTACAGACATTGTCACCGTTTCTGAGGCCGGGGATATCACCGAGATCAAATAGGTGAGTCTTGCCAGCATTAACGATACCAAGTTTGTGGCGCTGGTTGTTGTGATCCGTTGCTACAGCGTACACGGTACTATTGAATAGCGCAGCACTAGCATCGATAAAGAAAATATGAGCCTAGTAGCACGGTAAATTTCAGCTTCACAACTTGAAATGTCAATGCAGTTAAGGAACACTTACTGTTCCTTCGGACATGTTGTAAAAAGAGCTGGGTGAGTTGTGCTAGGTTTGCTGATGGTTGGTTAATCCTACTCAAGTTGAAGCGGCACAGTGCACCTTTTATACGTGCGAGGCCTTCCGAATATGGCTGAATGTTAAGCCTCCATGCACCACGGTAGCCTACTGTTGACGTGGCTTCGGTGAACACCTTGACGCTGTGGAGTAAATCATTCAGTTTGACTTTGCAATCTTGTTAGTTGCATGCGCCCATGACAGCTATAGGGTTGAGAGCTTCTACGGCATGAGAAATACATTATTCGGAGAGGTTTCATCACCAGGCAGATACATAGAGTTGCAGGAATGAATGATCTGTTCGGAATCTAAAACTTGACATATACTTCCAAGTCTGTTTCCTCTGATCGGATTGCTGTGCTACATAAATGGACGGTGCACCATGATGTTCGAACTTCGATGGATGCCAAACAGGAAACACCAGCCTTGTTTAAACTCAATTATCACTCCGCGATGTCAGCTGCTTTGCCTGCTGCGTCCAAGTTGTTCAGGTTGTGCACCAGTTGACAAGGTAGAGTATCGGTTCATCTTTTGCGCCGTGAAGTCTTGAAGCTTGAGGGCACGTGTGTACTAGAAGAGGAAAATGGAATGAAGGTCACACAAAGGGGTGTGGAACTGCGTGTTGGTCCCATGTACCTGCAGCTGGGGTCACATTTCATGCTGTGTATCTGATCCCAACGCAAATAACGCAAATAATTGACTGATTTGCTGGAAAGTGAAGCGTGGAGTATACGAGGACAGCGGCTGTAGTACATCAATGGTGTTCAAGTTGTCCGTCAAATATGATCTGACTTGAGGATAGTTGTGTCAATTTTGTTTGAAGGTCCATGAAGAAGACTTAGGGCCTCTGGTGGGTATGACAGAGTAAGTGAGTACCATTCAATTCGAACTTTTTACAGTTGAACATTGAACATTGAACATTGAGATGATGCACCGTCCATTTATGTAGCACAGCAATCCGATCAGAGGAAACAGACTTGGAAGTATATGTCAAGTTTTAGATTCCGAACAGATCATTCATTCCTGCAACTCTATGTATCTGCCTGGTGATGAAACCTCTCCGAATAATGTATTTCTCATGCCGTAGAAGCTCTCAACCCTATAGCTGTCATGGGCGCATGCAACTAACAAGATTGCAAAGTCAAACTGAATGATTTACTCCACAGCGTCAAGGTGTTCACCGAAGCCACGTCAACAGTAGGCTACCGTGGTGCATGGAGGCTTAACATTCAGCCATATTCGGAAGGCCTCGCACGTATAAAAGGTGCACTGTGCCGCTTCAACTTGAGTAGGATTAACCAACCATCAGCAAACCTAGCACAACTCACCCAGCTCTTTTTACAACATGTCCGAAGGAACAGTAAGTGTTCCTTAACTGCATTGACATTTCAAGTTGTGAAGCTGAAATTTACCGTGCTACTAGGCTCATATTTTCTTTATCGATGCTAGTGCTGCGCTATTCAATAGTACCGTGTACGCTGTAGCAACGGATCACAACAACCAGCGCCACAAACTTGGTATCGTTAATGCTGGCAAGACTCACCTATTTGATCTCGGTGATATCCCCGGCCTCAGAAACGGTGACAATGTCTGTACTCACCTTTTAGATTGATTTCACAGTCACTCACTGGGTGTATAGCTTCGAGTCGAGATCATCTCTGGCCAGGGGTTCGAAAACATGGATACCGTTGTCATCACTTTCATCAAGGATGCGAGCAAGAAGGCTTCATTCCTTGTCACTGGGACTGCAACCAACCCCAACATCGCCTTCCAGGGACTCGAGTGAAAGCCTGAGGGAGTGTCAGCAGGCTTTGGGAGTGGAGAAGGCCACGGCATAGTCAAGGAGGTCGGGCTTGAACTTCTAGTACTGCAGTTGACAAGATTACAGATATCGGGTCGTTTTTGAACAATGAATGGTGCTAGTTTAATGTGACATCTACATATCTCGCCGTTTCAACAAGAATCGCCACTTGAGAATTGCTTGCCGCATGAACGACACGGCAGTAGAGTAAACAATGGTTTATGCAGTGACAACCAGATCGGATCCTACTACTCTTCCTCGTCTTCTCCCTTGGGCTCCGCGAATAATACCTCTAGACTACTCAACCAAATCCTTCAACCAACTCTTCACCTTGAGCCAACACTTCTGACAGCAAAGATGCTGATCACTACTTGGGGCTGTAGCCACTGCAATGCATGGCCTGTACGGGTCCTATTGATTCATAAATAGTACTTAGCAAAATAGATAGCCATTGTGTCAGATAGAAGATGGAGATAATGTCTGCACTAAAGAAGGAGATAACAGATGGAAACTTTAGGCCCAGTATGTTGTAAGCTGCAGTATAGCCAATTGCAGAAATAATAGTGGTAAGCATTAACATATAACAGACTAGGGCTGCCAGCCATTACCGTGCATACGGGTTATACACTATGTATGTACGGTTTATGTACCCTGTAAGGGGACACTTGTAAGGGGACACTCCTATTTTCTCCTATTCCCCCTGTCCCGCCCCCTTCCTCCTCGTTCCATTCCCCTTTCCTTCATCCCCTTTCCTTTCCTTTTGTCCCCTTACCTTTCCGCTTCCCTTCCGTTCACTCCCTTCGCATCCGAGCCCTGTCCGGTGACTCCGAAGTCTTCCCGCACTTCGGACTCGCCTCGGACTCGCTCGGACGCTTCGGACTCGCTCGGACTCGTAGATACACTTCGGGGCTCGTCCGGGCTACCTCTATCCTCCTTTCCCACTTCATTACTCCTTGTCCCCACTTCCCCAGGTTGCTGGCACAACTCCTGTACATTCCCCTTCCACTTCATTATCACATGCCCCCTCGTACCTTGTGATATTCGTTCGTACCTGTGGCTGGTGTACTGTACAGTTACCCTTCATTCCTCCCACGCTACTACAGTATATACTTCGCTTCCTAGCATGGAGAATCCCCATCCTGTTCTCTTTGGATTCTCCCTCTGCTAGATGAGCAGCTCTCTCATGTATTGTAGTTAGTCTTATTCATTTCTTTGGATTCTCCCTCTGCTAGGCTTGCACTGTGCGGCTATCTTGAGGTTGCCCTTACAACACTCCTATTTTCTCTTCTTTCCTTTATCCCATGGACTTTTACCTACATTTCCTTTGTTCCCCTTTGTTCCTTTTCGCTCCCTTTCCTTTCCACTTCCTTTCCGCCCACTCCTTTCGCATCCGAGCCACGTCCGGTGACTCCGGAGTCTTCCCGCACTTCGGACTTGCTCGGACTCCTCTACACTCTTCGGGGCTCGTCTGGGTTACCTCTATCCTCTTTCCCCACTTCACTACCCCTCGCCCTTACTTCCCCAAGTCGCTGGCACGACTCCTGTGCATTTACCCTCCACTTCATTATCACATGTTTCCTTGTACCTTGTGATATTCGCTCGGACTTGTGGCTGGTGTACTGTACAGTTATCCTGCATTCCTCTCACGCTACTACAGTATATACTTCGCTTCCTAGCATGGAGAATCCCCATCCTGTTCTCTTTGGATTCTCCCTCTGCTAGGTGAGCAGCCCTCTCATGTATTGTAGTTAGTCTTATTCATTCTCTTTGGATTCTCCCTCTGCTAGGCTTGCGCTGTGCAGCCATCTTAAGGTTGCCCTTACATATCCGTCAACATATTCTCTTTGTGGTTGTCCAAAAACGGGCTCAAGGTGGGAGACAAGGCTACCCGTGTTAATTGTTGCATCAAGGGATATATGGCCCGTGAGCAAAATCACAAGTGTGAGAGCTGCCTTGTGATTTGCTGAGAGCGTTGCTCGCCTTGTCAAACATTCAACATCCGTGTGTTTGTGTTGGGACCAACAAGTCCGACTGGGAGGAGCTGGTCTTCTACCAGTCGCCTTTGGTCTAGGGCAAGGACCCTATGAAAAGGTTAGTGTGGTACTTCATACTGCATCAAGCAGCTAAACCCCAGCCTCTCACACCTGCAGGCTAGTCAACTTCTGTTGCCTCTACTACATCATCAAGCACAAAATACGACTTCACCTCACGCTACAAGCAACGTGATTGTGCCATTGCTGATGAGCTGCAGGAATTCTGGCACCTAGAGCCTGAGGACTTCAATACTACCGACCCCATTTCCTGGTGGTACAGTCGCCGTCACCAATTCCCCACCCTTTACCGCCTTGCCCTCAATATTCTTTCCATTCCTGGATCTGCAGTGGCGGTGGAACGAATATTCTCCGCCGGTTGTGACACTATTTCAATGTGCCATGCAAGCTTAAAACCCGAAACTATATCAACACTGATGACTCTCAAGCAGTATATCTGCGCAGGCTATCACTTTCATGAAGGGTAATCCACTGTATTCAAGTCTAATGGGTTGCCTTCAAAGCACTAGTGGTGAACTTTGTGTTATGTATCTACCCGTAAAATACTGTATTACAGCCGCGAGACAGCCACAGCCCATATATACTGGATAAATGGCCGTTGAAATGATAGACCGTAACCGTCTAGTCAGCTATGCTAACCCATTACCTGTTTGTGGATACGGGACCCATGTCCGCCAGTCCTTTGTAATGTACGGCTGTAAACCGTTTACGGTACAGGTGGCAGCCCTATAACAGACTTCAGGCCTGTGTTAAGAGCCACACTTGCAGAGGGACTCGGGAATACACAGACCTGCGGGTGCGTGGTTCCACATAGAGGCGAGGACGTACGGCTTGGCTTCAGCTACTGGCTGTGCCTCCCACACTCTTGCGTGCCCTGTATTTCCAGAGGGGATCCTACGTGGGTACCGAGGGTGCAAGCGGAGGCGAGGGGATGCGAGGGAGAGGCCTCAGTAGAGAGACAAGGATGTGAGTGCGGAAAGGAACTAATATTTGAACTGAGGTAACTGTAGGTACAGTACAAGACTATATACTAAAGAACACGCGGTAGCCGCGTGTTCATGAGACAGTTAGTAGTCTGGTCATAATAAGTATGGTGTGCTCAAATATGTACTTAGTCCATAATCCGAGAAGTCTGAGTAACCGCAAGTATACGCAGCCCGAGCCCATAGCCAGAGCACACGTGAATATGCCCCTAGTAGCCTCTAAGAGGCCTCCTGGATGTGCCTATAACATATACAGAGTATAGGAGATTCAAAAACATTACTCAAATTGCTGAGAACTCATATTCATATACTCTTTCTCCATTCAATAACAGTGGACTCTTGTAAATGTACAGTGCTACTTTTTTGCCTCCAGCTACTCCAGGATTTAGATGCTATTCTATTGTATAGTAAGACAATTACTTGAAATACCAATTCAAACATATTCCTGGGAATAACTACTACACTTGTCATGTAAAACTAGTTATCCACTCTACAGATGTGCATATCTCTGCTAGTTCGTTATGAATCATATATTATCCACATGTACTGATCAACCATGTTCATCTGAAATTGCCATTGTTGACAATTTGTTGACTCTCTTGACACTCTATTACACTACTGATATTACGGAGTTAATATGATACATGTGAGATATCATATTTAATGCCAGAGTGTAAGTCTACAATATGAGCATAAATGAAACAGTGAGTATGACTGCTGAGCAGTGTTTTGAGGGGCTCCCCTGAGGCTCCCCCTGAATATTGATTAATATGGCAACTTACATGATCTCCGGTGCTAACTCTCATTTAGCTTTGGAAGCTCCCACGTGTACAAGTGAGGAAAGGCTGATTGAATTGAATTAACATTGAATACAAAATTAGATTAAATTAAATTAAAATTAAACAAGATCCCGAGATTCCGGATGACCGGCTACCGGCTACAACAGTAGCCGTCCACTTAAGGAAGCGCCCAAAACCCCCACCCAAATAAAGAACGGTTCCTTTCATTTCATTACAGGACCCGTAACCCCCCTGCTTACCCTAACGGCAGAGTCCCGCAAATATCCAATCACTTCCAAGGTCTTCAATGAGGTCTTCATCCAGCCCAGCAGCAACCGCTCTCTAAAGGACTTCAGATTACATTTCTGGCAATCCAAATTCAGCGCCGGTCCTGCTGGGACATCCTCCTTCTCTTCGCAGATTAACACCCAGAACCATGAATTGATCTTGCAGCGCCCAGCGACGAGTATCGCAACATCTACATCCTCGAGTTTTTCAATGGACCACGACATAGATGTATATCCAAGTTCGGTGTAATAAGCCATAGCAAAGGGGTTCTTGAGCTCCTTGGTGAGATCGGTGTGATGATCGAGCTTGATCAAGTCTTCTGGATCGGGGTCCGACTTATACCCATTGTCAAAAAGAAGCTCGCGACGCCACCTCTGGAAATTCTGTCCGGGCCAATCTAGCTCTAGGTGAGCGATAATACAAGCCTTCAATGCGTCTGCTTGGTGAGTAGTAACGGGGCCCCAAATTCCTTGCCCGCGGCATGAGAGTAGCGCGGTAAGAAGAGAGAACTATGTCGATCAATTGAGCTTCAAAGTGCTTATTCTATCACGAAGCGTTGCTCACGATGGCTCGTATATGGCTTTCAAAAATCCCCTTACATCCTGAGCCCCGTCTTGTAGTGCGATTAGGGGGGCCCCATCGTACAACTCCTTGGTGAGGCGCTCCCCACGACGAACATGTCCGTGAACACTGTAGACTCTTGTGCGAACAGGGATTGGTGAACGCGAAAATATACTAGAATACTCTTGCTATTTTTGTCTGTTCTGTAACCGGTGGTCACCGAAAGTTCAGTTTGTAACAAAAAAACACTCATGTGACTAAAAGATTACCTAGACCTTCAGTTATGTCGATGGCCTCTCCTACTTGTCATCATTTCCGGGGGCGGAAAGAACACAGTTCCCATCGGTGAAGTACAAAGTCTTGTCGTCCACGCGACGACTCGCAGGTGGGCTTGTGGGAGGAGCAGAATGGCGACGTTTCTTCGTAGAGCCGCTCTCGCGTTTCGTCCGGGCTGGTCTCTGAGGAGTGGATCATCGAGCGACACGTTGAACGACGCCGTGTTCGGAGGGCAATTGAAGGTCTCGTTTCGACCCCAGTCCTCAGGCGTAAATCGTTGAAACAGAGCAATGAGAACGAGCGCACGGGGGGAAGTCGGCGATGAAGCTAATGCCGTTGGACCGCACAATGCCTTCGCGGTCAAAGTACCAGATGAAGAGACAATCGTCTACAGACTATGGGAAACTCGCAAGAAGACGTGAACGTGCTGTAACTCACCGATGTGAAGCAGATTGATCGTGTGCTGGATACCCGGGTTCTGAGATAACATCTCCAGCGCGTAGGCGGCACACCGCACTCGGCCATCGAAATTCTTCGAGTTCGAACTTTCTTTGCGCAACTCCGTCCCCTCTTTGTCGAAGCCGAGACACAACTTCTTGCCGCTAGTCAGGTTATTCGTTGCTTCAAGTTTGCGCTTCGAAGATCGAGAGCCGGTGGCCGGTGGCGTAGAGGGGGATACTGCACTCATGCTGGGAGAAGAACCACTGACCGGAGACGGTTGCACCTCGTCTATCTCGTTGTCCTGCTGTCTAACGTGCACACGCCTAGATGTCGTAGCGAATGCTTCTTTGATAGCGACGCAACCCTGCTCGCTGGGACTTCCGATGGCCTTGAACTCTTCGAAGCCGAAGAATGAGTCGAATTCGGGTTCGGCACCCTTGTCGGGGGCTTTGTCCAGGGCAGAGCCCAGCGCTTTCACTACATATTCGCCGGCCTTTCCTACATCAGGCTTTCTGTGAGCATTGTCGGTCTCCGTGTGGGACTTGAAGGCGCTAGGATCGAGGCGACGGTATTGCAGGTCTGTGGCTGTCGGCGAACGAAGTGGGAGATGTACGTTTTTGAGCAACGACAGGGCCTTGTTGCATAAGCTGACGTACGGAGCATATCGATCTCTGTCTACGCCAGAGAAAGACGTTAGGCTAGACCAATGAAGTCAGATTTTGCTATAGTTACGAGCACAACCAACTCGCTATTCAGAGAGTAACTTTCTTATACTCTCATCATTTGCCAGAGGCAATACTGCCGTGAGGCGCTGCTCAAGGTAATCTTGCAGCGCGTCATCCCTTTCCTTCTGCAGGAGGCGAAGACGGTCAGACGTTTGATCTGCAGTGCTGCATCTTCCAGAGACGGCGCCGCGAATGAATGGTCTGATCGATGAAGCGTACGAAACGCCCACGAATCAGTCACCTCCCTACTCGAACGCCAACTCAAGTACTCACGAAAGAGCCCCGCCTTGCATACCCCCTCTCCAAAAATGCGAGCACATCCGCAGTCTCCAGCGCGGATCCCACCCATCCCACGAGGAGCTTATCCCTGAGGCCTGAACGCTGAACGCTCCGAGTCTCACTCTGCGCTTCAGGCATTCCCGTAGGACAGTGAGCATCGGGACGAGACTCACAACGCCAGTGTCGGCGTGCACAGCAGTCGCAGGCCTCGCCTCGCCATTTTGACCCACTGCCGTCACAAGCTAGCAAAATACAAAATACACATACACAGTATAAACACAACCTAATCACGCTTAGGATGAGTTACCATCTGATGACAAGGTATATGTGCACCCACCAGTCTACAGCCCGACGGACACCATTCCCTCGTTGATGGCGTTCGCGTCTCCACCGCCTGCCACCACGTCTTTCTCCCAACCTCCTAGCTACATCGTACCCAATTATACCGAGCACACCCACTGGCCACCGGATCACCTTCGGTCGTGGCAGACCGGGGTCCCACCGCAGGGCCAGCCGCACACGCAGACCGAAGAATTCCACAAACAGCAGCGACGGAACCGCGTCGAACAGCCGCTGAACGGACACTCCGTAGCCACTCACTTTGACGCGCCACGGGTGTCCAATCGAATGAATACCTCACACCTCACAGCTTTCGGCCCTCAACGTTCAACTGGCTCGCACGCACAAATGGCAAGGCCCCAAAGGCTCATCGTGTATATCTCACTATTCGAGATTGGCGCACGACGCGGTCAAGGCGATCAACTGCGTCGGATTAAAGGGAGTGAGAGCACTCGCACGCAGGGCAGAGACGGGGTCGGCAGATCACTGACTAGCAGCGACCCTGCTCTGCCGGTGAAGACCCAAGCGCGTCACTCCGACAAAGGACGAAAGAAAGAAGCGCAAGGCATTACACTCGACGGCCAAGTGCTTGAGCGCCGTGAGCGCCGTGGGGGATATGATCATACGCCTATCCAGTGAGATACAACGTCTCAAGGGACGGCTGCGACTCTAAGAAACGTATCGGATCTCGTTTCAGCACGGAATCGTAGAGCACCAGCGCTTTGCGTGCAAATGGGGGGGGGGGGGCGGGGGTGCTGGGCAGGGGAAGTTGAGACCTTCCAGGCTCTTTCTTCGGGTGAGGATTCCGCAAACGAGTTGAAGTCGGGTTTGGCCGCAGATAGAGAAATCGATGATGAGGCCTTTAATATACAAAGCGCCCTTCGTCCGCCTGAAGGCCTGAAGTCTCGAGCATCTGCTGCAGACCTTTGATCAAGCCAATCCGTTGCCAGTCAGATCGTCCTGGAGGGTAACCACTGCGTACATCACCGGGTCTGCGACGTTGTGGAAATGTCGTGGCTACAGGCATCTTCAAATATCAATCGGAGGTCCTCCGGAGGCAATGTCGAGACCCCCATCATGGTAAGAGGTAGATGGAAAGAAAGTGACGTAACTCGGTTTACATAGCGGTCACATCACACTGTGACTGGGTTCACGAAAGGGCTCAGAAGGACGTCCACGCAAAGCACAACGGTGGCAGCGATCCAGAGAGTGTGTAGGTGTAACGAGCGGCCAGTTGAAGGCAATTATCTGAAGGTATAAGGACGACTTGCAAATCGTTGATACTAGGTCTAGATCTTGAAACCGCCATCGCCATCCATCGACATCGCCCTCGGTTGACAACCTCGAAATTGTCAATCGAATCCACGCCCCCGACATTTCATTGAAGAAATGCCCGCGTCAATATCGATCAGAACAGGTATTCGGTGGATTCATATCACTGCCGATAGTGCAGATGAGACAAAATGGGGAGAGTGGAGTGAACCGACGGATACAGTAGTTTTGACTGCATCGAATGGCTGGTTCTTGGATGTCCGATTTCTGAGGGACGGGGGGGAGTTAGATTGGGCGTTTGCAGGGAGAAGAAGTGTCAGTGAGTCCATCGCAAGCAAGGCTGCGATCAGTTGTTGATATGGGCGTAGAAGGGAAGATAACCAAGTTCGAGCATATGATTGATTCCAGAACGACGGACGCAGAAACTATGGTGGACGAGGGGGAGAATATGGAAATGGAAGACGGCAGTATCGTCGAAAGAGGGAAGATGGTAAACCCTGCAATAGGGAGTTTGATGCTTTACGAGGAGAAGTGGCGCGAGGAAGAGAGTAGCGGAGGGTTGATCATCAGACGCAAGGGCAAGCAGGATGTATGGCAAGCGATGGTCGGGGATTATCAGCTGGGATTGGGGAGATACCAGGACGGCGGGTTCTGGGCGTGGCAAGCTCGAAAGAGGGACGGGGTATGGCAGACGATACATTCCACGAAGAATGCCGACCCAGAAGACTCGCATTGGCTCGTTTTGGCCAACGAGTAGGCATGGAACGCATGGCTCTTAAAAGAGAAGTATTTAGTTGAAGACAATGAAGAAAAGGTTGAATGTGAATGATAGAACCGAGGTCATCTACGTTGTGATGTACAAGTTGCTTCAGAATCACGCCCCTATTATCCAAAGGCTTACGTTTTGCATAGTAGTGACGTCGTCATTGTTCAGAAGCTCTAGATCAACCGATGCTTGTGCCAGCTCCTGTGATGCGCAACATCGTTAGAAAAGCCTGAAATAGCCACTGCTGTGGTGAAGACGAAGTAGCAGCTCACGGGCCGACGTAGTGCCGTCCTCGTCATGCACCGACCTCAACCAAGGAGCCTAGACGGGGGTGTCAAGGGGATTACGTCAACAGATCTACGGCAAAAACCCCATCACGTCAGTCGTTGACTGTCCAGACTACTAAATGTTCTTCTGCTACAGGTATACCGAACACAGTAAGGTGGACATATATGTTCTCCAGCCCGAGGGACAGTTCCGACGAACAACTGTCCAGGAAGCAGCATTTAGTGGACGCTCTCTGCCCTTATCGTCGCGATCCTCCCAGACACGCGGGTTTGAGGCGGTGGTTGGGACCGAATAGTGTAGACTCGCGTATGGATGAGTCGCGAAGATGTTGGTGGCATCCTTAGGGAAGCATTCAGGGGGGAGAGGGTCCTCGTTCGTAAGTCCTCCATCCCTTCACACTCCTCGTTTCGTGTTTGCCTTCACATACATCACGATGTCGAGCTCGCCACCCTATGACATTCTAGCTGGCCGCAGCACTCAATATCCGGCGCATCCTGCAACACGATGCAACGAGAAAGAGGACGTACCTGTCCCATTGATAGCACCTGTAGTTCTCCGCCTCTCCCCGGCTACCTATCCTGCTTTCCATTGTCCTCGGATGATTCCTGACGTAAGTGCTGTTGCTGTCATCTTTCCCTAACCGCATTGAAATAGTCCTGGTCCAAGTACACTCCACTGGCTTGTGTACGTTCCTGTCCTCTTTTCTCATCCCTCTGCCTTACTGAGGTGCTGCTATTTAGCGCTTTAGCTTTAATTCCGATTGCCCATCACCAGCATCGCACGAACCCAACTCGTGCTTTTTTTGTAGCAGACCATCAACCCAGCATCCAACCGGTATCGTAGAAGCGGCGGCGACCCTTACTTAGCATTATCTATTGGGTAGACTGCTAGTGGATTCCTTGCCTGTCTGAGCAGATACTTACCACGATGCTGGCGCGTTCTCAGCGCGCTCATCCAGGAGCATGTGTATGCGTATGTGGCGTGCAGCGTCGTTGACCTATGTCAATGTCAATCCCCGCGCTTCCGAGGGCCTCATCTCCCAAGTCCACGTTCACAAAGAAAGTCCTCCGTGGTTCGCAACACTACTCCAAGAACCCGGGAGATGCAGCACATGCGCAAGCAAGCTGCTGACACTATCAATGCACGGCTATGTATTCGTCCTCATGGAAGGGTGAGTGGGCTGTTGAACCGTTGTCAAGTTGGACTCTTGACCTAGTGACACAGTCTTGCTTCTGTCAGGCACTGCCTTGCTGGGCGAACCTCATCTCTTCAGCGCTGGGAACATAGCTATAGGTCGTGAGCACACAAATGCGACACGTCGACGACGCCCCCCGCCGCTGATTGCCAACTATTCATTCCAGCAACAAGATTGTCTGGTTAATTTTTGTAACCGTTCGTTTGATAGATACAAGCTCCCTCGGGACGGGGACGGATACAAGCGCAGGATGTCATGTTACGCCCCTGTGCCATCCTTCCTTCCGCGCCTGCATGGAGCCTAGTCACAAGCTCTCCTGGCGTATGTAGCTGAGCCCAAACAACTCGCCGGCATACGCCCAAGTCCGGCTCGCTACGCATTGGGGGGAGGTAATTAAAAATAAATAAAATAAATACATAATAGGACAGAGGGTTGTGTAAGGGATTAACACGTCATGTACTTACAGACGTCGTCGCCTCATCGACCAACTGTTGTGCCGGCGCGACAGGCTTCCAAGCGATATTGCACGGCCGTTCGGGGTGCTTTGGGTTACGGCCAGCGCAGTTGACCTTCGCGCAGTCTTGGCATGGATTCCGGCAATAATTAACACCTCCCTTGCCTTTACATGTCGGCTGAGCACATTTCCGGCACATCCGAGCTTTGCGTGCGTGCAGACGAGGTTCCGGAGGTAATTGCGTTGCTTGGGCTCGACTTGCGGCAAGATGAGCTGTAGTAAGCTCGGCTGACAAGGTTTCTTCGAGCATCGGGGTTTGCTCCGGGTCTTGCTCGAGTGAGGATGCAGGCTGATGCAAATGTTGAAGCTGGGGTCCAGGGTTGACAAGAAGAAAACCCGCTCCGGCAGAGTGAATGGTGCGAGTCATCTCTGGTGCTGGTGGTGCGGCGAGTAGACGTTGGGGGTTGTGAATGGTGCGCTTAACCTCTTCGCGCACGTCTGATGTGATTGATTTTGTTTGTTTGATGTTTGTAAACTTCTTCCAGTCGCCGTGGTAATAGACCTTCAGTTGTTCGGGTAGCTAAGAGGTGCATGTAAGATTAAATGTCAAGGCAGTATTCTGAGGAGCATACCTTGTACGAAATTTCCTTTGATTCCTCGGCTTTGCTGTTCCAGAGGATCACAATATTGTCCCAGTTTGGCCCAGTTGAAAGATTTCCGCCGCTTTCACTTGCCATGAGCTCGCGAAAGAGATGCCGCTCGGAATCATTGTTTATTGGAAGAATCGGTTTGCGGGTGCCTTGGCGAGATGCGAGGAACTGATGAAGTTGCTTGTGATGGTGTGCGTGAATATATGCACCCATCCCGGCCTTGATGCGAAGTCCATCGGGAATAGGGAGGACACCAGAAACTTCCTTCGTTCGTTGATATAGGTTGCCGTTTATCCACCCTACAAGCATGCGAGGGCTTTCCAGGTAAGGATGGACAAGATACAGCATCTCTTGAAGCTGGTTGGTGATCCATATGCTGTAGTGGCCGCGGTAACGTGTTCCTGTACTATTGAATGTCCCGACCTAAAGCACACTGAGTTGAGGCATGAGCAAACGAAGAAGAGCCCCACAGCTTACCAAAAGATTGTGCCGTAAAATAAAATCAAGTAGTCGTGACTGAATGTGGCGGATGGAAACACCTGAAGTAGGTAGTCGTGACCGTAAATGAGTATGCACGCCACCTTCTGTCATGTTGGTCCCCCGCATGCAACGGTACAATGGCATACCAGACTTGTCCATTCCGAGTTGATAGTAGAGCGGTATTCCCGGAGGATCGGAGACAAATCCTTTCTTGATCAAGTCTAGTATGTTCTTCGCTACACCCCATGCCGTAGTATTAAATAGTGGTAGATGGGTTTTAGCATCCTTGAGCGGGCCATAGTTCTGGAACACCTGGGAAACATTCTCGAAGAGTTCCTCAGCCGGAGGAATAATCCGTTTGCAGCGTTTCCAAACCCATTTCGGCCGTCGTGCAACAAGATCTTCCCACAGAAGAGGTGGCTTCTGAGATGTGGCCCAAATGATGATGCGAGCTTGGTCGTCCTTGTCGGGTATAAACATAGCATCACGTAAAGCAAGGGCGAAGTCGTGAAGGAGTCCATGAGCGGCAGAGATGTAAAACATATTGAAGACATGAAACGGATCCTTGATGACTCGGCTTCTGATATACGGAGGCCATTTCGCGGAAATGTCTGTCTCCGAAAGTACTCGATCGCCCTCAGCTTGGCTCTCGCTATCCCGCTCTTGCATATGAGGTTCAGTTGGTTGAGTACTGGGAGCGACCTCATCACTGAGACTATTGAATAATAGTGTCCCAATGCCTGCAACCGATGCCATGTTGGGGTCTGGGGCAACACTACTTGAAGTGGTGGTATCAGTGGGAAGTTCGGAGTCGATGTTGAAGAGTTTTGGATTTATGAGAGTGGAGTCAATGGGGGTGCGAGTAATGGTATCGTCAGTATGGTGGATGGAGAAAGAAGTGGGTTGGCGAAGGTGGCTTTGAAGGCAAACCATATGGAATGGTGGAGGACCAAAACTGTCAAGTTGATGGCGAGTTGCTGTTCCGTTCAGAATGAAAGCCCCAGGAACATGGACTTTGGTGACCAGAATAACAGTTCGAGTTGCAGTGATATTGATACCTTCATATTGCTTGTCGGTTGCGTGAGGTGATATGGTTCCTTCGGCAAGCAATCGAGTACGGTCACTGCCAAACAGCAAGACAGGAGTGCCAGCAACTTCGGAGCCTGACAGCGCTGACGGAACTGGTATTGCAGATAACTTTTCGTAAATGACAAGGGAAGCGTAGGCGTCCACCGCGGCGTACTGAAGTTGAGATGCTGTGAGTGTCTCTTCTTCCCAGAAGGAACCAACTCGTTCCGGGAGATTCTTCTTGATTTGCTGGTTGAGTACCACAGCACCCAGGTCGGATAAGCTAACACGGGCATTTGGTATCACCAAACGCTCCTTGGCAAGTTTCGCGAGATCAACAGCACCTGAAAACGGTACACTGGACTGACAGCATTGTTGCAAGTATGCCAAATCTGCAGATGGACACCGTCCAACCTTCAGAATTCGAGGATTGGATAACACCTGTTTGAGAATCTCTGGTAGGGATCCACCGGCAAGCATAGAGCCAATCTACAATCACCAAAGTAATGGATGAGCCACAATACTAAAGGACGACAGGTTGATATTATTTACCTGGAGGATGAAGACCTTCTTTTCAAAGGCAATCTGTAATATAGCTGTCTGCCCACGCCCGGTAACATAACCCCGAGTAGACACCTCCACATTCCATTCGGAGTCGAGGCCAACAACCAATGGGCCTGATCTATCGTCTTGAGGGAGTGCATCGATGATTGTGCGCATAACATCGTCAATCCCATTCTTGCTTCCGTGGACTATGATATTGACATCAATAGGAATGGTGAACTCAGGAAGGTAACCATATTTCTCGATTGGCGTAAGATCGGTGCGCAGCAAAGGAAAACACCGCTCGAGGAATTCCTTATCGGCCATGGAATCAGTGTAGAATATGCTCGGTTGATCATGGCCATAAAGCTCCAAGGAGTCTCGCATTTGTCGCAGCGCCAACTCGAACTGTGAATGTGCCTTTGTCGCTACAAGATTACAAACTCGGATCTCCCCCTTTTCGTTGGTAACTGTTAAGAGTGCAACGAAGACCTGTACACCATTGACCTTTGCCACATGTTTTGTCAACTTCAATGAAAACACTATCAGCAGAGACCAATTAAGAAGGGAATACGACATCACCTTGAAGCTGTGGTCTATTGCACAAATCTGTCCAGTAAGCATAGCAGTATGCTGGTTGAGCTCATCCTCATGCTTCTCGATGAACGTGTCATATGTATCCCGAAGCCACATGGCACCCGGAACAAAGCCGTGAGCTCCGTCATTGCTGCGATCATCGTATGGAAGGAATGCCTTGAACTTGCGTCCAGTCAGAAATGAGCTTAGCGTAGATTGTACTGCGATAGTGCGAAGATATTGCAATTGAAGACGGTCATAACGTTCCAGATGTTGTACACGTATGGTGGTAGAGAACTGGTGCGCCCCCATGCCATGATGAAAGCAAGCACGCATCAAGTGAAAGAGTGATGACGCTAAGCCACTACGATAGCTAAGAATGGCTGGGAACTCATCAGCGAGGGAGGGAGGGAGCACGCTAAGAATGCGGAGATCCCAGCTACGGAAGTGGGCCTGTCTCTGGAAGCAAGCACATTGAGGGCATCGGTATCGATAGCCGATGATCCAGAAAGTTGAATCAAGGTCAACAACGCGGCGAGGATACCGAACATGATCGTGTCGACGAAGCCGAGCATCGCAGCTTGGATTTGGACAAGGAATTCCATCTTCGAGAAGCGCCATGGGGTCCCATAAAAAGAAGCGGTAGTCATATAAGACTTGTGGCGTAAGGGAGGGTGTTCTAAGGCGAAACCATGTCGCAGGTCGTGGAAACCAGAACGTTTGGTGATTTCGGTAGAGAGGTGGAAGACCGTCAGCACCCCGCTGTGAGGATTCTTCAAGGTGACGCTTGAACTCAGCCTTGAGCCAGCCAGGTAGGCAGCGGCTCCGAGACTTTGTGGCTGAAGTGGCCGATTGGGTACCTTCATCACCATCTTCCCCATCATCATCATCTACGTCGTCCTCGCCAATTCCGTCCTCCAAGAGACCAGATTCGGATTCGGTGTCATCATTATCGTCGTCCACGCATGCACGAAAAGGATCGTCACCAGGAATCAATGAGATCTCGCCTTGCGATGCTTGCAGCGCCGCCTCGTGGTTTGGCACAGAAGTGGGGCCTGGGGAGGATGATAGCATAGAGAGTGCGCTAGGATTGCGTGTGGCGCCGGCTCTGTCCTGCAGTGCCTCATTAACAGAGACATTTGATGGACCAGCAGTGGGTGTCGAGCTAGAAACCCGCTATCCATAGCATGTAAGATATTAGCCAAACCAATGCTATCTGAACGAGAGAGCACTCACCAATCCCGTTAATTTATACTTGGAAGGCACAGAGGCGAAGGTCAACTGGGGTTGCTTCTTTGGGCGGCCGACAGGACGCTTTGAACCCGAAGTTGTACCTTCATTCGGTGTCTCCTCACGTTGCTGGCGCTGCTTGTATCCAGTTCCGGGTGGGCGTCCCCTTGGTCGTTTCGTTGTGAGGGCAGATGAATCTAGGTCAGGGGACACTGTTCGCTTTCTCGATGTAGGTGTCTCGTTGATGAATTCTGCAGGATGAGGGTTTTCGATAGACAGAATAGAGGGGTTGATGGCTTCTTGGGTGGAAAATGACGGCGCCGTGAACCGAAATTGTTCGCTGACACAGAAAGGCAGCCTTGGTGAGGAGAAGGAACATAGGAGACGGTAGATTGACATACCTATCGGTGTTTAGCACTGCATCGAGCGCAGCTAGCCCTTGCAGCTGCTCTGGTGTCAAGCTGGCAAATGCAGCATCGTATTCGCTGTCATCATCGTCAGAGGCCATGGGTGAAGCGGATGGTGGAGAGCGAGCAGAGGGGTGGTCAAGTGGGTGTACAGAGACAAGCACGGAGACGATAAGCAGGGAGCCATTGGATCTGACAGGAATTTGTTATTGGGCCGATCATATTGCATGAGCCCTCTAACGACAAGAACGGTTGCCATTGAGCACACAATGGTTGTGAAGAAAGGAGTGTGACTCACCGTGCGTGGCCTTTCAATTTTTTCACCGTGGAATGCGACGCACTGGCTGCAATACTGGGTCGCGTCGCGTCGCGTTCGAGGAGAAGACCCTGAGATGATACCAAAAAGAGTTAGCACCGCCTGCTTACATCATTTCACGTGAGCTGACCCGCGTGGTTGTCGCGTGGACTTATTCCACTGGACTTATTCCTCCCCCCAATGCGTAGCGAGCCCCAAGTCCAAGTCCAAGCTCCAACGCTGAGCACAAGCGGTGATCGATGATCGCTCACTCTGGCTCCGCCATCTTACTTTTGACCATTTACGGCACCACACCCTGGGAGAAACGGCGCCAATTCTGGGTACGTGTAAGGTAAGTCTTCGCGTCTTTGCGGCCACGCATCTGCGTGCAGGACGTGTGTTGATGCTCGTTGCTATGTAGATAATGAATGCAACGGCGGCAGGCCTGCGTCATGCGTCATGCATCATACACCCCGATATGTGGAATTCGGAATGTACCCCCAGCTGACCGGGTGGCGGCGCGTGCGTGGCTCTCGTACGAGGACCATTGTTTGTAAGTATGAGACTGCTGCTGCTGAGCTTCGAACCTCGATCGACGTTTCCGGTTTACCGTTTCCGTATACTAGTGGTGCGTGACACTGATCACTGCTATCCGCATAGCAAGCTAGCTAGCTCTCGCCAGACACGAACTCACCTCCTCGTCTCTCATGCCCCAGGTGTCCATCGCGTTCACACACGCGGGCGGCCCTAATCATAACGAGGTATCGCCCCTCCGATTCTGCTACTTATGGCGCGCAACGCACCATACACTCTCTTTCTCATCACTGCATCACTGCATCACATCTTGATGTCGTGATGTCTCTAGCTGCGTTGGCTACGCGGGTGCGCTCTTTGGCATACGTACGTGGATGTACAGATACAGATACAGATACAGATACAATAATAATAATAATAATAATAATACTCGGGCCAGCTCACCCAATCTGGATCTTCTGCGCCCGCGTCAAAGCCTGCGCGGATGCTACATGCCACAGGCACCCCATCTAACCTAACGCCGGCGCGCGCGAACACGACGTTGACGTTGGGTGGGCGTGGTGGCGGGGCAGACGTGCAGATCATGCCAAGCCAAGAAAGCGGCGCCGTGGGGAGGGAGCTGAAGCTTCAAGTTACGGTCGCCGCCGTTCGTTGGCCGTCTTTGGGACACGCCATGCGCCATGCGCCCACGCTTCTGCGATCTCATGTCTTCTGAAGAACTCGGGGACTCCGAAGCAACGGCTGACGAGGGGATAGCCGAACCGGCAGGAAGCAGGAAGCAGAAAGGGCAATGGAAGCAATGCAATGATATATGTAGTGGTGATGATTCCGAAGATAGATGAAGGATGAGGGCAGGCCGGGGTACGGCATGGCATATGTATATGAAGGAGTGCATAAGCGAGAAAGGAAGTGCAGAGGCAGAGGCAGAGGCAATGATTGGCCGGTGGTCCCTTCGTGCAGGGATGTAGGATGGTGGTGGACGTCGATTGAGCGCACACGGCAGGCCGGCGGTGAGGAAGATAGAGTTCAGTTTCAACCATTGATCATTGATCATTGATCACTCAGCACCAACACCTACAGTACCAGACGGGAGTGTCTTCCACGCACGACAGGGCTGCAAGCGGTTGCGCACCTCCAAGCTTCAAGCTTCAAGCTTCGAGAGTCAGTTCGCTGCAATCCCATCGACTCCCCAGCCATCACATCACTATCGACGTACATCACACGCACGTCCCTAACGGCCTCACGGCCTAACGCCCTCACGGCGAAGGTCTTGGGTCTTCGGTGTGTCCTGTCTTACCCTACATAACATAACATAACCGGGTCGGGTCGCAACGCCAACAATGCGCACACGCAGCACACTGGGGCGGGCACACTCCCATCCCACATGTCGGCGGTGGGTACGTGGGTACCCCCAGGTCGGCTGAGGTGGGTGTGCACCCACAGAGCATCGAGTACCCGACTCGGGACTCGCGATCAGATAGACTTCTCTCCTAGCTCGAGCAGCATCATCGCATCGATGTAACCAGTATACTTCGCGAAAGGAAAATCCCTCCTCCTCCTAACCTCGATAGGGGTGATGTGATGCATGGGACTCCGAGTCCGAGTCCGTAAGACCACCAGGTCACTAGTGCACTAGTCACTAGTCACTGCCGACGATCATAATGCATAATGCAAGTGTCTACCCTTGGCCAAGAGCTGAAGGTGCAAAGTAGAGCTCAGCATATGATGAATCTGGGGCGATGCATCATACCAGTCGAATCCGCGGCCGTGCCTAACGAACCCCTGTGAAATCGAGCCGTAGAAGTGAAAAGGCCAATGCTCAATGCTCAACGCTCAAGTTAGCCGGAGAATCCCATGGCACGGTCAACGGTCAACGGTCAACGGTCAACGCACCGCCAAAACTACATTTGTGAAATATTATCGAGGGCGTCTTGAAGTGCATGAGCCATACTGCATACCAGCCCCCGCGAGCGAGAACTAAAATGTCCTTGAAAATGGAAAATGAACACACGTGTACTGTACCGGACTGGTGCTCTGTTCGAGAAGCTGGGGGTGAACGTTGAACGTTGAACGTTGAGGCGTGGCCGGACATCGGTCGTCGACCTCTTCAGGTTCTTCAGGAAGCTCTCCCGACCGCTGCGTATGCTCTACAGACTACATGTCCGCGCTGGCAAATAGTAAGTAAGCCTGGATTCGAGGCAGCACATGTATTTCGTGGAATGGAGAGGGTACCGTGGTCGTGTTTATGCCTGCATTATTGTAGGTGAGCCATGCCCGTCTGTGTGAGATGTAGGAGACCAGCTGCACTAGTTTCAAAGTCGACACCTACCCCTCCCCCTGAAGTCCGTCGCGTCGCTGGACCCGCAAGCAATCGAACGATCAATCACTTATTCGGCCCCGTCTTTAGTGAAGTTTTGCAATATTCAATATTCAGCGCACACATTAGTAGTAAAACATACACCTACGGTCACTCCATTTGCCCGAGGCGCAATTCGCCGTCAAACCGTTCATGAAGCGTCTAAACCCGCACAAGACGAGGATTTGGGTCAGTAAATGAATGCTTGAATAACAAAGGAACTCCAAGGGGATTTCTTTTTCTATATCCAACATCTCGTATCGAGCTTTGGGGGCGCTAGTACCTTAGCGTTGACGTTATTGGTGTCGTAGCGCGACTCGGAGCAAACCATAGGGAGGAAGAGGGCCGCGTCAGGCGTTCGCGTCACTGTTAAAATTTGAGACTTTACAGTCAAAGTCTGAATTGCCAGTAATTTTGAGGAGGCCGCTCCGGTCACCACGCACTAAAGTTCCATTAATCGATCAACCGCCGTAGCTCACCGTACCGCCCGCCGACGCCAATACTGCAGTACTGCCAACTGTGTCCACACCATCGTCGCATCCGGCCGTATACACGTGCGCGTGAAGCCTTGCAGCCTACATCTCTATGTTTGAGCGCGTTGACGACGCCGAAAACATTCTCCATTCTCCATACAACATACAACGACTCATCACCACGCAGACATTCACTTACATAAATGCGAAACAACACGACGTGGCAACCTCTGCGATCGTCCGCCCACCCTCGCTCGGGCCTGCGCTGGCCAGCGTCGTCGTCGTAACCCGTGCCCGTCGTCTGGTTACAGCTGGTTATTACTACGGTATTCAGACATTCAGACTGAGGTACCCGCAGCGGCGCTTAGCAGAGCCTGCATCCGGCATTCTACGCTCGGCACTCCTTTCGACTTCGGCACCCGGGAGTGCGCCGCGCTTACTTATTGGCGGGATCTCTGGCCGCATACTGGCTGCCGTACTGCAAGTGCGCTCTAGCCGCCACCTAACCAATCGGAGAAGGATAGGCCCGGGCTCCTCCATATTCTATAGCTTTCCACGGCGAGAAAAAAGTGAGTTTTATTGTATGTACGACGTGAGGTTGACGGGGATATACGGATGTATGGGTGCGCCGTGCATAGATTCTCGGCCGTAGATCATCGATCAAGCAGAGGAGGCCCATGGCGTGTAAATGCCGCGCATTAAACCAGAGGGCGCGTCAAGAACTTGAACGTGGGGCGTCAGTAACGTTACACGTTTTGCGCATCACTTGCCCGCGTCTCGATTTAGCACCCTCCATAAATTTGGGTTGGAGAGACGGAGATCTGCTGGAGCGCAACGTCGGGTCGGGTTTCTGGCGCCCAATAGATCTCGAGATAAATACATAGAGTTGAAAAAAGGACCATAAGCGACAAAGGAAAGTTTTTCTCATTGGATATCAGGATTGCGGGAATCGAGATCGGATGTGATTATATAGTGTGGGTAGAGGCGCTTGGCAATTGGTCGGCGCGTGTGTTGTAATGCATGGGGTGCGATTGGCCTCAGCTGGCAGCGTATGGACAACGGAGAGTATGAGGATATACCGAAGAATATGTTCCGGCGACAGTACGGTACGACCATCCGTTGTGGCCTACACCATATTCGACGATCATATAGGGTGCGAGCTGGTTGTTGAAGCTGACACGTATATTCATGCCCTGGGCGCTGACGCGGTATCGTGATCATCGCGTCCTTGTCATTTCGTCATTTAAAATGGAAATAATTGGAAATCCAAACAATTGATTTGGCTGTTTCACCGACCCGTTCGGTGCGTATAAGCCTCTAAGGGTATATCCGGAGTCGGATGGTGAGACAAGTAGAATGTTGGGGTTCGCAGTGCTAAGAAGTGATGCAACTAGGTACTGACATGGTCTAGTCCAGGACAACGATTGTTGAAAGATGGCTGTCGCAGCGAGTGGCTATGTTTCGTTATATATACGCATCCACAAAGCGGTCCACCGAGGCGCCCAACGAGACGAGGCCTTAGGGTAGCGGGCAGGGTAACAGAGTACGGCACACGCTCGCTGGCACATTTTTTTCTCGGAGATGTGGTTTTCTCTAATCCCGGGAGGTTCAGGGGGATGTGCATAATAGAGCACAGTGCACCAAAAACACAGGAGACTGAATTATGCGGCTCCCGGAAAGCAGGCCATCTTCCCCATGGAAACAGAGAGCGGAAGTGCAGCGAAGTACAGAGGAAGCGGGTGATCAGCGTTCGTAGCACACGATCCTCACCGACACTCGACCTGAGTGGATCGTGATTTGGGTGGGGCGCCGGAAAAGGCAATCGCAAAGCGCGTGATTACATAATCTGACATGGCGACCAAGGCTAAATTTTGTTTCTGTCAGGGTTTCAGCCGGTGTCTTGTGGAGATCGATATCTGCTTTGTCGGTCGATCGATGCACCTCAGACCTCCCGACTCTGAGAGGGAGATGACGATGGAGATGGAGATTCCTTTTTCAGGAGCCCCGTGCTCATTCGGATCTCCTTTCCCTGCTATAATAACCAGGACGCGCTCAACTCCAACACACGAACCGCGTCCTGCCGCCCCGCACTCTCCTCACTGTCCTCGACGCCGTCCGCTCCCCCCGCCCGTCGCAGTCCCGCTCTCCCGCCCTTACTCGCCTCTGCATTAGGCTAATTCAACAGACGATCCTCGAACGCGTCGTGCTTCTTGATTCCCGCTGCAGGTAAGCTCCTCTCGTTCCTTCTCATCAATTTCGAAGCCAATTTACTCCTGCAGTCCCAAGCTTCTATTTTTCGAACAAAGGGCTTCTACCTGAGCAGACGATCTGCCAGGTGCCACACCACATTGCCTTCGACGCCAGCAACGCACGCGTCTCTGTCATTCATCAGCGCCTCTACTCGACGCTCCTCCTGCCCCTTCTCTCGGGTCGGTCGATTTCATTAACGTCTCCCACACATGACTTCTCCGGAGCCTTTGCGTACAAAAACACCCGACTTCGAACATCTCGTCTCCAGGCTCAAGCATCTTGACCCCCTCATCCTCCCCCACCACCGCGCCACCGACGAGGCACCCCCACGTACACCTGACAACAACTCCAGCACGATGGCCATAGGGGACAACCATACCAGAGTATATCCTACCCCTCCCCGGTCCCCACGCGCCTTCACACTCGATCCAGCCTTTTCCTACTACCCATACACCCTCAAGGAACGCCGTGGCAGGGCTGACGAGAACGGGGAAGACGAAGTCTCGCCGGTTGTCACAGACTCCTTCGCGCCACGCACTTCGATACTCGAGTCTTCGCCCAGCACGTCGTCTGTCTCCGCCACCTCTTCTTCGTCTCCGCCAACCTCCATGTCGGCCTCTGTAGTCTCATCTGGGTCTGCAAGTTCGCTTTCAAGCGCAAATGTCAGCGAATTTGATCCTGTGGCGTCCCGGTTAGCCGCCTTCAACCTGGCTCGCTCATCCTTTGAGGCGTTTGTAGCCTCACAATCACGAGTCGTGAGAGTGAGTACCTCCGTCCCCTTTCTCTCGCCATTCCCATCCCTGCTTCCTACTTCAAATACTTACCATATGATTGTATTTGCATAGCTCTACGACCTCCCACCATCAGCAGAACGCTTTCTGTCTGCCGTGTTCGCGCCACAGCATCAAACCTATTCACGAGATCAACGGCATGTACGTCCTCTTTACCCAATGTTTACCTACACTTCTTCCCCTCCATCCACGTATTTTCGGTGTTCATGCGGTGATTAATCATGGACTTGACTCACACTATGATTGGTTATTCGAAATAGTGTTCCAGTGGCGCTATTCCTACGCCTGTATCGATGTGGACATTACGGAGCGGCGCCCTCGGAGATCGTCCCGAAAGTGTGTGGGCAGTATTTGGGTCCCATGAGGAGGTATGTTTGCACTTTATTTTATTTCTCCTTTTTCTTGCTCGCATTTTGGTCATTCCCCTCTCTTTCGATGGCGTCCCGCTTCTATTTGCAATCATGTCCACACATTATAATCCATTAGTGTCTCCGAAGAACATGGAGGCGCTTTGTTGGATTCCCACGTGCAGATTCGCTCGCACTTTGTTCTTGATTCTTGGCCATCCAGGCCCCTGCCCACTGGGAAACCACGATTAGCGATCCCTGCGCACATCTTACAGCGCGCTTCCTGCTCGATGTTCCCATTTGATGTTCGATGGCTCGACGCCGGCTGGATCCCGGGTCACTCTCTCCCAAAGCGGGCCTCCCATTGTGCAATTGTGACTTTCTCCTGATTCTACCGACGCTTGGCCAGCCATCTTCGAACTTTCGCGGATTGCTTCCTTTTTAATTATATTAACCTATATATATGCATTCCCAATATCCATATTCTGATATACCCCATTTCCGGGTTGTCGTTTACTCTTTTACGCATATACTTCATACCACGCATATAGGCGTATGTTACGTTGATAATCCGCCCACATAGTCAGATCAAGCGCCGACCTGCCCTTCCTTCCACCCTCCTTCCTCCTCCGCACCTCTTCCTTCCTTCCTGCTCCCTCCGTCTCCTTCCTTCCTTCTTCCACCATCCATCAGGCTCTCACCGTCATATTTGTATTTGTCCTTCTAGGCACGCGCAACGCTCTCGCTCTCAGGATCATCAGCAATGTCAGTGGCACCGGCCCTCGAACGCGATTTGGAGCCGTTCCACCAGCTGCAGTGCTTCGTATTGCATACCGAAGAACCCACCCAGAATCAGGATCATATGCGCAACTCTGTGGGTGGTTTGGGTTACAGTCCTGGCATTGAAGGCGGTATGGGCGGCTCAGAATACCAGATCTCGAGCAACCCACCGAACCCCAGGACCAGTTTCAGGTTGGGCGATTGGATGTGAGTATCCCTCACGCTTCTTTGATATATTAGAGGTCGTTGCGTTGCCTTGGGAGTGGGCGACATGTGTTGTTCTACAGCCATGCGTGATGGTGGCACTCGACATGATGGGCGCATATATGCACATATACTGACTGCTCCCTCCTAGATGTCCATCCTCCAAGTGCGCTGCGCACAATTTTGGGTGCGTAACCTCCACGTTGAACCATTGCAGCGAATATATTGACCAATTCAAATATTGCAGACGTAACATCCTCTGCATCGGCTGCGGAACATCGCGAGTAGGCGCCACTAACGAAGCTTTATCTTCCACTACGGTCTACCAGACGATGGGCGGACCCCAGTCGCATTCGACGCGCCCAGCTCCTTCCCCCCGTTTCTCCTCCTTCCCCTCATCTCCGGTTGCAGCAACATCCACGAACCCAATGCTGACTCTAAACGCGTATGGGAACACGGCAGCGCTGAATACGTCGTCTCTCTCGGCTCATTCACCCGCATACACACCAAACTTGCTCTCTCCCTCGCCTTGTTCATCCTCATCTTCCCCCGCCACGCCCTCCTCAGCATCGACCTCGTTCAGTTTCCTCCCCCAGTTGTCCAACCCCCAGCAGCACTCATTCGCACCGCACAGCAAATCTAGCCACCAACAACGCCCCCAGCACTCTCCCTCGCAATTCCCGCACCAAAATCAATACGCTCACGCGAATCCGCACACGAATCCGCACCCACATCCTCTTCTCACACCCTCGGGACGTGCGTTCGCCCGCGGTGGGAGAGTGCAAAATATTTCTTCCGACCCGATGTTGCCCTGCATTATGTGGTGGCCGGATAACGAACCCCTACCCGAACAAGGTCAAATCAGGCCCCCGGGGCTGGCCAGTGCAGCTGTAAGCCATTACCATTTTCTCACTCGTCATCGACGCGCTGATCCATCGTCACAGCATCCGCCTATTTTGAATACAGGCAACAAAGGCCCGATCGCTCATGTACGTTCACCCCGTTCCTCGCATATCTATCTCGATGCTAATTGCAAATACTTTGGATTATACAGCAACCTGGCGACTGGATTTGCAAGAAATGCAACTATTTGAACTGGCGGCGGAGAAAGGTGTGCCAGACTTGTTTGCCATGTGGGTATTCTCCATTTCGTGCCCTCTTTGCCTTCTATCTACCCTTTCTGTAATGCATCTTCCCTTCGAGGCGGAGTTTCCCTACTGTTTCCACGCCCCCTTCTCGAAACCTCGAAAACCAAATATCTGTCATGCTGACATGTGAATTCTTTCCAGATGCAGAAGGCAACGGTGACTCGATCTCTGCAGCCGTGCAGGCTGAGCGCATCGCGTTACTGACGTCGGTGTTGGCGACGACGCAACTGGACGACCCCTCAGCGTGCCCTAGCCCAAATCCCGCATCATCGTCTGCGGCTTTCGACTTGAAGGCGTCTCCCCCATGGCTCCCACTTCCCCCATCCCTGTCTCGCCAATCAACTTCCCCTACCTCCGCGTCTAGTACCCCGCTTTTCTCACCATCAACAACCTTGACGTTCGGCGGAACTCGCTCGCAGGCCATGACGCCATCCGCGTATGAGCAGCAGCTTCTCCTCGATGGCCCTGGCTTCAATCAGTTGAAAGTTCGCGGCCCGGTCCACCGATCGCGCTCGTTCTTGGAGTTGTCGACACAGAGACAACAGACACAGCCGGTGGACCGTCCGATCTACCAGACTGGTGGCGCGGGTCCCCGTGTTGCACCCCAGAATGCTCAATACCAAACGCAGCTCTCGTCTCCGGCGTCCCAGTATTACGCGCAGCTCCAGGTCCAGTCGCCGGCCCCAATTCTCCTCCCCTCGTTCCTTCAAAATATGGTGCATTCGCCAGTCCAGTCGCCCACCAGCACGTCCTCGTTGTCTCTGGACGATGAAGCCGAGGCTCGCAATGTGACCGTCTTCGGGAGAGGAAGGAACCCCAGTGCCGAGTCTTCTGGGACCATGATGTCCTCGTCTTCAGCGTCCTCAACGTCTTCTCCTACTTCGTCGTCGTCTTCGTCACCGTCGCATTTGTCGGTCAAGAACATCTGGCAGCTGGACGGTGAGGAGTCGAAGTCTCTGTCCCCCTTTGTACTTTCGCACCACTCGAAGCTGGCGAGCAGCAGGAAGAGCAGCTTGGAGCACATTCATGCTTAAATCCGCCGCCGCCGTTCCCTGGCCATCCACTCCTTCCCTCAAGGAACCAAGTAAAAGTACCAAACCACGCCCGCGCATATATCACCACCATCATCTTTCGACAATCACTCTCTATCTTAATATCAGCATCTCCACCTAATATGTCGACCAGTACACCCCTCCCCACTGCAGCGCCCCCGCGGCGCCCGAAAAGCAATTCAACCTCTCTCTTGGAAGCATGCGGAATAACATTATATATAACGCGTTGGGGTGAAGATATATATTTATTCATTGTCTCTGTTTTTATGTATCAGCAGCAGTATTATCATCATCGTCGAGCGGTCCACCACGGCCCACCAACTGCTAAGCAATAGCAGCAACAGTAGAAGTAGTAGATCTTAGGGACAATTTTGTCTTTTGTCGCTTTCATCTTTCACTTCCTACCTTCTACCTTCGTTTCTTTATTCGTTCTTTTGATTTCGACGTTTCGACTTGGTCGTTGTTGGCTTTTTACCACTTATTTCACATATATATCCGCCTGCGTCGTATCCAGTACTCACCTCATTTTTTGGAGCTTACTTACATATCTACATACTTCAGTGTACGTACATGCATATATGTACAGGGATCTCGTCCTCCTCGGAGAGCTTAAAGAACACTATCACCCTTAATTCGCCGCTAGTTCCTCGTATCGTCTACGTGTATGTTTGTACTACACAGATCAAGTGCTATCCTTTACTTCTGCTTATATGTTTTGACTCTTGTTAGAGCCTCCTCTCAATCCTTGTTTGTCGTGTATACTTCATGTCTTACGGAAATGAAAAAGGCGTTGATGTATGTTGTTGCAGTTGAGCATGATTCGAATCGACGACAAACATAGACCGATTCTGATCAAGGGCCAATCCATCCCCTCCAAGAAACCATCAGCGTCTACACTCACGTAAATCAGCTACTGGTCGTTGGTGGCGCCAGGCGCCTTGGGACTTAAGGAGGTCGTCAGACCACAGAACGCGTCTCGAAGCAGTTTCTGGGTATTGATTCTTGAAATATTGAATACCGGATCCTGGATCGCGTCGGCGACTAGACTCATCAATCCATCAGACGCAACAACCCGATGCATAGCGGTTACGACTTACATACGCGCCTAAAGCTGTCAATGCGGACGAATCGAGACTGTGACAACCATGATATGATGCGTGGATGTATGGCGGGGATGGATGTGTACGTAAATCCTGTCTGTATATTCGAGCCGTGCCAGCGTACGCTCGGAAATTCCCTTGATGATCTGAGAGTCGGTGGAGGTACTTCTGGTGCTTCTAGTCGTGAAACATCGCCCTGCGCAGTCTGGACTTGTGGGCCGGGGATGAATTGATTGATGAGTTTTTATTTTTTATTTTTGTTTCTATTTTTCGACGCTGCGTGTATGGGGACGTCAGACGCAGAATCAATCAATCAGGCTTAATTCGAATAAGATGAGTATCGAACCCACGGATCCTGAAGAAAATAATGGCGCATTATACGCGTTAGCGCCCCTTTGCGAGTATGGATGTGCAGAAGCAAGAACGCATGTATGCCCAAAACGAGAAATCGCCGGTAAACGCATCTGGAATCATCAAGGTTTCATACAAAGAATGCATGTTGTTAGCCGATGGCTCACTTCACATCGTGTCGATGGTCGGAGGTAGATAGGTGGTCGCTCGGAGACTCGGCGTCGAGGAAGGCGGTTGGCGGCTGGGTTGCTAACGGTTACCCTTGGAGTATGTGTTTCTCCGTGGCTTCTGTACCATACCGACCATAAATAGCGCGTTGGGTACATCGTGTATGATCGCAATGGTCGGTGCACCGAATGAGACGGTGGGGGACCATGAGGAGGTAGCAGGTAGCGCTAACTTACGATTATGTTGCTTCGACGGTAGTGACGGGTGATGGGTGATGATGGGTTGTGATGACGCTGCCGTACACTGGCGGCTGCGGAGTCCGTTCCTGCGCGCTTGGAGGCGGGATCCCGTCACAAGAAGACTATTTTTTTGGGGGGGAGGAAGTACCTGCCAATCAACGGTACGTGTCCACGCTAATGGCTGTATCAACCGTCAGCCTCGAGGCTATGTATGCAGGAACTGACACTAACTCACAATGGAGATCCTGCAAGAGGCGGCGAGCAGCCACCGACTCGATATAATACTATAAACTAGAAGGTTAGGCTATCAGGTATATCATCGACATCCGGTGTAAAGCTAAAGCCTGTTGAAACACGTACATACATACCCTTGAATACTTGATTGGATATTGAACGCCCAGAGAGGGGATCTTGGCGGATTGGGTTACCGGAAACAGACAAATTAGTTGCATAGGAACCGACCTTTGTGGCCGATTTGTCGCAATTTTTGTGGCACGAAACAATTCAGCGTGCCTAGTTGATCTTCGACTATGCACAGAAGATTCCGTCATGCGCAACGTATCGAGTTCATCGCTCGCGAAATACGCGTGGCGTCCAGCACGACAGAAGCTTCCTGCGGCGGACGAAGAGCTTCTGCTAGTACGCCCGCATCAAGCAATCTGAGAACACCGTGTAATTTCCGTCATTCGTGCGACATCATCCCAAGGCAGTGACGGTGTCAAATATGTATCCGCAGCCGAGAACTTCGACCTGGAGGCAACATACCAAGGAATATTTGTTATTTGTTACCTGATGAGGACACGGTCAATCGGGCGTGTATCTGCACCGACGCCAACGGTGTGAAGATTCCTTGAGAGTAGTTTATCCAGGAAAAATGCAAAATCTGCGGTGTTTGAGGCATCCGAATACTCCAGTAGTATTCATTGCGGTTCAATCGCAAGGCGAATAAGGGCCCTAATGCAAAGATAAACCATGAGTCAACTTCATGTCATGATGCGGCATGTCAATTGAGGCACTTCTCGTGTCTATATCACTTCCTAGAAGATACCCAATCAGACGCATAGTGGCCGGTAATTTGTCTGTGGTGCTCAGTGTTTATATGCTGAAAGAGGTACAGGGTCAATCACATCACATACTGACTGTGAGAATATCTTGACTGGCCTCTCGCGTATCACATGATCAGCGATATTCCGTCACATGAGTCACAGTTGCTGAAGAACACGACTAACTCTCCATCATGACCATCAGCACTCTAAGCCGGAATGTCCTCGCCACAACCCACGAAGTATGGCTCAACTATCTCAATTCCATATGTCCTCACCGTTGATATTGCGAAACAGATACAAAGACCTCTCTGGCGTCTTGCTTCAGGAAACGAGTGCTGCTCAAGTATGCGACTTCGACGAGCTCTTATGCGCATTTATCTTCCGCTGCTTACGGGACGATTCCACCCTTGAAAGTCTTCAAAACGATATCGAGAAACTAGAACGCGGTGACAATCTCGACCAAGGCCAGAAGTCTGACCTTGGCCGCTTGCGACATCAACGAGATGACGCGCTACAGAATTATCTCGAGCAGTGTCTCAAGGCAGTATTGACCGTGGCAAACGATGAGAGTGTCAGAAGTCTACTCTCTGAATAGTGAGTCGGTCGTGCTCTATTCTATGGCAGGACTCAGTGGCGTGGTCTAGCTTGAGGTCTTTTTCTGGCGTAGAAACGAATCGATACGCTCCTTACGTGAACTTGTGCAACAAGGCGCTGTCATTGCTCAGAACTACAAATCTCCCGCTTCGCTCGCCTACAGCCCCAGACCTGCGGTACCGTCGCCTCGATCCTAGCGTCCTCAAATCCCACACGGGAGCCGACCGTGTCCACCGAAAGCCTGATGTAGGAAAGGCTGGTGACTCTGTAGTGAAATCTCTCGGCCCTCGACTTGACCAATCACCTGACAAGGGTGCCGAGCCCGAGTTCGACGCATTCCTCGGTTTCGAAGAGTTCAAGGCCATCGGAAGTCCCAGCGAAGAGGCTCGCGCCGCTGTCGAATCGGCGTTCACCACAACAGCGCGGCGTGTCCGCGTAAGACCGCAGGACAGCGAGATGGACGAGGTGCAGCTGTCTCCCTCCACGAGTCCGTCCCCCAATGTAAGCGCAACGCCCCCAGCGACTGGCTCTAGATCTTCGAAACGCAAACTTGAAGCAACGAATAGCGTCACTAGCAGCAAGAAGCTACGCCTCGGCGTCAAGAATGGAGTTGCGTTGCGCAAGGAAAGTTCGAACGAGAAGAATTTCGATGGCCGGGTGCAGTGTGCTGCCTATGCGCTGGAGATGCTATCCCAGAACCCTGGTATCCAGCACACGATAAACCTGCTGCACATTGGTGAGTCATGTCCACCCTCTCGTATTGTGCCCTCATGGTCTTCTAGACGACTGTCTGTTCATTTGGTACTATGACCGAGAGGGCATTGTACGGTCCAACGGCGTCAGCTTCATCGCCGACTTCCCTCGTGCGCTCGTTCTCATGGCTCTTTTCCAAAGGTTCACGGTTGAGGATTGGGGTCGATGCAAGACTTTCCATTGCCCTCCAAATACGCCTTCGTTTATTGTGTCCTTAAACGACCCCCTCTTGGAAAACAAGTACAATCCTCATGAATTCCTAGCGCTCGAGATCAAGTGTTCGGATGAGGACCATCTGTCTCCGCCGCCACGATGCCTAGGTGGACGCACCACCAGAGTCCTTCCATGCGAGCCCAAATCGAAAGATGGCAGTCGCGTGCTGGAGTCTCTCGTAGTGAAGATCTCTCATCCGGAAGTGCGTCGGGCGCATGAGGGGAAAACAATGAAAGGGATACGGAATATCGCGGCGAAATACGATGCGTCAATGATTGACCATCTGCCTGGACTGCTCTGCTACGCCGATGTCCGTGGCACAGATACCGGGCGGGTTCGAAGCTTGGTGGGCAAGCCCGGTAACGGACATCAAATCATGCGAGTGGTGGTGATGAAGAAGCTGGCGAAAGTCACCACGTTGGATGCGACTGATTTCCTTCGTGCTTGGCTTGATGCAGTGACATGTATGTCGTCCTCGCTCGAATCAGTCTTCGAGTAACGCTTTCTCTTCTGACAGGTCACGCTTTCCTTTGGAAGCACGGCATCGAGCATGGAGACCCCAGTCTCTATAACGTCATGTGCCATCCAGAAACTCGTCGCGGGGTATTGACAGACTTTGATCTGTCGATTCTACAGTGGGAGGAGCGCGTGCCTGGCTGCGATCGCACGGGTACTGTTCCGTTCATGGCCTTCGAACTGCTGGATGATGCTTACTGGAATGGCGACATCGTCCGTTATTATCATCACGAGATGGAGGCATTTATTTGGTGTCTTCCGTTCATGTGCCTCGGTGGGTTTGTAAGTGGTTCGGTGCGTCACGAGGTCATCTCAGATTGGGTGAAGGCAACCCCCTCGCAATGTCTCGGAGAGAAGCTCGCCTTCGTCAAGAAAATACGGCAGTACTCGAGCCATGTCCCTCTCAGCTTTGCAGCATGCTACCGGCTTGCTATCAGGCTCTGCTGGGCTGCTGACGACTCTTCTAACAAGTTCGCCCGGTATCCAGCTATCCCTCCCATTCAGTCTCTCGATTTGTGGACAATGTTCATAGCGGCAGTTAAGATGACGTCGTGGAGGAGACAGGTATCAACCTCTCAGATGTCCATGCCGGAGCTGGACGACACCTTCATTGCACCGCTTATTGAGCGGCTCGAGACCCATCGACCCCAATTCGATGGTTTGGATGACTCGATGAAATCTGAACTACGGCAGATATTCCTCGCTGACTCCCAACCACCAGCACTCCAGGTGAAGGCCCTGAAATTGAAAGACCGTATGAACTGTCGTCAAGACTCTCGACCGCGGTCAACTCCTCCTATCCCCCCTACCTAGGATTTGCGCGCGTAGGCAACCAGTTTGAACGTTTGTCCCTTGACCCCGTTCATTGCCCTTTCTTCTATCTATTCTATCGTACATACCACGTTGCACATACTTTGGCAACCCAATTATGTCCGCGGATACACATGTAAAATACAATATTCGCTCAAGGACGTCTTGGAAACGCGCGTGGTATGAGCGACGGTGTAGAAGAATGTTGTTTTTTTCCACGGCGCTTCTGCGTCAGTCGCCTATCCAAGGGGGACTTCAGAGCTGATTCTTTCCATCACAAATACCCCTTGAGTTCGTTTTTGCCACGGATTGGATGAGTTCCACGTGGTCGCGACGAACCTCAGACCTATGTCCTCCCCCAACGACGTTCAGGAGCGTAGCAGCCCCGTCTCCCCGTCGAAAGCAGGATCTTCTTTGACGTCCCTCTTCATTCTCCATGCATTGACTCGTCTCCTCACATTTGCTCTCAACCAGCTGCTTCTCCGCACGACCACTCCAATCGCGTTTGGGGTGACAGCAATCCAGTTCGAGTTGGTCTTCGGAAGCGTGATGTTGTTGCTGAGAGAGGGAGTGCGGGGCGTGGTTGTCAGAGTTGGTGTAGGGTTGATCGGCCATGGGCCCAATAACGCGAGGGGAACATCGCAACGTTCTCAGGAAATCCAGTCCTTGACGAATCTGACACATCTCCCCCTCCTTGCTGGTGCACCCATCTTGGTTGTCGTTTCAATCATCTATGCTAGTTTCCTCGCATCCCCCGAAACAGCCTCTCAACCTCATTTTATCGAAGCTGTCGTTCTGTACTCGTTGGCGGGTCTGCTGGAGCTGGGGTGCGAACCAGCGTACGGATTGTACGTGTCTTTACACCACGATTCTTCTCTAGATATGTGACGGTCTTGTACTGCCCCAAAGGATGACCTGACTTTTTACTATAGAGCGACATCGACGTTTCGAACGGACATACGTGTCCGCGCAGAAGGACTTGGTGTAACGTTGAAATCCGTGACAACCTTCCTTATACTCTACTTCTCGCACCACTCTCATCTCGCAAGCGATACGCATGAATATGCTCTATTGGCATATGCATTTGGACAATTAGCGTACAGTATCACGCTCGCACTTTCATACATGGCTGCGTTCAAGAAGGAGAGGTCGTTAATGAGGTGGAGCAAGCTCGAAAGCAGCGTAGCAAAGACAACAAGGTATGTAGACTAGCTCTTTAATATGTACCCCATTGACCACATCTCCCATAGCTTGATGCCGACCTACTTCATCCCTCATATGCTCAACCTCGTGCTCACCATCAACGCGCAAGCTCTCCTGAAGCACATACTGACGGAGTCCGATAAATTGGTCCTGTCGTACTTCAGCTTGTCTTTGGCTGCTCAAGGAGGGTATGCAATTGCCGCCAATTACGGTACGCGCTAGTCTACCTTGTTTTGCTGGCCGTGTCTAACGACTGCAAGGCTCACTCGTCGCACGGCTCGTCCTCCAGCCCATCGAAGAATCCTTACGACTGTTCTTTTCTGGCATCCTAGCGCCTCCTCCTCCTAGTTCATCAAGTCCATCTCCTGCTGGTCCCTCTTCCCCATCTCGCTCGTTGCCATCTCTACTGCATGCCCACGCGTCGCTCGCCATTCTACTGAAATCACAGCTATCGCTATCGCTCATTCTGGTTACCTTTGCCCCCATCTATCTACCCTACGCCCTCCCTCTCCTCCTTCCACCAGCATTTCTTCAGGGAACCAACGCTGCGGAACTTCTGCAGGTCTGGGTGTGGTGTCTACCTGTCCTGAGTCTGAATGGAGGCCTCGAGGCATTTGTCGCCGTCACTGCGGAGACGGGTGATCTAGCGAGACAGAGCTTGTGAGTACACTTTCGCAGAGCTATGAGACTAAATAACTAAGGATTGCATCAACGACAGCTTCATGTTCACTTTCTCGATTCTCTACTTGTCGTCGGCGCTGGTGTTTTACTCATATTTTGAACTAGGTGATGCCTCTCTCATCTACGCAAACATCGTCAACCTCCTCGCTCGGATATCGTTCTGTCTCTTCTTTGTCCAAACGTTTTTCCAGGGGCAATATCAGGCGATTGTGTCCCAAGCTGCAGCACCTCCGACACACAAACCCATTCAGTCCTACCCGTTCACATTCAAGCCTGGGGAATGGTTGCCGCATCCACGAGTAATAACCACCTGCGTGCTTTCGTACGCTATACTCTCATCGAAGGCATTGGTGCCCCCTCCGATGACAACGTCGTCGTCCCCGATGCGATACCTTCTTTCGAAGGTTATGATCAGATATATCGGTGTTGGAGGTGCGCTGGGATTAGGCTGTTTATACGTATGGTGGATTACAACAGGAAAGCTGTTGAGGACTACCTTTACTAGATGGGCAACGGCGAAGACAGCCTGAGTCTCTGTGCACTCTAGATCAACTAGAATTTAGCGGTATACGGAGAACTGTATTCACAGGATGCAGGCAGACGCGCGTCGTATTGATTACTCGACAAGACTTGCCTGCAAAATTCAACCTTTAAGCTTTAAGTTTGAGCATGGTCATGAATCAGGATATAGTTCATCTCAAAAACAAGCGCCCAAATCCACTTCCATCAAATACTATTACGACCGGCTCGCAAGGCCAGCGCTTTAGCTCGCACAATCAATGAACTCATGAATGGCCAACCCTTCATCCGTGTACAGTGCGATGGTCAACGATGCGCAGCTTCCGGACGACCTGAATGGGATGCCTCTGGGCCCGGAGACAACTGAGACGGACAGCGTCGAAGATCTCCCGCGTCTACCAAGTTCATCTTCCTTGCCAGTTCCTAATACGCCAGCCAGCTTTGTGCAGCGATCCCCTCAACAGCCCAGTCAAACTTCTGTACACCCGTACGTTCACAGGCGCAGCACGGCATTCAATAAATTCATCCTCTACGAAACGCGTTTAAAGTTCTACATCGTTGCTAGCAATGCGTCTGATTCAAGGCATAGGATCATTAAGGTCGATAGAACGGGGGACAGAGAGAGCAGTGGCAGAGAGTCATCGGAGAAGGGTGGCAGCGGAGGAGGGGCGAGCAGTCCGGAGCTGGATAGTGGCGGATACGGGCTGAGCATCGTGGAGGACGACACGGAGTATACTGGAAAGCAGATGAGTGCCATGCTCAAGATGCTGGAAGATGGTAACAGGAGCTCTGGTGGATTGGGGAGAGCGAGGGTGTTCTTCGGGGTCGTAGGTGAGTACTTGATTAGTGCAATTCTCGTGCGCTCGCTCTGACGTAGATGTTGTGAAGGATTCATCCGGTTTACCTCCGGATATTACATGGTGATCATCACGAAGCGGTCTGTTGTAGCGCTGCTTGGCGGGCATTACTTGTATCACTGCGAAGGCACGGACGTTATACCTGTGTGCCCGACGATGAGGGTAGAACGGGAGCGACAAGCTGAAGAGACACGGTCGATGGCGATCTTCAGACAAGTGGACATGTCAAAGAACTTCTACTTCAGGTATACGGGCCATGTCTTAAATCCTTCTTCTTTCTTTACTAACACTGTACGCGTGCAGTTACACATACGACATAACGTCTACGCTACAGCATAATATGACGCATGGTGGAATATGCATGCACCACACTGTTGATGGTGTTTCGGTGCATAGGGGGAGGGCTTTCAACGATCGGTTTGCTTGGAATTTTAACATGATGAGTAAGGCGAATGGTGCATTTAGCGTTGGGGAAAGTCGGGGGCGAGGAAGTGGAGTAGTGAGATTGACCGCTGTGTGGATGGTGCCGCTTGTTCACGGACACGTAGATCAAGCCAGTGAGTGTCATTTACTTTGTATATCGCGCACTGTTGATCAGTGCTTCAGAGCTTACAGTGCTCGGCCGAGTCGTCTTCGTGACGCTGATAGCGAGGAGGTCAAGGCACTATGCAGGCGCGAGATACCTGAAGCGGGGAGTGAACGACAAAGTAAGTCACTCGTGCTGCGAGTCCCGTTCATGCTCACCTCACGATCTGTAGGGAAACGTAGCGAATGAAGTTGAAACCGAGCAGATAGTCTCAGAGGCGCTCACCACTCCATTCTACTTCCCGCCAAAGAGGGAATCCAGCGAACTCATTGGCGAGACGAGGTCAACAGATGAAGGGAAGGGAGAAGGGAAGATCAACCGAAGTGGCCTAGCCGAACATCTCAGAAGACCCAGCCCTAACTACACTAGCTATGTTCAGGTTTGCGACCCATCCTTTTCGCTGGCCATTCTCGCTGATGGTGGCGGCTTCAGTACAGAGGTAGCATACCGGTATACTGGACACAGGAATCAAGTGGCGTAACTCCCAAACCACCCATTGAGAGTATGTGGATTTCGTTTCCGTCTCCATCAAGTGCAATGATATATAGACGAAACGCAGTCAGCGTCGTGGATCCATTCTACACTGCGGCATCACGACATTTTGATGACTTGTTCAGGAGGTATGGGGCACCGATCACGATCTTGAATCTCATCAAAAGGTAAATGTAATGATACGCCTTCTTTTCTTATGTTTTTGGGCTTCCTCGGTGCGGGTAATTGATGTTTCGTTATCGTACTAGACGGGAGCCTCAGCCTCGGGAAAGCAAGCTATTGGACGAATATACGCAGTGCGTACGTTATCTGAACCAGTTCTTGCCGAAGGGAAAGAAGATGGTGTATCGGGCGTGGGATATGTCTAGAGCGTACAAGGAGTATGCTGTTTCACTCCCCTGCTTCTTCGTCTGATCGTTTACTCGCGCCGGTATTGCAGGAAAACTCAAGATGTAATCAGCTACCTAGAGGATTTGGCGGAGGAGTCTATTCAGATGACTGGCTTCTTCCATTCAGGCGCGGAGCCTTACGCCCATTATCTCCATAACTTGGAATTGAGGTGAGCTCGCTATCCTGGGTCGAGCTGCAAGATGTTCAAAAGTTCCCTTTACTTCTGCGTTCATTTGCGCCACGGCGTTTCTGGTGGATACACTGCTATCCCTTCTGATTGACACCTGGCAACACTCGACATCCCGTGTTCATTCCGGTTATGATTGTGATGATGCTTCATAGCCATGCAGAGAATCATCACGTCTCAGCCCAATCACCCACCGACGTTCAGTGGCGCACTTCAATCTCCCTCCAGAATGGAATATGCCGAACCAACTGCGTTGATTGTCTTGATCGAACGAACGCAGCCCAATTCGTCTTTGGGAAGCGAGCACTCGGGCATCAATTGTATGCATTGGGTGTCGTGGACAGCCCGAATTTGGCGTTCGATTCGGATGCGGTGAATATGCTGACAGAAATGTACCACGATCACGGCGACAGTGAGTATTTACTCCTCCCCCTACATCTCACTCGAGTTGGTGATTGATGCTATGATGCTTCGTGCAATGTAGCGATTGCGCTGCAGTATACCGGGAGCGCCCTCGTCAATCGTGTAGAGACATACAGAAGGATGCCGCATTGGAACAGTCATTCGAGGGATATTATCGAGAACATCCGACGATTCTACACGAACTCGTTATTAGGTGCGGACGCTGATGAATTGTGTAGGCCATAGCTCGGTTGACTTACGAACATGTTTAGATGCCGACAAGCAAGCTGCGATTAATCTATTTCTCGGTGTGCAATCGGAACGAGTGGCTCCTCCGCCTGTGCGAGGCGGCTATCAGCAGTGGTTTGATCCTGTTAATCTGGAGCCTGCATACGTGTTAGAGGACTGCGAAAGGGGGCTGGAGGAGTTCGTCAGGGGGAGCAGGGGTGATTTCTGGATCGAGTATTACAGGCCGTTGCTGTTTACAAGTTTGGGTAAACACTTCGCGTATTCGATGAATAGCACGCTGAAGTTACCCGGGTCAGTGGATTTTCCTTCGTTTGATTGTTGGGTGGTCGAACTGATGACAATGATGGGTGATAGGAAGACGGCGAAGGATATGAATTATAGCCCTTTCGAGGCACATGGAAACACGTCCAGAAGGAATGCGGGGTAATATTGCTTTCTGCGTTCTATCTTTCATCAACTTACGGTCGTAAAGTATGGTCCAAGGTGTTCGGCGTTGGATGACCTCGTCCAATTCCAAGTTCCAGATGGCACAGCCGAGGGTAGAGGCGAAACATAAGCAGAATAGCTACTCCGACAAGCCTGACCTTGGATCAACGGAGGTGATCGCAAGACAATTATTAGATCCCGCCGTTTCCGTCGAAGACGAGAAAGAATATCAGGAGTACGTTATTTCTTGATTGTGATGGGTATGGTATTGATCTCGGCTGTGACAGCTATGTTGATCAGTACCATGAATTCCTTGATGCACCGTTGTTGTTCGGTGAGCGGAAGGACCTGGAGAAATACTCACTCGCTGTTCGGACTGCAATGGGGGAGGGCACCGTCTGGAGCGAAGAAGCCTCCAAGAATTTCCATACGTTCAGTGTGTATGTGGAGCATGGAAAGATCGAGTATTTAGATGGTGTTGGGAGGAAGAAGGATTCGATGGCGCTGACGGCGTGGTATGAGAGTCGATGGGTTGCCGGTGTCACGTAACATTTCTTATTGTAATGGATCACCATGATGGTTGGGGATTGCAAAACGAATCTGTCCAATGCTGCATAGGTTACATCGGGGGCGCTTGACAGGCGCTAAAGAGCAACGATCACAACACAGCCATCCTTGGCAATCTACTTTCCCGCCTTCTCCAGACTACATCGATTCCACTCGAACACTCACACATTTCTCGAATCCCGAGGCTCCTGTTCGCTGTGGCCAGTATATCTACACTCGCAGTGCTCAAGCCAACATGAAGAAGCTATTTGGCAGGGATAAGCAGAAGGTAGCCAAGGTTGTGGCCAAGGAGCCTTCGTCACTCGGTATAGAGGTCTGTGGCCTGCGGGCATTCTCATCCATGCGTAGGGAGGACTGACAGGCTGCTTTACTGGTAATGATATGCGCAGGAATCTGTTCCGATATACGCTCAGCACGCCTCCCAGGTCTCCCGCCAACCACCAGCTGAGCACGGGCACTCGACATATCCTACCACCAACCACTATTCGCAGCAGCCTCCTCGACCATCAATTGACTCAGAGCGCTGGGAGATTCTAGAGGGGAGAGAGGATTCGTCGCGTCAGAAATCGCACTCATATCCACAGCAGCAGCAACCGCAATATCCGAATCAATACGCACCTCCTGCGCGTGCGCTGCCGGCGTCACGAGAAGGCTCTTTCAATGGTAGTTTGCCACCGGGAGCTTCCCCACCTGTCTCGAGTCCACTGCCACGGTCATCTTCGCCGTTTAGTAGCGCCTCTCTTAAGGAGCGGGATAAGGCACAGAAGAAGAAACCGCCACCTAATCCCGCTGTTGTTCTGGGTATCGTCAAATCGCTGGACGCTCACACTCACATACACAATCAGGGGCACGGCGAACCCGCAGCCCTTCAGATGCGGAACGCGCCCAGCCAGGAGGCGATGTATGATGTATCACCACCTCCGATACAGTCGCTGCATCCAGGGGATGGGAAGTTCCCTATATCGAACATCGATCCAAAGCATTCGATCCGTCTAGTCGGCGCCCCTCAGGCGAGTGAGGTGAAGAAGGAGAAGAAGGGAGGAGGTCTTGAATTTTGGGAACGGATATCAGGGAAGGATCGTGATAAGGAACGGGACAAGGAAGTTGAGCACGATAGAGAGCGAGAACCTAGAGTCAAAGATAGAGAGCGTGGTGGAGACAGAGAGCGTGAGCGGGATAAGGACAGATTCCGGGATAAGGAGAGAGACAGGAGGGACGAGGAAGGCCAGTTAACTCGGATGATAGGTTCGTATATGTGCAGTTTACCTGCCATAGCGCTAAAACGACTTCACCAGGTTTCCTTACCGCGACGGCATCAGAAGATTGGAACCTTGCTTTGGACGTTTGCGAACGCGCTTCTGCCAATGAAGCGTCCGCTAAGGAGGCCGTACGGGCTTTGAGGCGAGAGTTCAAGTACAACCAATTTCCCTATGAAGCTTGGGTACAGTACTCAAACGGATGCATATAGATACGGGGAGCCAACGGCGCAATTATCCGCCGCTCGAGTGAGTTCCCTCTCAGCTCCTTTGCCTCTTGATTTAAACCTTCAATCCGCATAGTTATGGGCCATCATGCTCTGGAACTCCAATGAGTTGTTTGTGCAGCACTCTATGTCCCGCAAATTCCTGGATACCCTAGAGCATCTTATTACCTCGTCGCAAACAAGTCCCGTCGTGAGAGAACGCATATTGGATGTCCTAGCTGCTGCTGCTTTTGCTAGTGGGTCAAGTACGTGCTTTCTGCTTACTTCCAGTTTCACACGATGGCTGATTTCACTTCAATTCTCAGAGAAAGACGGCCACCACAAAAATGACAAGGAAGGCTTCCGAGGTTTGTGGCGAAGGGTTAAGCCTGCTGATAAACCAGACGAGGTGTGCCCAGCAACTTCTTCGAATTTCGGTGTTGTTAATGTGAGTCGAATAGGGCGTACCTCTGGACACTAGAGATTCGATATTCAACCCACCCGTACAACCTAACCGCGTCTCCTACCACCAAGACGGTCCGATACCGTCGCCATATCCTGAAGTCCACACAGAGACGCCTAGAGCTCCTGACAATGTATGTCTTACGCCGTTGCCGAATTGATATGCGTTCTCACTTGCATCTTTGACTCAGGCTCCGCCGCCGGCTCCTCGCAAACGCAGATCAGTCACCCGAAACCGGATTATACCCCCAGAAGAGGACATGCGTCGTCTGATGGAAGAATGTACGATTGGACAAGGCAATGCCTCGCTTCTTTCCCAGGCCTTGGTATATGCGAAACCGGAGAACCTCAAGAAGGATCAGATCATCACGGTATGTTTGTTTGTTCGTGCTTTTCGGCTATACCCATTCCCCATATCGCGTTTCCTTTCGTCGTCTTCTCCGTCCCACCAGTTTCCCTGTGTGAGGCATAGTGCACGGACAAATTTGACTTACCTATCACCTTGCAGGAATTCTATGCCAAGTGCCGCGCTTCACAGGAACTAATTTATGCTCAAATACCCTGGGCATCTTCCAACGCGGAACGTTCACGGCTGGCGAAAGAAAAGGAACAGCAGCAGTCCTTGCCGAAGATTGTGAACGGCAAGCCAATATCACCTCCCGCAAGCATCGATCCAGATAATTCAAATGACAAAACTCCGGAAGAAAAGCTCCTTGATGCATTGTTGGCCGCCAACACAGAGATCATGGACGCCTTGCAACAGTACGAAGATATGGAACAGATAGGTCGTGAGAGAGAGGCTGAGGACAGGAGCCGGAAGGAGACTAGAATGAACCGTCAGGTGCTCTTTCTACCCTTTCCCTGACTTACTCAGACGCTTACTTTCGCACCCAGCAACTGTCCCACCTCGATGCAGAAGGCAATAACGGCCAGGGAGTTGGTGCCAGCTCGAGGCCACATTCGCGGACCGGATCCTCATCCCCGTCGCCGCCAGCGTCCATATGGACATCGCCACCGACTGGGGAAATACCAGGACGACCGCAACAAGGGAGCACCATTGCGCATCCCTATCCACGGCAACCCTCCTCCCCACCAGGTTTCGGACCAGGCGCCCACGGGGGCTCAGCTACTGCTATTCCACAGACCTTGGCCCCCCCTCCCGCAGCGCCCCATGGCCCACGATCTCCGGCGCAATCGTCTACTCACTCTCGAACCCCGTCGCCCTCTACGCCCGCTTACGAAATGCCGCCTGTTATGTCCGCCTATTCAGGCTCTAATACCAGCCGATCCCTCCCCCTTTCTTCTCTGGCCCACGATGCCGACGCCGATGATGACAACCCACATCCCGCTGGACCTAGCGAGAAAGCGTTGGGTAAACGGAGGGTGGTTGAGGAGGAGGAACCTGAAAGTAAAGTCGACCCACTATTTACAGCTGCTGTGTCTAACATCACTGCTGTAGAACCATTTGACACAGATGACCTCTTCTTCGACCGGAAGACCGACAACCTCAGCACGGATGATTCCATTGAGTCTGATCGTGAGTCAGACAATGCTGTCCTACGCAAATGGGGGCACACTCCGGTTCACTATGTATATGACGCTGCCGCTGAGCGTACGAAACAACGGATGGAGAGGGGTAATCTGCTGGTTAACGGTGTGCATTAATTTGGTTAATAAGTTAAGGGCCGCTGCAAGTTGTTCGCAAATGCATTGGGCGCCGTTGTTCTTGATTATCTACGTTTGTATCATATTATCGTCCTCGCTTCATGATAATGCAAGACCACAGGACGCAGAACAAAGAATGTGGGTGCTACTTTAAGCATCGTAAGTCAATAGGGTATATCCATCAACTCGGCGAGATGCCCTCCGATGTCTGACACGCATGAATAGATCCGTTGAGCCCATTATAAATGCCACTCAACACTTACTCATGTTTCCAAACAGTTCCAACTCCATCAAATTACACGAGTACATTTATACATTCATAGAACCCGTGGATAATATCGATAAGTCCATCAGTCGTTCTCTGAAGTCTAGACAGTATCTTCAAGAGCCTTCGAGAGCGGACCAAACGCCTCCATCGAGCTTCGAATCAAGTTTTATCCAGTCACCTTCCAAGAAACCTGTCGTCTTATTATTTGTCCCGCACCAGACGAGAAGGAGGAGTAATATATGCGGTTATCCCCGCTGAACCTCGCGCCGGAATAGCAGATGGACGATAATGGGTTTCCATTGGTCTTTTCCATGTCTATTAGACATTTCCATAGCCAGGAATCTAACCACATAATCAGCCATACATAGATTCCAAAAGGGACTGGGGGTTAATACCAATACCAAGGTCTACCTACCAATAGCTCTCGGTGTGAGAATGACACCAGTTTCGTGGAACTGGGAGTTCGGTGGGGTGTAGCGAGGCCGCCTTTTGGCATTGGATGGCTAGCAATACGATCGTCGCTCCTGGCGAGACCCCGAAAGTAATCAGATTTGACATTGCTATCTCTCACGACGCCCACCGCCCGTACCGGCGGAATGAAACTGTGCTTCATGGCTGCACAGCGAGAAAGTGGCGACAATATCCGATTGGAAGAATCAGTAAAGGTGGAATCTAAATGAGAATCAGTCTAGTGGAGTTTATATATAGACATGCATGCCGTGTCGCCTACAAGAGATAAGTCGCCACGATGCGACGCTCCTGACATAAATATTGCCAGAGGGGGTGGCAGCCACTAGTATCGTTGCGACGATATCGAGAGCCGCCGTACGAGCATTGCACATGGGAGAGCTTCTGCGATTATACGAAGCATAGGAGTAATCCATCCGATCGAGTAGCCAAATCCTGAATGTTTTCCTTCTCCATTGGGAGAGTATACTAGGATTCTGGGTCTTCACCTCCTCGATCACACGACACTCCTGCCAATTGCCAAGCCAAGACTCTGATTCACCAGGTATGTGTACTCGGATGGGCGCACCTCGATGATAGCGGTGGTACTCGCCCTCGGCCTTTTCGTGGTCGACATACCGAAGCCGAGGGAGTATCTGAAGCATTCTGCGGCTAGATGGCCGTAATCGACGATCATGGGTTCGCCGAAGCAGAGGCGGCGTATCTGGGTGGTTCGTAGCAGTCCAAGTACTGCGATATCCCAGGAAGTCGCTGAAAGCAAGAGTGCTAAGAACAAGAGGGTCATATGTAATGTAATGTCTACCACTCGAGCAGCGATTGCGAGATCTTGTAGACGAGGCATGCGACTAGTCAGTGTGAATGTCCATCTATATCCCTCGTCGTCTGTCACAGACATCAGGATGTTGCTCAAAATGTCGCGGGGAATCGAGTGTACACCGAACGCCTGGGGTAGTAGTACCCATCGTCATGGAACTGTAGGGTTTGCCAGAGAAACGATCCTGATACTGTGTGGAGAATTCGCGTTGTAAGCTGCAGAGTCAAGAGTGCTCTGCGGTCGTGCAACAATTCAGCAAATATTAGCCGGAGAATGTCGTCCGGTAGGGTGCCAAGCTTCGCGCTGAGTCGGTTATGGAGTTACCAAGCGCCTTGCCACGCGCCCAAATCTCGTTTCTGCCTCGCTGGTCTCTAGCTAGTAGTCACCAGTCAACACTGCAGCTCGCACAGCCAATGAACGCATGAATGGACAACTCGCTGCTCGAGTGGTAGACATTACATTACATATGACCCTCTTGTTCTTAGCACTCTTGCTTTCAGCGACTTCCTGGGATATCGCAATACTTGGACTGCTACGAACCACCCAGATACGCCGCCTCTGCTTCGGCGAACCCATGATCGTCGATTACGGCCATCTAGCCGCAGAATGCTTCAGATACTCCCTCAGCTTCGGTATGTCGACCACGAAAAGGCCGAGGGCGAGTACCACCGCTATCGTCTCGGGGGATGCGAGGAAACTAGCGTAATGGTATGATTGAATGACAGTCAAGATGGGTGCACCAGCAAGGAGGGGGTGTGTGTCAAATTCGTCAAGGACTGGATTTCTGGAGGACGCTGGGATGTTTCCTTCGGTTTCAAGGTACTCGACCACGCCACGAAGACCAACTCGAAATAGATTGCTGTCCCCCCTAACGCGATTGTAGTGGTCGTGCGGAGAAGCAGTTGGTTGAGAGCAAATGTGAGGAGACGACCGAATATATGAGCCACGAAGAGGGAGGTCAAAGACGACCTCCCTTTCGACCGGAGGGGGAGGCTAGTATCTGTTTGGAGGCGGTTGGGCCATAGTATAGGCTGGCGTTGTCGAGCACAAGTCACCCAACGGTCAAGAAACTCGATGAAGTCTCGTGCCGCAGCCGCCACCTCGCCCAACAATCTGACGATCGAAGCTGGAGGAACATCAACAGTCCTTCGAGCATACTTCCGACATTTAGCTATCCCTTGCCGTCGACAATTTGATTGTAAATTTCCTCAGTCTATCGGAAGCGCATCGTCAGCGAAAGAATGGTCACAATTTGTAGGGCAAAGGATACAAGATGTAAACATAAGGAAGATAAGGAGATAAATAGTCAAGATGTGCTATACATGCGCTCGACGCGCGATAGTATACAGATGATCGAAAACATATCGCAAAGCTAGGCATTCAGGCGTAAATATATGTCTCAGAAAATAAACATAATAAGACCGAGATCATAAGGAGACGCAATCTGTGTTCGGACGCTCTACTTACCTGCTAGGAGTCAACGTCTCAGAGCCTCAGCCACCGCAAAGGCAAGCACGACGCTGGCGTCGAATATCCTCCAATTCCACCCCAAAACATCAAGCGCGATCTCCGTGGGGGGCACCGGAGGAAGAACGTTGGGATAGGGTATCAGAGGCGTAACGATATTCGTAGGAGGCAGGAGGCGGTAAGGCCACGCAATGTGGCACGCCAGCCGAGCGATAGACGCCGTTAGAGGATCGTAAGCCGCGGCGACGTGTGTCAACAACGAAGGATATTTGTCGATGTGGACATTGGACGTTGAGCTGCTCGATGAAGCAGCGAGTCGGGTATATGGGCGGGCGAAGGAGACGAACGCTCCCACCAATGATGGGATAACGAGCGTCGGCAACACCCAATGCAAGAGGATGAGGAAGAGTGGGAAGACGAAGTCAGACCCGAACACTGGGACTTGGATCGTTACTCCTGACGAGATCGTATACTACGAGTAAGATAACGGATCAATTACTGTACGAGGAAGAAAAAGGAAGATACACACATACGCATGCCTCCATGGAGTAGCAATACAAATAATATACGCGAACTCGGTGAAAGCCGTGAGGTTGGAGATGTTCGTAGGATTGGAAAAGAATGCGCGGGTCGCGTCGATGAACATGTGGATATAAGCAAGTAGCGTCCGTCTCTGCGACGTTACTCGAGCTGATGGACTTGGTGAAGGCGCGGACATGACCCTTGCGTGCGAGGCGGCTCCCTCTCCTTCAGCTTCAAAATCATGTTCTTGAGCGTCAGTGGGCGACATTGAACGGTTCGTACGACCGTGGCTGGCGGACGGTGAAGGGGATGGTTCCTGGGGTGATATGGGATGTTTAAGGAGCACTGATATATATCTCATATCCTGCTGCGGTGTCGCCTCGACCTCTAAGACAGGATCTAACGGAATGACACGTTTCTTTGTACGATGCGTCAACGTGGAAGGCTTGCGTTCTTCCTCGTTATCGGCGGCGGGTACAAATTGCGTGATTCCCGTAGCAGATCCCGTTTTCGACGATTCTACCGGTTGGACGCTACCCCTAGAGCTCCTGCCCCTCCTGTTCCGCCCATACAGGCCACGGAACTCATCCTGATCTTCAAGGTCAGGGTTGTCATCTAAGTGCTTCTTGATTCGCTGCTGCAGCTCATAGTTCGTCCCCGCATCGGAGATTTCAAGAGCAATGGCAATTTCCTGAAGCTCGGCCTTCTTCTTGGGCTGAAGGGAGCCTGTATATATCTGGATGGGAGGCATCGCCAATAGCGCGGCCAAGTCGCGGGGACGCAGGGGAATATCAGGCGGACTCGACGCGGTCGGCTGGAAGCAAGATCCAGAAGTAGGAGGGCAGGTACGCCTGGAGGGGACGCGGACGATGATGGTGGGACGCTACTAACAAATGAGAACACGCTCATCCTGTTGATGAAACGCGTCCCTGGGAAAGTTACGCGCTGTGAAAACACATGACACGATAGGAGAAAAGGGGGTCCAGACAGGAGGGTCAGTAATTTGTTTTCTCGGACCTGCTGGCGGCGGGCGCTACATATCATATACTCTGTATCAAGAAGTAATGTGACAAAGGGAGCCTTTGAGACGGGTCTGTATAGTTGTTTCTTCTTGTTGCTCATCTTTTGGCCATTGCCTTCAACATCCAAACCCTGAGCCGTCGGGCGATGCCAAAAGAGCCCCCCTACGTTCGTAATTTCAGGAGGTCGCAACGATGTTCACTTGAAGTACGGTTTTCCAATTGAATAATTTCAGAATTATTCCTAAACGACCCACCCAATTTCTAAGCCTACGGTCGACTGTCACCAAGGTACTGGAGGCAGACGTTGTCGCCGACTAGCCCGTTCTAGTTCGAAGTTCAGGCGGCTGGAATGCGGAATTTGGCTTCGACAGTCCATGCGCACGGGCATACCATGTGAACTATATTTACAAGACCTTTCCACCGGACCTGGCAACGGTTGTCTAAGTTACTCGTGTGCTCAACACCAACATTCTCTACACTCTCCTACTACGTGAAATAAACAATAGGCTACATGGAATGGTATATTCAAAAAACGTCCAGCGATAGCTTCAAAGCAACGAAATATAGAAAGATGAACACAAAGTGAACTTGCAAAGCTTCACTCTCTTAGCCTCAGGGGTATATCAATCACTCTTACCAAGGTACCGGGTTGAGCCCATCTCCAGTATGTACATCAACGGCATCACCGCTCGACAGCCAAAGGCGCATCAAATCGAACATGACATGTTCAAATCAACCGCTGATACCAGCCGGCTCACATGTTGCAGAGGAGGAGGATGCCAGAGATACCGAAGAATCCTCCAAAGAGAGCGTAGATGATAGCGACGCCCACAGGAAGAACGGAGACGAAGGGTCCATCCCAATCAGAGGGGAGCGTGAGGACGAGAGTGTCGGCCGGGGGCATAGTGTTGGTGCTCGCGTTGCATGCAGTTCTATAAGCTACAGAGGGACGTCCCGTTATGCCGGAGGCAGCAGAGATAACGCTTAACAACTTACCACCCAATACCGGGTTCGACCCAGCGCGGAAGTCGGCCATGGGCTTATTCTCTCTAATCAACTCCGTGAATATGCACTGTTCGCACTGAGTAAGGTTGCCAAGGGCGTCGGTGCCACACAAGCAGCTGGCGTCGTCTGCGCAGCCCTAGTTCGTTTGTAATAGGCTTCATCAGAGGGCTCTTCAAGTTTGTCAATCAGATACTTACAATCAGGATATTCTGGGCGATGGTACAGTTCTGCGAGCACTATAGAACGGCGTTTGAGGGATAGGACATTTACTACTGCATCCTTAATGCAGCACTCACGAGGCTCGGAATTGCTGTAGTAGGGGCGATAATGTCTTTGGTTGCGAGTTCGGCAGTCCCGACGGTGATATTGAAGGCCGCTAGGGCTGAGATCACGAACAGATGAGTATACACTCCTGCGGCGACAAACTGATAGACCCACCCCGACCGGCAAGACATACCACCAAGGCGAAAGAAAGGAAGAACTTGAACGTGAACATCGTTTGCTGCTTTGAAGGTCGAGAAAAATTGGGAGATGAATGGAAAGAATGTGGAAAGGCCTGCCAGAGGTCAGGAGCACTTGTTTGCCGAAAGGTGGGGGAAAAGAAGAGACCTGGGAACAGGCAATTTATAGTCAGAACAGCCTGAGAGAATGAATTGTGATCTCAACGACGAACCGGAGAAATGGATGATGAGAGGCGGATTAGGGAGTGGCCACAGTGATCATCAAAGAATCCATTCACTCTGAAACATCCCACGATCATGCATCCCCCTATGTACTCCTAATACTAGCAGCCCGCAAACCCACACAGCTCTCATCGTACCTAGTGGTGAGAGCAATCTTGTTAAAATTGTAGATGAATGGAGCCTCGTATAAGTGGAATTTACTGCGCTTAGTTGCAGCCATATTCCCATTTCCTCAAGCAGTTGGTAAAGATGCCGATTAAACCTTAGCAACGACCCGGATTACTGGCAAAGAGATGGGCACCTGCGTAGTATTCGTACCGAGATGTGCCCTCGAGCTACGAAGTGAAACAATCCTTTTGATAAAGGCAACGAGTCTACCCGCCCTCCACATTGTTCTATGCGATGGAAGGGTGTGTCGTACGGCTGCGCCTGGGAGGCTGTTCGTGCAGAAAATTCGACGCACTCACAATATTACAAGTTCGTATTGTCGCCCAAAGCGTAGTAGCCTCTGGCAGTTGAACGACGTTTGGGGTTGGACGTTGACGCTGACTTCGAAGGCAAAGGGCCGTGACTGCGAGAACAGGGGCTTGCCCCTAGTCATTTTCTCCAAGACGCGATTCGAAATCGTTGTCTAACAGAGTCAACGCTTACCGCTCCTTTCAAGTCAACCTGCGATAACTCTCGATCCTAGAAGCAGTACCGCGTATCAACACGAAAAAACGCCTGGCAGAGGCAGTTTCGCCACAGTGTCACCTTATTTCAGACGACTCTCAATGTCAGCACCGACACCCATGCGTGATAAAAGCTTCGACTTCTCGGACGGGGATGTATTGCTTTCTGCTCCTGGAAACGCTGGAGATGATGAAGCCATCGCTGTCGATGCTGAAGCTTCATATTCAAACATCACCCCTGTTTACTCGCAGACCCCGGCTGCTGTCGTGTATTTTCGCATCCACAAGGCCTTGCTGACAGGACATCCCTCCATGTTCACAGACATGTTTGAGGTCGTGAATCCCTCTCTTTCTGAGCAGAATTTATATGATGGTGTACCTTTGATCGCTTTATACGACGGGGGGAGTCATGTAAGGGGGTTTCTCAGAGTATTATCCCAACCAGAGTGAGTCAAGCTTGATGGATGGTGAGTTAAAGCTCATTGATGTTCGTCTGCCAAAGGACCGTTTTCCTGCCCCGTTATCATCACCCATCGGCCGAGCTGCTGATGGGTCCGCCTTTGCTAGCTATTAAATATCAAGCAGATGCAATAAGAGATGTCATTGTTCTGCATCCAAGGGCTGATTGGCCTATAAGCAGTTACGCTGCATGGAAGAAGAGGCAATGGCAGGAGCCAAAAGCTTCCCCGGCGGATCGTCTCCGGATCCAGAGCCATTCATCCATCTCGTCCGAACGACGAACACCTCCGAGCTACTCAGAAAGCATCTTGCGTTGGCCTTTTACGCGCTACTATCCCGCCGGCCTTCTACCTGGCGGACCAATCTACTCGACGCAGAAGACCTCAACACCCTCGTGGTGCTGCACGATCAATGCGTGGTTGATAACATGGATTAAAGAAGACCCCAGCACTTACTACTTTTACGGTCGTAAAGCCCAAGGTAGACCACGGCTGGAAATTCGTCCATCCGAATGCAGTTGTAAACTGAAGGAGTTCAAGGACGAAGTGCTACTAGATTGGATGGAACACTCCTTGGATCATGTGGATGTCATTGAGTATTTAGAACACCTTGCGGTCATAGTCGAGGCGAACAGGTACCGTTGGAGGTTCTGCAACAGGAATAACTGTAGGAGCAAGGCGGCCCCCTGGATAAAGGAGATGGCGAGGATGTTTTATGATAGAATGGAGGAGATCATCTTCCCGTCGCACGCGCAGACTGGCAACTAAAGCCAAGATCAGAAGCTGTAGATGTTGTCCAGCGTCTTCCAAGGAACAAGTACAAAGACTTCAACACCCATTTCATTTAAATAAAATCCGTACAAATAGAATACCCCGTTTCCATCACCTCCTGGGTATATTTGATTGCTCTCTCCCAAATGCTTTCACCACCTCGCACCTCCCTCTCCCATTCCTTCTGTAACCCACACCCGGACGGCTCTACCAAGTATGTGTTGGTGTATCTCTTGCGCATGTCTCGAATCCATTCCCAGGCCAAGTCCCGGTCTGACGAGCGGACTAGAATGCACACTAGCATCTGCAATGTCGAGTTGTCTAAAAGGCGAGTCAGCGCGACCCGCTGCGTTTCTAGCCTGGCGCGGAAGAAGGTACCCCCGCAAAGGTATAGAGGTATGGCGAAATGAGTAAGCCGAGGAAAACGAGTGGTGTCTAGCATGCGGTCATTGTATAGCATCGAACATTGGGCTGCTAAGCGGATATGCGTGATGTCAATCGCAGGGAAGGATTCGTGCCTTTGTTTGCGCCCGCCCAGAATATCCTTATTCCATAAAGTGTTTGCGTCAATGACGAGCATCTGCAGAGGGCAATTCCTCCTCCCAATCGGCGGTTGATGTTCTTGCATCTGAAGCCAAGAGCGAAACGCGGGGGTATCGCAAATTAGAAGCTGGAAGGAATTTTGTTCCATGGCAATATGCTCCACATTGCAACACAACGCCATCATCTTCCAAACCCTATTTCAGACTGAAGCATCCACAAGTTCTTTACGGACTCGGAGGGTTGCTGGGACTTCCATTGCAAGGCGCCTTGAGTGAGGCTCGTCACCGTCTTATCTCCCTCCGACTTGGCATGAGGAGACGCCATGGCCAGAAATTTATCAACGGATGCCGACTCTGGCAAGATGGTGGTAGCGAAGAGATACGGGATTAGGAGTCGATAGCACCATGAATTGACGAGACACAGTGTCTTGCAAGTTGATGTGGAGGATTGTGCGGCAAGAGTGAATATATGCCATACTACTTCACGCGGGAAGTCCGCGAATTTTGCATCCTCCATGATACTCGCTATTTGCTATATTAGTGGAATGATTGACGTGAAGGGACGAGTTATGTACATACCTGAAGGTGTAGGGATGGTCGCGGCCTGGGAAGGTCCTGGTTTGCGGGGGTCTTAAGTTACGAGGCTGGGAACAGAACAAGGAAGCATCACTGATCATCACCACAGACCATGATGCATCAGCACCATCGGAATTGTAGAAAGAGAAGCCTGCACTGTCCAAGGAAACCACACAGTGGGGCCACTATGGACGTCCGAGATTTGCGTAAGGCGAGTCAGCATCTCGCAAAATCCTGGGCGATCGCCCTGGATGAGGAGTTACGAACTTGGGGTTCTAACTTCATTGAAATCGTTGAATGACCGATGTGAAGCGACGTCGCCGAATGTAGCTACGGGGAACCCAAAGACCAGGAAATCATAAGTTTCAGCCATGACAAGGGAGACGAATAATCAATTCGTCAGCTCTGGAGTTGGCCTAGGATAGGTCACTGACGCAGAGGAAGCGCCGTGGAAAAACTAACATTTTTTTACACCGTCGCTCATACCACTCGCGTTTCCAAGACGTCCTTGAATGAATATTGTATTTTACATGTGTGGGGATAATTGTGTTGCGAAAGCATGTGCAATGTAGTGTGATAGAATAGATAGAAGGGTCAAAGGGGCAAACGTTCAAACGCAAATCCTAGGTAGGAGGGATCGGAGGAGTTGACCGCGGTCGAGAGTCTTGACGGCCATTCATGCGGTCTTTCAGTTCCGGGGCCTTCACCTGGAGTGCTGGTGGTTGAGAGTCGGCGAGGAATATTTGCCGAAGTTCAGATTTCATCGAGTCATCTAAACCGTCGAAATGGGGCCGATGGGTCTCGAGGCGTTCGATGAGAGGTGAGATGAAGGCATCCTCCAACCCCAACATGGGAGACGATTTCGGATCCCTCCATGACTTCGTCTTAAGAGACCCTAAGAACATTGTCCACAGTTCAAGAGATAGGGCGGCAGGAAGAGGTTCTTTGTCTTCGTCGTCGTCACCAAGTTTTGAGGCGGACCTGCAGAGCAAGCTGGTAGCATGCTGCAAAGCTGAGAGGGACGTGGCTCGAGTACTGCCGTATTTTCTTGACGAAGCCAGCCTTCTTTCCGAGACATTGCGAGGGAGTTGCCTTCACCCAATCTGAGATGACCTCGTGACGCACCGAATCACCTACAAACCCACCGAGGCACATGAACGGAAGACACCAAATAAATGCCTCCATCTCGTGATGATAATAACGGACGATGTCGCCATTCCAGTAAGCATCATCCAGCAGTTCAAAGGCCATGAACGGAACAGTACCCGTGCGATCGCAGCCAGGGACGCGCTCCTCCCACTGTAGAATCGACAGATCAAAGTCTGTCAATACCCCGCGACGAGTTTCTGGATGACACATGACGTTATAGAGACTGGGGTCTCCATGCTCGATGCCGTGCTTCCATAGGAAAGCGTGACCTGTCAGAAGAGAAATCGTTATTCGAAGACTAATTCGAGCGAAGACGACATACATGTCACTGCATCAAGCCAAGCACGAAGGAAATCAGTCGCATCCAACGTGGTGACTTTCGCCAGCTTCTTCATCACCACCACTCGCATGATTTGATATCCGTTACCGGGTTTGCCCACCAAGCTTCGAACCCGCCCGGTATCTGTGCCACGGACATCGGCGTAGCAGAGCAGTCCAGGCAGATGGTCGGTCATTGACGCATCGTATTTCGCCGCGATATTCCGTATCCCTTTCATTGTTTTCCCCTCATGCGCCCGACGCACTTCCGGATGAGAGATCTTGACTACGAGAGACTCCAGCACGCGACTGTTATCTTTCAATTTGGGCTCGCATGGAAGGACTCTGGTGGCACGTCCACCCAGGCACCGTGGCGGCGGAGCTAGATAGTCCTCATCCGAACACTTGATCTCGAGCGCTAGGAAGTCATGAGGGTTGTACTTGTTTTCCAAGAGGGGGTCGTTTAAGGACACGGTAAACGAAGGCGTATTTGGAGGGCAATTGAAAGTCTTGCATCGACCCCAGTCCTCAACCGTGAACCTTTGGAAAAGAGCCATGAGAACGAGCGCACGAGGGAAGTCGGCGATGAAGCTGACGCCGTTGGACCGTACAATGCCCTCTCGGTCATAGTACCAAATGAACAGACAGTCGTCTAGAAGACCATGAGGGCACAATACGAGAAGCTGGACATGACGCACCAATGTGCAGCAGGTTTATCGTGTGCTGGATACCGGGGTTCTGGGATAGCATCTCCAGCGCATAGGCAGCACACTGCACCCGGCCATCGAAATTCTTCTCGTTCGAACTTTCCTTGCGCAACGCAACTCCATTCTTGACCCCGAGGCGTAACTTCTTGCTGCTAGTGACGCTATTCGTTGCTTCGAGTTTGCGTTTCGAAGATCTAGAGCTAGTCGCTGGGGGCGTTGCGCTTACATTGGGGGACGGACTCGTGGAGGGAGACAGCTGCACCTCGTCCATCTCGCTATCCTGCGGTCTTACGCGGACACGCCGCGCTGTTGTGGTGAACGCCGATTCGACAGCGGCGCGAGCCTCTTCGCTGGGACTTCCGATGGCCTTGAACTCTTCGAAACCGAGGAATGCGTCGAACTCGGGCTCGGCACCCTTGTCAGGCGATTGCTCAAGTTGAGTGCCGAGAGATTTCACTACAGAGTCACCAGCCTTTCCTACATCAGGCGTTCGGTGGACACGGTCGGCTCCCGTTTGGGATTTAAGGACGCTAGGATCGAGGCGACGGTACTGCAGGTCTGGGGCTGTAGGCGAGCGAAGCGGGAGATTTGTAGTTCTGAGCAATGACAGCGCCTTGTTGCACAAGTTCACGTAAGGAGCGTATCGATTCGTTTCTACGCCAGAAAAAGACCTCAAGCTAGACCACGCCACTGAGACCTACCATAATATCGAGCACGACCGACTCACTATTCAGAGAGTAGACTTCTGATACTCTCATCGTTTGCCACGGTCAATACTGCCTCGAGACACTGCTCGAGATGATTCTGTAGCGCGTCATCTCGTTGATGTCGCAAGCGGCCAAGGTCAGACTTCTGGCCTTGGTCGAGATTGTCACCGCGTTCTAGTTTCTCGATATCGTTTTGAAGACTTTCAAGGGAGGAATCGTCCCGTAAGCAGCGGAAGATAAATGCGCATAAGAGCTCGTCGAAGTCGCATACTTGAGCAGCACTCGTTTCCTGATGTCGGAAAAATCATACCTGCCTTTTAAGGATGGCCCCTTAAATCGTTCTCACAATGTCCTTGAGACAAAGAAGTTGAGCTAACTGCCGCGGCAATTGAGCTCGTACCTACGCCAGATTTGTTAGAGTAGGACAGTAGTATATATACTTCAATTCGTGATAAAGTATATTGGCTTAAACCACAACTTTCCTTGCTTTTAATGGAGTAACATCCATTATAAGCCCCTTAAAATGCCTTTTAACGAAAGCGTAGGCTTTTGAGCGCTCAAAACTCAAATAGGAAATTTCCGACACTGAAGCAAGATGCCAGAGAGGTCTTTGTATCTGTTTTGCAATATCAACGGTGAGGACATATGTAATTGAGATAGTTGCGCCATACTTCGTGGGTTGTGGCGAGGACATTCCGGCTTAGAGTGCTGATGGTCATGATGAAGAGTTTAGCCGCCATTCAGCATACGACTCATGTGACGGAATATTGCTGATCATGTGATACGCGAGAGTGCATTTGATATTTATTATAATACAGCAAGAAATATGCTAAAGCTACTTACAGTCCTTCACCAGTCACTAGTACTAGTTCACTAGTCAACACCGCAGCTCGCACAGCCAATGAACGCAATGGACAACTCTTCCTCCGTGTATCGTGCAATGGTCAACAGCGCGCAGCTCCAGATGACTTAAGTGGGACGTCTGCAAGACCAGGGACAACTGTGATAGATGGCGTCGAAGATCTCCGACCCATAGTTGTTCCGGCTTAGGCCGGAGGATACTGTCGCAGAGGTACAGTGGTATGGCGAAATGTGTAAGTGGGGAGAAAAGAGTGACATTGGGTGCAAAACTCTCGAGTAAAACTGGACTTCGAGGTGCTAGGCGGATATGCGTGATGTTGCTTGCAGCGAGGTATCGAAGTCCTGCCAAAAATGGCCGGCGGTGTTTCATGGACGGTTATTTACAGAGGTCGACTCCTGCTCTCTAGCGGCGGTTGAGGATGTTTTTGACCCAAGCACGCAGTGCACTCAGAAAAATCCAAGCCCTGACCCGATCCATGTCAACATGCATTGTGACAGCATACCACCATATCATAAATCTCCTGGCTGTTGGGAGATAGACCCAGAGTCTGTACGTATTCGGAGGGCATGCAGGGCTTGCAATCGATTTCAATGCCTCCATCCGATTGAAGAGATAACAAGGCTAGAAAGCGTTTGACAGATGTCGGCGCAGGCAAGATGATGGTGGTAAGGAGATACGGAAGGGCTAGTTGATAACACCACGAGCTGACGAGACATAGACCTAGGCAAGTCGACGAAGACGAACGTGCAGCATGTTCAAATATGTTCAAGACCACTTCGCGTAGTAGGTCAGCAAAATACGTACTGAGGGTCGTATCTCTCTTTCCCTTTCCTCCTGGACTCCGAGTCCATGATTCCTCTGTAAGTAAGGATCGATGAGGGTGAATGGTTCCAGACGATATTCACCTGGGTATACTGGCTGCTCTGCTTGCGGCTTGAGGGTGATCATTCTCAATTAGTCCTCGATGGTGGATCTCAATACCTCAGGTCAAGAGATTGCAGTGAGCTGTTGGAATTTCCCATAACGACTTGTTCTGTGGTGATGGTGCGGGGGAAGGTGCAGGGGAAACCCATGTCACGCCTACCGAAAACAGAACTCGGTGGCGCCAGTGACTTTATTGCGAACAGTGATACTGCGGTAAACTGCGGCTCATCTCACACTTCAGATTATTTAATAGGCTTCAACGAGTCCTCACGCCCATCCAGAACCCCCAGGCTGAAACATCTCTAGGTGCGTTCCTCAACGCGTCGACCTCAATACTCATCATGAATGTCGGTGATCACGAAACATAGTGAACACTCAGCACTCATGGAGAATAACCCATTTATGAAATTCCCTCCTGAAGTTGTGTGGCACATTTTCGAACACGCTGCGCGCTCGTCGACATCGACTTGCAAGACCCTTTGTCTCGTCAACTCATGGTGTCGTCAACTGGTACTTCCGTACCTCTTCTCGACCGTCATCTTACCGACAGAAGCAGCTGTCAAGGACTTTCGTTCCATGATCTTCCTTCAGGCGAACCCAAACGACGACCCGACGGCTACTCGTGTAAGCCAGAGGCTGCGCCTGCCTGACTTCGCTCCCTCCGAGCACGTACAGAATTTATGGATGGAAGAAGCTCACAGTGGCGTTCAGAAGGTCATGGAGTCGTGTTACAATGCAGAACACGTCGCGATGGATCAAGAATCCTTCCTGCACTTGATGTACATGCCACTGGTGCGCTCGTATTTCACCCCAGAACCTTCTCGCCCAGAGAGAAGCCACCCTCTGCAGGTAGTTGTCATTGACTCCGACAGCCGATGGAACAGGGCGAGTCGACAAGGACGGTTGCAGGGGCTCCTCTCGACCGGGCTCTCTCACATCCGCCTGGCAAGCCCGATGGCACGCGATAGTGACGCGCTCGATATCGCTCCCTTCCCTCAACTTACACATTTCGCAATGCCACTGTCTAGCTGCCTCGCGCAAGATCCTGATGTGGTGTCTCGGCTTCTGCAAAATCCGACACTGAAAATGGTGGTGTGTGTCATTAGTGGAGCGAACGAGCGGGAGTTGGCGAGGGTATGGTGTCGGGATGTTCGTAGAGGGTGTACCAATGCGTACTTGGTAGAGTCGTCTGGGCTTGACCTGCAGGAACAGTGGGAGGCTGAAGTACGAGGCGGTAAAACTATCTGGGAGAAGGCCCTTGAATACACTCGGAGGGTCCTGGAGGCGGACGAACCTGCGTAAGTACATCATCCAATCCGTAATCCGTTTGAATACTGAATATCGACGAGACACTGTTCATTAGACAATGCTGAACGACAAGTAATCATGACTAGATAAGCAGCAAGCAGAATTGTTCGAGCAGCTTAAAGACTGGCCTTTGTCATCGCCGTCATGACAATTGACATTCTGATCGTCAACTGGGAGTCACACCTTTTGTCAGGATAAGAAAACTATGTTCCAGGTCCGACCGCAATCGACAAATTCTGTTCCACGGCCTGGTTATTGAGGTGCCTCTTGAATATCTCAAATACAGCCGTTCCTCTGGTCATAAACTCGCTGGAAACAACAGACCACGAAATACCAGAGTGAGAGCACGCACACCTAGTCGAGGCGGAGACCAGGGGTCTCCAGGGGTTTCCTGTGGCATGAGCATGACCGCGTGAGAGTTAGATTCGGGCCTCTAATGCCTTCTCCACAACCGCTACCGACAGAACTGCTGTATTTAATATTGGCAGAGCTCGACAACCACCGGGGAACGATACTGGCCTTACAACTCGCCTCACGATCCCTTCGCGCAGCGTCCGAGCCGCTCTTGTACCGAACCATCTGTTTCCCCAGATGGAACGAACCCCGTCTGAAACTGCTCGTCGACACGCTTTACTGGTCAGGAGAGCGGCTCTGCCAGTACATTGATGGATTCCACATATCCGCCCGAGAAGTCAAGTTATCTACGGAGACCGGTGCTCGCATCTGCGAAGTTCTCAAACGCTGCGCGAACCTAAACTCGCTCAGTGTCGACTTCTTTCGAAAAAAGGGAAACAAGGGTTCGAGCCCATTCTTCGCTTTCTTAGACAGTGCCCCTTTTTCTCTCACTACCCTCTCGTGGACTGGGCTCATCCCCAAGGACGCTCGCCCATTTATCGATTTTCTCGCATCGCAGTCGTCTTTACGCCACCTCGATCTTACGTTGCCCCCTTTCCAAGAGCTACCGTGTATACCGTCATCAGCTTTACCCCGCCTTCAACTGGTCCGCACGGGAGGAGCTATCGATAACATCGCTGTCATTCTCGCAGATCGACCGAACATCATACATCTCCATCTTGGCCGCGTCTCAAACAGCGTCTTCTCCCAGCTTGCCCAAGAAAGTGTGTCGGGTATACGAACTCTTACTGTGGATGTGGACGTTTGGCCGCTTTTCAAGCTAGCATCTTATATGCCCCGTCTTCGATGTCTCCATTTCAACGGCCGATCTGTGAGTACGCCTGTCCATACCATCACCTCCCCTACCATCTCTCTTTCCAGAATATGTACGACATTGTGCTTGGTCTTGTGCTCTATGTGTTAGAGATTCGCCACCTTCAATTTGCCGTACCCCCCGTACACGAAGACAATACAGCCTCTATAGCGGAGTGCTTCCACAATGCTCCCAGCCTGGAATATGTTGACGTCGCAACAACCGGAGGTCATTATGATCGCTGGGATCGCGACGGGCACCAACAACGGATATCAGAATCATGCCCAGCCACCGTTGATTGTAGCCTTTGGAACGGCGGGCTTTAATATCTGGAGAGCGGGCTTGTGTCAACTCGGTTTCGACTCCGCTGCCAACGGTTCCTCGGGATGCACAACTATCGCTGGGGCAGCGTTGAAGTTGCTTGTCGACGACATCGCCACGGGAGTCATTACTCGGGCAGTGAAGGTCGATCGAACTGGCACTTGGTTCGGATGGCAAGATCCGTGAATCGGCTTATACACGGTTACACCGTCGTATGAGTACCAAACGTGCATATTATTGGCAATTAAGAAGAATACAACTCGTGGGTATATACCCAGTGTGCTGCCTTTGCGATGTGGCTATTGCGCCGTTGCCAGCCAGAAAACACTGGCTTCGTTTATTACATCGAAGCTAAACGACAATATAGTATCAGCGTCCAACCTCTCTGAAGCTCGTAAATGTCAAGAAAGATTCGGGTGTGTACCATCAGAGTGACAATTCACTCCGCATGTCACGCAATCGAATTGCGTTGTCAGAACGAAGGTTATTGAAAATTCGCATCATCGGTACGTCCTCTTCGAAAATGTGTACAGGAACGAAAGGGCAAGGGCAAGACACTCACCCAGTCAATCAAACCTTCCGTTCGCGGGTGCTAGGACTCTTCTATGTCGTTGTCCAACTTGGAGGACTCGACGCGACCAAGTAGTTGGGAAATGGCTGGGAATAGCCACTCCGGAATCACCATAAGACTACCTTTTTATGTCCTGCGAATCAGTCATGGATATGTTCGACATAGTGCAGACAACTCACGCGGCACAGTATCTGACACCGTACGAAATCAAGGTATGTTTCCCATCCTTGGACCTAAGCACCTAATTCGATTGCTCCGTGTAGACGATCCATTCCTATTGTACGGGACGGTGCGCAAAGGGTCTCAAGGAGTGAAGGGAGCTCTCAATCCGTGGGGATGTGGTGGTTCGTTGAAGAGAACCAACTGTGAGAGTCCATGCGTTCGGGTGATGGGAAGAACACAGTCTGGTTCTACGTTCGAGCCCCCACGCCTTGCCGTTTCTTGTCTCTATATGGACGGATCCATGTCAGCTGTTTATTCTGAATGAACCGGAGGTCATGGGATGTGTGTAACACCGAAGGAGGTAAGATGAGAGTCCCTCGTGGGGTCGCCATAGCATGGGACCCTGTTCAGAAGTAACGGTTGTGGGGAGTCGTGATTTCTCGCACGAAGCGAGTTGTTCGAAAATCAGCGAGGTTGAATTGCTTTGGAAGTACGTATGCCTGTGGCACTTGGGAGATGATCGATGATAACTTGGGCCTGAATGCATGACGGAGCGTGTCACGATAGTTGTTGAGTTTTGGGTGGGGGCCTTGTTAACTACTGAACTATTAAATTTGCTCCAAGGCAGGTACTGTTTATGAGAACAGATACGTCGAATCGATCATAACGGCCTGATACTAGGCAAGTGGAAGTCCTTTCTGAGGACACAGTCTATTGCTACAACCCAATAGATTGACCTAAATACCCCCTCAGCGTCTTGCAGCCCATCAGCGACTATTTACAAGAGGCAATGGTGATCGAAGAAACCACGATGGGCAGGTATCGCTGAACTTAGGTCGCTAAACAGATGTTGGATGGAGGGCATTAGCAAGAAAGGCCTTGAGATGAAATGGGTACAGGAAACGGGCTTAAGGGCATCTGCCCGACATATGCGCTCGGAGAGGATTGGGCCAAGCTGGTTTGCTGAGCGGGTGTATCGCTGACCGTAGTGGAGTCTCGCTGTTTGTCACCTGCATCTGTGCCAAACATTCGCTATCAAACGGACGGAATGTCGGTACCCAGTCCTTGTTCTCTTCCTCCACCATCTCGTAAGTAATCCATATCCCCCGCTCATCGATCACCCTTCATCCCATAGGGCGACCGACTCGTAGTATCGATTGACACGGCTTACAGGGGAGGTTCAATCATGGATTCCTCCGGCGGATGGGTTATGGAGGAGAGAAATAGTCGTAAGGATGGTGTTGTCCTTGAGAAGTTTCCCGAATTTTTTAACAGCTGCGTGGCCTTGAGTACTCAATGTGTGGGTGATCGTTTTGCTAAGGAGGACAGTACACGCTCCTTCAAATCGCTCTCCGAGTTCTGCCAAAACGGCGGATGTCGACATGACTTCTTGCATTGTCTACAAGTCAGGGATAAAGAAATGAGCGGTTGTATGCATAATAAGCAGCAGGACCTCTAAGAAGGGCGAGTAGCAAGCGATCCCATGGCAAGTTTTCGAAATCGCATTTCTGTGAATGACCTTTCCGTGCTTGACCACGCCAGGCTGAGAGACCAGGAGGGTGATGTCCGTGACCTGGGTTGCATCAAAGAGACATAGAGCCTCGCCTTGGGTAAAAGCGACAAAGCGACCAAGGGAGTAAATTGGTACTCGCCGCCTTGGCAAATTGCCAAAATGGCCGCGCGGACTCCATCCCCATGGGCGGCGACCATGTTGAGCACGGGCGAGGGAACTGTGGTGGGTAGGTGAAGAGAGTACCAATGTAGGAGGGAAGCCTCCTCCCAAGCCTAGGCAAACATAGACATATCGTCACAAACCTTAACACATCCCGCCCCAGGGTATATAAAGGCGGATCGCGCGTTAACTTGTTCTCCGTCTCTTTCTTTCTTCCTCTCATCTAGCTTTCTAACTTCTAGAGGTAAGTCCGCCAGAATTGTCCCATCGCCCATACTCACCCGCCCATCTCTAGCGAGACGGAGGTGCGATGGCGCATCGCTATACAATACGCACCAGGGCCGCGTATGGCTCGTCATCTGAGCTTGCGTCTCTGTCGTCGTGTCGTATGGGTTCATCCATGAGCCTGGACGGCGGCGGTGCACTTGCTTGGGCCGTCGAACATTTGTGGCGTTGGGCGTGTTGAATACCGTGCGTGGCTGTCCGGAGATCAGTGAGGTTTATGCAGTCGAGCTGCTGTAGAGGATGTCAAGAGGGAAAACCCTTCGCATTCGCCAAGAATCTGTGTACTCTCGTCGCTGTTCCGAGGCCAGCGGGGCGGAGGCGATGTGCATGAGCCAAGATGCAGTTGCCTGAAAGGTCGCGTTTGTGATCCTCGGCGGTACGTATGTCTCTCACGTCGACGAGAAAAGACTTACTAACCGATACACGACAGAACGCCCGCTGTTATTTTTGTGAACTCGCCTAGGCGGTACGTAAGTTTACTACCTCAACAAGAAAAGACTTACTAACCTCGTCGCGGACCAGACTGTCGACTGTTCTTTTTTGCGAAACGACCTAGGCGTTACGTCGGGTTTTCGTCTCAACGTGCAAATACTAACCTTTGTTGCGTACGAGCCTTTGGCGGGGATGGATTTGGCAGTAGGTTAAGATATTGTCTAAGCAGCGCATCGTATCTTATCGTCTGCCTTGAACCCGAACGCGTGGCCACCGTTGAAAGCAATGAGAGAAGAGGAGGAATATACATCCTGAAGACACTGCGCCATGTATAAACATGCCATCGCGAAGTCATTTCATTCGTGCATTTTGAGGGCAGCTTCTCGTAGCAGACGGTGTCTCCAGTCGCGATCTATCGTTATGGGGATTCCCTGCGTCCTGTATGGTATCGGCTTCGTGTTTGGGCGCATGCCGCCTAACTCTTCCGGGAGTCTGTTGATACGATGGGAACTGCTGCGCTATTTGTGCCGAATAGGACTAGGACTGATTGGCAGAATTTGACTTAGATGGTTTTGCTGAGGAGGAAGGCATTGCTGGAATGACGAAGTTGGGTGTCTGAGATGCGGTAGTAGGACTATTGTTGTCTAGAGAAACAGGGGAAACTGGCTCCTCGTCTGCGCCCCCATCTTGAGCCGTCGAGTTCCATTTGCCCACTCTCCGTCGAGAAACTCGTTGTCGTCGCCGTATATATCTGCTCCAAAAGTAAGTCCCAAGGGTGGGGGATCGAGATTCTTGGACTGCAGACCGTCGAGAATGACAGCATATAGTGATTCAGACATGACTCTGCTGGTTCTGGATGAAACGGAATCCACTTTCCGCAACTCAAAAGGACGAACAGGAAGGAGTACTGAAGGAGTACTGAAGAGAGCTGCGTGACGCGTGACAGTGTGACCTAGTTCGCCGAACCTATAGTCCGCTTTGAAGCTGGCTTGAAGCTGAGGCATCGTTCGAAGTTCCCCGTTGTTATTCTCCATGACAGACACCAAGTCGCCTGCTCGGGGAACGTCAAGGCCAGCGACCAGTAAACTCTGGCTTATCGGCCTCATTTGCGCGGCCTTGCTCAAGTTCTCGACCTGGCCCAATCACCGATACGCGCTATGTTCTGAAGAGGGCTCGATTTATACCGTCGCGCCGGACAAGCCAACCGTGCAATGCTTGGTGGTCAAGGGCTCATTCATTGAGTCAACGGGTTCACTAAGTTCCGTAAAGCTCTTGTTGTCTCCAATTTCTTGATTCTGAACTAGTAATGTCGCAGGCGAGATTCAGATTCGAGTAAATTCCCCGTTGTACGCGATGACTACCTATCTACCATGGACTTCTCGGCTTTTGAACCCATGGTATCTGAAAGTCGTGAAGCTAAAGGCTGGTTCAGCTGTCATACCTGGAATGGCTGGTGAGTGAACATTCGCTAAGACGGCTACTCGTTGGTTCATATGGAGCGTATAGATGCTCATGCTCACATACTCGAGTATGGGTTCAAAATGGAGCTCCAACTGGATGGAGCTCCGTCGACGCAAGGTGTGCTGTCCGAACGGTGTCGTTTGGGTCCCCAAGTCTGATCAACATGGCAAGATGTTGTGGCTCGGATTCAAAAGTATATCGATTCTCGACCGGATGTCCACAAAAATACCTCAACGTGGATACAGGGAATGGGATGGGACCAGACTAGATGGCCGGGGGCACAGTTTCCGACCTCAGTACGTTTAGTTATTTTCTCAAATTAAGCTAAGCTGACATTCTGGTTGAAGGATGACCTTTCGGATCCGTTGCTAGAAGGCCGGCCAATAGCGCTTCGCCGAGTAGATGGTCACGCCCTCTGGGTTTCCTCTCGAGTTCTAGAGATGATGGGCGAACTCCCGACGGAAGTCGACGGCGGGCTAATCATCAGGGATGCGAACGGCAAGCCAACAGGTGTGCATCCCGCGATATGTGTTTGACCTACTAGTGATACGTTGGAGGTATCTTCGTTGATAATGCCATGACTTTGGTTCCCATCCCTCCCTGGTCGGAGAAGGATATGGATAACTATTTTACGACGGCTATGACGGACGCCCTGGCCCACGGACTCACCTCGATCCATGATGCGGACTCTCAACCCGAGGCTATTGCGTTCTTTAAAAAGTACGTGTCTCTCAATACAACTTTGTCATGATAATCCGTATTGTCTAGGCAATCTGAAGCCGGGAATCTACCTGTAAGTGCTCGATTACGAAGTTGCATCGCTAACGAGTTATGTGATCGCAGATCCGCGCGTATCTCATGGGTAATGTACTCTCGGATGAATACTGGGGCGCACAAATACCTCGGTTGATCAACCACGGTGCTCATGGTCGACTCAATGTACGCGCCATTAAACTGTTCACGGACGGCAGGTCCCCATTTCCATTCCTCGCGGACATCTCTCACTCTTATCCATTAGGCGCGCTTGGATCATGGGGTGCTGCGCTGCTCGAACCGTATTCTGACAACCCGTCAACTAGTGGTCTCATGCGCAGCTCCAAGAGTGCACTAGGCAAGCTGGTCAACCAGTTTTACGAAGATGGGTTCCAAGTGGTAAGTGCGCACTCCGGCTTTTCCCGACCGCATCTCATTTCACCCGCAGAATATCCATTGCATCGGCGATCGGGCGAATAATGCCGTTTTGGACATTTTTGAAGATATCATCATGGATTCCGCTGATCCAGACAATGTCACTGCGAGTTGGCGTCCACGGATTGAGCATGCGCAGATCATGACTATGCAAGATTTGGAGCGCATTGGGCGAATTGGAGGTAGGTGCGTGAATGTCTGCAGGGAACTTGCGCTGATCGTATTTTGAGACAGTAATCGCGAGTGTACAACCCACGCATGCGTAAGTGCTGGAACTAAGCGTCGGAGACGTATCTTGGCTGACTGTTTTGGCTTTGGACAGCACAAGCGACATGAGCTACGCGGAGACACGACTCGTGTGTGCCATCTTCCTACCGTGTGAGCTACCACTCATACAGTAAACAGGGCCCCGAAAGAATCAAAGGAGCTTATGCCTACCAGATGCTCCTTCAGTAGGTTATCACTCAATGATCGGCGCCACACCTTACACATAGTTTGCTCAGGAACTCGAAAATCGGTGTACTGCCTCTGGGCTCCGACTTCCCAGTTGAGGGCATAAATCCTCTTCTCGGATTCTATGCTGCAGTCTCCAGGCTTTCCGTAGACGGAACATCTCCTCACGGAGAGGGTGGCTGGTGAGCTTTCGCGCGTTTGAAAGGATGATCGTCGCTGAGCGCACTTCTTTTCCTTACCACCAGGTTCCCGAATGAGCGCTTAACTCGCGCGCAAGCCCTGAAGGGGATGACTCTCGATGCAGCGTACGCTGCGTTCGCCGAAGACGAAAGGGGATCGCTGGAAGTGGGGAAGAAGGCGGATTTCGTGATTCTCGATAGAGATATCATGAAAGTGCCGGCTGACAAGATTCTGAGCACCAAGGTCCAAGCGACGGTTATTGACGGTCAGGTGGCCTACGGAGCACTCTGAGTTTCTAGCTAATTACTTGGTGATGCACCATTCTTTCCTCCTTGCTTGAGATGATTTAGAAAGATTAAATAGTGGGTCACCTTTCAAGTTGGGTGGTCGGCGTGAATCACCAAGCTGCGTCCTTCACAGCTCGCTGCGGAGGTCTATTCTTAGCTACTTTCATGTCTCGGGCACTGCGCTAGTCACTTCGTCGCTTCGCGTTTCGAACAACACCCCTCCCCTACGTTGAACAATTCACTGTTGTATTCACCCCAGGAATGTATAAAAGGGGCACATTCTGATGTTGAAGACTCCTCAGCAGACTTCAAAAATCCCCCACATAACCCAAGCATAACGGCTACTACTGAAAACACGAACGTGACGGCTACCACAAACATAACAGTGGCGTGTAGCTATGAAGTCCTTGTAGACAAGGACCGCTCCCCAATCCATTGCCCATGGTGCGGGGTCGCTGGTGGTGGCCATTTGGCCAACTGTGAAAGACGTACGTAAAAGAGTTGATATTGGGCTGATGGTCGTACTAATGTGAGCTCTTAGCTGCTCGTTAACTGTAGTTCTTTCCTGACTTCAATTCCAGCTTCGATCTCTCATAATTTTTCGAAATTTGCATTTCATATATTGCCTGTCTGCTTCAAGTTGTAGTCTATCACTGTCATGCAACAAATAATCCGCTCTGATGCCTAACTGTGGGAGCACCAACGGCGGCATTGCTCGACTGGTGAACTGATGCCCGAGTGGATGTTATCCGGGTGTTGTAAGTTGGTTAGCCTATAGGAACGTGCGTTTGTAAACGAGCGCTAGTGTTTGACAGTACTCCATTCCGATGTTTCATCGTCTCCGGTAGACCGATACGACCGTGAAGACACCACAACGTTCACACTGGAGTATATATCCTGGCACATATTCCGAGTGATAAACATCTCATTGGACTCATTCACTGATAATGTCTCGGACGTAGGGTGCTCAAAGGTACGTATTCTTACGACGGCAATGTGGCATGCCATCACGTCTCGTGGATTCTTTCTTGTACTAGCAACCAAATGCGGGTGCACTTCTCGAGCCCTGTAACTCCGGAAGCACAAAATACAAGGACCATCGCCGTGTCATGATTAATCACCCAGGAGCCAATTTTGCCTTGGTTCTCTGGCTCTCCGCTTCAGGCCGCCAGATACTGTTTAAAATGCGAGAGAGAGCAACCAACCAAGCCAGCACCGCGCCGCACGATGCCCTCCCTCTCGCGCAGGATGATAACTGGCTTCCTTGTGGCCTTATTGTTCGCCTCCGCCGTTCTTGCTACAGACGTGACGAAAGGACCCTCGAAGCGATGCCGCGAGGTCATCGTTAGAAAAGAATGGCTCGTACCCTCAAAACTGTCTGCATAACTGTTTCTGACTCTACAAATCAAAATCTAGGCGAACACTTAGCGCACAAAACAAGGCTCGCTACATCGGCGCCGTTAAATGCTTGCAGGCTCTCCCGGCGCAAACCAGTTTCACAGGCGTCAGAACGCGGTTCGACGATTTCCAAGCTTTGCATGTGTCCCTCATGCCAGAAATACATCTTGTGGTGCGTTTGGATGGCTTGAATTCCCTATGCTTGACGTTAAAACTGAGCTAGGGTCAATTCCTTCCGTGGCATCGTCGAATGCTTCAAGTATACGAGAAAGCACTCCGTGAAGAGTGCGGTTATACTGGAGCACAACCGTAATTATTGTCTGATATATGGGTGTGATCCTGGTTGACCTCTTGGTTGAACAGATACTGGGATTGGACAAGAGATGTGGACGGTGCCTCTATGTGATATTTTTGTTATTTTTCTATTCAAAGAGAGGTACTGACAATGCCCTGATGAACAGCGTCGCAGCTTCCCCAGTATTTGACCCCGTGTTTGGTTTCGGCGGCAACGGAATTGACATCCCTGGCTATGCAGGCCAGTTCGGCAACATGTCAGATATCCCTGGATGGACTGGCGGGGGATGCATAACCGATGGGCCGTTCGCATCGTACAACCTCTCCATTGGCCCAGGAACACTTGTTACCAACCATTGCCTGACACGTTCCTTCAACACATTCGCCGTAGCTTTCATCCGTTCCTCTCAAGTCGCCAATACGACCAAGCAACCGAATTTCGAACGGTTCCGTATCGAGCTTGAGGGTACTCCAGTGACACCAACATTGAAAGTACACGACGCCGGCCATCTATCTGTCGGCGGGGAGATGAATGATAGATGGTCCAGCCCCGGAGGTACGTTCCCTCTTCCTTCCTTGCCGTACATCGCTGACCCTGAGTCAATAGACCCTGTCTTCTACCTCCACCATTCCAACCTCGACCGGATTTGGTGGGAGTGGCAGTCAATGGATCTCAAAAGGCGGCTGACAGATATATCCGGACGGACGAGTATCGACCCTCCAGTCGTAAATGTTACACTGGACTTTAAGCTCAAAATGGGCATACTTGCAGACCTGATTACAATCCGCGACGTCATGGACGTGCGGGCTAGTCCCATGTGCTACATTTATGCCTAGCTCTCTGGTTTCGAAGACGCAGAGTAGTACACCCACGATATCTAGACCTATGTTCTGTGATGCTAATAGTACTGCCGTCCAATTGCAACTGAAGGAGGTTGGTGATCAGCCGCCTGAGGGGTTGTCGCCGTAACCGGCTCCTGACTTTCTCTGCTATCTCTCGTCGTTTTCCAACCTTTATAACTTCGTTGTCAATTCAATAGACGGGTTGAATCATGGGACGTCCAATGCTCTCGTTTCTGCACCCTTGCCTGGCTGTCGTTCGTGCATTTCGTGTTCCAACCTGGACTTCCTCTACCGCATCCATTGGTCGTGTGTCTCAATCGCCACTCAGGAATTTAGAGCGCCATTGCATGGATCAATTGGATTGGCAGTAGAGGCCGGAACTGTGCATGAGGACATAGGGGTTGAAGGGGCATAGGGGCCTTCTATTTTGTTCAATTTGAATCGTTGGTTCAACTGTACCTGCATATCCGCCAGGCTAGTAGAATCTTTATCCATTTCAGATTTCAATCCTCCTCGCTTCCTCGCTTCGCTTCTCTTCTTCATTTCATCCTCCGCGCCCTCTTCAGCAGTCTTTCTTCATATGCTCTGCCATCGCGGCGGCGGCAATCCTTCGTTTAACGGCCTTGATTTATCTACGGCCTGGTACACGCTGACCTGTTACAGCGTCAGGATTTGGGAAGTGAAAACCCCAAGGTTCTTGCACGCCGTACGAGATGGACGTTCTGGCGGACGTGATGCCGATTCGCGATGGCATGAATTTGCGAGCTAGCCCATGTGCTATACCTATGCTTAATTTGAAACCTAACACACCGAGCTCTTGATTGGATAATTGTCTACAGACGTGTGTACAGATTCATCGAACCACGAAAGGCGACTCCGATGCGCCGGCTCCAAGTCTCGACCTGACACTCAGGTATATACAGAGCCAAACCAACAAAAAATACGAGATACGTGTCCACGTACCATCTTACTCGTTCTTGTAACACAGAGCGTTGGGCTTTGTCGAGGTGGCAGCGAGGACCGCGCAAAGTTATTGGAAACGAAGTGCACAGGCTGGAGCGCAATCAAACGCTGTTTTGGAGTTGTCTGCTATAGGTACAGAATTCTGGCCACCACGATTCAAAGAGTCGCTTGTCGTCGCTTTGCTGAATATGGGCGCCGCGAGGGCCTGGCCAAGAGATACCCTCATTCCGGCTCAAAGGATATTTTACCGTGCCTACTTGGCCCGCCCAGTCGAAATCGACAATCTTCAGCCGCACTCCATCGGCATCCTCCAGCCTTCCATCGACATCCAGCTTGACCATGATGTTATTGGGACGGAGATCGCCGTGGACCAGTTGTCCGGATTCCAAAGCCTGCAGGACTGTGCACACAGCGCCCCTGATACGGTCCATCGCCGAAGAGGGGATTTTGGCTGAGAAGTCCTCTCTCTGAGACAAATCGAACAGGGAAACCCAGGGATGACCGAGGTATTCCATGACGTAGGCAGTTGGAGCGCCTTGCAGGATCTTGTGGCCGTGTAAATGAGGAGCGTAACCCTTTGTCGCGAGGTAGCTGTGTACTTGCGCTCCGTAAGGTCGCCTATCCACGAGCTTTACATAGACTCGCTCAGGCTGTGCGATGGGGCTTGCTTGATCGCGTGTTAACAACGCAGAGAATATCAGGCGCTCTGGGAATGAGGACGGTTCAAACCGGGATAGAAGCCCGACAGGGGAGCCTGTGTGAATATCGACACAATCCGTATACACTCTTGGGATGGAGGGTTCAATAGGCTGATGGACGAGGGATGCGTCGTCGCTAGATGACAATCATAATGAGTGCAAGGCGGGGGTTGGTGTTGTGATGACGTACATTTTGTTCAGGACAACGGAAAGTGCGTAGAGAACTCGAGCAAGTCTTAATGGGCGCCGCCTGCTCTTATCTGCGTACATGAAATGGATGTCTGTTAGCGGCTCAATCACGGCATTGACGCCGTCGTGGAATGCACCAGCCACAAATAAACCAGCGCCTGAGTCCAACATGGCTGTCAGACAGGATAGCCATGAGGAAAGACCGTCAGACGTACCCCACACACCAACTAAGAACACGGGTGCTCCTTCGGCGCCACCTTCAGTCTTGCGGAACATATCGAAGTCGCGCGAAAGTTGCATGTAAACGTCGCCACCGGCTCCGCCTTCGTTTTTATCCTCACGCAAAATGACGATCCTACCACCCTGAGTGAGCACACGATCGACACGGGCACTAGTGACTTCGGCGTTCGGCGCGATGCGATGTTGGCTACCCCAATGATCAAACAGAGGCTTAACAATTTCGTCGAACGCGTTCGATCTAGCGCCTTCGTCTTCGTACGGATCGCTCATCTGGCTGCACAGCCGAGTAGCGACTTGGAAAGCCAGGTCTGCTGTGTGGCAATCATTTGGCAGCACCGAGTCGATTAGATTCCCGAATTCTCGAAAAGTGTGATGGAGCATTGAGAGGGGGAGTCCGCAGTGTGAAGCAGGTCTCGCGCAAAGCAAGGTTGGGTTCTTGGGCTGGTGTTCTGGCCATGTTGTTGCATAATCGGAGGGAGGGGGGAGGTTGCTGTAAACCTTGCGAATGAGAGAGCAGAAGCCTGTCCAATGCGTGCGGCACTGGGAAATAAAGAGACCTCTGATACAGTGAGGACAGAACAACACTGAGACCAGATGATGATTACCTAGCTCAGAGTTAGCATCAATATCAGGAGTCTCTGGGAGGGGCGAAAAATACGCCGCAATATTGAGTGCTGGTGCATTGGGAGTATCCTTGAAAGTCTGGGCCACGAGTTTCAAGCGCAGAAGGCTCCCCAGAAAATAATCTGGAACTACGAAGGGCTGCATCATCACCCCCTTTGCCGAGGCCTGATATTGAAGCAACATATCGATGGCGCCGAGAACGAGATTGGCAGCCTCTAGGGCATCCTCAAGTGCTTTGTCCGTCGGACTCTGCGGTGGATGAGGAGGCGAATGCATTCTTCCTTCGGATAGAGGACATGTATCAGTAGCCGAAGACAAGTGACAGGACTTGGGCACTGAGTGTGAGAAAATAAAACTGGGTGTGATTAACTAAATTTACAACTTAGCAAGTTGAATTTATGGTAGCCTGTGGTCCAACAACTGCTTGCATGGTTGAGAGACTCTATACGCCGCTATCTATTTTACACGCTAGAGCACAAAGGCCTGTGCTTTACTCCTTCATTGGGCGCCAGCATGCGATTATTATATGTATCGGCGTCGTTTTATCGATAGTGATAGTATCCACCGTCTGGTCGAGTTTTTCTCGAGGACGCCTACGGGCTCGCCGCCATCCCCACTGCCGACTCTTGGTATTCATTACGGGTCCTGCATCAGGCTCAGTATTTTGCCTAAGTCAGTATAAAGTCCACGTAAGTCCATTTTTTGATGGAATTCGTCAGTTTCCGTACTTTTGATGTAAAAATTCCGGCACCTTCCTCTTTTGATCTTGTGCGGAAGGTCACGACGAAATCTAAGTCAGTGAAAAGCAAACTTACAGTGACTTAGTTTGACTGGGAATGGGAGCGTAAAGTAATAGGATTCAGACATTGCTTATGTAAGGGGAACTAATCCCAGGGGCGAAGATGCATTAATCGAGAGAACATTAAGGCTCTAGCCTAAGAGCGGTTGCTCAGGAAGTGACAAAGGGGGTATCTTGAGGGTGCTGAATGTCGGATAATGCAGGGGTATTTAGATACAAGACGAGAGACTTGGAAGAGCATGAATACTGGTGACAGGCACTGGTGCCCCCCTGTCTTCAATTACATAATCTTTTTTGATTTCGATGGCCAGTTCAATTGTTGGACTTCAACGTTTCAATGTTTCAACTCCTCACCAACATCCCCAATGTCCACTTATTTCTTCGACAACCATTCACAACACTTGGGGCATTCAATGCAGCCCCAAATTGAAGCTCTTGACATCTCTTCTCGCCGTAACGCGCCCTGTGTGGATAACAACTGCTCCAACTCTCTGGATCCACGCGCCTGGCAAACAGACTACTGGCAGGATTCCCATTCCCCTATGCACTTCGCTAACTATTCTGACTCTCATACTCAAGCTCAAGCTTCCAGACCACTCAATACATGCAATCATCATGCCATGGACACGGAGGGGGTTTGTGAGTACCTTATATTTCAACGTCAATGTGATGCCTCCGGCCAACCAGTTGTATGTATGACTCAGCTATATCCTCGTATCCAAACGGTCCCACCCCTTCTTACCAACCAACTACCCCTGCCTGTAAGGGGACACTCCTATTTTCTCCTATTCCCCTGTCCCCTTCCTTCCTCCTCATTCCTTTCTCCCTTCCTTCATCCCACGGACTCTTACATACATCCCCTTTGTCCCCTTTCCTTTCCACTTCCTTTCCACTCACTCCTTTCACATCCGAGCTTCGTCCGGTGACTCCGAAGTCTTCCCGCACTTCGGACTCGCCTCGGCCTTGCTCGGACGCTTCGGACTTGCTCGGACTCGTAGATACACTTCGGGGCTCGTCCGGGCTACCTCTATCCTCCTTTCCTACTTCATTACTCCTTGTCCCCACTTCCCCAGGTCGCCGGCACGACTCCTGTACATCCTCCTTCCACTTCATTATCACATGTTTCCTTGTACCTTGTGATATTCGCTCGGACTTGTGGCTGGTGTACTGTACAGTTATCCTGCATTCCTCTCACGCTACTACAGTATATACTTCGCTTCCTAGCATGGAGAATCCTTATCCTGTTCTCTTTGGATTCTCCCTCTGCTAGGTGAGCAGCCCTCTCATGTATTGTAGTTAGTCGTATTCATTATCTTTGGATTCTCCCTCTGCTAGGCCTGCACTGTGCGGCCATCTTGAGGTTGCCCTTACAACACGGGACTTGGCTTCAGCTTTGATGCTGCGCCCTCCTAGCCCTGCGGTGTCCCGATTTCGGAGAGAGCAAGGTGAGAGGTGGGCTCCGCGGAGGAGCCCGCAGCGAAGACTTAGAAGAGACAAGTGACGGAAAAGGAACTAAGATTCAGAGTGAAGAATCCATGTCTACTAGTGCTACTATAAATACTGACTAACACATGTATGTAGTGAGGCTAGTATGTAAATACACATGTAGGTGAAACATGTAACAAGTGAATCCAAGTGCTGCGCACCATGCATAGGCTGCAAGGGCGGAGCCCGAGGGACTCCGAAGGTCCGAGTATCCGAAAGGGGCGTAGGGGGGACCCCTAAGGGGGCGTGAGGACTGGTATATGACACTTGACTTAACCTGACCATCACTGACTGTGAGCGACTGTTGCGTTGAACATGGTGGCCTGACTTTCCATGACTGACTTGGACACTAACAGACTTGACTTGACCTGTTTTCCTCGATACCCAAAAGGGACCCACAAAATCATTTTCAAGTCATTTTACGGTAAATATTCCGGCCTAGGTCCGGCTAAGTCATTATTTTATGACTCACACAGACTTAGGCAAAACACTGAGCATCAGGCTCCTAGAACCAGCACGACTTGTATCGCGAGTTGAGAGCTCCGTCAGTCTTTGGGTGGCTCTTATTGGCTACATTGTAGACTTACCATATTAGGCAATCTCCGCTGAACTCCGCGCGGACTGTTCCTATGTATAACTCCGCTGACAGGTACTTATTACTACATTGAGAAATTGAAGTTGAAGGGACACCGGTCCACGTCTGACTTTCGGGACACATTGCTAAGTATCGGAGGCGAAATGATTGATCGCTATTCCAGCCCCAGAGGTCAGTAGTCACTAATGACAACCCCAAAGAATTCAATGTATTTACGGTGCAATTGTATAAGTAGATCCCCTCTTCTACTTGCACCACACGAATCTTGATCGTCTCTGGTCAATGTGGCAAGCGAGAGATCCCAAAAGGCGTCTCAAGGACATTTCTGGATACACCACCTGGGAACCCCCCTTCACCAATGCCACACTTGACTTCAAGTTAAAGACGGATGTACTTGCCCCGCTTGTTCCCATCCGTGATATCATGGACATCCAGGCTGCGCCCTCTTGCTACAAGTATGCGTACGTGCGACTTTCTATTAGTTCAGTAGAATCGTTCTTGTCCTGAACTTAGTGGCCTGCTAATCTTCACATGAACATGTTTTGATTCTAGTTCGACATTGGTACAGAATTGTTCTTTGGTGGGACTACTACAACGCGGATTTTCTTTCAACATTTCCTACAAAAGCAAGGTCTAAAAAATCTTGTCACGAATAAGGGGGGAGGTAAATGCAACGAGTTATCTCCGTAATGAGGGAAGAGGAAGGAACAAGGGTGACAGGAAAGAGAAAGCATCTACTGCGCACCATCCTTCTCGGCAACGTATTTCAAGAGGTCGACAACACGTCTTGAGTAGCCGTATTCGTTATCGTACCAAGCGATCAGCTTGACAAAGTTGGGGTTCAATTGGATGCCTGCGGTGGCGTCGAAGATGGAGGAATCGGTACTGCCGATGAAATCTGTGGACACAACAGAGTCGGAAGTGAAGCCGAGAATGCCCTTGTGGGTCGTCTCGGAGGCTTCCTTGACAGCGGCGACGATATCTTTGTAGTCAGCGGGCTTCTCGAGGCGGACAACGAGATCAACAACGGAGACATCAAGAGTGGGGACACGGAAGGCCAAGCCACTGTACAGCGCGTAAACATGCGAGTTTTAATGGAGCAAGATAGAGACGTACGTGAGCTTTCCATTCAATGAAGGGATGACCTTGCCGACGGCCTTGGCGGCACCAGTAGAGGAGGGAATGATGTTGTTGTTGACACTGCGACCTCCACGCCAGTCCTTGTGTGATGGGCCATCGACGGTCTTTTGGGTAGCTGTTGTGGCGTGGATTGTGCTCATCAAGCCCTCAACGATACCGAACTTGTCGTGGATAACCTTCGCGAGGGGCGCGAGGCAGTTAGTCGTGCAGGAAGCGTTGGAGATCTATAAATAACGATTAGTGAGCCAGATGACAGACAGCCCTTTCGGTCTATCAGTTACTTACAACTTTGTACTTCGGGTCGTAAGTCTCGAGGTTAACACCGCAGACAAACATGGGGGCATCTGCGGAGGGTGCAGAGATGACGACCTTCTTAGCGCCGCCCTTCAAGTGAGCTGATGCCTTCTCCGTGGTGGTGAAGACACCAGTGGATTCGACAACATAATCGGCGCTGACAGAGCCCCAGGGGATGTTGGCAGGATCCTTCTCCGCGAAGATGTGGATGGCTTTGCCCTCGACGACGAGTTTTCCGTCCTTGGCCTCAACAGAGCCCTTGAATCGTCCGTGTACGGAATCGTACTTGAACATGTAGACCTAATATCCCGAAATCGGCGTGATCGAAAGGTAATCGCAAAGGAGAAACAAAAGCATCGGATCAGTCAACACTTCGTTCGGCTAGTATCAGGGCAAGATTTACGCACCATATAATCGAGATCAATGAACGGGCTTCATCGAGAGCAGTGATTAGCGATGCATGTAAGAACTAAGGCGCATGTACTTACTCATTGATGGCGACAACGTCGACGCCGCCGACTTCGAGGGCGTTACGAAAGACGATACGGCCAATACGACCTGATCGCAGGTCAATGAAAGATCCTGTTGCCTATAACTAGACAGCTACTCACCAAATCTATGTACGAGATGCGTTCCGAGTCAGATCCCACTTCCTGATGGACGCAAGATGAGCTGAAGCCTACCCGTTGATTCCGACGTTGACCTGAAAACAAGAAGCAACCTCAGCGTCGAGTCCAGCACTGTTATGTGCATGACAGTGGACTCACCATGGATAACGATGAGCGTGAGTGAGGGGATTTGTGTGGTGGAGGAGATGGTGGTTGTGGTCAAGAGTGGAGATTGAGAGAGGGCTTATATAGATTCAGGGGCAGAGTGATCAGTACCAGATCGACCTTATCATCTGCCCACCCAAGCAGTGCGTACTTCCACAGTCGCCGTCAGTCAGCACTCTAGGCGATGGCTCCAAGCAATTTTCCCTTGACTCAGGCAGACGCAGAAGCTGTGGAAAGCCTGACATTTGGAGTACACTTAGAATAGAAACGGCGGCGAATAGCCTAGAACAAGAACTGTTTCGTCCTGGATTGCTCTGGGCAACTCATTCCACTGCTCCTTGCGGCCCTCGATACGGTTGTCCGCTCGGAACCATACAGTGACAATGCGCAATCTCATGGCTTCCACTGAAATGATGCTGAGAGCCCACAACATCCGTTCGGTATTGCTTCGGTGCACCGCACTGTCCCCGATTCCATGTACTTATGAAACCGCTATCTGATGATGCCCATTGATTTGTTATGGGTTTCCCTGGAGGACTGGGCCATGATTCTAATCTTCCAATAGGCTGACGCACGGCGAGTAGAAGGCACGTTGTCAAATCGGCGTTCGTGACGGAGTTTGAGGCAGCGACCTGATCGACGAATCACAGTAAGCAGTCAGAAGTTAGAACCGCACCAGACAAACCTGTACTTCTTAGTTGGTGATCGGGTTACCTAAAAGCATCCGAGTGCCCGGAAGATGAGTGGGCAATCGTGAGTACACCTCAGTCACCGCTTGGCCCCACTCAGTGTCTAACGCCGTCGTGACATCCATTCCGTTGGTCGACACCACTTCTTTTGAATTTGTCGACAGAGAAATGCGGCCCATCATTGCAAAGGAGAACGCAAGGTCGGTCTGTATTTGTTTTTTACTCATAGACGTTTCCTCCCTGATCACCCACAGAAGCTATGTGCCATCCTACCTACCTATGGGATGGTTATGAAGCGGTGTCAACAAGGTACTTCTTGCGGAGCGAGAACCCTTACCACCGCCGAGGAAAGGATATGTTGCACGTCTGAGGCATGGTATTGATTGAGACTACTTCTTGACACCATATTCAAGCAGCATCAGGCAGCATCCTCCGTTGCATCTTCCAGATCAAGTTCCGCGAACCTTCCCGCTCCCGTGCTCCACCAAAGCCAAATCACCCTCGGTTCCTGGCCCTTGATAGATTCCAAGATCTTCTTGTACTGTTTATCCCGAGCGGCGGGGGTGAGCGCCTTTGTTGGCTCGATGACGGCGGCAAGAGTCTGCGAAGAGTCCTTAGAATTCTTGGCGTTGAAGTGGATGCCTTTCGTGGCAGTTCCTGTTTTGTCATCGGAATCAACGCGAACAATGTCTTCTATGGTGCCGCTAGGACGCGTGATGCCAACCCCTTCAGCACAGTTAGTCATTGTGAAGGCAGTTGTTCGGCACAGAAGCCCGTACCGACAACCCATCCTTTGTACGGACCAACTCGACTAAAGAACAGGTCAGCGCACTGACAGTGACAAGAGGTTATGAGAGCAAATACCTGGTGTACAGCACGAGCTTGTTCGGATCGTCAACCTTAGCCCAGGTGCAGGCGGCTTTGCTAGCCAACTCTTTGCTTGGGTAGTTCTGTGTCACCTCACCAAGGACCACTGCTTCGGTGGCGCAAACTTCAGCTTGGTCGGAAGACATTTGAAAATCTGAACGATGAGCTGAGCCAAAACGACGGAGCGGGGTTGAGTTCACATACTGTGTAGTTGGGGACGTCAGAACTGTTGCGGTTGCTGGTTGTAGCCGTAGGTGCGAGGGTTTTATATGCACTAGGGAGGCGATACCTGTACGTACGTCCCTCACACGGTTGAACGTCACGAAAGTTCGTCGAGATTCTGTTCGGCACTGTATCGAATGGGTCAAGTGATGTGTCAAACTGGACGGCGCCGTAACATTCCATCTCAGAGAATTGGCGACCCGAAGAGAATGCTGCAAGGCGAGTAGATGTAGTCAGTATGCAAACAATCTGGAATACAAAGGAATACTCCCCATTTAGCTGAAAGTTCAAATACCGGCGTGGTAGGTGCATACGTTGACGGTCTAGAATATTAGAGCTGTTAGAAAGGATGAAGTCGCTTGATCTTCTTTGTTCGCCTCTTGTCCGCTATACAGCTCGCTCAGGGCGACAATCTTGCAACGTGTCAACCGTATGGTGCAAAGACATCCGTAATTCGAGCAATTTCCGTGAGTCCGTAGGGGTCCAATGAGCGAAGAGTAAGATGGAAGTTTCTCTGGCAAGTAATCTTCTCCTTCGAGCTGATGACCCGATCGTTGATGTGATGATCGCGAATGTAATGGATGCGTATCGGTAGAGAAGGGGAGCGCTACGAAGAGGGAAAATGGGGACAATAAGCCGAACCCATTCAACCACATATAGTGCGATTTCCCGCGATTTCGCAGCCGCAAAGGGTAATAAGATGGGCATCTACGGGAAGAGGGAGCCTGTCGCGAGTACAGGTTGGCATAACGGGCATAGAATAATGGAGTATGGCAAGTTCGAGTACAGGATTCACGAATAAAGGACAAAGTGTGGTCGAAGGAGAGAATGTCCTGGGGGGATTGCTCAAAGACGAAAGATATAACCTTGATAAAAGGGGAAGACAAGAGAAGTGGCGGGTAGGACTGAGACTCCATATGAGGGGTTGATCATCAGACGCATAGGACCGGCAAGCAATAAGTACTCTTGACCCAGAGGATACTATGTAGCCTCCTTTGTGAGAAATACGTCCGTCCACAATGTGTAGCAAAGGGCATCCGTGCACCTGAACGCCTTGCATTGGGTCATTTCGGCAGTGATCAAGACAGATGCCAGGCGTTGGTGGCGCCCCAATGTCTCTAACGGATTGGTTTGAGCAATATTGTACGGAAATAGATGGAAAAAGTAATAGAATTAAGTTGGTCGAACGAGTATTGAGGGGCCAAGGAGGTACCAGACAAACGCTATTCGTCCATGTTGCTCGTCAGAACCACGAGAAAGGCACTCACTACGAAAATTCCATCGCCTCCGCCAAGTTTGAGGACCACCCCACCGATTTGAGTCTTGCGAAAACTGGCGGAATAGGTTCGGGTCGTCAGGGAGCCGTTGTGAGGCTAGAAGTCCTGAATGTGACATTTGACGGAGTGCAGTGGGGACACTGGTGAGTTCATGTGTCTTTCGTTCCAAACGCCTGCGGGCTAATGTAGAGCCCACTGTCTGTCCGTCGCGCTCCCTTTCTCCGCGCACATTACAGGCCCTGCCCTCGACCTTCCTAGTCGCCGCTGCCTCGGTGTCCTGCTCCCTAGTCGCCGCTGCCTCGGTGTCCTGCTCCCTCATCCTTCCTCCGCTGTCGACCCACTCGTCTCGTTTGCGTTGGCCCAGCGACTCTCTTTGTCGGTCCTTGCTTCGACAACGCTAAAGTCCGCATCATGGATCGAGGTGAGTCCGTGGGCCAGGGCGTCCGCCATGGCCGTCGTAAAATAGTTATCCATGTCCTTCTCCGACCAAGGAGGGATGGGAACCAGAGTCATGGCATTGTCCACAAAAATTCCTGCAGCGCATCGTGGTTACTAGTTGACTGGAGGCATGACGTTAGCTTAGCTTAGTACTGAGGTTGGAAAAGCAGAGGACTTGGCCTGATGAACAGTCTTATCGCTTCGAGGATATAAATCCAGAACTGCCACTGCTGCCAGGCCGGCTTATGCTCGAAAACCAGCCTATATACGAGATAATGATAGTCGATCCTCTTTGGTCACCCAGTCACCGCGTCAGGATCAGGTCACGATGTCACGCGCTACGCCTCTTCGTCAACCCTTCCTCGACATCCCCCTTTCGAGTCGCGAAAAGTGGATCTTGTTTCATCCAGAACCAGCTGAACAATGTCCAAATCACTCGATGCCGACCTTTACGAAGGTTAGTAGTCCAAGAATCTCAGAGCCCACCTTTGGAGCTCAATTTTGTTGCAGACATATATGGCGACGACAACGAGTTCCTCGACACAGAGTCAGCAAAGGGAACGTCAACGGCACAGCCAGATAGTGGCGCAGATGAGGAGCCCGTTTCCCCCGTGTCTCTAGACAACAATAGCCCCACTGCCGCATCCCAGACACCCAACTTAGCCCTTCCAGCAAAGCCTTCATCCTCGGCCAAACCATCTACTTCGAATTCGGCCAATCAGTCCTTGTCATATTCGGCGCAAATAGCGCAGCAATTTTCATCATATCAACAAACCCCCGGGCAGGAACGAGGCGGCGTGCGTCCGAACACGAAGCCGATACCAAACGGCACACAGGTAATCCCCACAACGATAGACACAACGGGGGACACCGTCTACGGGAAGAAGCCATCTGAGATGCACGATTACGGGTACGTTACTACACTCATGACTTTGCGCTGGCATGCTTTGGACATGAATATGTTCTTTTTCTTGCCGTCGGATTTTCATACCCCATGTCTCCATACAACTGATTTTTTCTCGCGTCTACGTATGTTGTGTCAATACGATACTTTACGTCCGCCATTGGATATTGTATCACCTCGCTACGCTTTACTACGCTCACAATACGCTACATTACGGCCGCTACGCTACGCTCTCAACTCGCGTCGATCACGATACCGCTTCATACCTACCATAGCAAACTCTTCATCGGAGGACTCAGCTGGGACACAACAGATGGTACCATGTCCTCCTATATCTTGTCTTCATACCGAATCACTAATCATCCATCTATTTTTGCCCATATGAAGAAGGACTAAAGAATTACTTTTCGCAATTTGGAAAGGTATTTGAGGACGACGACACGTTGTCTCTTGCTTGCATGCTAAAATGTTGCTAAGGTGGACGCCTGTACGATTATGCGGGACCCATCGGGCACATCAAGAGGGTTTGCCTTCTTGACATTTGAGGACCCCTCGGCTGTGACTCCCGTGTTGGCTCGGGAACATACGCTAGACGGTAAAATGGTACGGCGCCCTATCGGGGTTAATCAGAATTACTCACCCACTCGCGATAGATCGACCCCAAGCGTGCCATTCCGCGGGAGGAGCATCTTCGTAACACGCGTTACTTCGTCGGAGGCCTGGCTCCCCATACGACATCCGAGTCAATGAAGGCCTTCTTTTCCACCTACGGCAGCGTGGTGGACGCGACGGTCATGATGGACAGGGAATCCGGACGATCCAAGGGATTCGGTTTTGTCACCTTCGACGAAGGCGGCAACGCTGACCAGCTCGTCGGCAAACTCGGTCTCCTCCTGGATGACAAACAGGTACGCGCTGCAGCACTCCGTACAGATGGGGGGATTGACGCTTTTTCTTCAGATCGAGGTGAAGGCTGCGCAGCCACGGAGTCAGCGGGATCAGCAGAGGAACAGCGGCCGTGACGGCGATGTACCAGCCGTCAACACCCAGACCAGCGTCATGCCCATGAATTTCCAGCAAATGCCAATGATGAACGCCATGAATCCCATGGCGATGATGAACATGGGCATGTCGCGGTTCAACGCGATGGGCGGGATGGGAAATATGGGGATGGGAATGGGGAACATGGCCAACAATATGGCTGGCGGAGGGAGCAGCGCCATGGGAGGGAACATGGCCGGCTTCAACCCGATGGGGGCGATGGGCGGTGGTATGGGTGGCATGGCGGCAATGGGCAACATGGGTGGTAACATGGGAATGCGCATGGGGATGGGCCCGATGGGGGCGGCGGGGGCGGCGAACCCTGTGGGTGCAATGAACATGGGGATGGGTGCGGGTGGCGGGTTCGCGGGGGGGATGCAGGGTATGATGGGCGGCATGGGGAACATGATGGGGGGGATGGGAAATCCCATGGCTGGTGGGATGGCGAACGCTATTGGTAACCGCATGGGCATGGGCATGGGCACAGGTATGGGTATGGGCATGGGGGCTATGGGCATGGGGCGGGGGAACATGATGAACCAAGGCGTCGGGCCCGCGCGCATGGTCAATCGAGGAAGACACAATTTCCATCCTTACGCTCGGGGTTGACAATTTTTGGGACTCTCTTAGTACCTGTACAGCCCTAGTTATTGCTTGTATTTAGTATACCCGCCTCGTCCCAGACGTAATTCGTTAGATTTATCCGTCTCAGTCTTCGTTGGTTCCAATGGCAGTCTCTGCCATTGTTCTCTGGTTCAACCGAATCTCCAACTCCTGAGATGTGTCCATCAGGATCCCGCCTTCTTATTATCAAGTAACCATACATATTACAAACGTTCCGCCATTAAACTGACCTTTTATTCCTCCTCTAGGCTACCAACACTCTGTAGGACAACCGTGATGTCCTTCTTCCAGGGAGCCACTCGTCGGCGTATCCACCGACTTTCCGAGAGGCACTTCCAGGGATTGAAGGCCAGGAAAGCAAACGAATGCCCAGGGGACGAAGTCATCAGAGTGGAGTTTGGCATGAGAGCTGACGCGCAGCAATTTAAATTCGTTTACAACACGATCCACCAACAAGAAGTCTGTATCCCGGTGACCTGTGATGTGCACGTCTAACCGTTCGAGGCCGGGTAGCATTGCCACAAGCGGAGATACTGCAGGATATTCTAATGTACATGCAAACGTCCACACATTCACTGTGTCTCGCATATGTGCTCAGTTTAACTGTGGCACCGGGGTTCATGCCAACCTGTGATCCCAGTTTGAGGTCAGTGGGGGTGCCAGCTCCGTCGAGATGGCAAAATACCGTGTACGCGCAGAGGATGGTGAGGCTTGTTTTGATTACTGAAGCCCGGGGTGACCAGGTGGTAAGGCTGACAGCACGCGTGGCAGCATGTCAAGATGTTTCATGGAGTTTCCGTGGTGAGACAGGAACAACGCGAATTAGATATTCGTGTCAGATGTGCATCTGGGCACCTGGAGCTCAGAAAAGCGGGGATTTGAAGGAGTCCCATAGCCGATGCATTGTCCGTGTATTTTTGTATCGTATCCGCCAAGGTGAATGAACTGAGCTTCGGAGTAGGAGGGACTCGATAGCGGCAGGATAGACATGACCCAGTCAGCGCGGGCTTCCGTCCTCGTAGACATTTCGACGTCGATGATGGTCAATTGTCTCATTAGTGCTGCTCGGTGGCGATCAAGGAACGATGGAACGAAGAGTTGAGAATGGATTGCAGGAGGCGCAGAACGACGTTTTCGTATATGATCGGCTCAGCGATGCTCTGGAGGGTACGAGATAGCAGCTAAAGGGAGCGAAGAGTACATTTAGTAGACACAAGTTTGAAGATCACTCTCAGTAATTTAACTGGACATTGAGACCCATTTTTGGCAGTCCTGGAGGTAAGGACGAGAGAACACTGTCCATAAGGACAAACAATCGAATTCGATCATGATCAATGGGCGCTCGGGCGCTCGGCTGTGGACAAGCCATGATGGCTGCAAATACATACAGCCTTGGTGATTGACGCACAATCGTGTGTCATTCGATTTAGCTTGACCGCGTGCCTTTCGTTCGAAACAGCTTTTCAGACATTTTTCGATGCTTGAAAGAAGCGACGCGGGTGGGTCGGGTCTGTGAGTTCAAGTTTACCTGAGGGTGTACCACGGTACTAAAGGAGCGCCATGCTAGCACGGTATATACGTTCGACATCCTAGGCACGTTGCTTGAAGTGATGTTTGGCGATAGTATCTGACTCATTTGCGACTTAGATATTCGTATCAACCTCAATTGGTGGAGCCTTGGGGCAAATGTCTCCCTCCAGATCGTTGATTCCAATGGAGCGCAGTTACTTCGTGAGGTTCACCATGTCCGGTCTCCGAAGTCCTTGAAATGGGACGTCCATCCGAATGTGTAGGTGTCGAGCTGAATGGCCCCGATGTGCGCTGAGGCGCGAATCATATAGGCATCTTGAGGGACATTGCGACAAGATTATGACCAAGTGTAGGCGTGGGCTGTTCCCAAAAGATGAAGTGGAATTTGCGGTCACTTACCAAGATCTCTGCGAGTTGGCTAGCCAGGAATCTGTTGAATATCGACGGAGCGTGGCCGAGATGAATCTGAAACATGAACATTGGCTCGGCGCGACCACTATCTATTTTAGAGCTCGCAAGGTGAGCTCGTAGACGTCTTCGACTCTTTTGAAGAGATATGCTGACCGTCACAAGATCCAATATCCAACGGATGTCACTTTGACGTTGCGCTTTATCGTTGAGTTCGACAACGACGAAGACTACCCTCCGTTTCTGCATTATATGGTACGTGTATCTTCACAGTGTTTGCACTCACCGAGTTTAGTTTCCTTCACCGCGACAGGAAATGATGAAAAGCCGCCACATATCTTCCATAGTGCCCTTCCAATGGATAGGCGGTCAATACAATCCCCTGAAACCTGATCAGCCGCAGACTCAAACTAGCGTCCGGAGCCCAGTTCTCGGAGAGCTGCTCGGGACGGTCCATGAAGCAATTCCTTTTGCAATCAACAAACGAGTGGGTACGATTTCCTAGTTCATGCTCACCGCTCCAGAAACCGACTAATCCTTCCTCAAGCTCAATTGAATGCCGGCGACCACGATGCTCTGCCCTTCAATACCTATCGAGACTCAGTCGATTCAGAGGCGAAACTCAGAGCTATACGTCTTAAAGGTTTCACGGCCGCCGCTCGTGAACCTGCCCATCGTGTCTTCGTCGTTGTTGATGTCGGTGCCAGGATCGGACTCTTTCATAGCCACTATGATATCCTCACCGCTATCTGCGCCGCTCAGAGCCCATACTTGGGATCTCATTCTCTTTCCCGCTCGAGCTCCATCAGTGACATCTACGGGCTGTACCTCGCCATTCCGTCTTGTACAGCTCCGCATGAAAACGCCCCCCTCAACCGTGAACTCCGCTCAACATCTGACCCCGGATCTCTAACAGTTACCATCTCGGCCAACCGAGTTTCTGTCATGTCTGATGCTAATACTATATTTCGCAGCAACTCTACAGCATTCGACAGTGCACGCCACGTTATCACTATTAACTATATTGTGGGAGATGCTTTTCTTGCCCCCATATATGGCGGAAACAACGGGGGAAGACAGAATATCAATTGTAGTGAGTATTTGTCTTTTCTCGCTACATACTACTCATTAGAATGTCTGTAGTACGTAGAACATAGTGTAAATATACCTCGTATATATCTACGACGTACTCTAGGCGAGCGGGTACGTTACGCCTGCTAACCCATGCTAATCGACTTCAGAAGAACAGGAGGGATAGGGGGTTCACGTGCTAATTTGTTTAACTATATAGCCGACGAGGGCAGTCCATCACACGCGCCCGCTTCTTCCACCACTGAACATGACTGCGGGCTGTTACTTCTAGGACCTAACGTACGGAACCATATGAACGCCGGTTGAACAGCTCCACATAGCGCAAATAACGACGCGACATTAAAGTAGTCGAACCCAGAAGACTGTTTAGGCCAGATGCCGCTGGGAGTGGTTCAGGATAGATACTGACATCTTCCATCCACCGAACGCCCTCCCGTGTAACATCTTTCCGCTTGGTTTACTCTAAGTAATATTAACAGGAAGAATTGATCATGGTAAGCACCTTATTCCTAGTGCCACATCCAGTCTAAAGTTCCAGCGATGTTAATTATAGCGTGAAGTCCTGAGACTAGTTTCTATCCCCTGAGCACTTGTCTTGAACATTCAGAATTGCACTAATGACGAAACATTTCATGCACGAACAATTAAAAGGTGCAACTCACGTCTCCCAATCACGCTACCTTGCCTTCCTCCCCTTGGCTAGGAACACCAATTTTCCGGCAGACTGCTCCGTATCTGAGTTTTGTCTCCGGTTATTCATACGACGACGACGGAAGCGATGTCAAGGAGCAACATGCCAACACCCAAGATATCGTTGAATCTCTCCTTCGTCCTGGTGGCTATAGCACTCGGAGCAGCAGGTGTGGGGGCAGTCCCTGCCACGAATGACTGGTCGAAACCCTGCTTCGACGGCGAATGTGCCTACGATTTACCAGTGCGCGGCGACTCGGCCCTTGGTGCTTTCAAAATTGTACTTTTTAAACTCCCACATCCTTCATCGCAATATCATATTTGACGTATCATTTCCATAGGCAGGTTCACCGAAAGCCATCACGGATATTACACCCGCCGCGGGATGGGTTATACTCGACTGTGACCCGCATGCCTTGTCGCAGGAAATACGTCTTGTGTGTCAGTCCGACGATGAGGCGAACGACGAATCGTGTAGCCATGTCTTTGGGCATTGGGGCGCAGTCGATAAGATCGTAAGACTTCCCGATGGGGTACGCGCATTTTCACTCCCAAATACTCCCATATCCGTACGATGCTCAGTGAACAATTGCTGATGGTTACGTACAGTGTAGCGCAGCTCCATTTGCGAGAATTGCGCAGGCGACCGTGGCGCATGATCAGACGCTGCCCGGCCACGTCGAGGGAAAGGTGGTAAGAAGAGATGGTGTTTCGCCTGTCATCCACTCCTTCAAAGTCGACACCAACTTCGCAGAAGTCGATGCGTCCAAGTACGTGTCAATTTTGCCCTTCTTGATTCATAAGTACTGATAATTGATTTAGAGTCGGTGATATCAACTTCGCCTTCGTAGGGCTGACCTCTCCCTCTCCCTCGCGAGACTTCCCCTCCGACACTGACCTCAACTTCGAGTTCGTCGACGGCTGGTTTGACGATGCTTTCAAATCGGTCGGGGCATGGACATCCGGCGCCGTTCAATCCGTTGGGAAGGCTGCCGGGGACGTTGGCAACGCTGTAGGACACGCTGCTACAGACGTCGGGAAAGCCGTGGGCCAGGCAGGGCAGGCGGTCGGGCATGCAGCTGAAACTGCTGGGAAAGCAGTAGCAGGAGCCGCCGGCGCTGCCTTCAAGGCAATTAAAGACGTACCGGGGCTCTTGGAGAACGCTACGTCCTTCCAATTCGAGCCAAAGGTAGAAACCTCGCCTGCTAAGTTCGATGGCGCTGTGAATCTCATCAACTATCACGACACGAAATGTGTTGGTGGTGGAGAGGGTGGCGTGGCTTCAGGTTCGTTGAAGGTGGATTTGGACGGGAAGGGTAGCGGAAGTGTGAAAGCCGGTGTAATCGTTGATGGGTCGATTGTTCCCCCCAAGATCAAAGACTTTGCTGCTTACGCGGGGCTGTCGTTCGATGTGGACGCTTCGGTCGTGATCAAGGCTGCCATTCTAGTTGGGTTTTCCTTACTTTTGCACGCTGCATTGCTGACAATGGCGTAGGGTGGATACGAGTCTGGAAGGATGAGTGTTATAAAGCCTATTGGCCTTCCAGCCCTCTCCATCCCTGGGTGAGTGATATCCCTTCCGTTTATTTTCCTTGAACCGACCCCACTTTGTGCCTCGTAGCGTCCTCACCATAGGGCCTATGATCGAACTACAAGCCGAGGCGAAAGCGTTACTGGATTTGAAGATCGACTCGAACGTTCATCTTGCGTACAAAGTGGATAATCGTAAGGGCCTCTTTTCATGCAATCGTTTCATCATTTAACCGATTGCCACCATCCCACCACACCATCCTCCACCACAACATTGATCTTGGACCGCGTGCTTTGGCTATCCGTACTTTCAACTTTGAATAGTGGAATTGTGGTACCCCAAAGCAAAGAAGGCGTCAGTAGAGAAGGGTATACATACTAAGCCCGCTCGTAAGTTCCTCACACTTCTTGGCGACACGGACAAGTTAATCGTTCCCCTATATGCAGCCCTCAAACTCAAGGCGAAAGCAAAGGCCAACGCAAAAGGTTCGTAATCTTCCATGGCCAGCGTTGATCGCTGACAAGTCATAATATACAACAGGATATATCGAAGGACACTTAATCCCATCCCTCAAACTAGGCATCTCCGCGCTTGCAGGCAAAGCTGGTGCGGATGTGTTCCTCGAGGCCGATGCATTCGCCCGTGTTAGCATCACTGCCGAAGCCCACGCAACCGCCAACGTCAAGGCGGGCGGCGCTGCTCCTGCTGCTAAGGGTGCACCTGCCGCTCCCGCCAAAGCCGCTGCCCCCGCTGCGGGGAAGAAGGGCAAGGGCAAACGCGATATTTACGTACCACCTTACGCCTACGGCTCCCGCCGTCGAGATATCTCCGCCCAAGATGGCAGCGATGGTGCGCCAGCTGCGGGCGTGAAGGCTGGGTTCAGTGGTTGCGTCGATCTATCGGCTGGCTTGGAACTGAATTATGGTGCAAAAGCGAATGTGGGAGATCTTTGGAAGGTCAATGAGAGTGGGTCATTGTGGAAGAGCCCAATCTGGCCCATTTGGTCGGTGAGTAGACAGGCTATTTGCACATGTTCTAGCCCGATTTTTCACTTGTCTCCGTCATTTGGTTCCCCGTTGATTGACAATCTCACTCCGTACATTTAGGGTTGCTTTGAGGCGGGCACCAAAGCTGCGAAACCAGCTGGAAAATCGTCTTGGGATCCTGCGACTCTGGAGAAGAAATTCAAGGAGAAGAAGTTGACGTGTGATGCCACGGACGTGGGTGACTTGGAGAGCATTCCTGATGAATCTCTCCCAGCGAAGACGTGAGTTTTTTCTCTTTCCGACCTTCGTCTGTATTTGAATATGATGCGCCAATTTTATAGCGTGCAGCCGTAATAACCAGAGGAAAGAAGAGATGCGAGTACCGACGAGATTTAGGTCTTTGTGTTTCAAGTCTATGTCTTGTATCACGCGTAGAATATATTTTTACTCCCCCTGTACCCTGTATCCATACCCTGTATCAATATCCAAAATATTGTTTCCCCCACATTCCTATCATTTTTCTCCACCGCCAAGCTGGACATCGAGACGCAGTGGATCTGCTCAACGCCGCTAATTATAGAACTGATCTATTGCCGAATCCAGTGAGACCATATACATACGGTCGCAAGTATGTCGCTGCGTGAGCTCGATTGGCTATTTCAGGCCATTTTGGTAGCGGTCGTAAGCTTTCTCACTGACGGCTCTTTCGTTTCGCCCCAGCTAGAGCAGCGATGTCCTCCGTCGAGCTGACTGACGAGCGAAAGAAAGAAATAGGCCAGCACTTTGTCTTCGGTTTTATTGGAACAGACTTGGATGAGGACTTGCGGCGGCTTATACGAGATTACCATGTGGGGCACTTGATCCTGATGAAGAGGAACATCAGAGGTACATATTCCACCGACTGCGTGTGCACTTCCCCGAGCCAGTTGATTGCGTATGGTAGATGGCGTTCAGACCCGGCAGCTTGTCCGTGAAATTCAGACACTAGCGAAGGAAGTCGGACATCTTACACCAATCCTCATTGGAACTGATCAAGAAAACGGTTGGTGGGTGTGATCACAGTACATCGTCTAGCTAATATGATCACGAAGGGTTGGTGTCTCCGACGACTGGAACGCAATTGTAAGCCTGCATTTACCCATAGCGTCCGCTAGCCAATCTCTGACTGGATTGTGGGTAGCCCAGGTGCAATGGCATTGGCAGCAACTGGGTCGACTGATCTGGCTGAGAAGGTGACCAATGCAAGCGGAAAAGAGCTAGCGAGTGTTGGCGTACATTGGGCCTACAGCCCAGTGGCAGATGTCAACTCAAATCCACACAACCCTGTCATCGGTGAGTTCAGAAATTAGAATACTACCGAATTTATGAGGGCTGACTAGTAACAGGCGTCCGTTCTTATGGAGACGGTGAGTAAGGATTTGACGAACTGCAATCTAACTGATTCATACATGCTATTTTGTCAAGACCCTCACAAAGTCTCTGGCTTCGTGCAAGCTGTCTCCAATGGACTAATTCAGGCTTCGGTAGCTCCCTGTGCTAAACATTTTCCGGGACACGGCGATACCAACGTCGACTCGCACCTTGCCCTCCCAGTCATCTCGAAGTCACGGCACGACCTCTACGCCAACGAGCTCATCCCATTCCAGCGACTCATCTCCTCTGAAATCCCAAGCATAATGACAGCCCACGTAGCCCTTCCTGAGATCACCGGCAGCCTAGTCCCTGCTTCTCTCTCAAGACAAATAACTACAGATCTACTCCGCACAGAAATGCAGTACAACGGCGTTATTGTCACAGATTGCCTCGAAATGGATGCAGTTATGGAAACTTACGGTTCCGAGCGCGCTGCTTTAGAGTCGTTGAAGGCGGGTGCCGACATCGCCATGATTTGCCATACCCTTGATAAACAGATCGGCGCTGTAGAATTGGTTTGGGAGGCCGTTCGATCTGGTGAATTGAGGATCGATGAGCTTCAGAAAAGCACTCGCCGAATCGAACAACTCAAGCGAGATTTCGCTGGATCATGGGATGACTTCTTATCCCCAAGCAGTCCCGACGAGGCATTTACAGCCATTTGGTCCCAGCTTCTGGACGAGAACAAGCTCATCAGCCAACAGGGCTATCAACGCTCCACCACCATTATCAGAAACCCTCCCAGTGTTCTCCCTCTCAGCAGCACTGACACGGTTCTCTTATTTACGCCAATCATGGAGAGCTTGAATCGCGCTGTAGACGACGCAGAAGACGTACTTCGCACCGCCAATGGGCTACTCCGTAACACGAAGGGCGCTTCTTATACAGCGTTCGCATCCGCCATCGGGAAGCGGGCGAAGATGCAGCACATCGTTTATTCCCATCAATTTCCTTCCCTTTCTCCGTACTCACCGACCGCCATCATCTTTACCATGCGCAACGCCGACCGCAGCCCCTGGCAAATCGACTGTCTCAGAAACATACTACAGTTGCTGGGAAGGGGGAACACTACTTCACGTTCTGGGACAGTGCCGAAGGTGGTTTTGCTATCTAGTTGCCAACCATACGATTTGCTTGGGGTATCAGATATCGACTTGGAGAATATAGCCCATGTGGCGAGTTTCGAGTTCACAATCCCCGCGCTCGAGACAGCTGCAAGTGTTATCTTTGGGGAGATACTCGCTCAAGGAGACGTACCAGTCACGATTACTTGATTTGTGCCAGACGTTGGTGTAGTACGAGCATTCAGAGGAGAACTACACGATGAAGGCTATGGAACTTCGACAGAGTTGTATTGACTATTGTAAAACCCTACACAAGAGCGCCTCAGAAGTACCGGGTGTCCATTAGAAGAAACTGATAGACCACCTGAAAGAGAATGCGTCAGATCGATTACCTCATACAACGGTGCTACGACTTACGCGGTCGGTACGAGCACGTCTACTGTAGTCAGAGGCAACGGCAGAGTGAGTGGCTGCGTAATGATCGTTACGCTGTAACATCAGAATCAACAGTGAGTATAAGTTGAATGTGTCTGATGTAGTGACTTACAGTGTGTCAAATTGCCCGTTGGCAGTGAGGGTACCACTATTGACAGCACTCAAGGTCGCCGCAGAACCTTGAGTGAGGGGTACGTTGGTCATTATCCCCGAGTTGATGCTGCCATTGAGGGGCACTTCAGCCGCGGGGTCAAAGGTTTTTTCTACCTTGAACATTGTTGTAGTGCCGCTAACAGCCGTCAAAGTAACGCTTTTGATGGCAACCGACGTGAGTATAGATAGCCCGGGTACTATTGGCGAGACTGCAATCCAAAAGCTTCAGCGTTACGACAGTTCAGATATTTTGAACCCGTCACGCACTATTGAAATCAACGCGGCTAGGACGGTTGTGAACTTAGCATGAGCTGTCAAGGGGTAGCAACGTGGTATGTTACCTCAATTGATTGTTCAACAAAGATGCTCCCTGAAGCCACCAGACAACTTCAGTCCACTACCTCTGCGACACGAATGGGGGCACTTACGGTGAAGTGGGCAGTGATGTTACTGATGTGAATGTTCAGAAGTAGTCCTGGGATTTGCCTGGCTTGGATTGCACTACCAGCTACCTGGAGCAAATGTACGAAGAGGACAACTAGTACGACAAGCAAATCCATGGGTGGCGGGATGCGAGGATGGGGCAATAAGACACTACTGGACGATCTTCTTAGATCTTATACCTCGGGCCAGTGGCTGATATATGTAGCTGACATCCTAACACCGAAGACGGGACGTGAAAGTGTCTGGGAAATCCAGCGGGAATCTGTTCATAGCGAATGACATGGGACTATGAATGCATTCGAGGCTCGGATAATTGCACAAGGGACATCATGAGTTCGGCGAAGGTGGAAATCATCTGGATCTCAGGCCAGATTGTTAATAAGTACGTATCTGATTATCAGCGCTTTGACATCGCTCTTCAAAAGGATTGTGTCACGAAGCCAGGCACGCAAGAACCATTCTACAGAAATATAGGTGATCGAGTGTGAATCTACCTATATCAAGCTCCATCTGTTTATGTGGGGATGAGTCACTGAACAGACGACGGAAGAAGCTACCTACGTGGCATCGACATTGAACTGGGTGAGCGGCAAGAACAGAGGTAACACCAGTGGTTGGGTGATTATCGTCACCCTGTAACTTGCTTAGCCCGCTGGACGCGATCTCGTATGGAGTAGCCACTCACTTCATGCTGACACCAGCACTGAAAATATCCAAGGTTTTGCTGGGAAAGGCGTTGAGGAGCGTCGGGAGAGCACCTTGCGTGAGGGATACCCCACTGATAGTGCCGGAGTTGACAGTACCAGTCAGAGGCACGGCGAGCGGGGTATCAAAGTCATGCGTGAAGGAGATATACTCTGTTCCAGAGATACCTGCAGAGAGTGTTATGTTCGTAATGCTGACCCCCACAAGAAGGGACAAATTTGGGATGATTGGGGAGACTAGAATGTGTGTTAGTTATGGGACCCTCGGCAAGAAATATAACCAACTATCGAAGTCGACGCTGATAAGAGAGTGTGAATAAGATGAATTGATGATGCCAGCGAGCCATCACCTACTGTGCGGTGTTGGTGAGCAGAGTTAAGAGCTAGAGGAGCGTTAAGTACGCTGTAGCGAGTGATTTGACTCCACAGACTCACGTCAAAGTGCGCGTTAAGACGCGTGAAATTTAAATTGACAAGACCAGTAGGAATGAGCTGTCTGCTTTCGACGGTCTGTTCCAACGGGGCGCCTGAAACGAAGGACAACAGGCCTAAGACGATTGACGATGCTTGTCCAAACCGCATCTTCGCAACGTAGCCTGTCGCTGTGAAAGTCGCTGCCTAAACGAAGCCGTCCTTTTATCCACTAAGACAAGCCGACGACTCCCGCGGTGACTGTCGAATGTGCAAAGTGACGGCGGACTTCCATCCGTGAGGAAAAAATGCTTTGCCTCCCAGCCTGTCCATCCCTGTGGCTAGTCTAGACCTGCCTATGGACCCATGGCCCGACGGTATTTCCGTGCTATCCATCTGATTAGAAGGTGTTGCAGGCTGACGTGGGTCGACGCCGTCTGGGATGGTACTGGATGTGGTCAAATTGCAAGTCTTACGGCAATCGGAGCATGGGGGGAAGGAGGGTTGCAAATAGAATGCCGTCTTCGACCTGTTCATCCATGCGAGTTCCGTGAATACAATAGCACCCGATACATGCACGACAGGGAAGCTAACGCAGTGCACTTTTGCAAACGAGTCTTGGTTAGACTGGTGTTATTTGAGAAGGGCATTACGTACAGTGCGCGACTTATGTTTTAATCATAAACCGAGAACAGAATAGGACCTTTCGAGCCTCCTCGGATCTGGTATCTGAGTCTCCGGAAACATTAGACATTTGTTCAAACGTGACGTTCGCTTCTTGCCAAGGTCGCCATACGAGCACTTCCCGACCTTCGGTAAACCGTGTAGCCGTTCGGATCCCAAGGTCGGCAGAATAGGCAAGCGGAGGTTGAGTGAAGGAGAAGAGGACCAGATAGGGCGTCTCAGTACGTTTAGATGGACCGAGAAAGAAAGGTGTACTGGGAAGTAGTTGCGGCGCCACTTCTCGGTTCAGCCGTGTGCACTCAGCCAATCCACAGTATGTCGTCAAGTTGGGCCCAGGGGCATGGAGAATGCGGGTTATTTTAAGACGTAAGTCAGGTACAAGGGAGGTCGGCGACGATCGATAGAGGATTTCTGTCTCCCTTTGCCAAAGTGAGATAGACGTATGTGTTTGCGAAAAGAGTTGACTGGCTCGCTCCGCAAGGCCGCCACGTGTGAACTTTGGACCGCCTTTGCCTCGTTTCTCGGGGCTGAGATTCACACCGCGATTGGCCTCATCTTCTGCAGCTGCAGCTCCTGACTTCTTCGCAAATGTGTATTTCTTGTCCTGCAGAAACAAAGAGAGCAGTTCGGCGGCTCCATCAGAGCTAGTAGGATCGGTTACAAGAGCCATCCTCGTGGTATTGATAGTACGAAGACGTTTGGGTGTAGTCGGTGGCGGTGCCTCGGGAGCAGGCAACGGAGGAGGATCCGGGAGCTTGCGTGACAGCGGTTTCTTGGACCCTGAAGCCATTGAGCTTTCCAAAGATAGGTTCGGTGGAGTTATCAATGCCCTCTTCATGTAGACCTTGTCTCGCGAGTCATCTAGTCCCTGAGGCTTCAGTAGAATACGAAGGTTTTTCGGATGCAGGTTATCAGCCTTTGGTCTAGGGGGTTTGCTGTTCACCGAAGACGATTGAAAACGCATTGGATCATTCACAGAAAGTGTTGAGTCCGAGGGTTGGACTCGGGAAGCCGTCGTAGGTAGACCCCGCATTGTGGTAGGTGGCTGAATTGAAGCTGCCTTCGCGCCATCAAAAGCGAACGGGTGGTCGACCCTGCGCATTTTGCGTTGTCCAGACGCTGACCCAGAAGAAGTCGAAGGACCAGCAAGAACATCACCAAAAGCAGAAGCAAAATCCTGTATTTTGGGCAGTGATTGTGGCGCTGGCCTTACTTTACGTTTGGTGACCGATTTAGAGAAGCCATCCGGCGGGGCCATAACCCGTTGTCGTTTGGCAATGTGTGCACTCTGAGATGGGTACCGCCAGTCAGGATCCGTTGAGTGCAGAATAATGGAGCGCACCTCTTCTGCCATTGAAACGACGGGATGTTGATGAGTGAAGACACCTGGCCTGCGCCGTGGCGCGTTCAAACTTCATGCAGCATGTGTGACTTATGCACGTGAGTGTGACCCATGAACTCGCCCTTAGTCACGCCGCCCTTACTCTCATTAACCTAAGTTCGCTCTCAAAGACAAGCAATGCCATTTACGAACGAAATGCAGCGAACCCTCTAGTCGATTCTCTGATATAAGAGTCGTGCCTGGCTTTCGTGACAAGCGACTTCCCAACGGATGATGTTTCCGAAGAATTCTAGTCTCTGGGACCTGAACTCACTCCGAACCCGGGACGTCAAACCCACGATGTCCCTTGTACATCCTCATCGATGGTCTCGATTGCATCTTTGGTCGCATGCCATCACGTCCCCGGTCGAACTTCCCAGACGCTTGTCCTGATCGTTACATAGAATGTTAACGGCGTATCTACTAAATGTATAAGAACCTTGGTGGCTCGTCTCGACCCCACGCGACCTCTCGAATCCACGATGCTCCTTATGGATCTTACTACCATCTTGACCGTTGTCTTTGTCCACGTCCTGCAAGCGGCAGGCGATGGACTTCAGTCGAGGCAGCTCCCAGGATTACTTCTGAATCTACACGTCACCAACACCAATACTCACTTTACGGTGTGTACCCAACATCGTCTGCGTGTCGTGCTAAACGAGCTTTACCACAGGGGGCGTCTTTCCTAAATAACCAGATCAGGTAACTACCGCTCTCCTTCTCTTTAGCATTCGGATCTAATATAATACAATGACTTACCAGTAACTTCAATTTCGATCGTGCGTCGAGACCCTTCAAGGGCCTGACCTGACCTCAACTTACTTGCTAGTTTCGCCTTCAACGTCCGATTTGCCCAATGTCCACATCACCGGAGTCACCATCAGCGGTGTAGATCTCTCCGCCGCTAGCGGCTCCACAGAAATCTTCGCTCTGCACAAAACTTTTAGCCCCGAACTAGCAGTACCGCTCAGCGGCAGCGGCGTCGTCAACTCCGGGGCTATCACGAACGTGCCCCTCACGCAAGGCTCTGCCGCTACTCTGGAGTTCGTCGACGACGGTGTGCTCGATGTCGATGCTGTTTTCGATGCGCGGTGAGTTGTCTTTTGAGATGTATCGTGTCCTCGACTGATGATGAACGCAGAGTGACCCTTGTTACCGATGGACCTGCGACATTACCTTTGCAAGTAAAAGAGGTGGCCGTGAACGTACCCACTTCGTGAGCGTTCTCGTTTCAACCAAAAACTAAATTAACGCGCTTCTGCAGATGGACAATAAGCCTTTTGTGAAGGATGTAGATTCAGTGCGCAAGTGATACATATCGAGTCTACCTATGTTTGCGTAGGTTCGTTTGGAAATACCAAAGGGGTCATCGTGATAATGGCAGGCCATAGAGACGATATTCGATCCGTCTATATCTAGTGAGTGGCATGGATTTGAGTTGCTGCGTGTGATGGCGAACTCGTGAATTATGGTATGAACGATACTCAGGGAGCCAGCTGGAGGTCCAGAGCAGAGTAAACATCACAACGTTTGGCACGGCTCAACGCAGGCTACATCGATAAGGCAATCTACCCTACATTTACGCAACTTACACCGTTGTCACTTCGGCTCAAGCAAAGCCAAAACATTCGGAAAGCCGGCCTCAATGGTATAAGTAAATCTTCTGTTGTCGAGGAAGGGGCTGCACTCTTTGGCGGGGTCACCCCGATACAGATATCCACATTCCAGCATACCCTTTGGCAATCCGTGAAGACCATCGATTAACAAAGCTGCCGTGGTCGAAAATTGTAGACGAGCTCACCGACGACGACCGGTGTTGTCGCAGTTCGGACGATTGTACCCAATACACATCGCCTGGAACCCGGCCGGCTTAGGACACCGCGCCGCCGAGGGAACGCCCTATTGCTCGGGCGATGACCTCGACGGTGCGCGGCCGGCGGCGCAGCACATTCAACTCTTCCCCGTGGCTTGATCGCGCACTCTGGACGGAACCCCCCACAGCCGCAGAAGTACGACCAATGCTCTTCGCCCGCCGCAGAACCCATGGGCCTTGGGCGAGCACACACGAGAATCGGTGACCACTGCGGGAAGTGGGGCGAGGGATCAGGTAATAGGGTCGCTCGCTGTATATGTATACAGTTCGTGTGTAGGAATCCCAGGAGATGTTAAGAAATCCCAGGACTACTGCGATTCACTCGCCATAAACCTGCGCCTTGCAACCTTTCCCCAGAGGCCGATCGTGCTGAGGAGATGGGATGAGCAGGATACGAGGCAAGGCGGGTGGCAGATACTTACGAGGGTGGTTCAGGATTGAGCAACGCTTGTGGAGAATCCTCTCTTGTATACTGATGCTATGTTTGGTTCCGAAGCTGCTGACATGACCCGCCTTTGTTGCACTCTTGTCTCGTTATGGACCCCGCTGTTTGGCCCTGCTTGGATGACCGACCACTTGCATCCCAGTTGATGCTGCATCCGCCGTTGCGCTTCCCAGTTCCCAATGTCTCATCCCTGTGATATTCGCCTTTCCATGGTGTCTTCATGCAAAGTCATGAAATTGAGATGGTCCAGTTTTGAATAGGCTCGTAGTTACCGAGCGGGCTATGCGGGTCCCTTTCATTATCATATTTCCAGTATTATGTCCGAAGTCTCCTACCGCCCTCGTCACGAAGTGGAAGCGTCTACACAACGGTGTGATCATGACCGGCAATGATGACCTTCGCTCCTGCATCATTAACCACGCGTCAGCTTGGTCTACAGGGCGATATGGAATTTTCAGTGGCTCTGGCGAGTACTCTGGAGAGGCGATGAAAGCTTGTAGGGCGTCCATTGAGTCTGGTTGGCGGGTGTCTCAGGAACGCGTCGCAGGTGGATTATTGCCCAAGTAAGAATGCACTCAAATGCCGCAGGAGAGGTACCCAGCCAATGGAGCCCGCGTGCTTGGCAAAGGACAAAAGATCGGGCAAATCCCAATATATATACTATGTCTTGCAGTCAACGACTGTAGGTAGATGTGTACAAAATCTGCAATCAATTCTGATAGAGGAACTTTCGACTTCGCCAGAAATGCCCACCAGCGGTGGTATTCTCATTGTTGTTCTTTTTTGTCTTCGCTGCAAAGGTGTTGTCGACCACTGTCTCTTTCCGAGGGTTACGGTTGATGATCGAGCCTGCGGCGTATCACCTTCGCGTCGACCTGCGACAGGACTTAAGAACACGGCACCAGGATTTATCTTAACGGTAGTTAGAGCATGCGAAGGAGCAACCATGGGGGCACGGAAAAATCTGATGCTAGGACTAAGCGAGTGTAAGCTTTCCGGGATGCCGATCTGTGAGGTGGCGGGAATGTGTCTGGATAGTATGTGGTTGGGTAAGAAGATACCGTGAACATTCAACCGAAGGTCACTGCTGGAAAACATGTGTAAGGAGGAGACGGCAAAATGCAGGAGTTCGAGCATACGGAGTGTATTGAGGTGTAAACCGCATGTAGACGGCGTGCACGATGGGAAGAATCATATATGCAAGGACGTGGTTGGCCGCGGATGGATTCCACTCGTGGAGGAGAGAAATAGTGGTAAGGATCGTGTTGGCCTTGAGAAGGTTTCCGAACTTTTGAGCGTCCGCGAACCATTAAGATCTCTGCTGCAATGCGTCGGTCAATCGTTTTGCTTAGGAGGGCGGTGCACGCTCCTTCGAAACGCTCTCCGAGTTCCGCCAAAACGGCAGATGTGGACATGACTTCTTGCATTGTCTGCAAGTAGAGGAAATGAGCAGGTGCATTAGCGAGTGGATGCAGACTCTGACCTCGAAGAACGGCGAATAACAAGCGATCGCGTGGCAAGCTCGAGAAACTGCATTCTCGTAGATGACCTCGCCGTCTTCGACCACGCCAGACTGAGAGTCCAGGAGGGTGATGTCCGTGACCTAAGTTGCATCAAAGAGACATAGAGTCTCGCCTTGGGTAAAAGCGACAAAAGCGACCAAGGGAGTAAATTGGTACTCGCCGCCTTGGCGAATTGCCAAAATGGCCGCGCGGACTCCATCCCCGTGCGAGGCAACCATGTTGAGCACGGGCGTGGGAACTGTGGTGGGTAGGTGAAGAGAGTACCAATGTAGGAGGGAAGCCTCCTCCCAAGCCTAGGCAAACATAGACATATCGTCACAAACCTTAACACATCCCGCCCTAGGGTATATAAAGGCGGATCGCGCGTTAACTTGTTCTCCGTCTCTTTCTTTCTTCCTCTCATCTAGCTTTCTAACTTCTAGAGGTAAGTCCGCTAGAATTGTCCCATCGCCCATACTCACCCGCCCATCTCTAGCGAGACGGAGGTGCGATGGCGCATCGCTATACAATACGCACCAGGGCCGCATATGGCTCGTCGTCTGAGCTTGCGTCTCTGTCGTCGTGTCGTATGTGTTCATCCATGAGCCTGGACGGCGGCGGTGCACTTGCTTGGGCGGTCGAACATTTGTGGCCTTGGGCGTGTTGAATACCGTGCGTGGCTGTCCGGAGATCAGTGAAGTTTATGCAGTCGAGCTGTTGTAGAGGGTGTCAAGAGGGCAAACGCTTCGCACTCGCCAAGAATCTGTGTACTCTCGTCGCTGTTCCGAGGCCAGCGGGTCGGAGGCGATGTGCATGAGCCAAGATGCAGTTGCCTGAAAGGTCGCGTTTGTGATCCTCGGCGGTACGTATGTCCCTCACGTCGACGAGAAAAGACTTACTAACCGATACGCGACAGAATGCCCGCTGTTATTCTTGTGAACTCGCCCAGGCGGTACGTAAGTTTACTACCTCAACGAGAAAAGACTTACTAACCTCGTCGCGGACCAGACTGTCGACTGTTCTTTTTTGCGAAACGACCTAGGCGTTACGTCGGGTTTTCGTCTCAACGTGCAAATACTAACCTTTGTTGCGTACGAGCCTTTGGCGGGGATGGATTTGGCAGTAGGTTAAGATATTGTCTAAGCAGCGCATCGTATCTTATCGTCTGCCTTGAACCCGAACGCGTGGCCACCGTTGAAAGCAATGAGAGAAGAGGAGGAATATACATCCTGAAGACACTGCGCCATGTATAAATATGCCAACGAAGTCATGAATGTGATCGTGCATTTTCGAGGGCTTCTTATTGTAGTAGACGATCTCTAGTCGCGGCCTATCGTTGTGGGGATTACCTGTGTCCCGTTTGGTATCGGCTTCGTGTTCAGGCGCATGCTGCCTCGTCCTTGTCTGGGGTTTCGTTTATACGATGAGAACTGCTGCGCTATTTGCGCAGAAAAGTATTGGGTCTGCCCCCAAAGTAAGTCCCAGTGGTAGGCATTGTGAATCTTGAGCTACTCTAGTAGCTCAGGCATGATTACGCTGGTTCTGGATGAACGATATGGATGAAACGGAATCCACTTTCGCGACTCGAATAAGGACTTGGATGAGGAAGGGAGTATTGAAGGGAGCTGCGGAACGCGTGACAGTTGTCACGTGGTTTGAATCAAAATCAAAGTTGCCCCATCCGGTGTGTTGACGAAGAACAGGGAAGATGAGACAAAGGTTGAACGATGTAATTGATGACGAGAGCAGGAATGCATAAAGTACATTTGCTTGTTGTGTACGTACAGGTAAATAAACATGATATAGATGCTAGTCCATTTCTACGTACGCCCACATCGTTCACCAAGGCAGCGCGCAAGTCACAGCAAGTCGCAAAGCAAAGCACAGATTATAAATATACGGAGACGAACGAAAGATATGATACATGGGTGGGCCATGGTGCTCAGGCGGGGATGGCTCGTGGAGTGGATTCGACATTTTCTTTGTTTTGTTGTGGCGGAGACCTGCTTGTGTCCGGATCCACCTTCTTAACGGGTCTAAGCTTCACGTTGGCGAGAAGAGATCGTGTATCAGGCGGTGAATGATCTTTCTCAGAACTAGTGGAGGATATACGACGAAGGGGTTTGTGTGTTGGCGGAACGGGGAATGCTGAAGGTCCTGGACCAATCGATGACTTTCGAGATAGCGAAGACACTCTACCACTAGGAGTTGGTGTTCCAGCAAGAGAGAGCCGTTTGTTGGGCGGCGGCCCCATAGAGCCCTCTATGCCTCGACTGGTCTTACTGGCAATCGACGGCGTCGCAGTGCTATTAGCCCGAATGCTCTTACCGAGAGCGGGTATCTTCGCCGAAGCAGCGGGAGTATCAGTGATCTTGCGTTCTTTGATACTCAATCCCGACTCTGATATTACAGAGGGCGGCCTTGAAGACGGTCGAGATATGCTGGGCGTCGAGAATGCAGACGAATCCCGTCGGTGGTGCGCTGTCTTCGATGGTTGCGCCGGAGTGCTCCCAGCGGTACCGCGGACACCCATCTTGCGTTTGATCTGAAGTGGCAAATGAGAATCCCGAACGAATTCCCGAAACAGAACCACTCACCAATTCGAGTTCTTGCTGTTTAGAATCGAGGGCGATATTCAACCCCTGCATATCCTCCTTATCCTGTGCCCGCGCTTTGTTCAGCTGGACTATCTTCACCTCCTTATCTGCACTCTCTTGCTGCAATTCGTGAACGTGACGACGCAGTTTCTCTAACTCGGCCGACAGCGCATCAACACGTCCTTTCAAGGTGCTCGCTTCGAAGGTCGCTTCAGTCCTCTCTTTGATCAGGGTCTCCATGCGAGATCGTGACTCGCTTTCTTGTCGAAGGACATCTTGCAGTTCTCTCGTCCGATCGTCAACTACCCGAGTCTGCTCGCGCTTCATGTTCGTCATCTGTTCCCGAAGAGCCGACGCTTCAGATTCACGCTCCAGGATGCGCTTGGAGTACTCGTCTATCTCGTTGTCGCGCTGGCGGATGAGCCCTTCGAGGCGGCTCACGTTGCTCAGGGCATGGGTATGTTCTCTCGTCAGTTCGGTGATGCGGTCGTCACGGTCATGTAGTTCATGCTGAAGACGTTCGCATTGTTCTTGCGTTTGCTCCAGTTGGTTGTCACGTTCTTGAAGCACCAATGTTAGCTCCTCAGCGTGCTCTTGCTCCTGTCGAATGATGTCTTCGAGCTGCAGGGAGACATTAGTAAAGATACGATAACACTCGCAGGTAACATACCTCCTCTTTCTCAGCTTCGAGAGCGTGTTTCGCTTCTGAGACTTGTTGGAACTCGGCTTCAAACTCCCCATGTTGTTCCTCTCGTTCTGCCTCCAAGTCCGCGTACCGCTGCTCCATGTCTGCAAGGTCTCTCTTCAGAGCGTCAATCTGAACCATATCTGAACCAGTGGTAGCGAGTTGCTGCTCGAGATCTTCAAGCCTGCTTTTCAGCGTGTCTCTCTCCAGCTCCAACTCATTGCGCTCGAGTTGTAAACCTTGCAGGCTTTCGGACATCTTCTCAGTATGTTGCCATTGAGCTTCGAGCTCTGACTTCAGAGTCTGATACTCCTCGTCCCGCGTGTGTAACTGATCCATGGTCTCGGTTAACTTGTCCTCCAACGCGGTCTTCTCAACCTGCATGTTTTCGGTCCTGATGACGAGCTCAGCCCTTTCAGCCTCCCAAGCCAGCTGGACAACACGCAACTGCTCGGCGGCTTCAGCCTCTCTCTCCGGATCACCATCGGCGGCAGCGTTGATCTTACGCATTATAGTATCGTCCAATGTACCGATGCTCGTGTTGCCCATCTGCTCCCATTGCTGAGATATACCAAGGATACCCTCTTGCAGTTCGCGTTGGTTCTGACCGACTTCCCGAAGTCTTGCGAGTTCTTCATCACGAGCTCTCATCTGTTCCTCCAAACCCACAACTTCAGCTTGAAGGTTGGCCTCCCGCCGTTCCCAATCAGACTTCTCCCGTTCGAGGCCGGCAATTTGTCGATGAAGCATTCGTAAAGCCTCGCCACTGGCTTCGTCCATAATGCTTCGTTCGAAGCTTGCCTGCCGAGACCCCTCGACTTCCTCTTCGAGATAACGACAAGCCTTCTCGAGCTCGGCGACCTTCTTCTTCCAATTACGTAGCACGTTCCGACGTTTAGCATCTTCCTTCTCGAGATCAGTCAATTTCTTGTTGAGTATATCCACCAGTTCGTCGCGCGCATGCAAGTCGGTTTCGTACTGTGAGCAAAGCTCGGTTTGCAGCGTTAACTGAGTCTGAAGCGAGGCAATGATGCCTTCTTCCTTGGATGACTTGCGGGCGTGTTTTGGCGGTCCTTGGGGCGGAGTTGTTGGAATCAGAGTCTGAGGGGTGTAGTAGGTGTTCGCATTGGCGCTGAATGGATCTGGCTCGGGTTTCGGTGCCGAGTAAACAACTAAGTCGGAAGACTGCTCGTCGTTGATATCGGCTTCGGGGTGTTTAGGAGGGGGAGAGCGCATCATATTCTGGAATACAGTGTCACTCATGGCACGGCTTCGATTCCTCATCATTGGTGAGGAGTTCGCTGGTGAACCTTGGGATTTGTTGTCAGCCGTCGCCGTAGCTACCTTGCCCGCCTGTTCTTGGTTCATCGAGAAGAAGACGGTTTGACCAAAGCTGAATGATTGACTGCGGTCGTGCAGCACCGGGGGAAGTTCGGGGGATTTCTCGAGCGAATGGAATATAGTATCGTCGACTGGTGCTTCGATTACAAACTCTTCCTTGGGCTTCGCCTGTTTGAACGGAGTCGAAGTCAACATTCCAGTATCGGAATGAGACCCAGGGGGTTCCATGTCTGGTTCTTCAATATTAATGTCGAGGTCGGATGGTATAGGTGGGAGTTCCAAGCCTTGCGAAATGTCGAATAGGTTCGTTTGGTCTCTGCTTGGAAGCTCCAGCTTTGATGAATCCGACATTGGAGAGAACACCTCTGCTAGAGAAGGTCGAGAAGACTTCGGGGACAATGCAGAGCGAGGTGGCTCGTCCAGCGCTGGCCGCGCACGTTGCAGACGGTCGAAGAGCTCAGTGGACGGCGCAGGGTGTGATGCTTCAGAGTCCACAGAGTTCTCAGGGCTGAGAACCTTGTACGCATCTCTTGAGAAGAACCTAACGTTCTGACCTGTGCCAGGTGTGTTCGGCCCACGAAGAATAGACCTTACAGACCCCAGCTTGGTGTCAACGACGAGGGGAGACGGAGTGTTACGGGGAATATTGGTGGATATTTGCAGGGGGCCTTTGCTGCTAGATGAGGAGTCGGTCGATTCAAAAGAGATGTCTCTGGACGACCCGAACATACTTCGAGAGGAAGTTCGAGGGGGTGGCTTCACTTCAGATGGGGAAAGCAAGTCTACTGAGGCTCTAGAAAGAGTATCCTGTGATGCACGCGCTGCATCACCAGACGCACGAGAAAGTGATTGTTGAGAATCTGAGATTCATTAGCACCGTGGAGATCACATTGGAAGAAGAACGCACTATTATGTCTGAGATTGAGTGTAGATCTGACCTTCTTTGGAAATCCAAGCAAAGGCGACGGGGCTCGTATCGAGTCGTCGTCCCTCACCCTCGAGTGCCGTTTGAACAGACCTACTCGTCCATGTCTTGACGGCGAACTCGGCGGGCTAGGATTATTGGGAAATGGCACCTCTGGGCTCTCCTCTTGAGGTTCCTCCTCATGGGTATGAAATACGGAGAGATTTGGGTGTTGCTCGTAGACTTTGTCGAGCACCTCGCTCCGCTGAGACTGCGAACTCGAGGCTGAAGCGTCGGATTCATGTCGATGCCTACCGAGGGCATTGCTGAGCTTCGACCACATCCTGCGTAATTTGGTCAGAAACTTGCAGCGCCGACGTGGAGAATTGCGTCGAAGTCGAGGTCTTGAAGTGGCCGTCTGTGACGAGCGAAGGAAGCTGGTGGTTGAAGCTGAAGAACGAACGTGTGACCACCCTGCCGTGACCCCACGCGTGACCGAACGCCGAACGCGAGAAATTCGCGTCACTCACCTGACCGTATTCCCTGAGGCCCCTAAGTGAAGCACGCGAGGTAGCATTATTACAGCATTACAGCAGGTCTACGTTTTGATTGGTAAACAACTAATACAATATATCACAGCAAAACGAACTGCTAACACTCGTATGTACATATTCAAGCGCTTGCGCTGAGCAACTGATGTCGCCTTTCTACAGCCTATTCGATAGATCCATCAGCATCAAAAGAAATACGGAGGATAAGGGAGAAATCACCTCGTTTAGTTCATCCAGCATTGTCATTGTCATGTCCCAATCGACACAAGCATCTGTAATACTTACGCCATACTTCAGCTTCACCTCGCCATCATCCTTCTGCGTCTCTAATTCCTCTAGGCTAGTGATGATCTTCGTGCCGTTCACTAAAGAATCCCTGGTTGCCGAGTAAGAAGAGGGGATAGATTGCTTCCCTTCCCTTATGTTTGATTCGATCATCACGCCGGTGATATGTCGAACGTGATGCGGCAGAGATGGCGATGCTTCTGGACTCGAAGGAGAAGTCAAGGTCTTGCACAGCGAGGAGATTACTTTTGGTTGATTCAGATGGTTCTTTTGCGAATTGCCATCTGGACATAATATATGAGTCAGAAGTACGGTGAGATCGTAGGAAAGCTGCACACGGGAGCAATCGACCATGATACTTGGGAACTTGCGTGTCCCAGATTTCTGGATTTTTTCGAACGCATCTTGGATGTGTTCCGATGAGAAGTTAGGGCCTTCATCGTGAAGGTGAGCGGCGGTGGTGTATACAGGTAGGAAACAATAGACGAACCGCTTGAACCACCTCTCAGGATGATATGGACATCATCGTTGCCTCTGGTTTTGACGATAGAAGCCAGACCAGTGGTCGTAACCCCCATAAAGGCATGCGGGTGCGAGGACGATGACATGGCATCAATTGCGGTGGAAACGCTGAGGGGGAGGAAGAGTCAGGTCATGAAATCAAAGACTCTCGGTATTTCTCACCTTCCGTCTGTACCATTTTTGAATCCAATAGGGAAAGACACCCCTGAAGCAAGCTCGCGATGTAGCTGAGACTCAGTAGTGCGTGCTCCGATAGCACCCCAAGACAGCACTGTAATGTTTAAGAAGAAACCAATTGATAAGGATGGTTACACTGACAATCAGAGATGTACTGGGGGCTAATGGTATCCAAGAGCTCGCTGGCAACGGGGATACCCATCGAAGTGATGTCGTGGAGAAGCTTCCTTGCGGTTTGGAGACCGTCGTTTATAGCGAAAGAGCCATCGATATTCGGGTCATTGATGAGCCCTTTCCACCCAATTGTTGTCCGTGGCTTTTCGAAATAAGTGCGCATGAGGATCAGGAGGCGGGGGAAGCGTCCTACAAAAGTGCACGCTTAGTGTAGAGTTCAACGGCCGACGAAAAGGAGGGTATCTACCTGCATCCAATTGTGTTTTGAGTAATCTAGCATAGTGGAGAGCCTGCGCTGGTGAGTGGATCGAGCATGGGCCGACGATCACAAGCAAGTCCGACGATTGACCCTGGATGATCTGGGATGCACGGTAGCGAGCTAGGGCCGTTGTGCGTAACGACTCCGGAGAGGTTGGTAATTTGTGCAGTAGGAAAGAAGGAGCGAGGAGGGGGTCATACTGTGCGCGGTCAGTTCGGTATGAGTCAGGGGGAGAGCAAGCAACGATATGTACCCCGATAACCCGACGATCATGGATGTATTGCTTGACCTTCTCGTCGTCAGAGAAGTCTGGTACAAGAGGTTTGCCCATATCGTCTGATTGTTCAGGGGGGATCGCTGGTTGTATGAGTGGTGTATAAATGATCAGGCTTTCTAGGACTTTATACCAGACGTACGGAAACGAAAGGCCGAGTCGTTGGATGCCGCTGTTCCGTTTTTCAAGGACATCTTTGCGATGATTCTGGAACGGCGTTGATGAGTGGTTTTAAATGGGCGCACTGTTGGTCGTGGCCGGGAGTAAGAGTGAGTCAAATTTACCAGCTCGGGGTAGCCTGATCACGATCGATCATCGTTCAATGAGCTGGCACCTCCGCACCGGAGTTTCCGCGGTATGTTATCAACCGAATATTCTGGCCTCCCCTTGTAGGCAAATTGCATTCATGAATCAGTACAACAAGAACATCCAGTGACAAGAAAGACTGACTACAAAATAATAGCAAGGTACAACTATATCGAAAATTACAACCTACTCTCCAACAAGAGGGCATCTCTTCGCCAGGGTAGGGCTCCCTTTCCAAATGCGGCATCAAGTGCTTCGCGAACAGTACGAACAAACACGAATTCCATTTCGTTTCGAATTTCAAGAGCCACATCATGCTCGACATCCTTGCGATTCGCGTAGGGCAGGATCACCTTGGTTATCTGTGCACGATGAGCACCAAGGACCTATAATATGTGGTCAGTAACACCCTCAGATAGTCGTCACCGAAAGCTTACTTTCTCCTTAATACCACCAACGGGGGTGACACGGCCACGCAGTGTTATCTAACAGAGGATTAGAGAGGAAGACGGAGGGACAGTAACGTTAACTGACCTCGCCGGTCATAGCGATGTGGGCAGGCACACAAGCACCGGTGAGCAGCGAAACGAAGGCGCACGTCTAGGATCAAATTCAACAGACCGATCAACAGGAGAAATATACAGGACATGCCATTGCAACACCGGCACTAGGACCATCCTTCTTAGTTGCGCCAGCCGGGAGGTGCAGATGTATATCGATGGGCTCGGGCAGCTTGAGTGGGTCTTGAGATCGTTCGTTAGTGATGCACAGGTCGTACGCGTGCTTCTTGACCCAGCTCAACGCCAGTTCTCCGCTCTCTTTGATGACCTAGAATGATGCAAATTCAATACAAGCATACGCGATAACACCGAGATGAAACTCACATCTCCCAAGCTACCGGTGAGTTTCAGTCCACCTTGTCCTGGAACGATGATTGTTTCTACGGGAAGAATACCGCCTTCTCCCTGACCCATGACTACAAGACCGTATACAACACCGCGTCTCTCTTCCCTATCGCGTTCATCGCCATCCCATCGTGCGATGCCAAGTATTTTCTCCAGTTCATTTTCTTCCACTAGGCGCTTATACTCACCCTGCTTGACATCGGCCTTGATCAATGCTTGTGAAGTAGCCTTAGTATCGCTGGGGGAGCTGATGCCGTTTGAGACATCATTATCTTCTGCCCACTCCGCCCACTCCACAGCTTTCCATCGAATAACAGCCCCAATCGCCCGCTCAAGTGTTCTAACGCCAGCCTCCCGAGTATAGCCGGTAGCTATTCTGAGAAGTGCGGGCTCAGTTATCTCCACTTCGGCGTTGGTCAAGCCGTTGGCCTTCAGCTGCTTGGGAAGAAGATAACGACGAGCAATGTGAAGTTTTTCATCGTGAGTATAGCCTACACGTAGTAACATTGTTAGTGATAGGAAGCGGCGAACACGGGAGAAACTAACCAGACAACTGTATAACTTCGCATCTATCCAGCAGTGGGGCCGAAATCGTCTCCAAAGTATTCGCCGTACAGATAAACAAGATTTGACTGAGATCGATAGGAACATTGACATAATGATCCTGGAACCAGGGGATGTGTGAGTGAGCGGGGAACACTTCGTGACGCGATGATGAACGTACGTTGAAAGAATGATTCTGCTCAGGGTCGAGGACTTCCAACAAAGCGGCACCAGGATCTCCGTGGAAGTTACTTTGGCCGACTTTGTCAATCTCATCCCTACGGCAAGAAAAGTTCAAGAGCAAAGATGTGATAAAAGAGGCTGCCTACAGTAATATCACACCATCTGCTCGACCAGCTCTCCTCAGCGCCTGCACGATAAGACCAGGCCCACTGGCGACATACGTCCTATTGTAGTTTTCAGCACAAGAATCCGGCAATTGCGGCAGGTACAATGTGACGGCGCCGACAGATATTCTAGGACGTAACTTACCTACGGTGGCCGCGAATCTCCGCTTCGTCTCGGACGCCGCCCAGCGAGATGCGTTGGAAGGGTCGATTCAGCGCACGCGCGATAGAAAGGCCCAGCGATGTTTTGCCCGTGCCTGGCGGACCGACGAACCTGAAACAATGAGCTATGTCAGTACCTTTCTTCGCAATCATTCGACGCAGATTGACGCACAGAAGAATCGGACCTCGAACAGCTTTCTTCCCTCGTTCGTTCGGGGGCATCGGACGAGGGCCCGAATCTGCGTTGAGTGTGGATTTGACAAGTGATTTCTCCGGACTAGAGCTTTCGGATTTCGCCACTTCTGCTTGTAGCTTCGCGCCCTCTTGGCGCTGGTGCTGGTGTTCTTCCTCCCTTTTCCCCGCTGCTTCACGCAAGCGAACAACGGCAAGGTATTCAATTAGACGTCTCTTGATCTTCTCAAGGCCATAGTGGTCGGCATCCAGCTGAGCGCGGGCGTTAGAGAGGAAGTTCTTCTGACTCGTGGCAGACGGGGTATCGGGGATATCGCCTGATGGAGTCGAGTTCGGCCATGGCACAGACGTTAGCCATTCGAGCTAAGAACGGCAAAGTCAGCAACACGATGAAGGTCCAAATTGATCAGAATACAGACGTAGTTGCGGATCACGCCGTTCTCCACACTGCCTTGGGGAATCCGCTTGAGTCGCCGCCACTCACGAACACCCATCTTTCTTTCTTCAGACCCAGGAGCCATAGCTTCAATTTTACGCTTTAAATCAGCCATGTCATCCGCGTCATGTTGTTCATCATCGTCCAACTCTGAGGTCGTGCCTTCGCTAGCCCCTGAGCGAGGTGTACTAGTGGGAGATTTGTCGCCATTGGAACGTTGTAAAGCTTGGAGCTCTCGCTGGATGGCAGCCAGTTGCTGGCGCAAGAAAAATTCCTTCTGTTGCTTTGACAGTGATTCGTCAACAGCATTTGATATCCTCTTCGTCACTTCAGATATGGAAGCGAGCTTAATGAATATAGTAGTGGCGAGCTGGAGCCGGTCCGTAGCGTCTGGGGTGGAAAGGATGGCTAAAATGACAGATTAGCTAGGCTCCGCAAGGGGTTCCGTAGACTCCGACAAAAGCAGGGGGACGAGATGGCTCTCAGCGAAGGAAGTACAAGGCTAGCTCAGCAACTTTGTCAGATTGAAGAGCTAGCTCTCGTCTAGCGCAAGCTTGACCCACGCAGCGTCCCGAGTCTCTGATGGTCTGGAACATTACAAGACAGGATTGAAGCTTACCGAGTCGATCTTCATATTCCCCTCCAACAGTCCCGGCGAGGACATCTGCCATCCAAGCAGCCCTGGCGTCCGTAATATCCTCTAGCATTCCTGCAATCTTGTGATATCCATCCTTCCGCGCCTGTTGAACGGAGTCTCTGGCAAGTCGGTCGAGCAACCGCAGCGCGGCGGTCTTAAACTTGTCGACAACCTCCCGCGTCGGTAGGTTCTCTGTTGGAGGGTAAGTGATGTCGTGAGCCAGCAGAACGCTGCTCGCATCCAATATCGGCAGAGGGGCCTTGAGTTGAACTCTCGTTAAGCCATGCAGACTAACAAGATATGGCTGTCTTGGATTTCTCGCGGGGGGTTTCACCAGCCTCAATACCCTAGCCGCCGTGGCCCATTCGGCTAGTTGGTTTGTGCTTGAGGTTGGGACGGCCGCGACGATTGGCAAAGAGTCCGAGTTGTCAATGAGCGAGAGAAGAGCTTCTCCGACTTTTGTGGGGACTGGCAGGGAGATTCTCGAGGCAGGGAGAAGAACAAGGGGGTGAACGAGAGGGAGAACTGGCAGCTTGGAGGACGACATGGAATGAGTAGCGATGAAAAGGGTGGCTAAGCGGAGGAATTATGTATGCGGCGGGGAACTCTATATTAGTCAACCCCGGGTTCGGTGGCTCTTTGTTTGCCGGCCGGTCGATCTCCAAGTGTCCACTGGCACACATTTGCCTCAGATAAAGTTGCATCAGAAGAGTCTCGGATGGCGAGAGTAGCCAAACAAAACTTGGTTGAAACTCGAGAAAAAAAGATATTGTATTTCTATCTGCTACATACACATGCATGATAAAGAAGATATGCCAGGTGCCTCCTTGAGAAGCGAAATCAATGCGTAAAGCCAGAGCCGATGTGTTGGGATCGAAATCAAATGATACCAGTAAAGATGAGTGAGAATGTAGTCTTGCGATAGATGCATGCACGGCTGTAGAGAAACAAGCGATATGGACAGGAGGACAGGATATGGACGAGAAAGGGGTGGCGGAAGGGTGTCATGTGAAGGATAAAAGGAAAGTGCGCCACAAGTCATCGTTTCGAAACATCAAAAAAGAAAGGATAACTAGCCGAAGTTTGAAGTGGATACGCCAGAGAACCAAAATGTGTCTACGCTGTAGCTCGCTTAATCATCTGCATATGCAAAACCTAGTTAGCGAGTGATCGAGGAAAATAGAACGCAAGCTATCATACCTCTCTTGCCCACCGCATTGTCTTCTTCGTCTCACCTGACACACGCTGTCTGCTACGCATTTCAATTGCAATCCACTCCGTCAGCAAGAGCTGCTTGATCTCCCCATTGGGGAAGCAATCAGCGATATCCCCAAGCAACCCATAGCACAACTTGGCTAGCGATTCGGTACGCTCTTCGTCTGCTAAACAGCGCTGAAGGAGATCGAGAATGCTGTGAATATAAGGCAAAAGTAGGGACACTGCGGAAAAGTGAGGCGGAAAGTTAGAGGACGCTTATTGGAGAGAAGGGCATCATGTACCTTTCGGTGTATTCTTGAACCCAGTGACAATTCCAGTGTAAGCTTCCAGAATACCCTCACGGAGTTGATTCACATAATCCACAAGATCGTAATCGAGCTATATAGCAAACATAATTAGCACCTGATGAATGCTTTTTCCGAGATCACTTACTGGCGCCGGCTGCACGGATCCTGCTTGTGCTAATACTCTCATCGTCGTCTCTAAATACGGTTCGAACTGTGGACCGATTGCCAAAGCGATGTCACCAAAGCATGAGAGAATCGATATTTTGACGTTGCGATTCAAGATATCGCTCTGGAGGTTCTCAAGCAGAACCTGCATGAACGGCCCAGCGTACGCCGCACTCTGCTCCCCAAGAGCACGAGAAATGTCCCCAATGATGCCGACAGCCACTGTACATAGCTGCGTGTCTTCATGCGCTTTCAGGGCGGGGTATAGGAATGGCAAGAAAGCTTGGATATATGGTGCGAAGCCAGCCTCAAGGGCTACGCAGGCGAATGTCAATACGCGGCACAGAATGCGGGTCGAAGGACATACCAGACGCCAGTGAGCCAACAACTAAGAAAGCATCTTCTAGCACTGTTGACGTCTTGCCAGCAGCTTGGATGAGTTGAAGGATGAGCGTCATGATACGGTCGGATAGCGGTTGAATCCCATTGCCAAGTTTCCGGATCACACTCTGGGAGGGGATCAGTATAGACTATTTGAAGAGAAAAGGTAATCATTACAATTACGACACTGCAGAAATTGCTTTGCAACTCATTCCAATTGTTTCGGTCATCAACACCGATGATTTGATTCTAGAGAGATGATTAGCAAGAATTGTCGCGAATGGGCGTCAAACCGTTTACCTGGACGCTCAGAAGATGCTCCATCCGTTGCAAGATAGTAACGACGGTGTTCTGCACGACCGATATGGTATCGGGTGCCGAATGGGTGACATAGGAGGTAATGGCTTCATAGGCGGCAGTTCTGAAATTGGATTCGTTGCCAGAGCTAAGATGCGTAGGTCAACTACTTTGCCGAACAGAGGAGGGTCAGGAACATACGTCTCAGTGATACGCAGCAAAGCCTGCACCACGCCTTCGAAGTAAGGTGACAATGGGCCAGTCGTGACGTTCTCGCCTTCTTCTTCGTAGTATAGCGACAGTTGATCGGCCAAGTTCATCAGTGCCCAACAACAGTTTGCGACTATACGAGGACTATCTTGAAGACTGTTGACTAGAGCAGTGATGAGTGGGTTCAGGTGAACGTCCGGTTTGATTGTCTGGACAAGCAGATCGCAGATGCGACCAAGAGTCCATGCGGTGGTATCCTTGACGTGGATGTTGGTATCGGTTAGCATCATGTCAATGAGGAGAGGCAGAGCTTGGTTGACGAGAGGCGTAAGGACTATGGGATCTGGGCCTTCGAGGATAGAACCGAACGCCATCACCCCCGCTTCGCGGAAGTGCCAATCCTGCGATTTGATATGGGCTTCAATGAAAGGGATCACATGCGGAACAATGGCGTCCATGACAGCACCAGCCATCAGAGACAAACACGTTCCCGCAGCCATGGAGACGTTCCACTCATCCTCGTCAGCATCCTCCTCCTGCTTCGTAAGAAGTTGCAGAAGGACTGGCGTCGTCTCGCCAAGAGCAACCTTGGCATACTGCCGGGATTCGGTCTCGGGCGCCTCGCCGTAGTCTTGAGCCTTAATTCACAATCGCAAGAGTGTTGAACGAATTATTCGCCAGTTGTTATACACCACATACCTCTTGGGCCTCGATGGCCAACTCGATTTCCTCCTCGCAGACAGTAGACCAAAACTCAACGGCTTGAAGCGCAACACGTTCGTCGGCGTGTTTCATTCCTGAGACAGTAAGCTGGAATATGGTGAACATGGATGGAAAGATTTCTGGTGATGTCTAACACTTACACCGAACAATGCTTGCTCCATGTAAAAGCCCATTTTATCGTAGTAAAGCCCCATGATTCGCACCAGGCACTCAAAGGCGCCAACTTGAACTTGAACCGAGGAGTTTTGGGTGGCCTCACACACGACTTGCATGATGTAGTTCCGTTCGCCCTAAATTCATGATTGATATGCAAGCACTCGGTCAACGGTGTGACTTTCTTACCTCGCGCTCAAAGTTCTCTCTAACGAACTCCAGAGAATTGAATAGAGCATGGATAGCAGCAAGCTGGACTTCATGAGATGGTTCTTCCTTACGGGCGCCGTGAATGACTGCAGTGAGGATTTCATTTGCTCGAAGACTGAGAATCTCAGGTTTCTGAAGCTCAGGTCAGAAAGTGAGAAACCACAGAGGCGGGTTAAAGAACGCACTATCGTTTCACAGATGAACCCGATGGTCTGTAGCGTAGAGATTTTCAAATTGGTGTTTGCGTCGTTGTTTACGAAACCAAGAAGTATTTCAATCAAGTCGGGCCACTGGTTATTCGGAAGCTCCACGGCAGCGATAGCGGCGACAACTTGAGCGGAGACCGTTCCGGCCTTCGCGTTTGAGGACGCCAACGCCATCAAAGCATCCTGTTTGACCTTTGACTTTGCCTCTGGGTTGAGACCAAGCCATCTGTTGGAATAGTCGGTTTGTCGCGCTGCATCCTGTCAACCGTCGCAGTAACGAATAAGCCATTAAGTTCCATGTGCAGAGTAGGGGCCATCACGCACTCGGGCACTTAGAGCATTCTTCAGGGCTATACCAGCTGCATTTCGTGCAATTATCGGCGCATTCTCGTCCACCAAAGCCGAGGAAAGCATCGCCATGTACTGAGGCTTTTTGTGGCATAACAGTATTAGCAAAATGGTCAATCGAGGGCGCACGAGACGAAGGAAACTTACAGGATTGTCCCGCAGTGCATTCTCGAGCTTGGTAGTCGCATCTTCACGCGTAGCATTATCTAAAGGCGTCGACCAGTCCCAGTAAGACGGTTTGCTCGTCAATGGACGCGAAAACAGCAGAGTGGCGCACCTGGAGATATAGTATTTGCTAGGAGTTCGGTTGCATTCATTGTTGTTGGACGTTGCTGGTCGTTTTCAATACTGATAAGGGTGGATAACAGTGGATCCTCGTTAAAGGTCGTGTATTTTCACCAGGGAAGGTCGAAGGTATGAGAAAAGGATGGTTGAGGCAAGATCGTGGTAGTGCAGACGGAACAAATGAATATTTGGTCCAAAGTTCAATTTTTCATTATTTACTCAAGTCACACCTCGCTTTAGCGCGCTTGTTCTTTCATCTCCTGCTATCAGTACAAGATCGGCTTTGTCTTCAGAAAACAATGGAACGAGTCAGTGCTTTCTTCCACAATTTGGCGCACTTCATATGGACTAAACTCTTAGGGACGCGGATTCGCTAGAGGTGGACGAGGGGGAGCACCTAAAGGTCGTGGCCCACCAGGTTCACAGCCGACGATGGACAAGCCGAAAAGAGAGGCAATTCTGGACCTCGCGAAATACCAGAATGAAAGAATTCGTGTCAAGTTCACTGGTGGGCGCGAAGGTACGTGTGTATCTTTATGAACGTTGCCAAAAGTTTACCTTGGGTCGCAGTTACAGGTATCTTGAAAGGATACGACCAGTTACTGAACCTTGTCCTTGATGAAGTAACAGAGGAGCTACAGGGTTGGTCGGCTGTCGTGCACGATGAATAGTCGTGGTAGACTCATGGCACGTCAAATTTTACAGACCCCGAGCCCCGTACACGTTCACTAGGATTAGTCGTTCTCAGAGGCCCAACTATCACCCTGCTGAGCCCCGTAGATGGCTCCGCAGAGATCGCAAATCCCTTTGTCGCTCAGGAATAGTCTCGTCACTCTGTGTCTCGCCCATGGTATGTATTCAGGTTATCATTCCATCACCCATGCCAAGCTGATGATGTACGACAGCTTGGATCAATGTATCACTATGAGCTTCCAGCTATGGAGTGTACACTAGACACACCTCCATGCTGCCATACTTTCCGCCTTCGCTAATCCTTGTAAACGATGAGGCAATTCAATGCTTTTGGGATGTCCGAAATTTGGGTGAACTGTAATTTGACGACGTGGCCATGGCTTCTTGGGACCCCCTCGAGAGCTGGAATTCTATTCCATTGACGTTCGTAACCTTTTCAACACCAGGTCAGAGTTCATTTGTTATTGTAAGGAATATTTCTGCTGACGCGAACGATTTCGCCTATAGTCAGCATCTGAAAATGAGGCCCATGAAACAAAACTGGGACAGGGTACGGCGCAACGACGACACTAAATCTAGACGTTGGACTATAGCGTGTGTGTGTGTCGTCACTCACACGCGCAGGTACAAAGAAATGATATGATTCGCCGCGCTGTCTACACAATATTCTACCTTACTATCAAAAACGGCTCCCGCCTCCGTCATAAGTTCAGCACGCGACGAGGTTAGTATTCGTTCGTTGAGACGAAAACCTCACATTCCGCCTAGGTCGTTTCACAAACGCCAGCTGGCAGTCTGGTCCGCGACGAGGTTAGTAAGTCTTTTCTTGTCGAGGTACTAAACCTACGTGCCGCCTAGGCGAGTTCACAAAAAAAAAACAGTAGCGAGTATTCTGTCGCGGATCGGTTAGTAAGTCTCTTCTCGTGGACGTGCAAGACATACGTACCGCCGAGGATCACAAACGCGACCTTTCAGGCAACTGCATCTTGGCTCATGCACATCGCCTCCGACCCGCTGGCCTCGGAACAGCGACGAGAGTACACAGATTCTTGGCGAGTGCGAAGCGTTTGCCCTCTTGACACCCTCTACAGCAGTTCGACTGCATAAACCTCACTGATCTCCGGACAACCACGCACGGTATTCAACACGCCCAAGGCCACAAATGTTCGACCGCCCAAGCAAGCGCGCCGCCGCCGTCTTCATTCACCCACGATCTCAGAGTAGCTGGTCTCGCCGCGAGAGGATGCGCTTAGAGATCCGACACAGCTACCCCAGGCTCATGGACAGCACATACGACACGACGACAGAGACACGAGCTCAGACGACGAGTCATATGCGGCCCTGGTGCGTATTGTATAGCGATGCGCCATCGCACCTCTGTCTCGCTGGAGATGGGCGGGTGAGCATAGGCGATGGGACAATTCTGGCGGACTTACCTCTAGAAGTTAGAAAGCTAGATGGGAGGAAGAAAGAAAGAGACAGAGGACAAGTTAACGCGCGATCCGCCTTTATATACACTGGGGTGGGATGCGAACGGGCCGACTCACGAAAGTATGTTTGGCTATGTTTTTGGAATGAGGCTCACATTGTCTACTTGCATACCTCCCGTAGCTACCCCACTCATGCTCTGAATGGAGCCAGCCCATATTTGGTAATTCGCCAAGACGGTGAATGGCGAATACCAATTTACTCCCTTAGTCCCTTTTATCGTAACATATGGACGTTACTCTCGGCCTGATGTGGAGCATGTACAAAAATGCAGCTCATCAAGGTTGCCGCGTGATAACCGTTTACTATTGGCTGTTCTTCATCGTCAACTTCGTGTACTTGCTACGCATACACTCACTCGCTCATTTAGCTCTTATGAACTCACCGTCGAAATGCGTATTTCCGCTGTTCAGTCCTAGCGCTTCCCTTACGCCAAGTGTCGTCAACGACTTCCCCTTCATATCTTCTGTTTAACATGAATCAGAATTTTGACACGAAGTTGATACGCCGCAAGTTCAATCATCGACTATTAGTTTCGGCTTTAGGCCCTTCATGTATCATTCCGATGACTGTGGCAGATCTAGGTAGTAGTGGCTAATTGAAGTCGTACAAGGTCTCCGTTCCGAGCGTGCTGACAAGATACAACAGACATCCCTCCCAGGACGCAAGATTGGCAAGTGTCTATTTAGCTGATCGGTACTGCGCGAGTCAAATCAATGAAATGGGACCAAATCACCGATCGAAATCATGCCACTCACCCTCTGTAGCTGATCGACTGGCACTCCGAGAAGTTCAAAGGCGTTGACATTCCATCAGTGGAATCTGGAAAAAAAGGCGAACTTTGACGGCTTGTACGATGGGAGGTATATGAATCTCTCCAGATCACCCATGCTTACGCGGGGGATTTCACGGAGCAGAATGAAGGATAGCCTTGTCGCGCTGGATGTAGAGTGTCGAAGCTAGAAGTAGGCAAGGGACCAAATAGCGATGCCGCTGGCTTACATAGAAAGGAATACCACACTCCGATTGGATGAGTGCGGTATGTGTCGGCGACCCTGGAACCAAACATTAATTGACCAAGTTCTCCCAAGTTTATGCCCCAGAAACTGGCAAGTAACGACTGCAGCTCCTCGCTATATCCTTTATTAATTCTCCATTGTCTAGGTTGTGTTGGATTTCAGCAATCTTGGCGGTACAGGGGTATAGGGGACTCACGTGACTACTGTAATATAGTGTCGCGCTCATGTATTATTTTCTTTATGCGTTTGCTGTGGAGTCCCAGCCAAACGCAATATATCTGTTTGCTCACTCGGAACTCGCGCGACCTCACCGGCTTATTTCAACAGGTTGACGAGTTGGAGGGTAGAAAGGCGCAGGCGACGGCGCCTTCTCGCGTTTGCGGGTACCTGGCACATCTCGCATTGGTTGCGCCGCTCCCGCTGTGACGGTTGTCGTCGCTCGCATGTACCCGCCAACGTGCGTTTGCGTTCATCTCTCTCCTCGGGGCCCTGGTGGCTTGAGGAGATGGCTTCCTACGTTTCGTTGGCGGGCGAAGTGCGCCGGCGTATCTTCCCAGTTGGGCGTCGTAGCTAATCGGCGAGCCAGTATTCCCATATTATTCGATAGTGCTTACATGATAGCAGCGATGCAACCGAGACAGGGAAGACTCGTACTAACATGTCCGATGTCAGGAGGATGTCTGTGCTCGGTTGGTGTGCATCGCTGAGGGACGCTAATCTCTAGCTCTCCGGCGGTTGGAAGAATGGATTTGAGGGCTCCTGCGGAAAGGCGTCGAATATCAAAGTATTGACCGCTAGTGGCCGCTTACATTCGTCGACTGGCCTCCAATAATGTGCCCGTTGTTGGGAGTCGCAATGTCCCCGAATCCTTTCCCCTCTATCGTCCGACATGACTGATAGGCGTCATGGATAGCATGCGTTGTAAAAGGATGGATCAATGGACATGCAAGGCTCCATGATGTATATACGCGCTAGTAATCGCAACTGCGCTTCAAGAGTAGCGGTGATCAGCTCACTCTCCTTTCGAAGAGCGGGAGTCATATACGGGGGATTCAGCTGTCACTAATGAGCGCCCTCTTCTCGCTGCTAAGTCGCAACACGTGTTCCATTTTCTCCAATTTTCCTAGTCTTTTTCTAATTGAGCCTTTTTACGACGTAAGGGTATTTGGTCAGAAACTTCATCCCCCTCCCCTGTATAGTTCCTTCGCTTTGGTTTGCTGGCTACCAGCAAGCTCGCTAGAAGAAGTTAGGACCGTACGCTTGCGGAACATATTGAACATATAGCTAACCTAAACGCAGACTCCATGCAAGCTTTGATCTCTTTATAAGATACAACCAGACAGCTCTGTTCATCACGGGCCACCAGCATGATCTTCTCGTCCGTACCAGCGTCGAGCTAGAATCGTCATGAAGAAGATGAGACATAATAGACGAGTGGCCCCAAAAGACGTGCCTTGTTCAAAGTCGTTAAGACGTGCGATAAGCTAACCACAGGGCTGCCATACTCGTCGACTTGATGGAAGACATAATCGCGGAACAGTTTGATGATGTAGCGGTCCCCCGTTTCTGACCATCGTGCATCACGAGCAAATCTTGCTCACCACCAGTCATTACACGGGTTTCAATCATTACGGGGGGACTTACTCTGGACGTTCGTTGATGAAGCCAAATTTAGCCATGAGACGCACCAACCGGGCATTCTCCAGCTCGCTCATGAGCTCGCCCTCCAAGCGATCGACAGCACTACGAAAGATAAGCATTATACGGAGTGGAACCGCTCATCAACATACTCTAGGGCATCGTCCATCTCGGTGGCGATTCTGCTTGAGAGGAGATCGAAAAGTTGTCGAAGCTGAGCCCGGAGTCAGAAACCTCTCCATCGCCACAATAAAGAAAATACCTTCTGGACGCTCGCTTTGCCAAGTAGAAACACAACTAGGTTCTTCAGGTCCGCACCATATGACCTTTCCACAAGGTCAAAACTCTTTTGAAGGTTCATTGGCGCGGATGCTGCGACGTTGCTGCAACATAGGACGAGGATCAGCCCCCCGAACCTGATAAAGTCCTCTTGCTGCAATACTGCCATGTCCTGATTCATTTCGTGCATTAGCACGTCGACGAGCCCGCAGGAGCCTATGCGGAGGCTGGAGGAAATACATGAGTTTGGGGACAACGAGACGAAAGTGTACCTACCGATTTCGGCCAGTGACGAGTATCTTCGAGGGCTCGATCGTTCGGACGGCTTGCCCCGCTTCGTGCGCTTTCCTGATTGCGGATGCTATTTGCACGACATAGGACCAGATCGTGCGCTCCGGGAGGGTGTTGCTTTGGGCATTCCGGCTTGGGCCTCTGCCCGTGCCACGACCAGGAGCGTACCAGTGTTGATGTTGATGGTGATGGGAAGTGTGACTATTTTTCGGCTTCAAGTGGACGTCGAAAAGGGTTTGTGCGTTGGGATGATATGTGTACGCAACGACTAGAGCTATCAAATCGGGTAAATTCAGCCCATAAACCCAGGCCGTCCGACCAACATACAGTTATCATTGAAAGCGCGAGTTGTGAACGCCTCACATACAGAAACAATGTTGGGGTGCCGTATCTTAGACCACGCTTCGATGGGAGCAAACGCGGATTGTTGGGTCATTCGGTAATCTGTGTGAAGGTCAGGACTCGAAAACACGCTGAGTATCCGTATATATGGTCCACACTTTCAATACGACGCAGAGCGTAGGCCCCTCCATCTGTCGAGCTGATGGCCTTGTAAACCGTAGAATACCAGTTGCCAAACTTTCTCCGTTCGGCGGTGACAGTAACGTTCTCCAGCGGGGAAAGCGAGTGATACCCTTGTAGTTCTTCGGGCAGTTGAGTTGCTGAAGGATTGACGCTCCGTATTAATTCAGAGCGGGTTTGTAATGTCTCTCGAATAGATGCCGAAGATGGCATAAAATGGATATCAGTCGACGCTGGCGAAAAGGAAGATGGAAGGGGGCCAGAGTACAGGTGGTAATCCAACTTGAGAACACAGATATCAAGCTACCGGAGATGTACGCGAGGGGATTACACACCGGCGCCCTTGTATATACAGACTGAGCAGCATAGTATCCTTGATCAAATTGCGCCGCGTAGTTGTCATCGTAGATATGGGTGGCTTGCATTTGATCCGCCACTTCCGCCGTTCCGTTCTCAGAGTATGTGTAGCCAGCGTCGGGTGGCGGGGTCGACGGTGTCCTGTGAGGCTCTCAGTGAACGGCTGGGGTAGTAAGCAGCCCTCTTACAGGCTAGCGAGAGTAGGGCTCGAGGTGTCGGCTGAAGATTTGGGAACAAACACGGGGGCATTGACATTAACTGAGGCAGATAGGGCTTCTTCGGCTTGTGACCTGCATGGGACGTGTCATCGAGGATCTCGGACAAAGATAGTTCGACTAACGTATCCGGGGCCTGTGCAAAGGTAAGCGAAGGCAGGGGGATCGTTTACCGGTGCACCTCACCGGGGGATGATAGAATGTACAACCCTTGTCCTGAAATTTACAAGATCTGTTCGCTGGAATCAACATCGGCGAAACCAGAAGGACTGTGAGCACTGTACCCGTATATCATTACATTCCTACATTGGCGCTGAACTGAATCTGAACGCGCATCCCGTTGTATAACTTGCAGACAATGAGATAGGGCAATTCGTACCTTTTGGCCCGTTCTTGGAGTGGCGATCGTTCTGGGTGGATGGGTCAACGATCCTGACGGCAGACGAAGCAGACTGGGGCCTGAAGTACTCCATTTGCTGAGGTACGAGCAAGAGAGGGAGGATATATTTGTGGTTATTTAGGGTTACGGGTGGCTGACTTAGCCTACCAAATTTATGGCATTTATTGCGCAGTTTTAATCTCCGCGCAGCAGTTGTGACTTAGCGCGCAAGTAGTCACAAACTTTGTTGGCGCGCAACATTTTCTGGTAGCCCAATATTTCTACATTTTGCTTGAGAGTGTCTGAAAGCATAGACTTAAACGAGAAACATTGTGAGCTTGGAGTAAGAAAAGACGACTGTGCGGGTTGTGTGGGACATTATACACTAACCGCGGTACCCAGACAGCTACAGGGGCATTCTCACGGTCAGACTGCACCTCGTTTTCATTAAGATGCCTGAGATTTAAACGGTCATTGTCATTCCAAGGGAATCCATATGGTTGATTCAAAGCATAATATCTAGTGCACTGATAGCTAGTAGGAATCCCCGTACAAGTTCTCTGGCCCAGAATACACCGTGTATAGGTGATCAATCTTAATTTTGGAAGGGTGAAAATACCCCTTTACTAGTTCAGGTATCTCGGTGATGCTCCACCATGAGGGAACTGGCCAACTTCGTCGTTCTGTAGCGGTTTTTAATGTTATACATTCCTAGGTACTCTACAACTCAATTCAGAAAGATTGCGCGGAGAAGAATTGTTGCGAGCTACCAAATGACTATGTGCGCGCTAATGTTGCGCGGATATTAGAAATGAGGGTTAATGAACAATGAACGCCATCGTCTAAGTCAATGGGAGACAGTGTTACAACTTACTTACCTACTTTTATTTCCTTTACAAATTATCTTAGACAGATTGCGTGGTAAAAAAAGTTGCGCTCATTAAAAATTTGTGACTATTTGGGGAGCTAAGTCACAAATGTTGTGTGAGGTTTACATAACAGTGCACTGGGTACGCTCACTCAAGTCTAGATAGCATTAGCCTCTTCGAGTGAAATATTCGCTGTTTCGAAGATCTGAGACGCCTTCGGTCTTCGCCAAAACCTTGGGTATACTCACGCCGCAAATAAGCCGGGAATGATTCATGATGAGTGGGCAACCAAAAGGCCATTGTCGAGTTCTTCGGCACACGTTGCTGTACATATGGCATGATGCATGATGCACGAGTATGCAACCAACGCGTCCATTGAGCTGATCCAAAGTTCGAAAATTCAAGACCTAGTCTAACGGGTAAGCGCCCAGTGGCCAAAGGCGGAAGATGCCGACTATTTGGCCTTGATTGTGGCTCTGCTATAATGAGATCAATAGCACCTCGACTTGATTCTGACGGTGATCAGGCCAGTCCCCACCACAGAACGAGCGACGGAGAGTGTCGCCCCTCGTCGTACCCATGCCCTATCCGCAGGCCGTGATGTCTTCCCCCAACTCCCATTTCCACGACGGGTCTCCCGTCACGCTCGGTTCTCCCACCCAACGACGCCCGGGTTCCAGGCAACGCTTCGTCGCAGATCTGTCGCAATGCCTGTTCGACTTCGTGGTTCAGCTTCTCCCCACCCAGGAGGAGCTTGCAGTAAAAGAAGACGTTCGCAAATTGTTGGAGAGACTCATTCGAACCATAGAACCTGAAAGCCGTCTGCTGTCGTTCGGAAGCACGGCCAACGGGTTCAGTTTGCGCAATTCTGGTGAGTGGTTATCGTTTGTGAATCCGCCTCATCAAGTAACTGAACGAGAATAGACATGGACCTGTGCTGTTTGATTGACTCTGAGGAACGGCTAGCTGCCTCCGATCTTGTTACCATGTTGGGTGATCTACTGGAAAGAGGTATGTCGAACCTTACCTAGTCTTTGCATACATGCACCAACTGTGTTCGCGCAGAAACCAAGTTTTACGTCAAATCACTTCCGCATGCTCGGATACCAATAGTGAAACTTTCACTAGACCCGTCGCCGGGCCTGCCGCTTGGCATAGCATGCGACATCGGCTTTGAGAACCGACTTGCTCTGGAAAACACACGATTATTGATGTGCTACGCAATGATCGATCCCGCTCGCGTGAGGACGATGGTGTTATTCCTCAAAGTTTGGAGCAAACGACGGTGTGTAGTAAACACTCATTACTGCCGCATAAACTCACTTGCATGTTAGGAAAATCAACTCTCCATATAAGGGCACGCTATCGTCGTATGGCTATGTCTTACTGGTCATCTATTTCTTGGTCCACGTCAAGAATCCTCCGGTGCTTCCAAACCTTCAGCAGATGCCTCCCCTACGACCGATATCCGAAGAAGATACTCACCTGCATGGGCATAACATCTGGTTCTTCGACGATATCGAACTCTTACGTCAACGCTGGCATTCAGACAACAACGAGTCTGTCGCTGACTTGTATGTCCATGATGTCTAGATGCTCCTCTCCCATCATTGACCGCCTTTGTAGGCTAATAGATTTCTTTCGTTATTATTCTCGCGATTTCCCATATAACACGGGAGTCGCCTCGATTCGTTCTGGGTTGCTGAAGAAAGATTCAAAGGGATGGCAGAATGACCTGTCCAATCAAAGATACAACGATGCCCGCGAGCGGAATCGTCTATGTATAGAGGTGTGTGATATTTTAACATGGGCTACCTATGTCTGACCAATGGGGTAGGATCCATTTGAGACGGACTTCAATGTTGGGCGATGTGTGACCAAAGACGGGCTGTACACAGTGAGCTATGTTCTAGCTGCTCTTCGTCGTATGATTAACCGTATCGCTTCCTTAGATTCGTGGGGAGTTTATGCGTGCTTCCCGAATCCTGGCGTCCAGGCCCGAGCGAGCGATTGTTGCACTTGCTGAACTGTGTGAAGAACGGGCAGACGACCATCTCATCTCACCGCCCGTGCCTCCGAGGGCCCCGCCCCCTCAGACGCCATACACCGTTGGAAGCAGCTCCATGCGACCGAAGGGCGTTCAGACTGATAAGCTTTCCCCTCCTATGCAATTCTTTGAACCGGGATCACGAGCACGCGGTGCTACGCATGTCCCCTCGCGTTCACCGCCAGAGCACATGGCGCCGAAGCGTAGCAAATGGACAAGTCCTCCGCCTGCGGAGGCGTCGTCTGACATTCACAACTCGTTCGAGAGCCAGTTGGGCAGAGGTATCGAACTAGCAACTGCTGCAAGCATCGCTCGTGAAAGACTCCTGGGTGATGCAGCCTCATCCTCGAGCAATAGTGACATTGGCATTGATGAAGAGCCCGAAGCTCCGGAGTCTGACGATGTGCAATCTGTTCGATCATATACCGAGGGAACCTCCCCCCAGCTCCAAACTGTCCAACGACGACCATCGTGGCATGTTAATGATTCTCCGGACTATATTCCACGATATGGCTCACGTCGACTGCCCCGTCAAATCCCTGATCAAAGAATTGACAAGCAACCTCCATTGCAGAATGCCTCTCCTGACCTCCATGCCTTGTCTGCTAAGGCTGAGCTTGCCAGACGGTCGATATCCGGTGCACCTCGCCCGCTTAGGAGCAACTGGTCATCCCCAGTGAATACTCCCCCCTTATCACCAGACTCGCCCTCAAGTCCCCGCCTTCGATTTACTGAACCATCTACTGTATATTATCAGACCACCGTCACACGCTCACCTCGTCCCACTGTGCTATACCCGAATTCTGGATCTCATCCGTCGTTCTTGTCTCAATACCAACAAAACCAAAGTTATGTACATAGCTCAAATCATCACCCACCACAAGATATCTTTTCAATGGATCATCCACCGTTGCTGTCGCGGATGAACTCGCGCGGAGGACAAGGAGAGACCGCAGGCTGGTCTTCTGGCGGCCCTGATACCCCGACACCGACCAATATAATACATTCGCATGCCCCCCTTTCGCAGCTTTCCCGGCACTCCCATTCACATTCTAATGCAACCATCATTGCTCCCACACCGCCACCCATATCATCTACCTCCTTAGCATCTCATTCTACTAATGCTTGTACGCCCCCACCGTCTCAGACACGGTCTAGATCCAGGTCGCGCTCTCGCTCGCCGCCTATGTTACTCACTCCCCCATCAGCCCTCCCTATCATCTCGCCCGCAGACAACGAAGCAAACCCGTGCTCCGTTCCTCTGCTCTTGCATCAAGGCGCTGACTCGCCAACGTCGTCTTCCGCCGGATATGACACGTCCCTGTCCCAATCGCCATCGCCCTCCCCGTCCCCGTCCCCACCTCCGACGACCGCACGCTCGATATGTGGCGATAGTTGCGTATCCAAATGTACTTCATCGCCGTCCCCAGTCGATCCAGTCATCACCTTGCCCCTGCTCGGCTCTCATCTTCAATCGCCTGTCGACGAAGCTCTGGACGAACAAATATAGACGCGTTCGTATTCCTGCTGCCGCTTATCTGCAAGCGCTGCCGAGGAGTTTCTCGTATGTCCTGTTTGGCCACTATGTTGATGGCCACGAAGTAAATTCGTGGCACGTATGCGACTCAAGGACGGTGTATCAGATCCATCCTCTTGACATTGGGTATGTTAGTTACGAGTCATCCCTGTTCCACTTGCGTTGCCGCTACCATAAGTAGTATCGAATAATAAGGGAGTACTGGCTCGCTGATTAGCTACGTAGGTCACGTAGGTACCATGTAGCGGCCCCGCCGTAACCGTGCATACCCATGTCTTGCAGTCCACGCCTGGCCTATCGCAGCAAGTATAAGCAACATCTCACGTATGGGGCCAAAAATACTGGACTAACCAAGATTGCAAGCTTGCGTCAGCTCAGTGAGGCCGAAGTGACACGCTACCGACTAGAAAAAGGCTGCCTGTAGAACGTACGTGTCGACTCGCAAGTTGGGGGTATCTCCCGTACTTATGGCTCTGGGAAATTCAAGGTGTGACAAACCGGCATGATGAAACATAATCACCATGTTGTGCAGCCGAGCAGAGTAGTGCACGCGCAAAGGAATTTAGAAACCGGCGAACACAGCAAGATGATATTTGGTAAGGAATGGTGTCCCCACCCAAACAACCCATTGCAGCCGAGCGAGCCCACGCGTACACACCATGGTCGGCTTCGTGTCGCTGGATACTTATATAACGAGAAGCGAAGCCTCAATATTAGGGTAAAATGAACTTCAAGCTCTGCTCATCGTTTTTGGCAGTCCTCTGCGTAGTGGCACTTGCCGTCTCTGCGGCCTCTTGTTCTCGGACACCGGTTGTCGCTCTCGACTACTCGACCTTCGAAGGTTTCACTGTTGGCAATGTGTCCCAGTATCTTGGAATGCCGTTCGCAGCTCCTCCGTACGAGAATCCATTCCAAGATACTTCAGTGCCTTGACCTCCCAACCTTAGAGTTGGTCAGTTGAGGTTTCGCAAACCGAGCCCGCCTCTTCATAAACGCGGCGTGCATCGAGCAACAGAATTTGGCCCCGCTTGTCCCCAGCAAGCACTCTCCCCGCTTCCTGGTATTGATTTTGCCGGAAATTATTCCTCCATTTCTGAGGATTGTGAGACTCGTTGCTTCCGGCTCTCCCGCATGCCGAGGCTAATCTATAATTTCAGGCCTCTCAATCAACGTCTTATGCCCGGCTCAAGCCAACGCCCAGCTAGGTAAAGGATACCCTGTCGTGGTGGTAAGCACTCTTGAATGCTTCGCCTGAAAATTCATCACTTATCCATAGATGTAGTATTTTCACGGAGGTGCGTATGATCTTGCTTAACTTGTCGCTTTCTCAATCATTTGTAGGCGGGTTTGAAATTGGAGATGCTACTGACACACCTGCTAGCACCCTTGTTGAGCGTTCCATCGCACTGGGTCAACCTGTCATCGTTGTTATCCCTAACTATCGGATCAATGGTCAATATAGTTTGCCATAATCCTCGCCTTCTACTCACTTCCTTTTGCCAGGTCTTGGTTTCTTGGCAGGCAGGGAGGTTCTCGAGGCAGGCGTAAGCAATTTGGGTCTCCACGACCGTCAGTATTCTACCTATCTTCACCCTATGGACTTTGGTGGCTGATATTCAACGTTCAGAGCGCTTTGCGCTTGAGTGGATACAAAAGTATATCTCGGATTTTGGAGGAGATCCCCACAAAGTTACTATGTACGTTCCTTACTTTTATGGCGATTGGGCTCATCATTAATTTAGTAACTTATCATTATATTTACCTCAGATGGGGCGTAAGCGCGGGGGCGGTGTCAGTAGCGTTGCACCTACTCAATCCTAATGGCAACTCATTATTTCATGCCGCCTTCATGGTCAGTAGTGGGATTCAGTCTTTGCTCCTTACTCTGTTCATGGCTGTGATTGTGCAGGAGTCTGGCGGGCCCCTTCAGATTCCTAAGGTATCCGACGGCCAGAAGGAATACGATGCTATTGTCGATACCGTAGGGTGCACACATCACCGAGACACATTAGCTTGTCTGCGCACTGTTCCCTTGAATGCATTGACAGCTGCGATCAATGAGACACGGGATATCTTCTCGTTCTCGAGCCTTAACCTCGCCTGGATACCTCGCGTCGATGGGGACCTGATCAAGGAAGAGCCATACACTCTCATCCGCCGCAAAGCATATGTCAAGGTCCTTCTTCACCTATTATCATTGTTATCGGCGCATTGACGGTGAAATAGGTCCCTTTCATCACAGGTAACTGTGATGACGAAGGAACGTAAGTAATATTCTTTCTACGACAGTCGATCTAACGGCTGGAACATTCCCGTAGCCTGTTCTCGTTGTCTAACATGAACATAACGTTCGTTGACAAGTCCTCTTTCTGATACGCTTCGGGCTCACAATTCTCAAGAACGACACCCGAGTTCTTGGATTATATTAGCTCCAAGTAAGTCCTCAACAGTATGGCTATATGGCTGGAGGCTCAATGACTTAGCTACCTTCCTTCTGCGACGGCTGAGCAAATACAGCGAATCGCGAATGTGTACCCCGATGATCCCAGTCAGGCACGATCACACTTCGCGATCGCTCCAACCATGACTCTAATTCAGAAACAGGGTTCGCCGTTCGATACAGGCACTGCGAACGCTTTGACGTGAGTGGCACCGGTGTAACGATTCTTACAGGCTCAGCTTAAAGCACCAGGCCTCAATTCAAGCGACTCGCAGCCGTTCAAGGGGATATTTTCTTTCAAGGCCCGCGACGTTTTCTACTCGAGACAGCTTCAGAGACTCAAAACGCCTGGGGTTACTGTACGCCGCGCATCTAACCAGTGATGCAGTGCTAACTACCCCATAATATGCAGTAAACAAACAGGGAAAGACTTCCTCGTCCTTGGGCGCTTCGCATGCATCGGACGGCGGTGAATGGTTTGGATCACGCAATCCCACTGAGCCTTTCGCTGTTGGCGCAATGAGTGAGTGTACTCAGCCCTTTGTCCCATTCCATCTAACCATTCCTGGCGATGTTAGTCAATTTCATTAATACGTTCGATCCCAACGTCCCGGCAAATCCTCACTGTGTGCCCAAATCATCATTGTTTTGGCCGCAGTGGCAGGCGTCGACAGGCGTTCCAATTTTAGTCTTCAGTGACCCATCCAAGTTGTCAATCAGCAACGATACTTTCCGTGCCGAGCCCATGAGGGTCTTGAACGAGATACTCTCACTGGGGGCTATTGAGAGCACACCGCTATAGTGCTATACGAAGTGTAGTGGTGATCAGCCATCATTTATTTGCTTCCGTAGTTTAGGCCATGTAGGTCGGGGATCGATATGAATATAATATTGCACAGATTTCCAGATTTCGCCCGTGGCACTATGATGGAAGCGTATGGTTTCGCGTTGGGAACCGGACTTGAGAGCACTGTATTGTCATTTCCTTTGCGCCTGAGTGCGTGAGCAACGTCGACGAGATAAGTTGAGAAGCTTGTGAGAAACACACGTCCTATTGTGAACTTCTCGCGAGATTTTGCTTCCCCCTGGAGGTGTAGCATCTTTGAACCTGTCGGCGGTGGGTGTGCGTTGCTAAAACGAGCCAAATTTAGCGCTCAGGCCTCAGGTCAGGGTCGGTGTTTGACTCTGTCTACAGCGAGTTCTCGTTAGTAGGTTTGTAGGCTCACCGACCGAAGCCGACCATGCTGAAACACCTGTGAGATATGCCTGATATCTCCGACGGTGCGGCATAATTGCTCACCAAGCCTCTGATGGCGGCCCCACGACATATCCCGGCGGAGCGGGATTCAAGACGGTATAAATCGATTATCGCTGCTTCGGGCTGTATGCAGACTTGTAAGATACTTGTGCGCCATGGCCAAGTTCAAACCCGAAGACATTCCCGACCTTCATAGAAAAGTTGCCATTGTCACTGGTGGCAAGTACGTCTGTTTCTTTGATCCCAAGTTACGAGGAATCGCTAACAAACTGTTTCGTCAGTCGAGGCATGGGCTTCCACATCGTACAACAACTTGCCTCCCATGGAGCCAAAGTTTACCTGGCTGCCCGTTCAGAGGCTTCGGCGAGGGAAGCCATCCAGCGCATAGAAGCCGAAAAGCCTGAGCTTCAGGGAAAGGATCGCGTGGTATACTTGAAGCTCGACCTCTCTACGCTTCAATCGGCCCAAGACTCCGCGAATGAGTATCTTCGACTAGAACAGAGGTTAGACATCATCGGTAGGTCTTGCCCATTCCAGATCGTGGCAAGCACTTGACTGCAACACCTTTGATTCCAGTTCATAACGCCGGAATGTGAGTACCTCATGTCGTAGTGCAACCTCTGTGATCTGACGTTCGTTTAGCATGAATCATCCGTATGCGAAAACTGCCGATGGACTGGAGGACTCTATGGGAATAAAGTACGTCGAATGTCTTTTATACGGCGTCATTCCTGAAATACTATATACAGTCACTTCGCACCCTTTGTATTCACCAAGACGCTTTACCCCCTCTTATTGGAGACTTCCAGGCAGCCAGAGAGTGATGTTCGGGTCGTAATAGTAGGCATTAGTATTCTCTCTAGTGCAGTATGCAGCACTCTTACGCTTTTTCTCTAGGTATCTTCATCCATTCATTCTCGTGCTCCGGCTGCAGGCAAATTCGCAACACTGGACGAGATCAATGACCCCCTTGCACCTCCATCTTCACAGGACGGAATCGTCGCACGATATGCTCGTTACGGTCAGTATTACTTTCACTGCTGCTCGTGAGCAAGCGCTGACGTCTCGCAGCCCGTTCAAAACTAGCGAATATCCTTTACGCAAAGCAATTACAAAAGGAATTTGACGCGTCCTCTTCAACGGCGCTCGCCATCTCTCTCCACCCGGGTGGAGTCGCCACGGAGACTGTCCTAGACGATCAAGAATCCGTCCCATTCCTGGGCCCGGTGTTGAAGTTTCTCGTCGCAAAGCTCGCCAAATCCCCCCTCGACGGAGCGTTGGTCGCCTTGCATGCTGCCACGTCTCCAGACGTGCGGAAAAATTCGGCTACATACGGCGGTGCCTACATTGGCTCCTTGGCTAAAGTGACGCCCGCTAGCGCGGACGGCCAGAGCGACGACCTCGCTAAGAAACTCTGGGAAGTGACTGAACAGATTTCCACCGAAATTCTGAGTGAATAATGCGCTACGGCCACGGCAAGTAGATCTATCACTATCAGGAATGATGTACTTATTTTTCGTCCCTGAGAGCAGTTGGAGGTTTCGAGCTCATGTCGTCGATAGCTAAATGGGTAGCCAACGTGCATCATACAAGCTCGATACGGTCATGATGGTTCCGTTGTAAGTACACGTCATGTCGATTGGTTACTACTGTTATTATCTAGGGCGTCTCCTTTGAGTACTTTACTTGATCTCTTCCTACGAGGACTTCTACTGATCCTCTATCAAGAAATTGGACCTCGTCCGGCACAGCAGCCTTGAGATCAACCATGTCAGCGCATGTCAGTCTAGTGTGTCAGCTAGGAACCGACCTTCTGGTACTCTTCACCGCCGAATAAAGACAATAAATCTTCGAGCTTCTCCACAAAGAAATCAGCGGCACCATCGTATGGTGCCGCCCGCCATCCGACATTCGCAAGACAGTTGGACTCCTCCGGAAGAATATGAAACTAGGAGGAGCATGAGTACGTTAATCTTCAGCCTACCATAAGAAGAAATACTTGGTTATAGCGAACGAGGTTAGCCCTTACAGCCTTCAGCCCGGTGAATATCCGTGCGTGGTGTGTCCCCCTGAGGGCATCACTTAGAATTTCTCTTGTTAGTACGGACAAACAACCCACCAGTATTCATTGAATTGCGCCCGGGTCATCCCGGGTTTCCTCTTGAGCAGCAGGGTGACACGGATAGCCATTTCGTGTATTACGGTGTTTTGTAAAGCAGGTGGGAGCGGTCGCGTGAGGTTTGAGTAGGGGACAGTCGAAGAATGAGAAGATGAAACTGAGTGTCAGCCCGACTCTGTGTATTACAAGTTGACTGGGTAGTTCTTATATATACACTACGATCGAGGAGTAGGGCAAAGGGTATGAGTGCAAAGCACAGGAGACGTACATTTAATAAAGTAGATGTCAAGTAGCAGTGCGGTAAAGCATAGTAAGGTACATGTCCGAGGGGTGGTTCAGGAAGGACCATTCCTACTGACACCCTGATTGCGCCGACACTGTTTTAGCTGGTCTAGGAAACGAATCATCAGTGCAATTCGCCGACGCACAAGGCCCAAAGAAGGCGAAACAACATACCCCTTGGCCACAATGGGGAAGCACAACTCCATCGTATTTGAAAATGAAGATACCGTGTCCGTGCCGATTAGTACTACCACTACCAGTTCGGTTTCTGAAGACATTGTAGCGTACGCCCGTTTACTGAGATGGACGAACGTCAGACTTAGAGATTTAATAGGCGCAAAGCCTTCGGCGGGGGCGTCGTGCTAGACGGTCCCTTGTGCATTCACTGTTCCAGAGCTCGTGTACTGAATAAAGGAAGTGGCGTTGCGCTTGGGACCATCTGTGGCTTTTGCATCGCTGCCCAGAAGCAAGTGAGGGCTAGAAGAAGTCTACGCGGTCGAGCGGGAGGTGATTGCACGAGCCGCCCCGTCACTCTCAAGAGTCTGTGTGCTCCCACAGCATGCCAACGTGTATAAACAGAAACACAGCCGTCTGAAGGCTCGCGTTTGGGATCTTCGGTGGAATGCAAGTTTCCTTCGTTGACAAAAAGGCTCACTGACCTCGTCACGGAATTTCAGTCACTTTGTGTGATGGCCTAGGTGGTTCGTAGATTCTTTGTATCGACGAGGAAAGATATACTAACCTTGCCGCGGACCAGCATGACACGCCAGTATTTTGGACGAGATATATGACTGGGACTCAGTACAATGCAGAGGCTGTGTCGTTGCTTGCACAATTACCTTCGGGCATATCTACTTGTACCATCGACCGTCGTTTCAAGGTTGAACAAGTTATCACTTCCCCATCCGTCGGTCGGGTTTGAGGGAATAATCTAAAGCCCGCACGGAATGAGTTGTGTTCAAGACGTTTGTCAAAGGTGGAATTTCCGCCACTCATGATGATAGGAACAATGTCTCAATAAATAACATTCGATGTAGTGGAAGGATCAAGGAAGGATCGTGGCCGAGCCAAGAGTCCGACGATCATGCCAGGTGTACGGCACGTGATACCCAAACATCTTGACGTGTCGTCCACGACGACAGCTGTACTTCAGCCTTCTCCGACAGCAAAACAAATCCCCTAGATGCTCCAGTTTCTTGCTTGAACAATTCCCTTCAAAATGCATTTGCTATTTATCTACAACTTCCTTTCTTTTCTGGCCTTTCTGCCTTCTTCAGTCTACGCCTCTGTCCTCGCCATCGACTATGGTGCGGACGGGATTAAGGCTTCTCTCATGAAGCCGGGTGTACCATTCGATGTCCTATTGAACAAGGATTCAAAACGGAAAATACAGGCGTCGGTAGCATGGAAGAACGGTGATCGGTTATTTGGCGCAGACGCGTATAACATGGTAAGCATTGCGTAAATATACCGAGTTCTACTCACTTACGCCCTTCTAGGCTTCGCGGGTTCCAAAGGATACATTTTCCTCCCTTAAGTTTCTACAAGCCGCCCCTTTTGACTCGCCTATCGTAAACTACTATGGTACAATTTCGTCGGCAGAGCTAGTGGAAACGTCTCGAAGGACGGTTGGCCTGAAGCGTTCCGATGGGTCGGAGTGGAGCGTCGAAGAACTCATTGCTATGCAATTCGCGTACATCAAGCACCTGGCAGAAGCAGTAGCTGGAGAGAAAGTCTACGATGTGATTGTCACTGTGCCCCCGTTCTACTCCCAATTCGAACGAGACGCCGTCGCGGACGCGATTGAAATTGCTGGCCTTCGCACTCTGGCTTTGGTGAACGATGGAACGGCTGTCGCAGTCAACTACGCAATGACCCGTACCTTCACAACGCCAGAAACGCATATCATTTTCGACGCTGGCGCTTCTGCCATTCGTGCTACCGTGGTCACTTTCGATACCATGAAGGACGCTGCAAAGACGACAACTATCACCGTCTCTGGTGTGGGCTACGACCGCATCACCGGTGGCACGGAGTTGGACAGACGGTTGAGGGAGATCCTCATCGCTGCTTTCAACAACAAGCACAAACGGGATATTCGTGGGGACCAGAAAGGGATGGCCAAGCTTTGGAAGGAGGCTGGGCGGGTTAAAGCAATTCTTAGCGCCAACAACGAAGCGATGGCAGCAGTTGAAAGCGCAGCTTTCGACCTCGACTTCAAGGCCAAAGTGACACGAGCAGAATTCGAAGAGGCGTGTGCCGATCTCGTCCCTCGCTTTGCTCAACCAATATGGGACGCTCTTGTTAATGCCGGTCTAAGCTTGGTACGCGTCCTTTCGCTGAACACTGAGTATTGAGTTTCACCATCACGTCGATTCAGGAAAACATCTCATCCGTTATCCTTACTGGTGGAAGCACTCGTACGCCAATGATACAAGCTGCTATCAAAGCCGCCGTTGGAGAGTGAGTTATTCTCCTACCCATTTAGCCGTCAATCGAATTAACAACTCGGTAGAGATAAAATTGCCCTGAATGTCAACGCAGACGAAGCGGCTGTTCTTGGTATGTGAAATCGGACGGCCAACTTCCACCGGTGCTAATCCTTTTTATAGGCGCCGCTTTACATGGTGCAAGTTTGAGCAGGCAATTCAAGACTAAGAGTTTCAAAGTCTCCGATATTAGCGTGCACAATATCCAGGCTTCATACTTCGCAACTTCTGCTAGTCCTTCTGCTAGACCTCGTACCATCAGCACTTTAATCTTCCCTGCTGGTTCCAAAGTCGGAACAAAGAAGACGTTGACTTTCAAGCGCAAGGAAGATTTCGCTATCTGGTTAGACTACAAGAATCTCGTGGCACCGTAAGTTGGTCCTGCCCTCTCGTCGTTATCCCCGTTGATGAAAGACCTAGAGGTTTCCCGATGCAAATATTAGAAGCAGAAATCAGTGGGGTCAGCGAAGCTCTCCAGAATCTTACGGACCTTGGTGCTGTTGAGCCTGTTGTCAAGGCCACCCTTTCGCTATCTGAGTCTGGCTTTGTGTCTGTCACGGATGCTGTCGCTTTCGGAGAGATCAAGGACGAATCGATCACTGGTGCGTTTGGTTGTCCATTTTGTTGCTCCTATAAACTTAATGTTTCCGTGTTCAGGCAAGCTCAAGGGATTCTTCGGCGCCGGATCATCTGCTTCGCCCGAGGAAACGGAAACAGGGTCAGCTGAGAACACGCCACCTCGAGATACTGAGGCTGCCTCCTCAACGGCGTCCCCTTCTGCGTCATCCAATTCATCAGCGCCGGAAGAGACCGAGGTCAAGAAGCCCGTACCAAAGGAAAACACGATCCCTCTCAACATCACCGTCAAATTTGTGTCCATCCCTCCCATGACTGTCGCAGAGAAAAAGACTGCACGCAGTAGGTACGTCCTCATTGTCGTCGTCGCGTTCTGTTTTTTTGTGGCTCATCACTCTTGTAGATTACGTGCCGCCGATGCACAGGAAGCCGCAAAGACACGCCGAGAGGAAGCTCGTAATAGCTTTGAGGCCTACTTATACCGTCTTCGGGATTTACTTGAAGACGACAACCAGGCTTCGCCCTTTAAGAAGTGCTCAAAGGAGTCCGAGCGGGCTACCATCTCCGAGAAGCTTGATTCGTCGTTCAACTGGTTGCACGAGAAAGGCGATGACGCTGATACGCCGCAGTTCCTTGACAAGCGCAGCACGCTTGAGTGAGTCTTCTAGACTCCCCTTAATGCTGTTGAATCTCACCCTCGTTCCAGGACACTTGAACGGCCCATAATACACCGTTACCAAGAGATTGAAGCTTTCCCCCGCGCTCTTAACACCAGCCAAATGTGGAATTGGAGCACTCGTCTTTTCCTGACGGAGGCCAAGGCCAATTTGACCGCCGAAGCCGCAGCAGGACTGCCGTCGAAGTGGACTGCGGAGGAGCTAGCGGCTCTAGAAAAGACGCTGCTTGACCACGAGTCGTGGCTCAACGAATGGGTTGAGAAACAAAAGAGTGTCAAGTTCAACGAAGATCCAGTGATTGAGACCACGGAGATGAAGGCGAGGGCAAAGGTCCTTGAGACCCACTTGCAGAAGCTAGTGAAGCGTAAAGTGCCCAAGCAGACGAAACCCAAGACTACTTCGAGTGCAACAACTTCGTCGACGAGTCCGACTCCAGAGCCAACGGCGGAAAGTAACACTTCTAGTGAAGGGACGACAACGACGCCCGCGGCACCACCAGAACAGGAGACAGTCCCACCAGTACAAGCGCACGATGAACTGTAGTATAATGGTTATTTTACTTTGCACATGAATCTAGAGATCATGCATCTACGTATAATAGAATGACTTTTTGAAATTTGACTACTTGAGTCCTACTAAGTAAGTCCTGGCTAAGTCAGTAATTTATTTCTCACGATCCTCACGCGTAGATGCGAGTGGTACTTATCAGTTTCCCTTTTCCACTCCCCGACTCTTTCTCTACATCTGACATAACGACACGCTGAGGCTCACGAGGAATACGCGGACATAGCCCCAGGGCATTCTATACCTTCAATCCACGGCTACAGCGTAGCCAGCAGCACCATGTCGAGGATGTCAAGGCGCAGTTATAACAGCATGGCCCACGAGAAGAGATTGTCAACCCATCGCGTGACGGATGAGGATCTATTCAAGTGCGTCTCTTAGACGGCTCTGAAACAGCAGATTCATGCTCATCATCTTGTCTGGCAGCTATGTATTGCGTGTAGCGTACGTGTGTAGCTCTGTTGCATCCTTGGTTAGCCGAGAAACTGAAATATCACAACCTCTGCAGCCTGCTCAGTCATGTCATGCAACCGAAACCGATAGAATCACCGTCGGTAGTGACTCGCGAACGCGACCGGGATAGCATTCATTACTCGCGAATATCCGATGCCATTTCAAATTTCTCCATAGGCGACTTGTTTAAGGACGTACGGGATGGACCCAAGACCGTCAAATACCCAGAGAAGTTATTGAAGGTACTCGAGCAGAAGTTGCAAGATGTGGCAATGGGTAAAGATCCAACGTGAGTAACGTCGCCATTCTGTTGTCATTGCGTGTCATCGTTTGCCTCTTCATCAGATATTCGGACCAACTAGTACGGAGGACAATGGCCGCATTCTGGAACCAATTCATGGCCGATAGTTTCAAGCGATCGCTGAAGGAGAGCCGAAATCTAGAGGAACTCATACTGAAGTATGCTGCCCACGCGACAGGTGTGCTTAAGAAAGAACCCACACTCGCTGGCGATGGTTGGAAGATCGAGCTCAACAATCAAATATCACAATTTCTCAAACTTCTTCGGGATTGCTTGCGCGGAATGCACCTGGTTCCGGGCGAACTCCTCATTCGCTTAGATGTATACGTTTCCAAGCTGGCCCCTCCCCATCCCTCAAGCGATTCGGGATATGATTCTGCCTCCACGTCCCGCGATCGGGACTCGGTGTTTTCTCCCACCGTTCCTGCTGCTCGCGTTGATGATATGCCTCTCGTGAAGACTGTTGCTGCATTGTTCAAGTTGCCTGAACATGCAGTCCAAAAGGAGGTTGACCAACTGAAACCAATCGTTACACAAAAGGTTCGAAAGCTTGTCTATGTATTATATGGCTGGGAGCTAACTGGCTTGCTTAGGCTGCACTCACTGACCTCAAAGTAAGTCCCTACTAGACACACCAGTGCGTCGCTTTACATCCACTGCCCAGACATGTTTAAAGAATATCAACGCCGGACTACCTTTTCCCGGTCATCGGGATGACTTCGGGAGCGATGCTGCTTGGCAACACTGGAAAACATTAGAAACAACCCATCTACAGCAACTCGTCGTACAAATGGTGCAAACCAATCCAGAACTCGCGAAATCTTCTTCCTCCGATTCAACATCCTATACGTCACCTAATGCTGCTCGACCAGGTTCCCTATATTCGAATTATGATATCCCCGTTGGTCGAAACCCTTCGATTGGGAGCCGGTACTCCTTATACGACGTTGCTGCTGATGACGGCGAGGATGATGTGCCTTTAGGCCATAATTTCACGTTCATTCCCCCTAACCCAAAGAAGTATTATCGCCGACTAGTAGAGTATTGCTTAATCTCCGATTTAGAGGTGATGATGAGCCCCGAGGTCGACGACAATGATGAAGTTTCGCTTGGGATACTCTCGGCAACTCACATCGACCTCATCAGCGAGTGCGCCTTGCGATGGCGTATAGGCCACACATACCGTGCGGCTTGTTTCCTCGATCTCGTGAAACAATTTTACGAACGAAACGATGTACCATTGGAGTGTATTCCTGAGGCAATACAGGGTATTGTCAAAGTCATCAGCGAAATCGACGTGGAAAGCTGGCCGATCCAAGACGTGAGTCTTTCACAAGCATCGAAGGTAAAGTACTAACCCAATCTAACGATAGGCCGAATTCCTCACCAGCACTTACGGCGCTTTATTCAATATATTCCTCTCCTCGTTATACCACGCCATGGACGCTCTCCCAAACCTCAAACGTGCCGACGTAGAGCAATATCTTTCTATCCTCGAACACGTACGCGATAGTGGCCTCCTAGAGCGGTTTGACGTAGATGTAGGCGCACGAATCACCGACGTCGAGGAGCGGATACGGCACGTAGCGGCGCACTTCTACGAATCTAAGATGCAGGAGTTCCAGTCTGCGCCTGGTGTGAACAGGGCCCTTCCTCTCTTGCTCATGACGGATGAATTAGAGAAGACAGCAAAGGCACTTGACAAGCGATTTCCAGATCCATTGCTTGGGTATGTCTTCTCAGCTGGGTATCTCGTATCGCAACTCACCTACTTGAATCCAGGCGCATTGACATTGTTTCACTGGTCCTAGATGTTGGAATCCCTCATTTCGTTACGGACTTGCAGAACTCCCAAAGACGACTCTTTGAATCTTCCATGAACGGCCCAACTCCCGACGTCCCTATTCAAGATATATTTTCACTATATCGAAGGACGAAGCTACTATTGGGAATGTACCAAGCATTTTGTCCGAAGTGTGCCCAATCCTATCGTCCTGTCGAACATATCTACTAAACTCTTATGCAGGGGAACATTGGAATTCAACTTCGCTTCGTTCTTCGAGCCCTATGTCCGTCAATGGTTAGCCAACACAGATAATACAACCGAGCAATGGGTTCAAGCAGTAGGTCCCTATGCCCCTCCTCTAATACCTACTCTTGACTCGGTTTTACTAGGCAATTGCTGCCGATAAGGTTTGACATTTCGCTCAATTTCTCTCACATATTAATTTCGCCCCTACCCCCTTAGTTCGAAGCTGAGGCCACAGAAGGCCACAGTTCTTCCATTGTTGATCTCTTCGAGTCACTTCGAAGTCCAATTAGTTTCCTCCAAGACCTTGAATGGTCCGATGAGTACCAGGAAGCTAGATTCTTTACCAGTTTGGCTAAGGTTGGTGACCCACAAGTCTACGAGTCATGGCTAACTATGCCTGACAATGAACTAGACCGTTTCAAGAGCTGTTGAGCAATACTGTCGGAGCGTCGAGGAATTGTTTATGACGGAAATGTTCCCTCGCCCGAATGACTACATCCAACCCCAGAAGTCATCGGCTTGGCTCGAAAAGGCCAGACAATTGGCCGTCACCGGTGAAAAGAAAGTGGAGCCCTTCAACTTCCGACCCGAGTCCTGTGTGAAACTCAACAACGTTGAAGCCGCCCGCAGACTGCTCGATAACATGTACAACCAGATTCAGGTGGACAAGATGGCGGATACTTTGGAGAGACTGGCCCCGCCGGTCCCGGAGAAAGTTGAACACCCGAGATTTTTGTTTGCCGTGAAGATTGTAATGGCAGAGGGTCTGGTACCGTTGGAGAGCAGCCCGTCAGCAAAGCTGGACACATTTATAACCCTCAGCGATGAACAAGGCAACAGACTAGCAAAGACGAGAACGATTTACGAATCACTAAACCCTCGATGTAAGCATATGGTCCTCTTAAAGTTTGAAACCCTAACCACGCTCTTACTAGGGGACGAAACCTTCGATCTATCCGTCGAGAAACCGCTTTGGCTTATGTTGAGCGTCCGAGATCGTGCCTTGATAGGTAAACATGACACTGTCGGTCGTGATTACTTGTGCTTGGATCCACGACGATTCGGTGATTACCTTGTGCACGACCTCTGGCTAAAGCTAGATACACAAGGCCGAGTTCTTGTTCGAATAAGCATGGAGGGCGAGAAGGACGACATACAGTTTTATTTCGGACGTGCCTTCCGGTCACTTAAACGTGCTGAAGGTGATATGGTCCGAATATTCATTGACAAGGTCAGTGGATGTGCTGTCTATCGTGGTACAGTCTGTGATGTCTTGATCTATAGATGTCACCGTTCATCCAACAATGTGTTTCTCGTCCAGTCCTCAAGGGCTTGATTAAGTCCGGTAGTCTCGGCTTGGATTACAATAAGGCTTTGGGCGGCGTAACATCACTGTATCGACAGGCGGTGGGCGCCTCAGCCAGTGAGGTGCAAATACCATTGCCCCAGGACGAGAAACCTCGGATTCGCCCGGAAGAACTCACTGATGTAGAGATCGAACAAGCGATATTGCCGCTCTTTGACTATTTTGACGCCAACCTCCAGACATTGAATACCTACCTTAGTGACACCACGAAGGAAATGGTCATGACGAGGGTTTGGAAGGAAGTCCTCAATGTCATCGAAGGATTGCTCATCCCTCCACTTTCGGACGCGACAAGTGACATGAAGCCCCTCAGCGACAAGGAGGTAGACATCGTCTTCAAGTGGCTGAAGGTATACCTCCCTTTCGGCCATCGAAGTGTAACTTGACATTGCCACTCTAGTTTCTTCGGGATTATTTCCACGCGGGGGGTGAGGGTCCTGTGCCGTTGGAAGTCTTGCAGAACCAGAAGTATCGCGACATTGTGTCCATCCGGCTATACTATGATTGGCATACGTACGCTCAGCTTGCCCTCGCCAATGTCACTGTGTCTGACAATTTTTAGGGATGCTCTCATGGAGGAATGTGTTCGAATGATGCAACAAAGCCTACGGACGCTGCCTTCAATGAAGAAACGAGCAAAGAGTGTGTACCAGCAACGAAATCTAGGGACAATCAAACAGCGCAAGAAGGTCAAGCAAGAAGAGAAAGAAGTAGGCAACGGCGAGACCATCATGAGAATCCTACGCATGAGGCACGTTCAAGTCTTTGGGGGCGGTTTTTATTCATCGATGCTGACATCGTCGCAGATCCGGAACGTCGGATTTCATTGCGCAACAACTCCAAATCATGGCAGCCATGCAGGCAGAACAAGAGCAACGCGCTAAGGACCTGGAGCGCAGAAAATTGCAGAGGCCTCTTTCTTCAAGACGAGAACAGCTACCGTCCGTCCCCCCCCTTCCTCAGTAACGATAGATTGTGTACCACTCTCTCCACTACATCGTTCGGGACCAACCTTTATTGATACCTGCCTAACGTTGGATTTATATACCGATAATGCTCTGCCTATGTTTCTTCGTACTTGACATATCTATTTGGAAGGACACTTGAATCCTGTAATGATGGTAGTGCCATAGTAATTCTAATGATTTTGTGTCTGTATGCAAGATGGAGGTTGGAACGGATGAAGTCGCGAGAAAGCGCGGTGCAAGGCCCATCAACGGCACGGCGCGGCATCAACGCGAAAGGCTTGTGCTTACGACGTTCAGACTGCTCAATAAATAATTGAGTGTAGAAATAAGATCTGACCTTGAGTGTGTAGAATTTTGAGTTATCGTGCTGTGTAGAAATGAGATAGTGTCTGTATTGTTTTGACGATGTTTTTGCTAAGGAGTATAGTGCACGCTCCTTCGAAACGCTCTCCAAATTCCGCAAAGACGACGGATGTGGACATGACATCGTGTATCATCTACGATCGAAGGATAAAGTGGTCAGCAGGTATATGCGTAGAAAATAGATAAGCTGAGCTCGAAGGACGGAGAGTAATCAGCGATAGCGTGGCACGCTTGAGCTACCCCATTCTGGTAAGTTATCTGGCCATGTTCAACTGTGCCAGGCTGAGAGTCCAGGAGGGTAACTTTGGTGACCTGGGTTCCGTCATAGACACATACTGTCTCGCTTAACTTGAAAGCCACAAAGCCGGCCAACGGAGGAAAATGGTATTCGCCGCATTGGCGAGTTGCCAAAATGGCAGCGCGGACCCCATTCTCCAACGAGGTAGCCATGCTGAGCGCGGGCGGGGTAGCTGAGGTGTGGGTGTTAGCTGAGGTGGGAGAGACTGACGATCTAGGAGGGAAGTCCCGCTTCCAAAACATAGCCAAACATAGCCACTGGGCATTACCCATCCTTGTCTACCCCGAGACAAACAAGAGCCGGCATTGGGACCGGACTCCTGGTTGGCCTGTGCACTTCACGCCATAGGATATAAATGTAGAAATGACTGTTTCTACGTGGTTACTCGGGCGTATGGAATAGCAGTTGACCCTCGCAAACGCATGAGGGACCACATAATTCAAACTACCTATTTATCTACATGTGAACAATCAAATGTATTTACATATAAGTGCATTGTGATTATCTAAACGCATGCTGCAATTCAGAGAACACTTGAAACACATAACAACAAATCCAACAATAAAGGCAGATTGTGCATTCCAGGCGCCCCATCTCTTTCTTCCCTCCATCTAGGTTCTAGGTGTAAGTCTGGCCAAATTTGATATAAACAAATCCTTTTCCTTCAGAAGGATTCATAATATATCAGGAGCATGAAGTCGGAGCAACCCCAGATTCTTCGAAGAGGCTCCAACAATGTAGCACTTGCATTCATCAGCTGTTTTTACTTCCCAGAAAGTTTCAATGATATCACCCATCTTTGAAGCATCAGAGTTCAGCTTGTGTTGAGCCCCAGAGTTTGCGGAAGAGCTGTAAAATAGAGGAATTGATTCCATCTGCAGAGGGACAATGATCCACTAAGTGAAACACATCGTCAAGAACAAGGCCCACGAAGTTATGTGAGCTCAGAGGTAGTTGGTTGAGGAACCGTGATCTAGAACATTGGCCACTGATTCCTTTCACTGTCTAGCTGAGGTGATGTCAATGTTGAGGAACAATGAATCAATATCTATGATGTCGCAATTACTGCAGAACAACATCTTGACAGTGTCCCAACAAGTCACGAGGTCCTTGTTTTTTTTAGAAAGACCTCAGTGAAAGGATCAATGTACAGGTGGTAGTGAACCAACTGAAATGTTGACAAGAACGTTTACTAGGGATACATACATGGTGCCCATCCTTTGTCTTGGTGAAAATCAGAGAGGATGCAAAATCATATTCGCCTTGGAATAAATATTCTAGCAGGAACCACAAGCATATCCTAGTGCAAGCTGATAATGAAGGCAAAAGCCGTAAATGATGACATCATGGAAATGGAGACACTCAGCGCATAGTTAAGGATGTGAAGGCATAGTGTTGTGATCCCGATGTCCACATAATGGCATCTATATGGACTCTTCGTTGTATCTGTGTTCCCAATGATTCGTTGTCTTGCCGCTTCACGCCGTATATGGTCTCCAGGTACAAATTTCGTTGCTCGTAGAACATAACTGAAATCCAAGTAAACATGCCTGACACACTGTGTACATTGAGTGTGTTTGAACGGTCCAATTGGGCATTTATTTTGTAGTTGGTCAACAAAGTATCCTAGCAGTAGCGCACTGTGTGACTAGCCCAACGGTCAGTACCCTCCTCCATTACTTTGTTCCTCAGGTAACAAGATGTCAGTTTCTATTGAGATTCTCCCTGAGAAGGGAACTTCTGGTTGAACTCAAATACAAGGTACAATATCTTTGAGACATACATACATTGTCAATATTTAAAAGTGGGATTACTGAATAATGATTCCACCATGATGTATGGCAACTGTGCAGGTGTCCCGGTTACCTGGGGGTTGGCAGTGGGTATGCATATGATGTTGCCGGATGTGGCAGGAGCCATCACGCTTGGGCACTCCGCTGGTTGCAGCCGTGTACCGACTGCTTGTTTTGTATGTAGGCTACAATTATGAACCCCATTGTCGCCATTACTGTGTGATTGTGTTGCTCAAAAGCATGGAATGCTGCACCTGGCGCTGCTCTCTTGTTCATCTCAACCAGCTCCACTCAAGGACATGAGACTGTCAAACGAGTACGTGTATCACTTGCTACCCCTGGGTCTACTGATTAATAATGATCAGAAAGATGCTAAGGATATATCTTCGCAACGACTGGCATCCCAACATACAGACTCAAATGATTTCACGCACCATTGAAGTCAAAGAAGTCAATTGTGAAGGGTGCAGATTGGGTGAATGGCATGTACAGCAATATCAAAGTCTATGATCTTCAAATAGAACTTGTGGTCGACAAGAAGGTTTTCAGGCTTAATGTCCCTGTGGGCCATGTGGTGCTTGTGAAGATACACAAGACCCTCAATGAGGCCCCAGCAGACTGGTGAAAAGTGCGGTGAAAACCGCTTGAGATCATACCTTAGCCAATCTTCCACATTGTTCATTATCTTAGGGAGGATGACCCACGACGAGCTCTGCCCATGGAAAGAGTTGAGCAATGTGATGATGTGTTCCGACTGAGGTTGAATGAGATGGATGAGCCTGAGAATCTCAAGCTCGTTCAACTCCTTTCGGATTTTCTTTGCGACAAGCATTGTATCCGGGTCTGATGGACGAAAAACGGTCAGAAGATTAGAAGGCAGCTGAATGAGAGACATCAGTACCATATAGCTAAGCTTTGATGCGCAACTACAAACTTTTTGAAGCGACTCAAATATGCCGTCTTCAGTCTTGATGCAGTCTGGTTCCACATTGTAACCATGAGCTTCAAGCTTGTCAAGCTCAGTGGTGTCGTCCCTGGCACGGCCATTGCCTTTGTCACTGTCGGTGGCATCACACTTCATGCCTCGACCAGTGTAAAATGACTTCAGCTTGGGCACATGAGAATCAACTTGGTTTTTGTATGCCATAATTTGAGATCCTGCATTGCCCCCGCTATCGATGGCAAAACAAAGGTTGTGAAGCCGGAGCGCAAATTTAATGCAACTGACTGGTACGTTGAAGTCAAATTCTTCTGTGCTGTAACAAACCTACAATGCTTAGCATACATATGGAATTGTTGATAGAACAGAGTACCCACCTTTGTTCTATTTTGGTACAAAGTGTGCCACTGGACACTGCCAGCTTGCCCAATGTAGATAGCGGCCAGGACGAAGTTCTTTTGCTGCTTGAAGGGGTCTATGAAGCCATGTGCAAAGCAGACAATGGAAGCACCACATAAAAACATCCACATGGCCATAGATCAGTTGACAACGGCGTCGAATCAACTTCTACAACCAATCAAGGAAGATTTTGATATGAGAGGCAGAAGTTGCTCCTAGGCAAGTACAAGTGGATTTCTGTGCCAGAGGCCAAAGTTTTCCTTGTAATAATCGGGAAAGGCCAATTGGAAGTGCCTCTGTAAGCGTAAGATTCAATTTGAGTGTGAACGCCAGAAAGGACAACCAAACACACAATGTAGCAGTCACTTCATTGCAAACATACTGAGGGTCAGAGCATGTAAGAAAAAAAGGAAAGAAGCACATGGCATTCGCCAACGGTTCCTTCAGTGGTGAAATGGAACGGTGCCATATGCTTTGCCATGGCATCGATGCCAATAAGTCAATGTGCAGCACCTCTTGCAATTTGACATCATGACCTTCAGTTCCCTGAATTGTAACAGGTGATCTGTCTGCGGTCACGGAATATGTGGTTCAACACTTGGGATCCATAGCATTGAAGCGCTTACAAGCCTTGAAGTCAACTTGTTAGAAATGAGCAGGGGCTTGAGAGAGCATGAATGAACCTCAGGAGATAGACCAGCTTTTTTATCCAACTTAGCAGGATAGTCTTTGACAAAAGTTGGACTTGATTCTGGGCCTTGGTCTTCCTCAATGGCATTCAGAAAAATGTCAATGTCAGTGAAGTGGTGTTTGTTGGTGCCCCATGCTGCTACATTGATGAAGATTGCATTGTATTGATTGATATTGTCTGAGTTGAGTGCATCTTCTCTGGCACTGGTAGCAGGAGAAAGACTACTTGCTATAACATAGGTTAGTATACATTTACTGCACAAGTGTGTTTTGTGTGTACCTGAGGCTTTGAAGCGCATGCAAGGACAAGCCTCAGTCTAGCATGAGGATATCAATAGCGAGGATAAGCTTACATGGTGGTAGCACAATGACATGGACTTTTCCAGTGTCCAAATCATCAAAGACATCTGAGACCTTGACTAGCAGCTGCAAGAGCCTGACAGCGCCCTCAATATTGTGGGGATCTAAGGTGGGATTCAACTCCTCGGGTGTGAGTGAAACCTTGAAGAGTTTAAGGTCTATAGCCAAAAGAGCAATAGGTAGCGCCTCCTTGATCTTGGCTTTGAGGTCGTTGATATTCGTGTTCAAAGCAATTTCGACCATGAATATCTGAGTTAAGCATCACCGGCCATCAGACAGTTGATAGTGATAATCTCGGTCAAAGACATGAGTGGGACATTCGCGAAGACTCGGAGCCCAGAGAGGATGGTGGCTGAGTCAGCCATGTTTCCATTTGTCCGTAGTCCGTACATTCCTCGGGTTAGCGGGCCGATGTCTCCGAGGCGGTGAAAGTGCTGTCCCCAGCCCACGGTAAGAGCTGGTGAGTTGTAAAAGAAGCCAGCGAAGACACCAATTCAAACTATTTAACGATCATTATTTCTATCCGGCATTTTATAGTCGACAACGGAGAAACTGAAATCTGACAGCTTAAATGTATCCAACACTACGCCAGTATTCTACCCAGAGTTTGGCATCGCTGACCGCCAGATCGCCCGTTTCCTGCAATGCCTTACTTGCCGCTAGGGCTTGTGTCATTTCCAATAACGGGATGCCCATAGCTTCCCCATGTTCGCCTTCCATCTCCTCTTCAACTTTCGCGCCGCCTTGGAAGAACTCCAAAAGTTTCAGCCCAGGTACACGGTCAAGCAGCTCCTTTTGCTTGCTCCTCTCCCCTGCTGAGGCACCGCCTGCGGATGTGGCCGCTGAGATATTAGCTATGTCCTCCAACTTCTTCACCCACTCGGTATATGGAATAAGCGGCAGGGGAGGGTGGAACTGATCTCCAGCATAGTGGAAGACACGTTTCGCGGAGACGGGGCGAGGATGAACCAAATGTACTACGAGTTTGGCAGGTTGAGCATTTCTCATTTCAACGATGGCCCGAGCGCAGAGGTCCAAGGGTATCCACGAACATATCTGAGTGAAGTGATATATTTAACGCTGTTACTGGTAAGGGAAGGGCGGAAACTCACCCCTTTGTATTCAGGTAGACACCCCAGTGTCGCACTAGACTTGAAGATAACGGGGACCCAGTCCGTGGTGTTCCAATTGCCGTTGGGACTGCCAGATATTTGCCCTACGCGAACAATAACTGGGCTGAATTCTTTACAGTGGCGGGCTGCTGCATATAGCACATGCTCCGCCGTCCATTTCGACTCTGAATAGCCTTGGCCAAGAGACACAGTCGGATCTGGCAAAGGTTCCTCTACGATAGGTTTCGCCTTTTGACTGGTAGAGAGATCTACAGCTTGTGTCAATATCGAGCAGACAGAAGTATGTGAAGCATACGTACTTCGGAATACACCAACGGAGCTGATGAAGGTTACTTTTGCTGGCGGGCGTCCTTGTGGGACAGACAATGCGATATCAACCAGCGTCCTCAGACCTCCTATAGATGCTTCGTAGGAATGGAAGGATAAATTAAAATCCACCCTCCATGCTAGAAAGTAACATTAGATGGGGGGAAATGTCGCGAGTTAAAAGAATAGGACATGCCAACATGAATGATATGAGTAACGGTCTGTGTGATCTCATGCTCTAGGTCAGGATCAGCGATACCCAGCCCTAGAGCACTCAACTCCCCTTCCACCAAAACGACTTTAGGAGATGTAGCAATGGCTTCGTTATAGCCTCTGCTTCGGAGCGCAGACTTTTGTCGGTCCAAGAGCGGAACCTTCGCACCTCTATTAAAGGCATAAACTTTCTTCACAGCTGAATCGTGAACGAGTTTAGCCAGTACTGCGGATCCAAGAGAGCCAGTTGTCCCCGTGACAAAGACAATATCACCGTCAGCAACGCCGTTGGCATGGCCGTTCACTGCGGAGATTCGCTGAGGGAAGGATGCTGTATATCGCGTTAGGCAATTCTCGATGTCATGCAATGTGGTTCCGGCCAAATTTGCGGCCAAATTCTCAGCGGATCCGTTGACAAGAGCATGCAGATGTTGGGCTAAGGCAGGAATCTTGGGGTGGTCGTAAACCACGTTAGGGGAAACTGCAGTCACAGGGGGAGTGAGGCGCCGAAGAGCGCCTAGGATTGCATTGCGAATCCAGGTAGCTTGTAAACTGTCGCAGCCACATTCAAAGAAATCGTCCTCTTCGTTCGCGGGCTTTTTCAACACGCTATCGGTCACCCTCTTCACGAAACTTTTGACATCGTTGAGATCCGACCAATCAACGGGTTCGTCGCTCTGGCCTCGGTTGGCACTTTCCTCGACGGCGGCGTATACGGCATCAATCTCTTCTTCATACATGGAGATGATTACTGCACGCTTTGGTGCGCCTTTGGGAGTCAAGGGGAAGGGCTTTGAAGGATGAGTCACTATGATCATCTGGGCAGATTTCAGAAGTTGCGGTACCCGGTTTCGACGCGAATCTCACCTCCTTGAATAATCTTGAGTGTGACGGTGCCATGGCATTCATTTCTTCGACTTTAGACCTATACGCGGTATACTTAAACTCTGCACCAATGAGATCAATCACAGCAACATACCAGATAGCATTCCGGAACTCGATGAGTTTCTCTTCATCATTTGGATCAAACTGACTCTGGGGTACAGGCTGAATTATCACTCCATTCTGGAAGCGACCTCGGCCAAAAAACACAGCGTGATCCACCAATGGATGACGACATAAGATAGATTCTGTGTTAGAGTAAGAAAATGCGTGCCGATGGTCAACGAGGCTCGAGCGACTAACCAAGAGGTCCAGGATTTGTCTGGCTAATATATAAGGCGCACCTCAAAGAAGCTTAGAAGGCAGACGTACCTTTTCTCCTGTTGAAAGCATAATCTGGTCGTCTGCTCGCCCGTGAATCTTCCACCATCCCTTTCTTGTAGGGTGTGGTTTGAGAAGATCACTGGTCGCATACGCATCTTGCCCGCGGAATTTCGTATTTACGATGAAGAAGTGGTGCGTTGGCTTCTTCTACGGTGGGTATCAGCGACAGAGTTCGTACTGCATACGTTAGGAGGAAACATTACGCACCACTGTAACAAGTTCGAAGGTACCATCGCCATGGGGAACGAATTCCGCAGCACAGTGTGGATTAATACTGACATACTCCCAGTCCATTCCAGGGTTTTCTGCCGATGTTTCATCAGTCCACTGAAAGATGGCTGCGATGCTAGAACTTACCTCCGATGATGTTGCCAATAACCCCAATTTCGGATCTACGGTCGTATCAATCTCAATTCACCATTAACTGTAGAATGAGCTCACTGGCCGTATAGACTATATAAGGCGATGCCTTGCGACGCCAAGAAATCACCAGCAGCATGAGTGAGCGGGCCCCCGCCAAACCACTGGCGGAGTTAGCATTGTAGGGAGTGATGGATTCAACAGATACCCACAATCCCTTTGATGCTTTTGAAATGTTCGACCTTAACCGGATCATGGGACCACGCCTGAAAACCTGGTGAGAACAAATTTATACCAACGTCACAGGTCCACAAACCTCCAGGAACGCGGGGACGCCGAAGCCATAATCGGCGCCAACGTCGACAGTGCCTTGGAAGACGTTATCAGGATTTGGTCCGATGGCTGGAGAAGTCGGTTCGAAAGTTCCCATAACGAAGCCGGCGCCAGTCTAAAAATAGGTGAACGAAATGGCAGAAACGAAAAGAGTGCATGTTCACCATCCAGGCGATAAAATTGAGCCCGATTGCATGGAACATAGCGACTGCATGACATGCTATGACCTTTCCACATAAATCATGAGAAGCAAATTCTAAAGACCCAAAACATTCATAGCGACCTCTTCTTATATTATCATATCAACTTACGAGGAACCATGGCGGTCTGGAAGTTAGTCCGATCGTTTATGATAATAGGCTTGGGGAAAGAAGTCGAGCCTGAGGCGTAGCTATTGAATAAGTTTGAGATCTTGCGAGGCAATCACTACATACCAGAGGAGTGAACGATGATTCTGGTGGAGTCAAGGTCTCGTGTTCTAGGAGGTAGAGGCTGGAACGGTTCGTCGGTATATAATTGCTCGAAAACGGGCATAGGAGCCACGACCGGGATCTTCTCTTCATTTTCAGATCGAAGTAGTTCGAGAGCTTCGTTGACAAGTTCCTTAATTGGGGTCTCAACACTGACAAGGACGTGCGTTGGCTGAGTTCTTCTCAGTAAGTGGGCCACTGCAGGTGGCGAGTTCCGGGGTGAAACAGGGAACACTATGATCTCGGCGCGAAGCATGCCAACGACCGTCGTGAAATATGTAATGGTATCTACATTCAGTGATGAGAACGTGTTGGCTGAGGTGATAGAGGGGATGTGATTCGCTCACCTGACGAAGCGACAATGGCTACGACGGGTTTGTCCTGTGAACCTCCCCCCAACTGGACGCCCACTGCATTGGCTACATAGCGTCCGGCGTTGTGTATAGCTGGAACAACCTTATCGTACGCCAAGGTTACAATGTCACCAGCTCGGTTAGCGTACTTGAACACAGGGTGCTCCGGGTTGTTCTCATAGTGAAAGTCATATAGCTCTGACATTGTTAGAGACCCGTCCATCGGCGGAAACTGGTAGTTCCATTTTGGATCCAAGCCGTGGACTTGTCTGGGTGGTGGAAGGACGAAGTCGTGAACAGGGGACATGGGCGAAGAGTAGTGAGGCTAGCTGTTGCGAAGGTCTCTTAATACCTTGCGCTTCTTCGGCACGGGTGGGTCCCAATAATACTTACGCTTACGCTGACAATGCTTGAGAATGCGATCAGCCATATCAATTACGGTATACTTAGACGCAGTCTGTGGGAGACATCAGTTTATGATCTTCAACTATATTCCGAGGTATTCCAATTGCGAGGGACGTGTTGCTACTGACATGGAGTTTTAATCACACAAGATAAGAAAGATTCAATGAAAACGCACTTTTCGTCGAAAAAGGAATCTTGCCGTACGGCGATAGAACTTGAGAAGCAGGACAGCCGACCAAGAAGGCCCTCTTACATCACATGATTGATATTCAGTCATGAGCTGTGACATTGATTGTACCGCTCCCTTTGGACATCGGACGCGGCAAAGCCCAGCGGTGCCCCAGGTGGCCGATGTACCAACCAGCGAGCATCACGTAAAGGAGGGCCGAGTGAAGGTCAGGGCGCATTATGCTTTGTCGGTGGGTGAGACAATCCTAAACATAATCGTTGTGTAATCAATAACAGAGAGAAAAGTGCTCGCTTACTTTGCATCGGATTTACAGGGCAGTACTCGAGACAAATGCGAGCCCTGACACACTAATGAACGGTAAAGGTAGCACTACTGTGTCACCTCTTATGTACTGCTCAGTTCAGCACACGCATCGTGGTGCCCATTCTGGTCCAGGGCATAATCGAAGTGTTCCCAGCAGAGAGAGATTAGCGCCACCATCTCGACAGTCCGATAGGATGTAGGTGGTCTATCATTGATCGCCACCAAGACGTAATCAATGGAGGTAGGCGTTTCCCAAATCCATTGACGATTATTTCGGTTATGTTGAAGCGTGTGTAGCCCGAAGCCGAGGCAATCGTACCTATCATTGATGGAGGTGCAGTCGTCCTGGGGGTGCAAACTCCACTTAATAACGCTGGTTTCGGTAGGGCCTGGGCCGCTGGGCGACAAACGCGGGTGGTGACGTTGCCTGAGATAGGGTACCGTGAATAATTCGACAGCAAGTTAATAACAATGTTAGTAACTTTGCACCTGTTGGACCGATTGTTAACACCAGTTATTAACTAATTAGTTACATCGGGGTTAATAACATGTTAAATATTGTTAATAACCTATTATTTACATGTTAAAAAATTTTGGCGGTGAAAAACGCGAAAAAAAACGATGCTAGGCATGTCAAAACTTCCACGCCTCCTCTACAGTAATACTAGCACAGGTCTTTGCAGCGGGAGGTTGTGACGCTGACTGTGCAGCAGGGGTTGCTTCACCTCTAAGCAATGCCCGAAGAACGGGGGCGTTAAGGTTAATCTCGCTATCGAGTTCGAAGTCGTCGTCCTCGATCTCAATGGCTAGCTCCCGGAGCATGCCGTTGTCCCCATCGTTGACCGAATTCGTTGATATCTTCGTAATCCGGATTTGTGGACCAAGACAAAAATGTGTACACTTTGCTTGTCCGTCCGGTGTCAGGTAGAGTACGAGGTAGGTACCTGAGAAGTCTCGCGAGGCGAACGAGTTTTTGCTCGGGGGTGTTTTCAGTGATTGCGGACATGGATGTTCAAGAACAGGCTTGAAATTTTGCCAACTCCCTTTCCAGGGTTTGCGACATCGTATTCTAGGATCATACTGAGGCAACATCGTTCGTTAAGGGCCTTATTCGGGGTGAGGGCAACTTGGCAAGGCACTACTAAACTTCGTTTGGAAAAGAGCCTCATGGGCTGCTGGTCACGTGTATTTCTCACAATTTTTAACACCCGCCAGGAGCTCTACCGATGTTATTAAGTTATTAACCTGTTATTAACCCCTGAGACACGCTGACATGGACGACACGTCCTTCCGGTCCGGTTCAGGACTCTGAAGACAAGTATGAGCTATTCAATGTCTATGGGAGTAAAACATAGCGACCACACCTAGCGTAGTTTCAGTTCGCTTGAAGCAGGCTACCCTTGTAAGCCCTTGTAGCGCGGAAGCGGAAAGCGTCGTCAATCTGATACGCTCGAAAGTGGCTGCCGAGCTCTCTGGTCATGCCATGCTGCTGAGGTGGGGCAGATACTAAGTGATGCGTCCAACCAACCAGTATTCAGTATTCAGAATAAATGTAGAACCGCATGGCTGCCTACTTGCTACACTGTCAAATTCATTGTCAATCTTAATCAGGTTTGGCGAGGGGACATTAATGCGTACGAAAGTGACTCAGATGTTCTCTGTGGGTTGCGTACTGGATGGCTCTCCGGAGCATGTCCACTTAATCGTCGTTTGTCTGGCTTCCCTAGGGTACCGTGAAAAATAGGGTGTTTTTTAACAACGGATTATTAACAGTGTTAATAACAGGTTAATAACAGGTTAATAACTTAATAACATCGGTAGAGCTCCTGGCGGGTGTTAAAAATTGTGAGAAATACACGTGACCAGCAGCCCATGAGGCTCTTTTCCAAACGAAGTTTAGTAGTGCCTTGCCAAGTTGCCCTCACCCCGAATAAGGCCCTTAACGAACGATGTTGCCTCAGTATGATCCTAGAATACGATGTCGCAAACCCTGGAAAGGGAGTTGGCAAAATTTCAAGCCTGTTCTTGAACATCCATGTCCGCAATCACTGAAAACACCCCCGAGCAAAAACTCGTTCGCCTCGCGAGACTTCTCAGGTACCTACCTCGTACTCTACCTGACACCGGACGGACAAGCAAAGTGTACACATTTTTGTCTTGGTCCACAAATCCGGATTACGAAGATATCAACGAATTTTGGCTTCCCAAAGAAAACCGCGCTTTCAGATTCAGGAGCACTGTGTCACGTGACCAGTTCCCTCCTAGGGCCCTGTAATAGGAGTATTCCAGGGAAGTCATCCATGAACATACGAGGTGTCTCAGAAGGTCCGGGAGAATAGATAGGTAGAGCGTACGACATTAAATCAAATCCTGTCAAATTCACGTTGAAAGCAGCAGTATTGGGTCCCAATTCTCTTTGAAGGACTCCAAGGCCTGACGGGTGAACACCTTCCTTTCTAGCCCATCCGCGCAGGCAAAGGGGATGAAATGAGAGGGCAGGGATCGGTACAAACTAAACCGTATCACCCAAACAAAATGTTCAAACCACTTCCCAACCGACATGCACTTCCAGATTGTTTCCATAATATGCTAGTTAGCCCCGACCCATCAAAGGCAGCTGCATTCTACAATACTTTCTCTAGCCCAAGAGACCCTCGAATCAACCTCAGTTTGTACCCCAAGAGATTGTCAGCAACAAAGTTGTCTATGTGAACAATATCTTCCGTTCGCATCAATTTCCGTATAGCCACGCCCTTGAGGATTCGTTTTTCTGTCGCAACCTGCTCAGAATCCTCGGCGCTCTCCGCGGGAAGAACACGCAGGGGATCGCCAAACTTCTCAATCAGTTCCTTACGTTCCTCTGGGAGGGATGGTTCGTATGCATGTTTTGCACAGAATTCCACGGTCCGGCGAAGGTCGTCGCCTTGTAGCTTGCGGCCTACGTCAGTGTTTCCCTGGATAACTGTACAAGACCGTCAGAACTTGCCAACAAGTCCAATCAGTGCGATACTTGCTCGGTCTGAAGAAGTCGAAAGCCCGGTCGAAGTTGTCTTCGTCTTTATTCGACAAGACCGGCGCCTCTTGTGACTTGATTTGGTGGTACGCACTCAATACGACGAGCATGAACCTGAGGAAGGCAATAAGAACACGGGAGCAGAGCGCCGCATAGAAGAACTTGCCTTGTGTATGAGGTGTCTACCTTGGCGCTGTGCCATGCAATTGCTTCGGTGCTAGTGCAGCCCCCCTTCATCTCCGCGCAGATCGTCGCTGCTGCCGACAGACCACCGGATATCGCAAGGTGAACCCCAGAAGAGAAGTAAGGGTCTATGAAAGCTGCAAACATTTCCGTTAATAAACATGAGCAGATGCCGGAACAAGGCTCCACGCGTACCGCCAGCATCGCCGACAATCCGATAGTGAGGACCGGCGTAGGAAGTAGCTGAATAGCTATAATCGCTGGCGGCGCTGACGAGGGGGGCGTCGGACTTTTTGATATGTACACCATCGCCGATGAGTGCTAAAACATTGGGTGCACGTTTCAGTTCGCTAAGGTAGTGGGCAACTAGTGAGCTGTCTTCCCCGCTTTCCTTCGCCTTCGCCTTCTTTTCATTGGAAATATCTTGGTTCATGACGATACCGACGGAGGTGGTTCCGTCGTGTAATGGAATAAACCAGGCCCAGCCTGATTCGTCTGCTCGGCTTGTTATCGAGGTTGGTCCAGGCGGTGAGAGGAGACGACATACCAGCGAGAGCCTCAAACAGCGGGGAATTCTCGCGCGACGTTCCTGGTAGGTACTTCCCCGTTCCCTCCCAGTAACCCCAGCAAGCAACATTCTTGAGCAGCGAATTGAACTGCCGGTTCTTCAGGTACCTCGTCGACATGATCCCGTTTCTCCCGCTTGCATCAACAAGATAGCTAAAGGTTATCCTCCCAGTTGCCCCAGATTTTTGTTTCCACAAGGCAGCTACTGGATGCCCCGACTGCTCCGACCCCTCGAATTCCAACTCGGTCACTTTGGTTTCCTCAAATACTTTGGCTCCGCATTTCGAGGCATGACGGAGCATCAATTCGTCTGCTTGAGACCGAACCTATTGAATCACGGCTGAGCCTGCAGAGCCACCGAATGTGTAGTGAAGGAAGTTTACTGTGTTCCATGAGAAATTATTCGGGTCTTGCGATACAAAGTCTGTGTCTGTTGGGGAATGTCAATGTTCCGTGCTACTAATATTGCGGTGTTGGCGCGCTTACATCCTTCTCGTTTGTGGCGATTCAACTTGAAGCCAGCGCCGTCTTTCCGCTGAAAACCGAATTCTTCAAACTCCTTCTCAAGGTCAATGAATCGGAGGAAATGCCGAAGGGATGCGAGCTGGCTCTCTCCGACGTGGTAGCTATTTCACAGCAAGGTTGAGTGTACCGTCCAGAAGGATTGTTAGACGAATATACCGAGGGAACTTGTCGGCTTCGAGGAGAACGACGTCGAACCCTTCTCGTGCTAGGACGGCAGCAGAATACGAGCCACCTGGGCCACCGCCGATTACGAGGATTGTGGATGCGGATGGCTGAGGACATGCTCAGAGATTGTCAGAGTCAATACGCACCAGGAAACTCACTACGGCAATAGAGGCCATGATGTCGAGGGGAAATCTAGACGAAGTGAAGTTATCCGGCTGTCATGATTTATACCAGCGGGCATGTTACGATATGGCGCGCCTCTGCGTGTAGCTAGCGATGATGGTTTCGTTTGCAGTGCGAGCACACAACCAAGGGTGTTTCCCATCTCCATAGGTATCTGGTGAGAACCCATCAACATCACAAGAAGAACTTTTGATACCATCTGAACCTGCCGTGACCGTGATGATCAATATCATTGCCAAAGGTCCAAGTCTGCCCCGCCAGCGCGCCAAGTGTCGCCTCGTGCCGGAAATCGTCCCCCAAAGTTGCGACTTCTCCCACTGATCATAATGACTTTCACACAACGCTCGACATGATGCAGATGGACCTTATCTTCCCCACAAACCGATCAGCGCGCGTAGATTGCATTTTGCGTGCTTCGCCAATCATGTATCACATCAGTTTCTGGCGACTGTAAATGCAGTCAACCGGTGATGCACAATACCTAATACCGATAGCTGGTGAGTACACGCCTGCTCGGCATATAATAGCTCGGGATCAAATGGTTGGACTCACGAAATTGCGAAATGCCTGGTGCCACGTTTCCTCCATTCCCCCACGACGTCCCCACGCAGCCACTTGTCATTGTCGACTATGCTCTCGTGAAAGCAGGCGATCAGGCAGAAATCGATGTCCTCTGGAAGGCAGCCACTGAGAAGGGCTTTTGGTAGTACGTTGTACCTCGCTCGGATGCATACGTAGTCAAGTATTGACATTTTCACAGTATGAAGAACCATGGCGTCGAGGACCTGTTGGACCCCATGTTTGAGATGGGACAGGAAACCATGGATCTTTCCATCCAGGCAAAGATGGAGTACTGGCAGGGAAATTCAGGGGGTTCCTTCGGGTACGCGGTGGCGCCGTTTAGCATTGAACATCGATGATGGAACTCACTCTAGGTACAAGGCAAAGGGGGCGACCACCGTCGATCTTTCTGGCTCAAAGGACAACGCTGAGATGATCAACGTGTCCAAGGATGATGCCCTCGCCTACCCCCGCGTCGCCCACGCCTCATACCCGAGTACTGTGAACGCGCGGATGGAAAACACTGTACGGCCCTTCGTAGAAGCTTGTACGGACGCCAACAACACCATTATGGCTGTTTTCAACGCCAAGCTCGGTCTCCCAGAAGGCACACTCGCGAGCCTGCACGCGCGGGACGAGCCCAGCGTGTCCGAGGCTCGGGTGATCAAAGTCCCCGCAACACCAGGCTCGACGAAGATCGCTGTCGGCGCACATACTGATTTTGGTTCCCTAGTGAGTACCACATGAATGCATGACACGTAAGCTGCTGTCGCTTAGCATTTACGCTTTACCAGTCTTTCCTTGCCAACCGTTTGGGTGGACTGCAGGTCCTGCTGCCAGGACAGGATGACTGGCGCTATGTCAAGGCAAGCGGCGGACTGGCTCGAGTAGGACATTCCTAACACCGCGCAGCCTCTCCCAGGGCACGTTATTTGCAACGTCGGCGATGCCCTCAACCTGTTCAGTGGCGGCATCCTAATGTCGAGTATCCACCGTGTTTTGTACGCATCTCCACCTGTACTCGAGGCTCCGAATGACGCCAACTTCTCAGACCGCCTCCACTAGCGCAATCACATTTCGACCGCTGGTCATTGGTGTTCTTCACGCGACCGGGCAACTCTGTGCATTTGAAGGCGCTCACAGAGCTATCGCCGCTGATTGCGCAGAAGGTGGCAGAGACGCCGGATAAAATGCACGATGCAGGAGTAAACGCCGCGCAGTGGTTTGCGCGCAGACAGAGCAAATGGCGTGTAGACAACCAGAAGGTAAGTCTACGTGCATCGAGTTTACGGGGTTGCTGAGGGATTTGTCAAAGGGCTTAGACGATTACCTTGCAAGCAGGGGTACTGAGCACACACAGACGGTGGTATAATGTAATTCAACGGTTCTTGTTTCTGACCGAGTTTTATTCCCATTTAGCGATGCATGTAAGTAAATAGTCGGTCGGCGATATCTTAGGCGATGTCACTCGAATATGTATGATGTTTATAGTTATGCAAGTCTAGCAATAGCCACAAGTCCTTTACACCAGCATCCAAGGTACGTCAGATCTTCAGGTCGTTGATATGTGAGTGACGGCCTCGAAGCCAAAATATGCGCTCTCACGTACCCCGCGGTTGTCAGGGCGTTTGATGTTCTCATCGACACTGACGAGCGCGTAGTAATAGGCGGTAATAGCATCTTCTAGCGTCCCCTAATGGGTTAGTGGCGAATCATGCGTCCCACCATGATTGGCGGCGGGACCACTACTGATTGTTGTTTTCCCAGTGCCCAGTACAGTAAAGGTTACGGGGACGGAAATCGGGATTTGGACGCACCCAAGGCTTGGAATGCGAAAATATCGCCCACACCTTAGCCTCTCCCCCTTCCTCGTTGTTGCACCTGCGGCCGCTGCGAATGGGCGACGTGTCGACTCTCATAGAATGCCTAGAGTCCGCGAGAATTGCAAGGGTGAGTGCCGCTAGCAGGGGCGGAGTAATTGTGGAACACGCCTGCTCACACAAAGAGCCCTTTTGACAGATAGCGCTCTGTATGTCATCGTCTTCATTGTCCGATAGAAGCACCGGTGTATAACTGAAATCGACTACTATGTGCTCGCCTCTGCAGTCGTCAGCGAGGCCATGTTCGTGAGTCCAGCAATCGAAGGAGCGCGACGTGGCGTTTGACCATCAAGATTCTGACATATATCACTGGCAGTACTATGATTACGTCCTGACCTTCGGCGACGAGGTGAGATGCTCATCATTCGCAGTCTCGTAGTCATCAGGTCCAATTTCTGGATTTGTGGAATTTCGACAGCTCAAGCACATATGGGGCCGCGGACGCTTCTCGATTGGCTCGATCCTTTTCGTCCTGGCGCGATATCTCGGATTCGCTAGCTGTGTACTGAGCAATTTCGAGGTGCGAGCTGGCCAATGAACATTATCTGCCCCTGCGTATTCACTGAGCCTTCCATGCAGAAATCCCTCTCGATCTCTAATACATTAACGTGTGAGTGGATGGATGCAGGGCTTTTTTCAATGCGAGGGGTCTCATTTGCGATGTGCAGGTCTACGAGTTACTGCTATAATATCGTCTGAGGGTAAGCTCATTCTCTCGCCCTCCTACTAACTTCAGTGCCGTCCAACAACAACTCCCCTTGTAGCCATCGTCGCCGTCCGCACCTGGGCAGTCTGGGCCAGGAACAAATGGATACTTGCTATTCTAGTACTCTGTGCTATCGTGAGTGCGTTCCAACGTAGGCCTGCCTTCTGAACATCCATTGCACCAGGCAGCGTGCACTGCCGCTGGCGTCACTACTGTCAACGATGTGCAAAGCTCCGAGCGTAAGTCATCCTCGACCTTCGAATACCCCGCGCCGTATCCAATACTCATTTGTGACTTGCGGTGCGCCGACACTGGGTAGTCATCAATGCTCCTGCCAGGGACTGCGTCGTGGGGCTCAGCACCTCGGTGGGCGGCCAATGGGTGGTTCCCTTGTCCATGACGATCATGTATGAAGTTGGTAAGCATCGCACCCCCCATGGTGGCTACCCATTTATTATCATCGCTGTCTGATCCTTGCGTTCAACTATCCGGTAGTCACAATTGTCCTTACGATTATCCGGATTATGTGGTGGCGAAGACGACTCTCCCGCTCTCGCAGCCCAAATCGCGCGCCTCTTCTCGATACGCTTTGGAAAGACGGTACGTCCCCTCGCACCCGCCCTGTGATCTTCGCTGGGGTGGGGCTCCTTGATGCAGGATAACTCACCTCTTGCCTCTCACTTCTGACTCCATTACTAGGTGTGATATATTTCGCTCTTATGCTAGGTAGATCATTGCCCCTCTTGTGCCGCGCTTTCACGGGGATTAACGACCCACATAGCACTCGGTGTCGTCAACACAGCGCTAGTTATCCGCTCCACGGTACGATAGCTCGCATCTCCTATCACCTCCCTTCCAGGACTAACACCAAAATCGCTAGGCCGCCGTAATTCAGCAGAATGTGACGCAGTGAGTGACTGGTTACTCGTCTGTCAGTTACGCTCGGAGTTGACTGGGTGACGCGGGTGAAGGCTACAGACGTCCCTCCATTCCATTTTGTCCACGAGGATTGTGCTCCACCTTGCTAATTCTGGTGTGGGAGTGAAGCAGATGCACACGGCGACCTCTTCATATGATCCCGACGACATACAGTTCTCAACCGTGCTACGGACAACGGATATTGAACTATCAACGTACGATGTTGGTCCTAGGCCTTAGAGCTGGGGCATTTATGCGTGTATATACTAGTAGAATCATGAGCAACGCAGGACAATAGTTCCAGAGGGAACGTCGCTATCTAAAGGCATGTGGCACCGGAAAATATAGGGTACAATAGTACAAAGCACAATGCGGCACTGATATACATAGAATACAAGCTTGTAACGATAGTGAAGGGGTGGTTCGGTGAAGTACAAGGGCAGTTGATGTGAGCGTGCGATTAAGTGTTCGGGTTTATGTATGAAATGGAAGATGAATGTGTATGTTCGCGAGGTTCCCGCTTCTCTAGTCCGTTATATTCATCGCGATCGAATGTGAATTTCGTCGTTGAAATCATTGGGTGATCGTTTTCGTGGAGCTGTACTCTGTATTGTCGACAAAGGTCACGCTGGTGCCGCCAGTGTGCTGAGGAGGTCCGGGGGCGTATCGGGGGAGCGATTCGACAGGTTTAGAGATCATGTAGCCTATAAACAATTTGGGTTAGACGGAATGCATCCTGGATATGAAACAACGAAACGTACCCTTCAGAGCAGCAGCTTTCTCTCCCTGCCTTCCGAAACCAAGCGTATCTGCCCGACTCATGCCCTTCTTCTCTCCTGAGAAGATGCTATTCGCAAAGCTAGCAGCATTGGAGACCGCCGGCTTGAGGTCAACAGATACTGGGCCAATCTTGGCGGTGGTGGGAAGGAGGAGGTTCTTGCGCTTCTCGCGCCATGAGGTCACGGAGCGTTTAGATTTGGCTCCCTGGCGGAAGATGAGGCCAACGACAATATTGAGGCACCCGATGGAGAAGAGGAAGAATGCGGCGACAAGTGCAAAATCGTCGACAAAGTGAGAGAGGACGGCGGCGCCGATGCTGCGTCGAAGTTTAGATAGATCAATGACGCATTTGAAAAAGAACGCACAGGCACTGGATGGTTCCTAGGGCTCCAACACCGAAGTCTTTTCCAAGAACAGGGAAATAACGATCAAAGAAAGAGGAGGGCCACCCGAGCTCGGATAGGATGAGGATGATGGTTTGGAAGATGATCAATAAGCGATTGAGCACCGCCCAAAACGCGCCTGCAGCTTGATTGGGAACAGTGCTTCCTCTGAGAGCACAGATTTCTAGTAAGCCACCGATGCGGTAGCAGAAGAGTAGCACTTACTCGATATAGTCCGCCTTCATGATAGCATCCATCGTAGAATTGGACGTCGCGCTAGGACCCTTCCCAGCTGAAGTAAAGTTGTTGACAGCTTCAACATCATGGACCATGACCGCGATGCTGCTAGCAAAGACCAGAAGGAGGGCAATAATGCTGAGGATTCGGACGACATTGAGTCCAATGAAAGCGTCTGTAGAGACTAGTCAGCTTTGCGTAAATCATTGACCACCAGACGCGTACAAGCACGAGGGGGAAGCATCCTGAAGGTGGGAGTGGCGAAGAGGGATGAAACGGTCGTAAAATAAAGGGAATCGAGAAGAAGCGACCAGGCTTAAAGGGTGCACCAGCACCGGAGTAGAAAGGCAAGTAATGAAGAAGGGAGAGGTGGAGGCGGCAAGCGCGTCGAGGTCAGCGTCTGAGTGTCGGGGAAAGATATTGGAGAATGATTGGCAGAAAGCTAAGCTTATGTATGGTCCTTCCCCCCAACGCCGTCTGGCATGATTCGAGTAGTCATTGTCCTCCGTTGCCGGGTCCATTGTGCGTCGGTAAAGAACAAAGACAATTGTTCGAGTACAAAGCATGGCTTGTTTGGCATGGGCGCCTATATACTTGACCCTGGTTTCTGCCACCAACCCCGTCCATGAATACGAATCGAATGCCGCTGGTGTAGTGGATTCTAATTATTGACGTCTCTTTCTGGATTTATGACTTATGCATCCAACTTCCGTTGTTACAGACATCGGAGTAACGCGACGGCCATTTCGCATCGCAAAGACAAGACGAACTAGACAGCAGAAGTGCGATGAAGGTTGTCGAATTCCGTTTACTACCATATTGTGTGGGAGAGAAGCCTTCGAGGGTCGAGGGGCGCATCGTAGTTAAACAGCAATGCCTTTCGTTTACCCAAGATTGTGGAAACGATCACTTTGTTGAAAGCACCAGATCCCAATTGACGGATACAGAGGGCTTCGTGCCTATATGCATCGGTGAGTGGTTTTTCTGCTCGTGAAGTGGTGGCGGTGCTGATTAAATCGTTCATAGTCGCGCGAGGGAAAGAATTCTGGGAGGTTGGATTTGACGCATGAATCATATTGGGGATAAAACGAAACGCTACAACAATGGCTACATCGATGGAGGATAAGACCACCCCGCCCCCAAAGCGCCTCCGGTAATACGTCAACGAAGTCGGTATGAAGAGGCGCACTCACCGGCAGGTCCACCGCCGAGACAGACATCCACGTCCTGAAAGGCCTTCGTCAGTGATCTAGTGCAGAGTTTGCGCGTATTACGTAAAAGAAGACGATGAGCTCACCGTTTGGAATCGACAGTGACGCTGTTCAGACAGTTGTACCCTCTCGGTACACATCGCCTGGAACCCGGCTGGCTTGCGACTATCGCATAGCCATCCTGTGAGGGTCTGTGAGGAGGGAAGAGAGAGAGCGACCCTACACCGGTGGCAAAGGCGGTGCGCGGACAGCGACGCAGCACTATTTACCAGGCCCCGTAACTTGGCTTTTCCCTTCGTCGACGCAACACCCAACTATGAGTCACGCCAGCGCCCTGCGGGAACGAAGGACATAGCCAACTCCAGGGAGAAAACCGAGTCCAACGCCTCTGGCGGGTACATGCGGGTGCCGACAGGCGTCACAGCGGGCGAAGGCCGTCCAAGACGAGGTTTGCCAGAGGCCTGGGACGTTTCTGGCAGGTGGTGACTACAACTGCGTACATCCGAGTTAGAACCCTAAGGTCCTTGTGCTCTTCTGTAACGCACTGTAAACTGCGCCCTTCGACCCTACGAGTCGTCCGCCCTGAAGGAGGCGTTAGCGACGTCGAGCGGGACAGTGCGAGTTGGGATGGCGGTGGAGAGAAACCAGGATGAAGGTGCCAATAGCAAGTTTCCGCCTTTATGTACCCGTTCAGTGTTTGCACCCTTATTTGTCCTATGTCAGCCGTTCCCCTGCCTCACAGACCACCTTCCCTGCGACATAACTCCCCTCGGCATCCTCATTGCCCATCATGCCCAGCTTGCTAGAGGAAGCTGGTCAGGCCGCCCTGCGCACACCTACATTTTGCTGTCATCATAACCGAGTATTCGTCTGACGGAGCGGAGATGACTACAATGACCTTGAGAACACCGAAATTCATGTATGCATCGCCAGTGTTTTCTATATCGCGGCATTGTTGCCCAACGTGGTCCGTAATGCATTCCCCGTAATCTAGGTAAGTAGGCCAACGGCCTCCGGGGAAACAAACGTAGTAGGAGTATAGTAGGACGAAGCGATAGACCAATGTAATCGCTCCATTTCCAGGCGGGTGTTGCAGAAAAGAGAGGAAGGGTTATGTGGCGGCGTAAGGTGAGTGAACTGGGAAGGAAGTGCCTAGTAGGGCCAGGTGGAACCAAATAGGGCAAAACCTGGGCAAAACACACTTGGTCGACACCCCCGATAGCCCCTGACATTGCAATGAGATCTCATTGGGGGGTGGTATATGTCAGGCGCCCAGGCGAACATTACGTTGTGTAGAAGAGCGGGCCTTCGTCTACAGCCCTTCATTCCCTTTTACGACCCGCGCTTCGTAAGTAATTGATTGACCTGCCTCTCATATGTATTAACCCGCTCGCACTCTACCCTTCAGGGAGGTCGAAGGGTTTAAAGGCGCAACTGGGAGGGCGCCCGGGCTCTAACTCATCCACTATGCGCCGTACCAGGCACTGTTGGTCCTGGGTTCAGGCAAACCTCGCCTTGAAATACCTATGGCGGGTGCTTGCCTGCGCTTTCCAATGGCGTTGGACTCTGCTTCCTCTCCCGAGGCAGCGGACTCTATGTTCCTGCGGAGGGCGAAGGGCGTGGGCATATTCCTGGATAAACGTTCCCCGATCCCGTCGACAGATATACAACCAAACAGAAACATGTCAGCCGCCTTTGTGCCAAACATGGAGTCGGTAGGTGCATCGTCCCTCGCCTCAGGTCTCACACGCCCGCCTTGATCGTCTTCGATGGTACTCGCCAACGGGCGTTGGGGTTCGTTTACTCCCCGGAGGATTCGGATTCCTTCGTTCCTGCAGCAAGCGAAGGGCATCGTTTGCGCGGTCTAATAGGGCGTAAAGTTGACTTGGGGGAGCAGCCAATCTGCGGGACTTGGTTGAGTGTCTGCGCCCCGCCTTGGCCACCTGGGTTGAAGGGGTACCCTCGCAGGATGGTCTTGCGGTGTCGTGAGTCAGCCGGGTTCCAGGCAATGTATACCAATGGGGTATAATCGTCTGGGCTGCGTTATTGTCATTTCTACGGGGTGAGCTCATTTTCCGTTCGTATAACATGCGCAGACCGACTGAGCCCGACATTGCTCACAGATCGATCAAGGCGGCCTCAAGGCGGGACAACCAGTGTCGGCGGGGTCGGTGGGTTCCCCGCCAGTGAGTACATCTCCTTTGACCAGAAGACGCTTTCTAATACCAGCTTCGTTTCCGTATCCCCAAGGGCGGCTTCTTGGAGGTAGAGGTATGATTTTGCGTCGGGTAATTCTCCTGCCAGTCCCCGCGGTATATTTGATCATCAATTCCAGCGTCGGGTGTAATAAGTTGAGGGCAACGGAAGAAGTCGATGTGAACTCGAATCCTTGGCGTCCGTGTCATTTTTCCGTTGTTGACTCTCTCGAATGTACTAGATGGAAACAATAGTCGTTAGATCCACATGAAGTTTGAGATACATTTCTTGTGGTTTAAACCGCTCCTTCGCTTCTGCCACGCGGGCTCACGGCTGGGGTTTTATTACCATCCCATCCGTTCGACGCTCCAGCCACAGATGATCCCGGTCTCCGTGGGCTTGTTGCAGATGCGCAATCCCTTGTCCAGAGCTGTGATACGCTCGACGTCTTTGGAATCCAAAGTAGGCAGCTAACAATGATGTATTTCTACTTCTGCTCGCTGCAAGATCAAGGTGGCACTTACATTGAGATTCTCTTTCTGATGGGCCTCACTTGTGCTCTTAGGGACGGCGGTCGTTCCCCGAGCGAGATGCCAAGCGAGTACTACCTGAGCGGGGGAAGCTTTGTACTTCGCAGCAAGCTCGATGATTAACGGATCGCCTAACACTTGGGAGTACCCTACAGATCGAGGTTTTGAATACAACATCAGTATGCCCTCTTAACATCAATCATTATCGGAAGGCATACCTGTTGGTGCGTAAGCGGTTACGACAATGCCTTTAGACTTGCAATATTCCACCAGCTCTGTCTGGGCCAAGTATGGATGAAGCCTTCAAAGAAGCAGATCAATATCGAGCGGAGGACGCGTGTTCCATCGCTTACTCGATCTGGTTCACTGAAGGTACCACTTTGGCCGTCTTCAGCAGTTCTTCGAGCCTGTACATACACATGAGCGATTCAAGTTGAGAACAAGGCAAGTAGACTAGGCGTACGTCTTGATAGAGAAATTACTGACGCCGATACTCTTGACTTTGCCCGTGTCGAGCAGTTTCTCAAAGACCGCCCAGACGTCGTTGAATGATGGGGACTCTACAACCTTCAATGTTCCGTCAGGATTGCGGGGCCTAATGTTGCCCTCTGTCATACATCGCTGGGCATCAGTGCGCCAGTATTAGCGTTGATTGAAGAAAGTTTACCTTCGTAGAAGACCATTTGCGGCCAATGAATGAGAAACTAAGGACTAATTCAGGTCGTATTAGGACGAGGTCAAGGGTTTCACTGACTAAATCGACGTAATCAGTCCCCAGATCTTTCAAAGTGGTATCCAAAGATTCTTCAATTAGACTGTGGTAGTTCCATCTAAAGAAGATGTGCTTTGTGCATCTAACTGTTAAACGTGGGCAATGACGCACAATAGCTTGCTGGTGATGAAAAGTTTATCTCGCGGAATACCAGCGTCTTTGAGAATATTGCCTATATACTTTTCCGTTCCTTGGGATCAGAGCTCGTTGAGACCAGGTGCTCGCAGATGTCGGGAGGGGATAACCTCACCGTACATCTGAGCGGTATCAAAGTGCGTATAACCGGCCTGTTATTGGGTTATTGATGTGACGGTAAGCCATCGTATTAGGGACAGACTTGAGCGACAGTTTGAATCTACTAACCTTCAGCGCGGTCGCGAGCCATGGCTCGGATTTGTGCCACTCAGCTGGATCCATTCCTGCCCAAGTACCGAACCCTGGCGTATACGAGTAATTTTAACACCCATTCCTGCGAGATTATGATGTGTTTCCGCACCGATTGCAGGCATCTGGACACCATTGTTCAGAGTAACTGAGGGAATTGTCATCTTGACGACGAAAAGACTGGAACTGCAGATCGGTGCCTTGATCACTGGTAAGTCTAAGACTCTAAGTAGATTTGAACTTGATATATGATAACAGGACGTACCCTCATGTGCCCCGTGCACGCCTTCGCTTCGCACGACTAACGTGATAGACATCCACAAGAATTCGAAGCCCAAGGTCCCAAGGCATGGTCGCATCCAAACATCGGTTTGCCACTACGTTGCTTGCGTCGCAAAATCATACAATCATTTCAAATCATGGCCACTTTGTGAAATCTTCGCAATTCGTCAAGCTCACTACATGTGAAACTGGTTTTCAGAGCCCCTTCGCCTATTGGGCGATAAGATGGCCTTCTAATTTCTGGCATCACTGCCATCAACCTGCTTTAAAAAGGTGTGCAGACACCACATATAGCGTACAATATCCCCTCGGAGTCTTTCCCCCGGAGTGTAAGGCATAGAAAACACACCCACCATAGTTCCGTTGGAAACAGAACACAAAGTAAGGCGCCCCATGGAGCACCTGATTGACGCATCGCTGGGGACCATGTGGGCCTCGGGTGACAAGGGAACTCGCAGAGTCTTAGCGTTATCCAAGCGATATCTTACAGTTTATGTGTCGTGAACAAGAATCGCAATTGAGAAAGCTGAAGGAGGTGGTAGGGTGATGGGAGAGAAGAAGGCGGCGGCGATGTTGAGCTCGCTGTCTGGATATACGTGGGAGGAAATTGGTCAGCGACGCATTGTCGCGCCACCCGGACGCTCAGGATAAGGCTCAGGGTTCTGTGGCTATCGAGCGGGACCTTTCCACATTTTTTGTGATTGAGGCTGTATTTCCAATGCACTCACACGACAACTCTATTAACATGCTTTATATATGGGTCCATACAAAACAGGCTTCCTTCGAGCCGAACTATCCCACTGCAGCTAGTTCTCGAGCTATAACTAGACCTGACAGAAAGCTCCAATCTCGACGGTGGACGGCCAGAGACTACCCACGATGTCCTCAAAACGCTCGGAAGATTACCATGATGCAGAGTTGAGCAAAACGACGCTCAACGACGATGACAGGGAGCTCGAGGCGATGGGCTACGTTCCCTCGTTCAGACGAGAATTTTCCAATCTTGCGACGGTGCGTACGACGTGATGAGTCTGGCGAACTATCCTGATCCTTTACGAGCAGATCAGCTTTGCATTCAGCATCATGGTGCGCACATTTCATCTAGCTAACAGAACCACATTCTTGAACGTTCATCAGGGTGTTTGCTCAAGTATCGCGACAACATTCAATACCCCTTTACTCCACGGAGGGCCATCGTCGGTGCGGTGAATATTTCAAGACTGTATCGCAGACGTTCAACTTGATACTACAGGTGACATGGTGTTGGATTTTGGGCGCTTCACTGTGCTTCACTCTGGGAGCAAGTATTGCTGAAATTGTCAGTGCATACCCTACGTGTGGCGGATTGTACGTGCTGTCTCACTTCACCGCATAATTCCTGTTAAATCTTCCTAGATACACGGCGTCTGCCCAACTCTCCCCTAAAAAGCACCGTGCAAGAGTAAGTAAAACACCCAATCATCGTCTGATTGATTCTCATCAGCGAATCAGGTCGGCTGGTTAGTTGGCTGGCTGAATATATTAGGTCAAATTGCAGGCATCTCGTCTACAGAATATGGTCTCGCCAATATGATATGGGCAGCCGTGGTCATCGGCAAGGTAAGTATTAATCGTTATGTTGACTTGCATATTCACGATATCCATCCGCACAGGACGAGAACTATCCGTTAACCCAGGTGAGCTTTGCTCCATCCACCACGTAGGTATGTGAACTCATGACCCATCCAGGGCAAAATTGTTGGGCTCTTCGCGGGTCTTCTCATATTTCATGGCATCCTCGTAAGTTGTTATTATCTTATACATGTGCTGTTCTGATACTTCCCTGGATCTGTCTAGAATTCACTTGCCACTCGACATCTCGCTAGACTGACAACGTCATTTGTGTTTGTGAATCTCGGTGCGACCTTCTGTGCGTGTCTTTCCGCCATATGGTTTTGGAGTCCTCAACTTATGCAAACTCCGTCTCAACCGCAACTTCTCTATCCCCTCTCACCCATTCTAGTAATCATCATTGTTCTCCTCGCGACTACACCACGAGCGGAGATGCACGCTGCCTCGTATGTCTTTGGATCCGCTGGTATAGTTAATCAGACGGGAGGTTGGAATACTGGGATAGCATTCTTGTTTGGACTATTGAGTGTCCAATGGACGGTGAGCAATACATCTCACTTTTTCCCTTCCTCCTAAGTGTTCTGAACGTCGGCGATCAGATGACGGTGAGCACCATCCTCCTGCTAAAATTAGCACAAGTAATTGAGCCTATTCACTAGGATTATGACGCAACGGCCCACATTTCGTACGTTTAGCGTTTTGAGTTGGGCATGTATACGAGTTCTTATTCCCCGTGACATAGCGAGGAAGTCAAGCGTGCGGCATATGCAGGTGCGAGGAATGCTTCTGAAAGTGCCCGTGAGATATACTTAATCTCTGTCGCATCGCCTAGCCCCCTCCGCCATTTTCATCGCTGGTGAGTCTGACATTCCTCGAGGCGTTTTTCTTGGCTCATGTTGTCCTATCAAGTTGTCGGAACTGGCCTCATTGGCTGGTTGTTGAACATTGTTCTCGTCCTATGTTCTGGCCCGCTGTTCGTTCTTCTCTTCTCCTCCAATGGGCTGTCACTCATTTTGACTTTAGCGAAAATCTCCCAGGGCCATCAGGGTCTGCCATGCTTGAGGTAGAAATTCTATCATACCGATTCTGTTGCAAACTCACACTCGCTTAGATCATGGCCATTAGGATGGGTAAAACAGGCGCTCTTATCCTTTGGGTACTTACTCTCTTCGTCAAGATCTGACCGGGGGAGCTGACAGTATCCCGACTTTAGGTGTTCGTCTGCCTTACGGCCTTCTTCGTAACGCAGACAGCTCTCCAGGCGGCGTCGCGCACGCTATATGCGTTTAGCCGCGACCATGGTATGTCTTCTCTATTGTACACGAGTGCTGTCTCTTGATTTCGATTCGCGTAGGTCTTCCTGATCGTGGCTATTTCGGCGAGACTTCGAAAGGCACTCGTACACCCCTTCGTGCTATCTGGCTCACGACTATCGTCAGTATCATCCCTGGTCTCCTGGCGCTTGCCAGTCTTGTCGCTGCCAATGCCATCTTCTCTCTGACGGCAATGGCACTTGATCTCTCCTACATCATTCCCATCTTCTTAAGAAGGTTTTACCATTCCCACCCCGACGTCGTATTCAAACCAGGTCCGTTTTATATGGGAGATGGCATCCTTGGATGGTCGTGTAACCTTATCTGCATCGTGTGGACGGTCTTCGTATGCATTATATTCTCGTTCCCCACCAACCTCCCCGTTACCCCTGACAACATGAACTACGCCTCCGTCATAACCTTCGGTGTCATCTTCCTCGCTTTGTGAGTATCTGGTGCCTTCGACTCCTCGGACTAAGCTCATTTTGAACTTAAATTCTAGCCTTTGGTACTTCCTCGGCGCCCATAAACACTATACGGGTCCACAATCAAATATACACACGACGCACAGTGACGAACACGTACACGGTTCCGGAGACTTCAAAGAGAAGGACCCGTCCCAGACGACTACACGACCGCTTTAGGGACCCCACGAATGCTGATTTTTAGGGTGATGTTTGCCCACGGACATCACTGAGGATATGAACCGTCGGCAGAGAGATACCCTGATTCTCTGATGCGAGGGTGCTCCCGCGCCCCAAGATATACTCTAAACCATGTAATGGACGCGCACTGATATATAATGCGGACTGCAATCCTTGGTCCATGGATCTTTCTTCTTTCACGACGCGACCCTTCTGCTACGATCTATATGAGCAGGTGGCTACAGCATTGACATCACTCATAGGTCCCGGCGGTAAGTAGAAATTACTTCCACGTTCATATAGAAAATTCTGGGGTACACACCCTCAAGTTGAAGAATCTAGCCCAAGCCTTTCCGTCAGTATGTCATTCCTCCCCTCGACTAACAACATCACCTCGCTTCAATGAGGATGTATTCCCACCAGCGGCTTCTCATCGTTCCATCCCATTCCTTGCTATTCGAGCAAGCGCACTTTGACCGGCTCCATTGATAGTCGAAAGCCCATATTTAGCTGTGTTTCATTCTTTTTAGTTCTGACTACTTCGACATGCACCCATCATCAGCTTTCCCTCCTCCCTCGCATCCACGGAATCATTCAAGCGATGGGTAGAAGGTGCTAGAGCAGGGGAAGGATTGTCGAGGGTCACAGGTGAGTGTTGGTTTACGATCGCGATATCGTAACGTGCTGACATTGTCTGTGCCTCCCAGCGAGGTACGTACTCCATTGCCGTGTCCTGTGGGCAAATGTTAAGGGGACACTAATCAGTAGGGCCTTTCGCAAGAGAGCCCGGATGCGGCAGTAGGAAATATTGATGCCGAGTCACGGTGTCAAATGACGTCGATGGGATTCGGTGAGAGACTTTGCCACTTTGCCGCTGGCTCTGACGGGAACCATATGCACAGGGCCTTCTTCGAGTCTTACGACAAGCGATAAGTAATTCATTCGTGGAACCTACCGAGCGGGCTGTGGTTCATCTTGTCGGAACTTTCAACAAGGCACTTCTCCTTATCACCGTCGACTTGGCCATCGAATTTGTCCGACTGCCGTTTTGCTATTCGTATCGCATTCCTGTCCGCACTTCCGAATGCATCTCGGGGGACCTCTCTTGCCATTTAGATTCCCAAGGCCCCACAACCTTCCAACTTATCCCTTGATGGTAATTTAAATAACCTTTCGACCCTCTGACCTGCAGTCTATCGCTATGGTCCGGCGAATACCACGATATGATGACTTCATTTCTGTCTTCCATTTCTGGGCGTCACGGCCCATACGAAGGGGACTTACGGTCGCATGCGCCATCCGGATTGGTTATAATAATCTCATCAACGTGGGGCTACCTAGTGTTCTGCGGCGAGACTTCGGCATGTCGATATGATTGTGACGAGTGGTGCGTTCGGTCCAAGGGTTGAAGCATGCGTGTGACGCGTAGGTTATCTTCTGTTAATATAATGGCATCACAAGTGATCACCTGTACAGTTCTAGCCTGACAGGAACAGTTATGCGGACGAAACTCCGGCTACAGTAGTATGTGTTTATCTATCTGTTATTCCGAAATGCGTCTTCAGACATCTTACATAGGGAGACCGTGATGGTCTAGATTCAAATTGCCTCGATGTCCACGAGCAGTGGGGATAAGACCATTCAAAGGTAATATATGCTCGGACAAACCCGCAACCTAAGAATCTCATCATACATCACGCGCACCGTGATGTTATACCACCTGAATCAAAATAGCTAATTCGCTTGAACGTTTGACCAGCTGGCCGAGCATTCTGCCTCGATGATCGGCTATGTCTTACCCTCGCGCCCGGTTTAACAAGAATTATAACCTCTTTTGTCTCAATTGTCTATGGAAGCTGGTACGACCCAATCGCCGCCACAGGAAGCTGATTCCTGTTATTGTGGATTACTTGGTTGATGCCGGCATTCATATTCTCTCCCCGCAATCTGCTATGCTGGCTCGTGTGGGGCTTAATCTGCAGATAACCGCACCGGTCCAATGGGTACAACCTCCCTCGATGAACATAAACTCTCGCTCACGGAACCAAGGGCTCAAGCTCGATTTTCCGCGTGGTTGGTCTTCTCTAGCTTGACCTCGCCACAGCATTTGTATGCAGTATATCAGATGTACATCCCGACCCGTATCTTCACACCCAACGAGACAGATACGGCTCATGCTCCCAGAGGTGATGGGTCCATTCAAGTTCTTCTTGCATGCCCGGGCTCCATCAATCGACTTGGCCTTCGCGTCACTAGGCTCGTAAAGCAGTGCCCCCGAGTCTACTCGAACGCATGATACTTGACACTCTGGGAATAGACGTCACCTGAGTTTGGCTTTTCCGAGAGCCAATCTTCGGGTATTTATCCTCAGCGCACAACCCTTAAAATTTTCAGCAATCGGATGTTTATTTGACGCTCCTGTAAGTTCTCATCGACGTTGCTGTGGCAGAACCGCAAGGTGCTGCGTCTGGATTGGACACATCGACCACACGTCACCCGCGCAGGGTTATGCAAGCCATACTGATCGGTGTTTCTATGCGGAAGGTTGAGAGAAAAGCAGGCAGTGTAGCGAGTCTGGAGGCAGCGATACATACAATGTTCTGACCTCTGGGAACAAGTTCATGATGGCAGTCGTGGAGTATGCATTGATGTGGTACCCATCACGCCCTCATGTATATGAGCGTGTTATCCGGAATGATCCCAGCGCGCGTTCTCCCGCAAATCCAGCCCATCTTTGGGGTAATGAACACAGCACTGCTACGGAGACGATCCCGTGTGCCAGAAATATCCATTGAGCACGGAATGGTAACACACGCCGGCGACATGAAGTACCGTTTGGTTGTGTTGCAATGGTGCCTGCCATACCCCGTCCACCCTTTGGACGCATTGCGGGCGCACCACGATGTTTGGAGATTAGTTACACAACTCTGTTACATCTACCGTGGACAGCCCCCTTGCAGTGCGGCGTTGGCAACACGCCGTGAGGCAACCCCGTGCTGTCTTAGGGGTGCCCAATATGTGAAAGTCAGTGTCTGCTCTCGGTACCCGGAGAGCGTGTTCGTCGCAAGAGATCAATCCGGGGCCTTGACTAAAATCGCAGCTTCCGCCATGTACTTCCAGACTGCAGGCGTGAATCCCCATAGGAAGGTCCTAGCTACAATGGGTCTAGGCAAGCGACCCCTAACCGGTGACCTCCTATGCACCACGCTCAATCGATGACCCAGGCTAAAACGCAATCCTGTCGAAGAAAACAAGCAGAGACAACCTTTTAAAGTAAAGAAACAATTATAAATTGGCGATACCGCTGCCGAGAACAACTCACATGCTGATTTCCAGCGATTCTATGTTGTCTTCTTTCCAAGTTCCACATCGATCGTGCTAAATAGAAGTACTTCGGTGGACGATCGTGTTACGATCCGGAAGCCGCAGCTGGACGTATTGGATCGAGCATCCCTTCTTGTAGTGCTGGGCATGTGCTGAGGGACACAGTCGAGGAGCACACGGGACTGTATACGATGAAGCGGGCGACAGGGTAGAAGCAGAGCAATCAGTTAACGGCAATACATTGAATTGCTCGCTCAACATCCCGATCACCTTTCCAACATTTCGACCCCCGTGGCTCGGTGCGAACCTAACGAAACTAACCTTCCGGTGACTGATCGACTGTTCACTTTTAGACATCCTGAGCACCCCGAACTATAAAGCGTCTCCACAGAGGTCAGCTGCGGATGGTCCATAAGACATATGATCACGACAGAGATACTGACCCATGTTCCGTTGAATGGTGAGAGAGGGGAAGATCCCGTTAACGAGACTTCGGAGGCACAACAGATCGTAGTCCTTTGGTGAGAGTGTGGCGTGGAGCAGGGACTTGCCTGTGGTAATAAAAGAAGCCCGGAGAGACTAGCCTCACTCTAAACTATGCCCGGTGCTTACAGGGCTCCCGCTCGGAACCATCTCGTAAAGATTGCCCTCGCAGTCTGTATATCCAGAATAGAGCCCCTCAGGTGGCTTCTCTTGGTAGCAAGTCAACATGGCAAACAAGGTGATATACTACTTCCACCGCCTGATATGATTGAGATTGCATTAGGATTGGTCAGGGGGCTCGGAGGCAGAGGGCATACCGAATCCAAGTGGATATACTCTCAGAGTGCGCAGCATCTATCAATCACGAAGGAGGGTCATGGTACTCACCGGCTATATGTGACTGTTAGCACCGTGGGTGCCTCCCTAGCGTTCTGGTAGCTGGTGTAGTCGATGGGCGAAAATTGGTATGAATAGGGGATCACAAAGCCTAGAGAGCATTCGTTATGAGTTACGTACCTGCTGTTGCAATAGATGAAATATGGCTTCTAGCCGGGACTGTTGCTTTCGCGCTGCTAGGAGAGGGACTGCAAGCTTAACATGATCATGATCAGAGTTGCCTTACCGGGCAAGCATCCATCGTACACGGTGTTATACCGATGCGAAGAGAACCGCCAGGAGGTAGCAGGCATGCTGAGTGATCAGCCTAGACTTTATTGCGATCCCTCTCACTTGGCTCGAGTTGATAAGGTACGCACATGAAGAACCGCGGGGAGTTAATGCCAAGCACCGGAGGAGATGAAGCCAGCGATCACCACCAGGCTTAGCCTTACACGCTTTACTTGCTCTGGGAAGGGTCATTAGCTATAAGGTATAGAGTCCCATGCCGTCCCAATCAATACTTGTTCAAATGACCATTGACTCCATAGGAACAATGAATGAGCCTTGTGAAGTCCTGGTAAAGCAGGAACTATCGACATGGGCTTCAAATCGTCTCTGAAAACGAACGTTTGTGCTCGGGACGCATAGGATAGATAGGCTAACCCTGTCATCGGAGTATATGGCGTGCTAGACTCACCTTAGTATCGTCTTTGTGAGTTCTTCTTCATCGCTTCATCCTCGATCTTCGAAGCTCGGAGCGCCAAGCACGTCGGGGCCAAGGAAGCTATTTGTAGACATGAATGGCGATAAAGAGCCTGGAATGGTAACTTGAGAGGGGAGCGTTCAAAAATACTATCAGTTAATGTCGTTTTCATGGCTTGGCATGGAAGTGAGCTGATATCGGTTTGGAGTGCAGTTGTGAGTGGGGAGATGGGGAGAGAAGCACAAGAATGCATGTGCAAGGGTTATACGAATTCATAGCACACCAGTCACGCGTAGTATGGTTGGGCGACACGGAGGCTATAGCAACCGTGGATTGGGAACTACCATTTCCCTCCCCTCCCGAAGCACTGAAATCACTCGCGTGTTGATGGAAGATAGCTCGCAATGTTATATGGATAATTATAACCAGAAACATTGACAGTTATTGGGAAGTGCCTAAAGAAAGACAGGAACCCGTGGTGGGTATCGGAGAGCCGAGCAGCGCGGGTTGCGAGCCAATCCTCCCCCGTCCGTCGTAAAAGCAGAACCAGGACGATCATGTTTGTGAGACGAATCGAAGACATCGGCGGCAACAAGCTATCGTCTCTTGACTGATGTTAAACAAGAAGGTACCTGAAAGAAGATTGGACGCCGGAATGTTTGCACCGATAAGGGGCTCTAGCACGCACGACAAGAAAGAATATGAGAAGCCCACGTCCTTCAGAGTCGTGCCGAGGGCGAGCAAGCACCCCCAAAGGTAGGTTGCGACGCCGCGGCGGACATCCATAAGCTTCGCGACTCTTTGACCAGCGACGAGAGAAGACACGGGTTGGGTAGAATTTCATTTCGAAGGAGAATTCTGGCCTAGGTTTCCTGTAGCTTGTCCGTCGAGCAATGTACAGAGGTCGGAGGGAGAAGGCAAAGAGACAGGAGATCTAGGTGGGTAGGCCTGGCGTCGAAGTGCTTTAGCGCTATGTATATGTGATGGAGAACCGTCGTGCTGTTTAAGCGTACGCGTTAGCGTGGCCCCACCTGGCCCATTGGTCGGACGAAAGGAAGAGTCCACGCTTGATAGACGGCTGGGATGCAGACCACATCACGCCTCCTGGCCAGGCTAGCGTTGAAGAGATAACCCAGCGACATCAGACCCAGATGCCCTTGTTCTGCGGGGGCAATCCGCTGGTGGCGCCACGGACACCTACAAGCCCAGTGGGACAATCAAGCCACCAAGTGATAAGCGCCCAAGGTACACAGAGGGATTTTGGCCTCTGAAAAGGCAAGTGTCCGGGCCACCTCGCCTGGCACGTTGCCTCCGACGATGGCGCACAATAGGACACTACGACTGCAGTCCCGCAGTGGAGTACTGGATGAGCACCGGATATGTTCTGGATTCTGGCAACAAAGACATATAGGCTGAGAAAACGAGCAGACAATGGCTGGGGTGGCAGTTACCCTTAAGTGCAAGATCAAGCTGGCAAGATGGCGGACAGGCGATTGTTCCATTTGTCCGCTTCCAGTTTATCGCGTTTCCCTGCCATGCCGCAGAGCTGAGCTGCCGTAAGAAACCGAATCAACAGGCTGTGAGTTCGGCCGGGCCACAACAAACCACAACGAACCAAATAAGTCAATCACGGACCAAATAAGGCCGCAAACAAAGGGATGAATGAAGTGTGACCCGAGCCATCCCATTTTCGCTTTTTAACCTCTCTCCTCCATCCACTACAAAATGCATCCCACTTGCTAACACTCGTCCCCATCGCCAGAGCCCGTCTGCTCGTCGCTGTCGTCGTCGTCGCCGAACACTCCTGCTCGCCGTCGACCTTGTTCTCCACCATCTTATCTCTCGTCTGTCTCAGGAACACAGACCAATGTCTCCCCGCCCAATTCTCAAGCGCACTCCCTCAGCCGCTATCCACCATGACCACCACGCTGTCCACTTCCCGCCCTCGCCCTCGCTGACACGCACATTCGAGGCGCATTGCCCGTCGACGTACGACCGCTCTCCCATCGTTGTCCTCCCCAATTCCTGTGCACTGCCGGAGCGCGGTTGCCCAGGTCGGACGTATGCCGCCGTAGATAGCACTACCTCAGCCTCACCCCCACGGAGTCGACAATATGCGGGACCCTCATCCCCCGCACGCACGCCCATGTACGCTCCCAAAGACCTCCACCCTCGGGCGCTCTCCCGCCAGCATGACCTCCGGGACCGAGATAGCAGTTGTAGTACGCCAATGGGCCCATTCTCCATGCCTCCACCTCTAATACCCGACCTCTCCTCTGAATCAGAAGAAAGTGATGGCTTCGTTAGCCCACCTGAACCTAACCTCTTCAGCCCTTCTTCCCCCCGCTCGTCACACAGAAGCACAAATTATAACACGAAACACACGCAGCACCCATCCTCTCCATACGATCGGTATGCTCCAACTGTTCCGTCAATACCACAGCCCTCGGCGTTCTATACTTCTCCCTCGACGCCGACTCACGCTCCACATCTTGCCCCACATCCCCATCACTCCCCCGAAGAAACGCAGGTACAAATTGCCCGTCGTCGCCGCGATCGTGAGCGCAAACGTGAACGCTCGAGAGAGCGCGATCGTGTCCGAGGTGTTCTTGTTGACGAAGACGAAGAATTCGACGCTGGCGTTTGCTCTACTCCGCGGGTCCGATCCTCGTCGTGTTACAAGACAATTACTACTGCATTCTCCGGGTTCAACATATCGGAGGCGGACAGTAGTTGCTTGGATGGCTTCTAAGGAGTAGGTCCACTGGGGGAAAGGATTCTTAGGCCGAAGATATGTGTGTACGACTGCACTTCTGAATCGGGTTCTCTAGACGCTTTCTGGATCCTATTTCGTTCTTGCCCATCTCCCCCCACGATACCTCTCGACGCAATGACTCTATCATCCTCCTAATCGACACTTTTGTGTTGTACATGACACGTTTCCCCTTCTTGCCCATGAACTTTCCTCCCTTTCCACCCTGTGCAAAAACGACTTGAATGGACCTAATTCCCTTACCCTACTATTATCCAAAAATCTTCATTTGTTCGTACCATTTTTCAGTCGATTCCTTTTTGCATCCTCTTTCCTTCCTCATCACGCAACCAATATGAAATCCTCCACACTCTCGCCGACATCCCCCATTTTTATTTTCGAGACACCAAAGCTTTTTGATGACCCACTTCACGCTGTTATTATTGCTTTCCTCCGTTCTTATTTATCCCCCGACACCCACGTATAACGCCGTCATGACCCAACATCTGTACTATCATCACTACCGCAAAGCATAGATTTTCTTGAACAAGTAGTCCCCTTGGCCTGATATTCGTTAAGATCTCAGTCGCAGATAAAGAGGTAGGCCTTCGAACAACGACAGTTCGCTTCTCGAAGAACTGCATAGCTAGCACCATATGTTCTCCTTGACAGGGCCTGAAGAAGTTTATGCCACAACACGTGTACGGCTAATCGTTGTAGGTGAGCCTCGTTCAACGTTCAGTTCGCACTGACCGCATGTTTCAAGAATGTAGAAAATTTCCTCCTCCCTTCAGTCATCACCACGAGCTTCAAGAATCACATCAACCAAATTCTACTGGGTTCCCAACTCCACGGTGGTAAAACTAGGGTAAATTTCTCGCGACTGTAGGGGATACATACTCAGCGGGCGGACTCAGGCAAAGGTCGGTCTCGGGATTCTGGTCAAGAAGATTGGACTAGCAAGATTGATTGATCGATTTGTATGTGTACCACGGCATTCAAGAGACCCGAGATTCGGGAGCCCTATGCAAGAAGAGGGCACGATTGGATGCCGAATAGGAATCTGTGGTAAGTCGGTGATTGGCCCACGCCAGCCGACGTACGAGAAGACATGCGCAAAGGCAAAGAAGTTAGCGAGATAAAACACCGACCGAACACATTGGCCGATGTCCACGAAGGAGCCTCACATAATTGATATCATATATCATTATCAATCAATATAGCAGACACGACACGCTACAGTATGCCAGCATAATTGCTTTTCTTGTTGGAATCTATCGAAATATACGAGGTGCGACTAAACGTGCCTTTCGTTGACTGGCTCGCCCCTAGCTGGCTGATACCTGCTCCATCATATGCGTCTTGCATCGTGGCCGTGGGCTTGTGGCACTTTGATCGACATATGTTCGATACACACGCACATACCGGTCCTAACGTTCTTTCGCAAATTCCATAGTTCGTTCTGCGGCTCGACCAATGGAATCCATCACGCCCTATCACGCCACGGCTGGCGAGCTATCAGCCCCAATTTGTATGTGCTGCATTGTGTGTGTGTACGTGGTTTCCCTTGGAGTCAGCGTGGGGGAACTTCGAAGACTTGAGAAGTTGGGGAGAGACGTGCTGGGGAGGTTTGACGCTCGATGGGCATATGGCTTGCGCGGTTTGACAGGCTCGCTTCGGCGTACATGGGTATGATGGTAAGTATATCGCCCGAAAGATGTCCAGCTGGTTCGCACTGATTGTATCTACCTCCAGCGAAGTAGCTACTGGAAAGTCAATCGGTAAAGATAACAACAGTGGCGTCCCATGTTCTTCATCGGCGCCATATCATACAGTCATGGCGTTGATGGCCATTATGTTGCTCCTCTGATCATAACCTTGGATAACATGTTCTAGGTCCTACATTCCACGGCCTGATCGCTCTCAGTCCCAAGCAGTTTGTGCTATTGGTTCAAGACCCAAGGCGCCCAGGCACTTAGGAAAACATACGCGCCCGCCTTCGCACGGTGCATCTAGGAATCAACGGTGTACATAATGCCAGTGGCGTGCCGGTGTTCTTTAGTGTGCTAGACGATTCTCTCGTCTAAAGCTGTCCTACTGTAGGCAATAAACCGCTCTCATCCATCCTACAATAGCTCCGAATTCTCAGCTCCCGGCAGGATGCTAATACCGTATCATCAAGACATCAAGAATAACCATCTCGTTCGCAGCGCTAGCAGTGCGTTCCGTTCCATTCTGATTTAACATGGAGGAATGTTGTTATACATATTTTTGTTTGTATTATTGTGACAGCGTCTATCAACGCGAGGTCAACCCGCGTAATGCATGTACATACGCTCAACTCCACCGCCTTGTTCAGCCGGTATCACAGGTGTTCAGCATGAATTTCCATCTAATTTCCAGTGTCTGTGTCAAGCCGCCTCGAGGCAGTGTGGAGCGACCGTCAGGCATGCTGTTCAGCGACCAAATAAAATATTACGAATGTCGGACGCTCGGAGACCAAGTCCGGACTGGCTGGCGGCTCGTGGCTCGTATCCTCAGCGCACGTTCATGTTTTGATGGACACCGATGATAGGGGACGTTGGTATGGCACCGCGGCGGAGGTAGACATCGTGGCTGATGGACGTTTATCATGTACCCCTGAACCATATGTCAGGAGCCCCTATATCTGTGGTTGCAGTCTACAACGTTCCGCAACGAAGCCAATCAACTCGCAATCTAATCATCATGGCCTAAAGCACTGGGAGCTACAGGTCCACGCTTGGCCAACGTTGCAAACGGTCACGGAATCATGTTCAACTTTTTCCTTCGTGAGGTTTCTATAACGAAGGTACAGAACTGCAGGTGTACTAATTCGCTGGGATATACAGCTGGCGCTCCGGGCCTTCACTTCCGCCTACAGCTCAGTCACTCGTCACTCGAAGACTACTCAGATGATCAAGAAGCGCGCGGGTAAGAGACTGTGAAGGTTTACCACGAAGTCACAACACCTTTCTTATGGCGCGTGCCACCGGGCGGCGCGTGCTATATTGTTGGGGTCATTGTCGCCACACAGGCTGGCTGGAGACGAATTGGAGCCACAGGCTCAGTGGCCAGTAGTTGAGTAGGGGGCCTGACTTTGACTCCGATCCGCTGAGTTGGCCTAGCGCAAAGGGCACACGTTCCTAGCTTGATAATGTTTGCTTGATCTCCAGACTTCCCCGTGTGGGGAAAGCTCCCCCAGAGAGATCGACTTTCTCGACAGATAGCACATTTTCTACTGTAAGTAGACAAGCGGATCGACGATGGGTGTACTAATCGCGACATTAACGGTCGCGGACTGCTAAAAAGCATCCCTCATGACATGACCCACGCTGCCTAAACGACCGAGGTAATATAGAGATTAGATAGGCCATGATTCCAAGCATGAAGATTCTGACCGGGAACTATCGGGCTTTCAAAGTACAAGGAAGGCTGGATGATATTAATGACGTCGGTGGCAGCCTAATCCTCATCTCAGAAGATAACGAACAAGCCCAACGGCGGAGAAATAAGATATCAACGCGCGGGCGGATTGTATTCAGAAAATATGCGATAGACCTTTGAATTATTCTTTGAGCAGTTCTTTGAGTTGCAGTTCCCGGTCCTGGTTTCCCGCAGGGTTGCCATCCTTCCCCCCCTGACGTGACCTCAAAAGCAGGCAGAATATATCAGGTGCATAAAGTGTCGGTGCGTACTCCGACCTTGTTCGTTCCAACGAGTCGGACAGAACAAAGCTAGGTCACTACGCCATTCGCATGTCGGTCTTCCGGAGAAAGATCAAGGAGAAGATAGGAACAAGCTAAACCCAGAGCTGGATTCAACGGATGGCCAGGTGATCACGGTGAAAGCTTGCACCTTCCACAGCTCGGAGCAGCCAGATACCTGGTATACCACGAGGTTGGGAAGCCAGAGATAGCGGCGAATTATTCGTTGCCACCCTAGAGCAGTACAGTGCGGGCGCGTCCTTAGCATAGACGGGCGTTTCGCGGGATTTTGAAAGTAGCACTCCACCATGTCACTTAGCTCGCAAACTACTGTGACTGTACGCGGTTAACACTTCGGCGACACGTACCGGATATACACCCTTCCATTCCTACGGCGGGTCCTATTTTAGTATCCCCTAGAGCTCGTCATTGGTCAACAGGTGGTCCAACGATGCGTCGGGTGTCATGGAGAACGGATCCCATCCCATTCCCATCCCATCTGCAAGGGCCATCGATAGTGTCGGGCTCCCATTGTAACGGACCTTTCGTCATTTCGCCTTTTGATACGTCGACCGAGGCGTATGCTTTTGCTTTTGTCGCCTACACCATACGGAACTTGACCGGAGCGTTTGAGAACAAAAACTCGGAACGGAAGAGTTGGGGCGCCACGTTCCACTGCGATCAGGGGCAAAAGTACGGCTAAAATAGGCCGGTTCAGCTCTCACGACGACCGGTTCGTCTGTCTTGTTTGTCGGATTTGAATGAGGTCCGTTTGCCAGATCAAGTGGATAGATGAAGCTGATTGTGAGCAACTATGGTGAGGCTTTGAGGGCATGAAGCTAAAACAATGATATAATCGTCGTCACTTCGGAGAACTTTAAATCTTAGAACGACCATTATGCTTAGCGGAGCCTATGAAGATATGTCATGCTCATGAGATGGGTGAGTCTCAAGATCTGCGAGCTTTCAGCATTCCCGTAGCTAGTTTAAAACTTCAGCCTTTGCGCCCCTCTTCTGATAGAATGTGGACCCTGAATTGATCCCGACAAACGCCTTCAATACTAACTGCCAATTATGGAGATTACAAGTTTACATAAGCCGCTGAGTAACGTGGAAATTGTGAGAGGCGGCATGAATCAAGAAATAAACAATTCCATCTTTCGATATCTCTTTAGCACAACGAACAAAGTATTTATTCAACACATATGTACAACAGAACATATCAGTCTCCAGACGCACTTCCGTTTGTCATGGCATGGATACCCCATGATATACCAACACCAAAGATAACCCAACCAATTACAACCACCGAAAACGCGGCCGAGGGCAGTAGAACACCAACAATATAAGGACGACCAGGGTTGGGCGACTTTAATATCCTCTCCTTCTCCTTTGCTGTCAATTCACCACCATCTTCCTTCGTTTTTCTGTCTAAGCCAACTCTGGCTGCCAACCTGTTGATTTCCTGAGTGAGTTTCCTCGGGGCTACCTGTGAGAGTCTAGCGCCAGGGAGCATCTTTTGGCCGAAGGGTAGGTAGGTTAGCGAGAGCAGGGTAGCTGACACGAAGAAACAGATGAAAGCATAAGCGAGCCAGAGCGATATAGTGGGATCAAGCGAGTTGTTTGCTTTGTCCTGGAGTCGACCAGCTGCAGTAGTGATGATCACAATGGAACCTTGCACCGCGGACTCTGTAACCCACGTTAAACAAATTGTCGATGGGGTGGACTCTAATTGACGTACTCTTAATGGCGAATCTAGCGGGTACATCGCTTAATGTTTAATATTGAAGCGAAGATGTAGAACTCACGCGGTAGCAAAGAGAGCCGGGTCGGGTATGACGTTGCGAATGATTTCGACTTGTGGTGCTGGAGTAACACACTGTTGGGTATTTCATCAATCTGTTAAACTAGACATTCAAACGACGGGTGGTGGCTGACCTGAGCCAAAGCATAGAAAATATAAGCGGCAACTAGTGAGTTGAAGATCTATATCAGTGAACACTAGGATATAGGCTTCGACCGCGTACCGAAGGTAGGCACCGCGTGGGAGAACTTGAGCAAAAGCATAGAGATCAGGAACGTAGTCCCAGATAGGAACACTGTTAATGATTCTCAGTGTCAGTAGCTCAATGCTACGTAGGAAGACATTGTTCTTACAGAACGTGACCCGATTTCCGTAGAAATCAATGAATATTCCAAGGAACGGTGTCAAACAAGCTGGAAGCAGCAGGTAGAAGTTCGAGACCCATCCACCGATAACAGCTCCCTTCCTGAGTCTCTGTTGGGCGAATTGACTGTTTTGCGTAAGAATACGTCATATAGTATATGTGACGCCAACACGTACGTCGAAATTCCGACGAAGGACTGGACACCAGCATTCTCGAAGACCGTGAAAAGCACAATGATCCAGAAAGTGATGGGGAACTGTGTAACCGCTTTGAGAGAGAACGTGCCGGCCTTCGTAGCCCCCAAATGTCGCTTTCCGGTAGTGTAATCGGTAATATCATACCGGGTGCGGAGGTATCGGTCGAGGAAGAACACGGCAACAGAGCACAAAACAGAAAACAAACTGATGATCGAACTGACCCACAACGCCCATGCGTACGTCCCCGTATTGGCCGAAATAACGTTTGCTGTGGACGAGCCCGTGAATTGTGCAAGATTTGCAACAGACCTACACGAGTCGAACAATGAGCCGAGAGTAAGTGAAGGGAAGTTTGAAATTTGCATTACCAGATGGCACCTACACCGCGAGGTCAGCCTCGATCAGAAGGTAACAGCGGGAGAAAGAACTGCCGGTGACATACCGATGGTGAAAGCAAAGCCGCGGCCCGGAGCGAAATACGTCGAAAATATACGATGTTGCGCGTTGTCGATAGAACCGTCACCGATAGACGTCAGCACCTTTCCGACAATAAGAAGCGGGTAACTCCTCAAGGAATTCGTAGCAGATCCAGCCATGACAAGGGATCCGGCCAGGTGGAAAAGTGTAAGAATAACAGTCAGAAGTGGGCCACCCCACTTGTCAATCGAGAACCCGATTCCGACACAGAGAAACGTGTTGACCTTGAACCCATAGTATGAGTATGCCACATCACAGTCAATCATTCTGAGAAGCTCACGAGGTTCGTCACCGCGACCTATAGGAACGGACTATAAGGACGACACCCGAAAATAGATCAATCGAAGAACGTACGAGCGTCGCAAACTCCGAGTTGTTGATGTGCAGATTCTTCAAAATAGTGGTCTTGAGGGCGCTGCATTGATTGAATTTGAGTATAATGAGAATTGCCCAGAACAGTGAGAAACGAACACAATCAAACTCTGTGAATAGGGCAGAGCCGGAGGTCAGGCTATCTGGGGGAGGTAATGAGATCTTCTCCACTCACACTGGACCAATGGTTGCCGACTATGACAATTGCCCGTTAGCACGATCTAGACATAACCGGCTCGCAAACACTCACAGGCGCACATGCAGGTCAAGATGACCATAACGGCCTTCCATGCCAACGGCAATGGAGGTTTCGGGGCCAGAGAGAGATCGTTTAGCTCATCGACCTCTGAGGTTTGCTCGATTCCGGATTTCTCTTCGTAGGAGGGACTCCTGCGTTGTTCTGCGAGGGCGGACATATTTGAAAGGGAAATCCGATGGACCTGCAATCTGATAAGATTATAGGTGGGGATTTTATACCTCTGGATTATCTGATACCAACGGAAAGGTATGCGAAAACGCGGGAAGATTTCTCAGGCGAGTCTTCTCGATAAGAGCCGAATAGACATATCGAGGGCTTTACTCCCATGAAGCGCTGTGAGTTCTCATCAATCTTCTTCAACGAGGACTGCAAGTGACACACCTAAAATGCGCCCTCGTGCAAGTGTCAATTCAGCTCGGGCCAAGCCTTTTGAGAAGCGGGATGTCTGACAAACAGGGTGGATCCATATATAGTCAGGTTCTTGACTTTTTGGCCTCGGCCTATGTAGTTCAGGGTGCAACATCTACGTGCGGCGACGTGCGACACCACCGTTTTGGTTTTGACGCCCAAAGTGCAGAGGGCGGATGTGCCATCCTATAGGTGATGAGCGTCTCTGAGGGAGTGTTGAGCGTCCATCGGCTATAAGAAGAGGATTTGCCCGGTTTAACAGCTTTTCTCTATTATTGCATCGGATGGGAGGACTTACTGTAATTCCAGCTCACACCAACTGTTGTTGATCCAGGAACAAAAGCCACGGTATTCCTTGGGCTGCGTGTGGAGACGGAATGTCGGCTATGGTATTCTCGGTCGCAGCGTCGACCTCCATACTGCGTTATCGATGTTCTTCAAGTTGAAAAACGAGAGAATACGGTGGACAAACTCACACATTGCATCAATTTTGTGTAGAACTTTAGGCCTTGCAGTTATTGTTGACCGCTCGCAATTTTCGGCACTGCGACGATGAGATTGCAGCGAACGATTCAACAAGAGCCTTGCCTCCCGCTATGATTTATTTTCGACGCGACTTTTAGTGAAAAGATTCAACCAAGTTTCCTGGGTGTAAATTCACGACAAGACCAAGGGGGTTGTCGAGGAGTCAAAGTAAAGAAGGTGGACAGGGAGAACGACATGGGATCTGCGCTATCCATCCCTGCGTTGCCGTATTCGAACGTCCCACATGAACGAGCCATTGAATCGGCGAGATGAGGGGAAAGTCAAGTTGGTGAGACAGCTGTATGAACGACCAATATCTCAGATATTACACATACGGATTTTGGAGACCTCCGGGAAGATAACGCCGTCGATAGTTGCTCTAACACAAATTATCGACTCGTTTCTAGTATGCTTAACCGCCTTGCAATTGGCTAGTGGTCGTGCTAGACTCTTCGCCACTTCTGTCGGTTGCCACGAGCGGAAACGAATCAATGCTGGCGAGTTTGGACTACGGTCTGCTGACTGGGCTAGCATGAGCATGGCACATTCTTTGTGTTTATCTCCGCGGGGCCTCAATATCAATTCTTGACCTCGCAAGGCGACCAAGGCACGAAAGCTTCGCTCACAAACCAACTCTATTTGCGCGTATCCTTCATTGCAGACGAACTTAAATGTTCGTGGTTTGACGCGTGCAGGTGGGTGATGTGGACGCAATAGAGTCACTACTTCTGTCTGTATGAGGATTAGTTCGTGTTCCAGAGGGTAGCACGGATCCTATTCACTGACCCTTATGTCGGGAGTTGGTGCATCGGTGTTGGGGTGGTTCTGATGCCATAAATGAGGCTCGCGGAGAAGCACCCATCGGATCACTCAGAGTTCCGTATTGCAGGAAGCTATCAGAGACAAAATGAAGCTAGACTTGAGCTTGGTGAACTGCGCCTAACGATTCCCTCGACTTACAATCGCCTCGACCTCCCATTAGCCCTTGATCATACCGTTGGACATGAACGTCGTGGCAAAAAATGTGTGAGGTTGTAGGGACTTTTCGAGAGAGAAAAAGGTCTCGGTGCTGTTCGACTTCCCTGCCAGTGTGCCTAATGTTAGCTAGAATTTGTGGGAGTAATTACCGGGAACGAACCTCTTGGCCCTCGTCTCTCCGTCAGAATGTTATAAACGGCTGAGCCTATCATACCACGGCCTACAGTTGGTTAGCGTCGTTATCAATGCTTGTACACTCTGAAACCAGGGCCTTGTCATGTAGGTGCAGAGTCACCAACTACAGTAAGGTTAGGCGCCGGCGCTAAAGAGCAACCATACCCAACTTCCGTGTCTTTCCGGACCCCATCTTCCATTCCGTCGACACGCCTCCCGTTATGTCGCCGTTGAGGCAAGGCCTGCCGGAATCTCGTGATATGGCGACTCGGAACCCGATGCAGCATTTCTGCGGTGTATAGCGGGCGACGGGCATCCAGCAAGAAAAGGTCCAACTTTGAAATATCCTGGCCCAAGCCGCGAAATCAATACAAGCTGTCTTCAACGCTGTGATCAGTGATCGCAGCAAATGAGAGAGGTTTGCGAGCAGTAATATCCTTTCTTCTTGAACGCTGAATTGGCAATCTAGAGGCGGGTGACCTAGGTGCAGAGCTCGAATACAGCGTTCAGATGATGCGATCGCAAACACGTGAGACGCAGGATCACTTCACGGATTCCCGCCTCGAAATAGCTCAAATAGAACCCCTCTCGATTCACCATCTTGTTTCTTAACGACTTTCACTCTATCCACTTCTACCCCTTCTAACATCCATAATGGTTAAGGCTGTTGTTCTCGGTGCTGCAGGTGCGTGGTGGTGTCAGGGCGTTGGGGGATCGAGCTCATCGATGATCTGATTCAGGTGGTATTGGCCAGCCTCTGTCGCTGCTCTTGAAAGCCAACCCACTCATCACAGAGGTTCGTTCTTTCTCATGATCGGACGTTGCAATCGTGAAGTAGTGACCCGATTTTGTTGGATAGTTGGGTCTCTTCGATATCGTGAACACGCCTGGTGTCGCAGCCGATCTGTCTCATATCTCCACACCAGCCAAGGTCGTGGGCTACTTGCCACCAGACGATGGCTTGAAGAAAGTCCTGACTAACGCCGATGTCGTCGTAATTCCCGCTGGAGTCCCCCGGAAGCCAGGCGTGCGTATTTCATGTCCCTTTCTTGACGATCTGAGACTGAAAGAAGTTGTAGATGACAAGGTATGTTTTCCATGCTGACTCTGAAATGTGTTTGAGGAATTGATCGTGATGGTTACACGCAGAGATGACCTGTTCAAAGTGAGGCCAAGATTTTATCGTCTCGTGGAATTTATCGCTTACATCCGGACAGATCAACGCTGGTATCGTCCGGGATCTGGCTACCGGGATCGCCACTGCGGCACCTAAGGCTTTCATCCTCGTTATCTCCAATCCCGTCAATTCTACCGTCCCCATCGTCGCGGAAGTCCTCAAGAAGCACGGCGTTTTCGACCCGAAGAGGTTCGCTCTTCGTCAGTTTATCCTTTTATTTTTCCTGACCATCACTCGTAGACTTTTCGGTGTCACGACTCTGGATGTTGTCCGCGCCTCGACGTTCGTTGCCGAAATCCTCGGCGACCTCAGCCTTTCGAAATCAGTCGCTGTCCCCGTTGTCGGCGGCCACAGCGGTGTAACCATCGTCCCCCTCCTTTCCCAATCGTCCCACCCTCTCCCTGCGAACCTCACCACCGATCAGTACGAAGCCCTCGTCAAGCGCATCCAATTCGGTGGTGATGAGGTAGTCAAGGCGAAGGACGGCGCCGGTTCCGCCACCTTGTCAATGGCGTACGCTGGCGCTGAATTCGCGGCGAAACTCATTCGTGCTATCGGTGGCGAGAAAGGCGTCTCGGCACCCACGTTCGTCAACCTCTCCGCAGACCCATCTGGTGGTGAGGCCTTGAAGAAGGAGCTTGGCCAGGACCTGGACTATTTCTCAACCGTCGTTGAGCTCGGAGTAAGTGCCTTGCCATTTGTATATGTGTGTACGGGGATCTGATGCAATCACCTCCCAAAAGCCTGAGGGCGTCGCCAAGATCAACACCTTGGGGAGCCTCACAGATGCCGAGACAGCACTTGTCAAGGCTGCCATCCCCGAACTCGCTACCAACATTCAAACGGTACGTAACATTCAAAGTTTGATGTCTCCTGTCCTGACGTGACATGCACAGGGTGTTTCTTTCATCGCCTCGCCCAAGCTCTAAGCCTAGTTCAGTGCGCAGTTCATGTAGAAGCAGTAGAAGTTAACCGTCGTACCATTGTAATATTGTTTTCCGGATACATACCATATCCCGCTATCAGCTAAGTCGGCACGCATGCTGTACAGATGTTATATCTCATCAAGCATCAAAGCATCAATGGCGCAACGAGAATCCTCTTAGGCCCAAAGTGGCAAATCTACTTATGATCGCCATTCGCCTCCATTCCTTTTGAAAATAGCGGCCCTGGCTCTTGGGAGATATGCTACTCCTCAGGTCTCATTCCCCTCTAGCATTCTGCAACCCTCTATACTGAGTACATGAAACCGTGTGCCCCTCGACGACCCTGACGATCCCGACGAAGTAGCTAGGCGAATGAACGATACTTTCGACGCCGGGGACTTGGCGATGTTGGAGTCTTGCTTGACTACTCGGCGATTGAGCAATGTGAGTTTACAACGTGAGCAGGATGATTGAGACGCTGATCGTGCTCTGTGGATATTGGCAGGGTGTCCTTTGTACGTCTACATCTCGTCGTGTCTGTCTATTCCCGGAGAGCTAATTATCTTCGACAATTCACGCACAGATTCAGCCTTAACGCTGTTTGTGAGCATGTCATGCCATCCTATGTCGAAATGCTCTCACTAGCGTGTCGGATACAGTTCTACGATTTATGCCTCACGATTGACATGGAAGTGAGGTGTCTTCTCAAAGCTAAACGATAAACCTCTTCGTGACCGCTCACTGCATCGGCGTAGATTCGACACATATGGACAGCTAGGTTCTCAGTAGGCCTCGTCCTTTTCATCAGCTCACGATATCTGGGACTTGCGAGCTGCATTGTCAGCCTTCTACCAGTGAGTTCGGCGCGTCATAATTTGCAAAAGCTCCGACTTACATGCCGCGAAATTTTAGACCTCTAACCTTTCGTCCACCCTACATGTTTGTACGGGATCACACACTTTTTTGATTGGTATTTATCTCTGAATACGGGAGCATTGCTTAGGCATACGCGTCCTGGCTATCATCGCAGCGGAAAGTACGCCTCATTCCGACTATTTCGAACGCACAGGTTCTGATTGTATGCAGTGACACTTGCCGTACGAACGTGGGCTATCTGGGGGAGAAGTCGAATTATACTAGGCATACTGATAGCTTCTGCTATCGTGGGTCACTTTCACCTTGGAACATCACTTTTGATCTCCTACAAAGCGTCTTTAGGGTGGCCTTGTTCCTGCTGCAATAACGGTAGCGCGAGACATATCTACTAAATGTATGTCGTCGTGCGCTTTCTTCATCCGCTATTCTGTCCTAATGGTCATTGTTGGACAGCCCCTACGGCAGTATCAGAAACTATACAAAAGTTCTGCCCCGCTTTCGTTGACAGCAGCGTAGGAAACATGTGGGCTGTCCCATACTTGGTGACAATCATGTACGAACTCGGTCTGTGCTTCGTCTTCCTTATTCTTCCTGTGAGACTGACGCGTTATTTTAGTCACTACCGGCCTTTCTCTCATCAGAATCTGTTGGTGGAGGCGAAGAATACCGAATGCACACCGCCAGCATGTCCTCCAAACGCTATATATGGATGGTGTGGCATTTGTCTTGGTATAGCAATCCGTCGAACTAACTCTTGCTGATAGGCATGCTGTACTTTCTCTTTATGCTAGGTAAACCGACTAAGTTACGCGCAACTCACTCGCTTGTTTAACAATTTCCCGTGTAGGCCTCGGTGCCGTGAACACCGCATTGGTGATAAAGGCCTCGGTGAGTTAGTCTTTCAGCAACATCGTAACGCATGATTGAATATCAGATTTCCTCCTAGGCCCCGGAGCTACGGTCAACTGTCACCCAGTAATAAACCAACTGCAGCCGATACAATGATTCTCATCTTCTCCCGACAGATTGCAAACATCACTCCATAGCATCTTGGCTTCGCGCATCATCCTCCATCTCGCGAATTCCGGGCATCGTGTAAAGGAGTTGCATAGTACCGGATCGACGGTTGCCCCTGGAGGGGCCCAATTTACATCCATCTTTACGTCGCCAAGTGAGGAACTGACGACCTTCGCTGCCACAAACCGGTAGAACATTTGTAGGCCCTCGGCTTCTCATGCGGTGCATCAATAACTGATATTTGACTGATATCGCAGATTATACTTCAACCTAATCTCTATACCTTCAAATGTATTATCTGTGCTCGTTGTTTGGATTATGTATTGCTGTTTTCGAGTTGTCTCTGATCCCCTTGCACCTATTTAGCTGTTTCTAACGCCTAAATCTGCAGTAGGCACGAAGGACGACCAGAAGAAAGGAAGCGACGCACACGAGGCTACATGGTCTACGGACTATTGGTCAGCAACGCACAGGAGATTGCTGATCCGGACTGCAGAAATGAGCACTTCTCACTCCAGTATCCCACCACATGCTCAACATTTCCCGCGCTTGCTCTTGGCTTCGTGATGAACTTTACCACACCCATCCTGAAATCATGACCGAGCCCCTCGACCGCCACTCTTTGACGTGCGTCTGTCCGCGATTAGGAAGTTATCGTGCTGGGAAAGCAACCTAATCTCCCCAGTGCACGTAAGCCATGTGCTACATAATGGCACCCGAGGTAAGGAGGGCTGCTGCTCAGTTACCCTTGGTCCCGACTTCCACCTATGGACGATGCTGCTTTGGCTGCTGAGCAGCTCGCTCTCTGCATGAACGACCAACATATTAGCTTCGTATGTGGATGTCATCTTGAATTATATGTACTCCCTGACACCACTATTCGGTCCCCTTAGGCGTTATCATGTATGTCCGTACAGAGCCATCGTCAATCATCCTTCCGCTTAACACCTATTTGCTCACTTCCCCAGATGCTAGCGGGGCAATCTTTGTAAAATATCCTCTTTGGAGCGGTCGACCAAGGGCGCTGATTATTCTGACAGCTTTATGACTTTCTCCTGACTTTCCCTGATGAGGTTTGTCTCTTTCGTTGGTTTCTTTCACACGTCAGACGTTCTGATGACAGGTATCAGCTGAGCCACATGTGGAGGTTCAAGCGAGTTCGCGCTGGGAGTATCTTGTTCTTCATCGCTCGATATGGAGGATTTACGAGCGCTATCATATGTTTTCTACCGGTACGCTCTTTCTTGTGGTCATGATGCAATGTAGGAATGTTGATTGTTTCTTAGGTGGATGTAGCGCTTGGTAATGTCCGCACATGTAAGCCAACGCTACGGAAACATTATATATTGGGACAATTTAGTTTAACCTTTCTTCGAAGGCATGAGACTGATTACCATCGTCTCCTCGGACGGTAAGTGCCCTTTGCGATGCGACCGATGTTGGGTCTGATAATTCGCTAGCCGTCTTGGCCGTCCGGACCTGGGCGATCTGGGAGCGCCGGAAAAGCGTCCTATTACTTCTCTTATCCACTGCCCTTGTGAGATTATTTATCTCTGCTTCTTGAGTCCTTCTAGCCACTTACGGTAAACGCTATGAAAGGGCGCTATAGGCGCAGCCGTATTCATTCTTGAAAAAGATGCAAGTACTAGCAAAAGTAACTTCCATTTCGTCCATTCTACGCGTACTCCTCTCATCATGATTTAACACACAGTGGCTCCCGCTATATCTCCTCTCCTACCAAACTTGTGCAGCTACATCGAGAGCGATGTTACGAACTTGTGGAGCATCCCATACTTCCTCACTATCATGTACGAAACGAGTAAGAAGATCATTCCATTACGTTCTCGTATCGGCAAAGCAACTAATCCGCCGACAAACAGTAACGCTTGTACTAACACTCGCTCAAATACTTCGCTGGCGCCAACGGATACCAGCCTCCGTGCGTTCTTCTTTGTCGGATGCCTTATGGAAAGATGGTGAGTATGCCCACCTTTCATGTTATCGATCAAAACTGATTCTGGTCTCGTAGGTGTCACTTACTTCGCCTTCATGCTTGGTGAGTCCTCGTCAATATGTACTTATTTGCGCAAAATTGATCTCAAGTGGTGCCAGTCCTGTCTATCATTAATATCGGTCTCGTTTTCCAAGTCACGGTACACACTCGTTATCTCTCGCGGCTTGTGGCTGATACTGACTGCCAACTTACCGTACCCCTAGCTCCCTCAACTTCGTTCAGGGGGATCCCAGTAAGCCTCTAACACCATCATTCATACAAGCTCGGTGCTCATTAACACGAACGTTCCACGCAGACTCCAAACCTGCTTGCACAGCATGGTCGCCACGCGAATAATCTTGTCCATGGCCGGCTCCTCTTCTGGTCCAAAAAACATCGAAGATGCTAGCTGCATGACACTCACGACGCTACAACCAATACACTTCCGGTCGTCTTCAACCAGGCTTTCATACGCTTAGTGGCGGACTTAGTATATAGACAATAGAATCAAAAGCACGTAATGTATATTATTCTGTGAAACCAAAGATAATTTATTTGCTGGTCTTTGCGGTCCTATAAAGCGAAAGGATCGTTACCGACAGCCACTATCGGCCTGGCTAGATGCCTGGAACTTCACAATTAATTTTTTTTTTTTTTTTTTTTTTTTTTTGGTTGAGCGTTTAGTAGCAGTTATCCTCCGTCAATGCCAGAGTTTCGCTGCCCGCTGTTGCCCCCGGGAAGGTTTCCCCGGAGTGATGATTAAGTCAGGAACCACGAGGAAATGCTTTTACGCACGTTGTGTGGGGCTCCAAACCGGTCTTGACGCCTTTCCTATCCCCCCTCCTCCCGGATCGGCCTCGGTTTAATACCCACTAAAACCCCGTTGAGCTTCTTTTCTTCCTCGAGGGCGCCCTTCCAGGTTTGGAGGACGACTTTTGTTTTTATCTTGTGCTTTCCCAGGTTTTCATTAGTCATTTCGCGATCGGTATCTAGCCGGGCATTTATTGTGGTTAGCCACCTATTATTTACTTCCTGGGTTGTGAAGGGGGCGTTTTCGTTCTGTATGACTCTTTCACACCTGAGCTTCCATATCAGGTGTGCGGATTCTGACACGATTATTCTCCATAGTCTTTCTCCCCCTGCGTCTCGTTTTGGGCCATCGGTTTTTTTGGTGAGTGCGCATGCTACGATGTTGCCTACCCACGGTTGCGTCCACTCTCTTCCAGTTTTTGTCCATAGGTCTTTTGCTAGCGACCAGACTTGCTCTTGCCCGGGGGTTTCGCATCGTGAGAGTATGTGTGCCATGTCTTCGATTGCTCCGTGGCAGTGGGCACATTCGCTTCTCTTCTGTAGTTCCTCTGAGTAGTTGTCTTTCAGCCAGTGGGTTCCGATGCAGTACGCGTCGTGCGCTACCATCCACAGGTAATATCGTATTTGCCTTGAGAGGTCTTTGTGTAGGATGGCATTCCAGATCCTTTCTTCGGTCGGGATTTCTTCTAGCACTTCTTTGACGTGGTTTTGTATCATGTCGATCATTTTCTGGGTTCTCCTTCTGTCTTTTTGCTTTGCCTGATCGGCGTTAATGTCTCTTATTGCCCTGTAGGCTAGGCTTTGGGTCATTTTAGATAGTTTCGCCCCGGTTAGTCTCATGTTTATTGGGATCTCTAGGTTTACTTCTGGTACTTCTTGGTATGCCTTTCTTGCGCCTGCATCCGCCAACCTGTCCGCGGCTTCGTTGCCTTCGTGTCCGTTGTGACCTTTTACCCAGCGGAATTTTATTTGGTTTCTACTGGCCCGCATCTTTGCTACCGTGAGTTGTATTAGTCTTTGGTTTGCCTTGCCTATGTATCCTGTATCTTCTAGGTTTGCTAGGTTTTTTGTTAGCGTATTTATGGCGTATTTGGAGTCGCTTTCAATTTCGATTTCGCTTTGGGTTGCCATGTTATCTTCTATTGCCACGAGTACCGCAGTCATCTCGCCCGTTTGGTTCGTTTGCACGAAAGTGCTAGGTACTCTGATGCCCTTGTTCCTTTCGTCGTCAGGTTTGTAGAATATTCCTGATCCGGCTGCTGCTGTTTGGGTGCTTGCTCTTAGGCATGATCCATCCGTTGCTATTTTGATCTTGGGTATAGGTGCGTTGTTGTGGTCGTTGTCATTTATCATTGGGTTTTCTTCTGGGGCTTGATTGTCTGATGGTTCGCCGTTTGTGAAGATTCTGAACGCGTCTTCGAGGTTCTTTACTTCTGCTGTTTGGTGGTTGAAAGGCTCCCATTCTCCGTTTTGTTCGTTTCCTACGACTGCGTCTTCGTTGATTCTTCTTGGGTCCCATTTAGGGGGGAGCTTGTTCAGTAATTGTCTCGCTCGTTCAAAGCATTCTGTGGGGTGCGTGCATTTGTTTTCTCTCGCGTTTGAACATCCAGGGCATTTGCATCTTTTTGATCTTTTGTGTTCTGCGTGTAGTAGGTGGTTTGCTTCCCTTTCTGCGTCGCCTACTAGTCTTACATTGTGTTTTGTTCTCAGGCATACGCTTGCGTTCGACGTTGCCGCCATCCTTAGACGCGAGTTTTCCCTGGCATGGGCCCATATTGGCATGTCCCGGGCTGCCTTTTTTGTTACCTTAATGGCTTCGAGCCTCGTCCCATATTTTAGGGCCGTTACTACCATTGTTTTGAGGTCCTTTGGGCATTTGTTTGCCTGTCCGTTGAGTTTTGGTCTCCATGATTGTAGGAACATGTTTTCCTTTAGTTCCATGGGTACTGTCGTCTCACTCTTCTTCTCGTTTAGCGCTAGTATCTTGTCTGCGAAGTGTGCCCACAAGGGCCTGTCACTTATTTTTAGATAGTCCTTAATCCACATGACTTGGATCGCCTCATTCCTGGCGTGTATGTCCAGTACGCCTTTCCCCCCTTTCCCAGCAGGTGCGAATATGGTCTCTTCTCGTATTGGGCTCCTTTTGTCCCCCCAGAAGAATTTCCTTATGCGTTTTCGTAGGTTATCTTCGATTTGCTTGGGCATCCCTTGGACTCTGGCCAGGTATTGTGTCCGTCCGCCCACTACCATCTGGATTATTAGCTTCCGGCCCTCTACGGTTGGGTGTCCTTTCTCCCACCTCTCTAGGTCCTCGTCAATCTTCTCGATTATTGGTGTCCACGGCGACTCTTGGCTTCCGTTGTTTCCAATCCAAGCGCCTAGGATTCTTGTGAGTTCTCCGTCAGGTATTATCTTCATTGCTCTCGGTATTTCCTGGCAGTTTGGTTTAGTTTTGCGATCTCTTATTACTGTTCCGCGGTATTCCTCACTGCCTATTGGGAGGATTTGTGTTTTTTTGGTGTTGAACTTTGCTCCTGCGGCTACGCACCATCTATCGAGCACTCCCTGCAGTTCTGTGAAGTCATCATCTTCGCTTAAGAACACTGTTGTGTCATCAGCGAATAAGTTTGCTACTAGTTTTTCCCCGGTTCCTGGGACATTTATTCCTTTGATGTTTGACTTTCTTATCGCTGTACTTAGTGGCTCTATGCCCAGGTCGAAAAGGAGGCAGGACAGGGGGTCTCCTTGGCGCACACCTCTTGTGACCTTGAATGGTGTGCTCAGGCAGCCGTTGATCATTACGGACGTGTGTGCGTTGCCATATAGGCTGCTTATTGTTTTGATAAATCTCTCAGGTATTTTGAAGGCGCGGAGTACGCTCCATAGGTAGTCATGTTCCAGTTTGTCGTACACTTTCTCTTGGTCAAGCGCAACTATCACTCCGTTTTCTTCAGTGAGGTCAGCGTAGTTAACTAGTGTTTTGAGCAGCTGTGTTTGGTCATATATTCGTCTTCCTGGGACGAAACCTGCCTGGCTCTTGTGTAGTAGGGCCGGCGCTGTTGTGGCTAGCCTAACGGTGAGCACTTTGGTCATTAGTTTGTAGTTGGTGTTGAGTAACGTTATCGGCCTGTAGTTTTTGATCTCTTCTTTGCAGTTCTTTTTGTAGATTGGGCACATCCAGCCCTCCGCGAATTTTGATCCTGCCATCGGACCGTATTCTTCTATGTCGTTGAACGCTTCCGTCATCATGTCCAAGATGCCTCCGTCATGCTCGTTATCGGGTCCTTCGTTTGCTATTAGCTTTTTCCATAGTTCATATGTGATCCCATCTAGCCCTGCTGCTTTGTGGTTGCTGGATATTTTTAACGCGTTTAGGACTTCGTCTTTTGTTATTGGCTCACTCATTATTTCCTTTCCTTCGTCATTTGGTTCGGTCTCGATTTCTCGTAGCAGGTTCCTTGTTACCCGTAGTCGGGTTATCTCGTCCCTCTCTTCTCGTCCATCATCTTGTAGTTTTTCGTGGTAGTTCCTCGCTAACTCAGCCATTCGCCTCGAGTTCTTTTCGTATTCGATTTGTGGTCCTTCTTGGACAGTTTTCTTTAGGGCATACATGACGTCCCTTGGTTTTATTGTCCGGTTTGTTTGGATCCAGGACCTCGTCATTTTCTCGCCTTCTAGCCTGTCCGTCATATGGACCTTTTTCCTTGCTTTGATGTGCCGTCTTCTTTCCATGGTTGTGAGCTCTCTTGTCGTTTGTATTATCTTCCTCATTGTGTCGTCAGTTTGTTCTTTTTTGGCTAGCTCGTTGAGTTCGGTTTGGAGCTGGCTCATCTTTTGTTTAATTTGCGGGACCAGCATTTTGTCTCTGTTCCTGGCCAGTTCGAGGACCTCGTACTTGTATCCCATGTATATCGTCTGTGGGTTGTTGTTGTCTGTTCGTCCGGTGTCCCTTTGTTCTGCTCTTTTTTGGGTCCACTTCTTAGCTATTTTATTTACTTCCTCTAGGAACTTCTTGTCGTTTAGCACTCTCTCTGGGACGGTCCATCGACCCTTTCCAATTTCAGGTGCCCCTTCTGCTGAAATCTGGACGGATACTATCCAGTGGTCCGCATTGCTTAGCCCGGATGGTTTCATGTCCCATTCCCTTGCTCTTCCCATCAGTTTGTTTGTTACATATATTCTATCTATTCTCGACATTGCGGGGGGGACTTCCTCCCTTAGTCTTGTCTGCGTGAAGGTGAATCTTACGCTGTCAGGGTTTGTTGCCCGCCATCCATCGCGTAGTCTTAGCTCCATTTTGAGCTTGTCTAGGGCATCTGTTGCAGCATTCCTCTCCATTCGCGCTGGCATCCTGTCGATTGCGTCCTCGACGACGTTGAAGTCGCCTACCATTACGTCTGGGCGCCTTTCGTTGGGGTTGTCATTGAAATGTTTCTGTAGTTGTTCCCAGAAGCTTGCGTTCTCTGCAACGCTGTTTGGGGCGTACACTCCTAGTACTGTGAGTTTCTTTCCTCTGTGTATTTTCGCTTTTACTAGTATCGCTCTTCCAGGTATGATTTCCGAGCACTTCGCATCGTCTGCATCCATTTCGCCCCTGTTTAGTACCGCTGCTATGCCTGCCCTTTGTCTTGGGCTTGTTGGGTCAGCTGAGGCTTGTATTTTCAGCCTCCTCCCGAAGAGGCTCTGTATTGTGCTTTCTCTTTCGTCATCCATATGGGTTTCCTGTAGAATTAAGATACCAAACTTGTTTTCACGCATTATCTGGTTTATTCTGAGCCACTTTGTCATTGGCCCTTCTTCTCCGTGGGTAGTTGAGTATCCTTTCATGTTGAAGGATGCGACTCTCACTGTCGCCCTGTTTCTCCTTCCCTTTTTCCCCTTTTTTTGTGTAGATGCCGTATTGTCTCTAGTCTCGGCTTGGGGGGCGTTTCGCTCTCGCCTGTCATCATCTGGGGGCCCTTCGTTTTGGGCTGGATATGAGTTCGCGGCATGCTGGCTCATTCCTCTGGGACCCGGCATGGGTATATTGGGAGCGGCATGCTCTTGGGGATCACTGTTGCCTGGTTGGTTTCTCCGCTGGGCGTCCCCGGGGGCGTAGCCGGCTGTGGTGCTACCCTCCCCTCTGCTTTTGCGGTTGTTTACGCCTGTGGCTGCTTGCGCATTTGTGTAGTTGTTCGTAGCAGGTTGGACCGACACAGGGGGGTCTGCCAGCCCCCCTGGCCTTTAGGGGTGGCCAGACCTGTTTCTGCTTTCGGGCGCAGATACTAGGTGTCCTCCTTCAGTGGTTTAGGTCCACTTGGCCTCCCCCGGGGCCTCTACCTAGCTGGGGCTTACCTGTCCAGTAACCTGTCAGTAAATTCAGCCCCAGCTTGTTCTTAGCGCGCTGCATGTGAGCGTTCAGTTTTGCGGCCCCGAAGCCGGCAGCACGTTCTATTAGTTAGTGCTCTTAATTATGCTCGACATGCGTGTGCTATATTACTTGGGCTTTGCTCCCTTCTCGTTCTCTTTTCCTTTCTTGCTTCTCTTTGTGGCCTTCCCTTTCTTTTTCCCATTGTCCGGTCTGTACGGCGGCTCGGGTTTTACGAACCCTTCTCCCACGTGTGTCGGCCCCTTCCAGTCCTTCAGCTGGGGGAAGGGGCAGGTTTCGCTGCTGTGCGTTTCGGCTTTGCACCAGACGCATCCAACATTCTCGGGGGTGGACACTATGGACTTCATGTCGTTTAGCTCAAAGGTAATACGGCGGATTGCTTTGAGCCATGCGCGGTGTTCTTTCAGGTTGTCGTGGACGGGCCGTCCTGCTAGTTGCCATACTGGTGAGTCGTCGCCGTGTTCATCCTTGCGAGCTACGAATGACAGGCTCATGGTTGATAGGGCTATGGCCTTCCTTTCGAGGACGGATCCCCCCACTCCCTTCCCTGCGAGGGCTTTGTTTATTTCTCTTGCTATGCCATCGTTGTCGAAGAGTGTGTTGATAATCGCCTCTAGTGCGGCTGTCATATCGTCTAGGTTATTCGTTATGCACCCTCCTGCGAAGTTGGCTATTACCCATGATGTGGGCCGTTCCCCTGGTATCTCTGTCGCGTTGAAGGCATGTTTCTTCCCGTCGATTTCGAACGCGAAGGTTTGACGCCGTACGAGTAGGTCTCTTATCCTTGGGGGAATGTTGGTGGCAATGTATGCAAAGGGCATGGCGAAATGCGCCTTCGTGGGGGGGGCGAACTGGTGTGACGGCGGTGCAACACTGATCTTGTTGGGGCCGGCTCCTTCGAGGGATTGGAGGAAGGTGGCTACTTGTTCAGCGTACCTCGGGTTGTCCCTGGTGAACCTGTTCCCCGCTCCGAAGGGGATTATCAGGACTGACGTGTCCTTTGAGGTCTCTAGGCGTTTCTTCAGGCCGTCTCTCATGTTTCCGACAAGGGTAGAGTTCTTGTGGGCTATTTTCGGGAGGGGGGATGTTGTGAACGGGATTGTGGTTGCCGTCGTCGCGTCTTCTCCGGGTATGCTGCCCCAGTGTGGGTTCCTTTCCTTCATTTCGGGGGGTAGGGGGTTGCTTGTGCTCCCGAACAAGCAGGCCTCGACCCTCGTTATGGTGTTGCCGTCACGTTCGATGGTGGCATCTCTGAGGACGATGTGGCTAGTCGCGGCGGTTCCTCTGTTCTTGCTTGGGCTTAGGCATCCGAAGTCGGGCGGCGCGTATGGCCTGTACTTTGGCCTGGGGAGCTTTTTCTTCGCTCTCTGGCCGGCTGCGTCGAGTTTAATTTCTTCGTCAACTTGCATTCGCGTCCTCTCAGCTTCAGGCATCTTCCTCCTGAGCGGGCCGTTGTCTGGGCTGGGGGGCCATGTTCGTTGCTGGGTCGTGGCCGTCTTTGCACGCTTCATGTCGGTGTGTGGTTCTACGGCAGGACTCGTTCTGGTCTGGGTTTCGGGCTTTATAGGTGTGGTGTGTGTACCCCCATTTTAGTTTTTTTAGTTTATTAGTATGTTATGGTTACTCGATCACTCATCTGGCTATTTTGCCTTGGGCGTGCCTTAGTTCCGTCATTAGTTCAGGTAGGTGATATATTTAGGGTTGTTACGGCTGTTAGAATAGATAGTGATTACGACTGGTATGGGTGGGCACGTGCGGTGTTAGGATTTCCACCTCTGAGTCCCCGGTTGCCCCCCCGACCGCCACGAGGGTTGTCACGGCTCCTGGTCCCTCCTCTGGCTAGCGCTTCTTCCTTGACCTTGGCCCGTTCGGCCCTTACATCTCTGGGGATTGGGCCCTTCCAGTCGGCCACTAGTGGGAAGGGGCATTGCACCTCTGGGTGGATCTCGCTTTTGCAGAAGGCGCACGAGTCGTAGGGTTTCAGAGTTTTGGTTCGCATGAAGATCTCGTCAATTTCATCGATGACGTAGCGGCGGGATGTGATGATGGTGAGCCACTCTTTGTACTCCTGGCCGTTTCCGGCTATTGGGTTCGCGTAGAGCTGCCAGACGATCACCTCTTTCTTTTCCTTGTTCGTCACTCGCATGCTGTGGATCTCGAAGGTGCTGAGGGCGCCTCGCACTCGCTCGTCGATTGACCTGGGTAGTTCTACCTTTGCGAGGCATGCATCTACGTGGTTCCGGAATTCGGTGTCGGCGGACAGGCTTTGGGTAATGGCTAGTAGCCCCTCGTGGACGGCTGCGGGGTCGTCGGTTACTGCTTGGCCCGTGATGTCCGCTATGAACCATGGTCGGACGTTTGCGTCGAAGGGGAGCGCGGAGAAAGCTATCCTCCTGCCTTCAGTCTGGAAGGCGAAGGTTTGGTACCAGGTGAGGTACGCGCGTAGTTTGGGTGAGCCGTTCTTCAGTAGTAGGATATGGGGTTTTGCGAACTCGCCCTTTTTCTCGTTGTCTTGTTTGGGGGGGTCGACCACCCTTAGCCGTTCGCTCCCCTCGATGGAGAGGCCTTGTAGGAAACCCTGGATGTCGGCCATCAGGGAGGGGTTTTCTTCTTTGATCTTGTTCCCTCCTCCATAGATTAGGAGTGCCAGGTATTTGTCGGGCTGCGCTCTGATTATGTCGGCTGTTGTCTCCAGGATCTCCGCGAGCAGGGCGTCTAGGGACTTGACAACCCTCGGGTAGGTTGCTCTGGTGTAGGCGATGCGGGATTGCGTGGGTTCTGGGGGTGGGGGGCCCCTCTGGGAGGATTGGGCGTGGGGGTTGGCTGGTGCCGTGGTAGGCTGCGCGGGACTGGTCTGGGCATCGTTGGTTTGGGCCGGGGGAGGGTTAGCCTCTTGGCCTGCCATGTCGGCGTCGTTGGGGGGTCTGTTCTCGTCCTCAAGCTCCCCTTCTTCCCTGTCTGCTGGGGCCGTTCGCCTTCTTTTCGCGGCTTTGGGGGTTTGTTCCGCAGTTGGCGTTCCCGGGCGGCTTGTCTCAGTTAGGCTGGCTCCCATTCTTGCCAGGGCATTGGGGGGCGTGGCGGTATCGAGGGCGTTGGTCTGGCCGGACATGGCTTTGTTTTTCGCAGCGGTTGGGGGGCGGTGGGGGTTTCTTTTGGGGGGCTTGTTTGCTTGCGTTCTCTTATATGTTGTCAGGTACCTCATATTTACGTAGTTGTTTTTTTCTCCCCCCCCTTTTTTGGGGGGGGGGGGCCGCTCGTGTCCCGTCGTTGTGGGGGGCGTGGCTCGCCTTGCCATTGTTGGCTCCTTCGCTTGGTCGTGGACCTGCGGTAGCCGTGCATGCTTGTGTCGCATGGCGCGGTTCGTGGTGTGTCGTAGTGTTTTCCTCCAGGCGCCGCCCTTCGGTGGTGTCACTCATCTCGTACGAGTGGCACCTTCCTCCCGATGTTCAGCGTCTCGGTCCGGGGCCTCGCGGCGTGTTTTTGAGTGAGACCTCTGCTGCGTTCAGCCAGAGGACGTCCTGTTGGTTCTCATTGCCCGGGGGCAACGATTAATCCCCTGCGCCACGAAAAGGCCAGGACGCACACCACCACGTGGTGGTTGCAGTGCAAGGGGGAACTTCACAATTAAGCTTCAGACAATTCTACGACAGAAGCTCTTGAAACTAGGGCAACAGTGAGCGTTCTGGCAAATTCTCTTCTGCGAATTCTTCTCTTCTATTGAAGTGAAGATCGGCACATCGGCAAACCGAACGGAATCAGAACGGAGTCCAAACGTTCCCTGCATCCCTATAAATTAAATCTACTACTTAGCTCTCGTTTCTACATCCAACATGGCAGGCTGAAGACCACGACGCTCGTTCCAAAAGACTGGCTTTCCGCAGTCCTTCTCGCGAGCTCGCTTGGAAACGTCCCAAAAGCAATGCGTATGCTGCCCAACATGCCTGAAGACCTTGACTGCGAGGGCACGGACGCCGCCGCCAACGCTACCGGACGGCCTCCCTCTGTTCACATCCTCTCTACGCACCCATTCGTGGGGCTCTATCGACATCGCAAAGCACCCAGCTTTGCCTTTGCGTCGATGAGCGTGGAAGCGCCAGCTTCGTAGAGGCCCGCCTTCTACCCTACGTAGACCCCTGCGTCTGTGCCGTGGGCCCGCGTACCTGGCCTATCGAACCCATCAACCGGTCACTTCGACGCCTTTATGCCTTTGGCTGGACGCCTGGTCTCTTTGCTATGCCTAGAGCCCAGCAGCTGTCGACATGGCGCGATGTGACCCGATGGGGAGGTAGGGACGGCGCGTGGGCCTGCGAGTTCGTGTGAGCCCGCCAGAGAAGCTCTACTACCCCATAGAAGTAGACTGTGGCTCTGGGCTCCGAGTCAGTGAATGGTGTCTCGAAGATCCGCGAGGAACGATCTTCCGCATCTTCAACTTGAGACGTCGCACAGATGTTTTGATGCACGAGGAGTGTCCAGCGTTCGTAGAGGATGTTGCAGTGGGCTAGTCAACCTTCCCAATATCTCGTGGTACATGACACTTGGCTTCGTGCCGCTGTGTTGTGCAACTCTGCTCTCAGCCTACCATCCTAATTTTTCCCTCTTCGTCTCGTTCGCCGAGAATCTACGTACTCTTCGTCACACTAGAGGGATGTGTATTTTGTAGCATCAGAGAATAAAGAACAATCTTGCTCAGTGCCAGAATAACTTTCCACTTTCTCGTTTTAGACGTCGCACCTAGCGGTCCAGACGATAACACCTACTTACATTCTGTAGGCTGTGGCACTCGCTGAGGTGTCTTCAACACACTTGGGATGGGCGCGCGAATTGGTAGATCAACGGACGGCGGCGATGAATGAACTCGATTTTCACCTGGATGGATATGTGCATTATTCGATTCTATTGGTACATATGTCCTTGTTTTGATACTTCTTCCCAAATTCTTGTATCCCGTAAACGGCTATCTTCACAGTTCTCCCTTAATCGCTTCGCCGCTCTTCTTGACCTTCTCGCCGACATAATCCCGGGCTTCATCTACCTTCTTCTCGCCGTAGATCCTCCCCTCCTCGTACTTAGCGTTCGCCGTCCTGCGGCCCTCCTCAGCGTATGTCTTCGCGGCGGTGTACTTATCAGATGAATAACCGGTGAGCACTTCAACTAGACGAGCGAGCTTCTGTTCAGCACTGTCGACGGCGCTATTGATAATCTCTGAGACACGCATGTAAAGGTTTTCGGCGTGGTGGTTGGTCTGCACCCATTTGATACGCACTTCCTCTGCGGGCAGAATGTGAGTAAGATAATTGGCATTGGGGGCGAGAGACTTACGGAGTAATCCTGGACGCGCACCGGGTAGCGCAGATTCGTCGACGCCTCTTTCGCGCAGATAAGCACGAAGACGAGCGTCGGGCCAGGTCAGATATTCGGCGGTGCGCGTGTTAGCGTCTTTGTATTTCTTGTCAATCATGGCAACAAGTTCGTCACGCTTCATTTGAACATCCGAACGAATGTAACCATGTTGTATCAACCAATCGCGAATTTGGTTATCAGACCACGCCGACCAGACTGTCGTCTTTGCGTGCGAATAGTTATCCCTACAGCAAAGGGGTTTAGGCTGCAAGCATTGAAAGGCAAGCCAGTAAACTTACTCAATCATCTTCATCATTTTGTCTCTCTTGATTTGAGCGTCGCCCTTGATAATGTCATGCTCGACGAGCCAATTTTTGAGTTGCGAATCTGTCCACGACGAATATGCTGTGTCGTGAATATCATAATAGTAGTTCTTCATGTGGTCGACAAGGGAACCGCGGTTCTTCTCGTAATCAGACTTGATGATGTTGTGCGAGACAAGCCAATTGTGCTGCGATACAAGGGGTTAGTGAATGGGGCAAGAGCGGGAGAAGGGGCTCACCATGTATGAAGTACTCCAAGCGCCCCAAGCGGAACCGGTTATCTCAGCGTACGCATTCTTCATCATGGCCAACATCTCTTCCCTCGACTTCTGCGGTTTTGTCTTGATGTAATCATTTTCCTCCAAATACGATCGTAGCTGATTGTCGTCCCAGGTGGAGTAAATATAATCTTTGGTGTCATCCATCACCGCATTGGCTGAATTCGTAGCTTGCGCTGCGATGCTACTCAAACTCTTCGAAGCCTGATATGTCGCGTCTCCATACACTGCAGAGCTGGCGGATGCACTTGCGACCGACGAGAAAGAAGAAGCCGCATCGGTGTAAGCTCTGTACTTTTGCTTAGCAAGCAGAACGAGTTGCTCGCGTGGGCCTGAGGGAGCGACTACGCCCTGTTCAAGGAGGAACTCGCGCAGCCGCGACTCATCCCACTTATCGAATGCTGTGTCTCGCAAGTCGGCAAATGCGCGCTGGGCGTCAGCATACTGGTCGTACGTCCATGCGGAAGCGGTGTTCCAGTTGGACTTGACCAGCTCCTGAAGCTCGTTTTTTGTATGGGCTTGCGACGGCACATCGACGTTGTGGTCCTCAAGCCATTTTAGAAGCTCTGACTTGGACCAATCATTGTAGTCGGGAGATTCGTTGGAAAACCAGGAGGCTTGTGCACTTGCGACGGAGAGGGCCGCAAAGAGGAGAATGGATGGTCTCATGGTGGAGGTTCGGGGGAGAAAGTGATGAAGGACGAGAACGACGAAGGCTGCTCTTTATATGGTTTGGTTCTGCGGGTGGGGAAGAGGAGATTGACGTCATGGTGCAGTGGGGTCGTCATTCGGGAGGATGTATGCGTACAGTATGAGCGTATATGGGATGCTGGAGCTGCATTAGCGCCGGACACCAAGGCAGCTGGCGTCTAGCGCTTGGCCCCTATCCCTCCCTTTCATGGAACGTAAACCGTTTGCTGTAGGTTTGCTGGATACATTTAAACGGTTACGGCTGCCGGTAGATATAAAATATCGCTCCCCTTCGAGCCTTTCTCTCAGCTAATACTCGAGGTTCCCGGGCCTTCTTGGTTTCGTCAAGTGTAACACTCTCCTTCGTGAGGATGCTAACCAGCGGTTTCAGTATTCTGAGCTCTTCGTCGTTGCTTTCCCCCGTCTCGAGACCAAGGAGTGGTGTCACGGCCTCCATAACGGTCTTATACAGCTTCATTTTGTGTTAGGGCGCAGCTTCCGGGCTTGGAGGCAATGATGACCTAGTTTCGAGGCTAATGTCTTGCTCGGGTTTCATTGCGGATGCGGCTGCAGTCCAATTCAGTCTTGTATCGTGTTTGAGTACATCAGCCATGGATGAACGTACCGGCATCATTGATCTCTCCCGACCGTGAACAACCAGGACGCTGTTTGAGAAGTCGACGAAAGGCCCGCGGACGAGCGGGCGAAGGACCGAATACGCCTTCGTTGTCTTCGTCTTCGCCAATCGGAATCCGTGCCGATCGGTTGTCAAGATAATCCTCGTCGCTCGAGATGAGGACAGCAGGCTTCTTTGTATCTGCTGCCTCTGTTCGAGTATTGTTAGGTGGAGTCTAATGGATGAATCCATTAAATGTGCTGCTCGCTTGCATGTATAATTGTACAACACTCACCGTATTGTCTACCCAGTGGTATCGAACCTTTGTGGCACGAACAGCTCTTTCGAGCTTCTCTAGCGACCTTTCCGTATCGCTAATACACTCATAATCTACGAGCGCCGAGGGGGGCGTTCGTTCGCCCGACGAAGTGCCAAGGCTAGTAGATCAAGGAAGGGAAGGAAAAACTTTAAACGAAAAGGCCATCGAATCCGACCCCTCGCGCCCACCTTCCAATACGACCCGAACAGCGTTAATCAAAGTGTTCGCGAACGCAGTAAACCCAGGTATTCAGCAACGTCGCAGAGCGCGGCGTTTGAGGAGCACCCCCTATCTTCCCGATGAGGAAAGGTCGAAATTACCATTTAAGGAACAATTCGAATGCTCGATTTCGCGAAAGGAGGGGGGAACGGTGTTCGGGTCGCACCGAGTGATGAGCATGACTTGTTGTGATTCCTGTCTGAAAATTTCTTCGGGGATTTCTCTCCCTGTCCCTGATACCGTCGGTCGCAAAACTAGCCTCCCCCCGTTGTCGTTAATTGCCAGTGTCCACTATGAGATAATTGGGCTTCACTGCTGGACATCGCAAAGATAGTCAAAGTGAGAGCAATACAGATGAGGAAATCATGGGTGAAAAGGGGAGTATTTGAGGCTGGCCTTGGGCACATCGCGGCTGAGCGATCGCTCCAAAATGGCAGACAAGTGCGAATACTATTTTATCACCAACAATGGGACAGAAGCGCCCAATCTCTGCCTTGGACTCCAATGAAGAGCCCGTGGACGAAATCAGGCGGGAGCCTCTGTTGTCTGTCCCGAAGGTGGTCATACTCCGAGAAAATCGTCGCAACGGGGGGGCTGCTGCAAGTCTAAGGATAATTAGCATCGAGCATGACAATGATAAGGACACCACCGAGGGTATCAAAAGGGCCTCAGGGGGCTCGTAAATCAGGCAAGTCCCAGTCCCAACGTGCATGACTACCCTAGCACTATCTGTGAGCTTACCCACATGGAAGCGGCAACTCACGCCGCTAATCCACCAGGGCCAGTTAACGCGAAAGTTTTGACCTTCGAAGCTGCTCACCAGCAGAAGATCAACTTGTATGGGGGCCTCCTGGATATCGTCGAGCCGATCATAGGCAGCAAGACGGGGGAGATGGACGATGATATCAGAGCGAGAGAATTGTGGGCGGAGAGAGTAAGGCTCAATATGATTACGAAGGACAAGAAGTCGCGGGAGACTGCAGAGAGGGAATCACTGGGGTGGCGGCGCAGAAGAGAACACCGGAGAGATTGGGGGTAGCTTCAGGTTTACGCATATAGTTCGCAATCCGTGCTTTGAATTTCAACCCATAAGATTTATTGCAAGGAGATCGTGCTATTTTTACAAAAGGACTCGCACTCTCAGCAAATGAGAGGAAAGAGGGAAAAATTAACACGGCAGACCAAGAGTAGTCTGAATCGAGTTGCACAACCAGCGGCACGAAGCCGACTGGGTTCTGTGTACCGCGAAGTGCACTAAAGGATGGCAGCCTTGTCCGTTGAATATTCGTCTGCGTAAGAGCACTGAGACTCCTCGTACACGAAGGCCTTCTGGGGAACATCAACCAGTAGGCGCGTCCAAAAAGCCGCTGCCCAGCTACTCAAGAGCATAACAACAACCGCTTCGCAGCGGAAGAGTGCCTCGCCCGCATCGCTTACGTGGCCCAAATAGTGTACCAGGGACCTCCGACAGATACCCCGTCACTAGCCGACGTGATATGAGCTCAACAGGGCGATACTACATTGGATACACATACCCAGTCGATTAGCAGATGGAGAAAGCAATACCAAGAATGTACTGACGCTCGTAATAATGGCACCCAGGGATCCGCGCGACCACGAGCGAAGCCTATCTACAGGCATACATCTCGTGTCACACTCATTGGCAAGGGTTCAACATATCCATGCCCCACGGCCAACACGGGCTCCATCAGGTTCAGTACCGTGTACCATACCAGTGGATGAATTGTGAAACGCGACGCCACCTGGAGACGCGAAACACAGACCGTGGTGGCGAATGTGAAGACAGGATTATGGCGAAAGCCAGGCCGGAATCCCAATGCCCCAGAGCGCACTTGTGAGAACCATACGAGACGGCGCGAATCGTGAGTTCCACGTCGATACATATGGCTGTCTGCGAAAAACCACATCATGCCGATAGAGGACCAATGCGCAGATAAAAAGAGCAACGAACGAGAACAGCCACCCGGTCCTCGCGCCGACTTTCAGACCAACTGCCCCCCGTGCCCTCTCGGGAGGTCTTCGGGCGTATGGACGACGTGGGTGAATTTCTGGTGCAGCGCTTGGCCAGTGATGGCCAGATCCAGCTAGGACCAATCGAGGAGGACTGGAATACTCAGACCTTAACCCGCTCGCAAGGTCGACTCGGGGAAGAGTCTGTGGGGGACGAGCATCGCGGTTTTCGACCTGCCGTGGTGCTTTGAGTACGAATTCTCGTGAAAATTTATACTCGCTGTTGTGACAAGTCACAGGTCACAGGTCCGTGTCTCAGGAGCTCAGGAGCTTGCGACTATCTAGCGTTCAGGTTTAGATTGCACTCGCGACGTGCACCCGTCAAATATTTGAAGTAACTCTGCCTGCGCGTCAGATACAGTGAAGCCACTGCGCCACTACCCAAGGCTACGTGAGCTTTCGAAGCTCTTAATCGTGGTATTTGAGCTCGACATGACATCGTGAACATGGACCTTGGAAAGCACGAAGGTTATCAGAAGAAACTTCTATTCGATACACTGGCAAGTTTACGACAAGGTGGGATAAACATCTCTGGGAAACCATGGCGGTTGTTTGGTGAGGGATGATCTAGGAAGGAAGTGAACACGAACCAGAACCAAACAAGGGCGGTGAGCTATCGCCGACGTCGCGGACATACCAACGCCAAACAAAGCAGTATGTCAGCCGCCTCCGAGCCAAACATGCCATTGGCTTAAAAGGCGTATACATACCTCCGTTTCCTTCACCAACACCAAGTAAGCAACCACCACCCGCCTGGTCAAATCCCATCTTATTCTAGCTCGCCTAGCACAGCCAAGCCAGAGAATCGAACACGACGTGCAGCTCACAGCGTCAGTCGAGGTGCCATCTGGGCGATGTCCTCTAAGCCGTAGATGAGTGACATCCCCGGAATCTCTCGTCTCATACACTGCGGTCATATACAACGGTGCGCGTCACTGGTCTCGGTCTACCCGCCTTGGGAGGGACACCGTCCGCTGTGCTGGTCGTCACTGCCCGCATGTCCTCAACCGTAGGCCGACAGATTCCAGTTTCCTCTACGGCCGATTCTGGCCTATGTCGTACTGTGGTCCGCGAAGGGCGGGGGCTAGCACCTTCACTGATGGACGTGAGGTCCTCCAAGGCAGCCTGGCACCAGGATCAAGGGACGGCGTTGAGTATGCTGCATAACTGTCCGTGCGCCGTCGACCACACCGAGGAAACCATCCTTTGGTCTGGTTGGCGGTGACGTAGTCAGCGAGGGCGAGGTGCAATTGTCTGAACCATGCGCTTTAGGTTCTCGGTGGTGAGCACATACTTCACTTTATTGGGAGCAGACCTGCTAATAGCCATGGTCTCCATAGATTAACAAGGGCGGCCCCAGAACATAGCACCTGTCTCGGCGGTGACCCCGCCGGTGAGTACATTTCCTTCGTTGAGGAGAAGAGACTTGCTAATACCAACCATCCCCACGGATCGTGGATGGCGATTACATTCCAGTCTGCCTTGTGCTAGTAAAGGGTGGCTGGAGCCTTGCAGAGTGGTGCGAAGGAAATCACCTGTATCATTTACGCCGTTAGTGAGGGCTGGCTGCAATACCATCTACTACAATGAGTTTTGTACAGCCGGCTTTGAAGGACGAGTAGTCATCCTCAGCGAGCCGCGTTCGATGTCGGAAGGGGATGATTGATATGACACAACGACTGCCTGCAAGATACCGCCAGGAAAAGGACCACACCCAACGTCTATGTGAGGGGAGGCGAGATAAGACCTCTAGATGAGTATTCCAAGGGGGTGCTGCATTATGTGTACGAGAGACAACTACGAGGTACCAAGCTGGGTTTAGGATTTGTTCAACGCGAGCGCAAGGCGAGTACGACTAAGAGATTGTATAAGAGCCACTAGGCCTTCATGTGACGCTTAGGGCAATCCCTCGAATTCCCTCCGGACTCCGGAGCCTCTACCTCTGTTTCCATCTCCGTCGTGGTCGTGATACCGTACACAACTACCGTCCCTGTAACTCGCATGCGTCTAAAAGACCCTAAATAACTCATAAACCCCAACATCATTGTACGTGATTCATACCAGCATCTACGCAAAGAGGAGGAAGAGTCTTCCGAGTCCTCTTCTGCAGAGGCTGAAATATTCGATGCTGTAAGTGAAGCGATCTCGTTGGTACCTTCGATACACATCCTATCTATCAACAAGCATACCTCGCGCGCGAATATTGACACTATTAGGGCCCGGTCTGCTCGTCAAGATGTTAGTCCCTACCTGCCAAATTTGGCTCCCACGGTTGGACCAAACCTGGCCCAAACCTACTCCAAACCGACAGTTTGGTCTGCTGTACCAGGGGGTTTGCGGGTGGGTTAGGACCTTCCTGTCACATTATTATGTCAGCGTTATTGCTGTTTGCAGAATAGTTGACCCAGCGTGATTTTAGCACCGCACACACAAAAATAGTCACGACAGGTAGGGCAAAAGCTTTCACTCATATCTCCCTCAATTTTTATTGTAGATGTAAGGGCAACCTCAAGATGGCTGACAGCGCAGGCCTAGCAGAGGGAGAATCCAAAGTAATGAATAAGACTAACTACAATACATGAGAGAGCTGCTCACCTAGCAGAGGGAGAATCCAAAGAGAACAGGATAAGGATTCTCCATGCTAGGAAGCGAAGTATATACTGTAGTAGCGTGGGAGGAGTGAAGGGTAACTGTACAGTACACCAGCCACAGGTCCGAACGAATATCACAAGGTACGAGGAAACATGTGATAATGAAGTGGAAGGGGAATGTACAGGAGTCGTGCCGGCGACCTGGGGAAGTGGGGACAAGGAGTAATGAAGTGGGAAAGGAGGATAGAGGTAGCCCGGACGAGCCCCGGAGTGTATCTATGAGTCCGAGCGAGTCCGAAGCGTCCGAGCGAGTCCGAGGTGTCCGAAGCGAGTCCGAGGCGAGTCCGAGGCGTGGGAAGACTCCGGAGTCACCGGACATGGCTCGGATGCGAAAGGAGTGGGCGGAAGGGAAGTGGAAAGGAAAGGAAGCGAAAAGGAACAAAGGGGAACGAAGGAAATGTAGGTAAGAGTCCATGGGATGAAGGAAAGGAGAGAAAATAGGGGTGTCCCCTTACAGTAGAGCTTAGACTCAAGTACGAGCCTCATCCCCTGATCAATCTGCATAGGCACATATAGAAATCTCGTTATTTCACCATGTAAATAAAATGAAGGTCCAAGGCGGCCATTTCGCACTTATTGCAGCTAAATCTAAGTGAAAATATATCATAAAGGACTAATGTGCAGATATATGGAGGCGTATGTAGTACAAAGTGGTCTGAAATGTGCCGGGGAGCTCAAGCATTGACTAACGACGCTAGGGCAGGACAAAATATATGCAGCGGAGTTATATACATTTCCCTACTTTTGCCATGGTCAACTGTTGGAACGACAAACCGTAATGCGAGAGCCGATCGCCTGTCGAGCTCAAACCCAATCTTGGCCTGGTGTATGGACCATCACCCCGACATCTGTACATATGTTCCATGGACGCTAGTGAATTCTGTTCCCCCTTTTATCCTACTCTTGAGTTCTGCTACCTCAACAATACATATGATACTCCTCATTACTTAGCCTTTTTCGTACTTATAGTTGAATACTTGTTCGTTCTCACTTCATCTTTTGCCTGCGCAAACGTGAAGTGAGTATCTTACATTATGTCCTTCCATACATCTTATACTTACTTCCGCGTGTAGCCTAAGTTTGCTACTCTTATAGGTATTGACTAATTCATCTTTTGCCCGCGCAAACGTGAACCTAAGTTTGCTACTCTTATACAACGAACGCGACAAGGCGCGAAAGGCGGCGAAAAAGAAGGACACAGCAGCCGCTAAGAAGTCAGATTCAATCAAAATCAGGCTTCCGGCAGTCGTCCGGCGCAGACCCAGCCCTTGCCACAATCCGTTTCTGCGAGCTGTGACTGACTCCAATGTAGAATTTGGTGTTCTCAAGCGTAAAATGGCACATATGCATGCACACAATGGTCCATCGGAGAGATTCTAGGACCAGCGTGCCTCTTGCCATGGACCGTTTATGAGTGGCTTCGTGGAAGCTGGAAAAGGGACTTTGGAAAACTCTCAGAATACTAGATTTTATTTACATGGTGAAATAACGGGATTTCTATATGTGCCTCTGCGGATTGATCAGGAGATGAGGCTCGTACTTGAGTCTAAGCTCTACAATAAAAATTGAGGGAGATATGAGTGAAAACTTTTGCCCTACCTGTCATGACTATTTTTGTGTGTGTGGCGCTAAAATCACGCTGGGTCAACTATTCTGCAAACAACAATAATATACCTGGTGGCACCTTGTATCAACTGCATTATCTATTCCCTCCAATAAACAGTACTATAGCTTGTGGTGCTTATTTATTAATGAATGTTAGTGGTAAGATAGCAGGACGAAGAAGTGAAAAAAGGACAATCCGTGGCTCGAACCCGCAACCTTTCTGTGCTAAAAAATAGTATTCAAGCGCGCAAACCGCTAAACCAACGTGCCACATCATAGACTCCTTTGGACTAGTATATCACCTACTGAGCCGGGATACTTCAGGTCGCCGACAAGAAATACAAGAAATACCGAAAGCAGAAGTTTGCATGTATTTACTTTGTATCTATTGCCGCTTGCCCACCACGATGTCTGTGACTTATTTGTGACGATTCCCAAGCGCCCCGAGCAGACTCCAGCGCTAAATTTTGTCAAGTTCAATGTCCGCCAACCCCAGGCCCGAGGGACTGACATCTCGACGAGCAGACCGGGCCCTTAGCGTTATGAGCAAAACCTATAACATGGAGGCAGCTAATGACGGTGAGCAAATAAACCCCCATGGCAGCGTCTGTTTGGAGGTGTTCCACAATACGTGGGTCGAGTTTTATGAGTGGGAGAGGGAGTATTGTGAGGCCAAGTTAGCGGCTCTAATGAGTGAGAGGCGGAAGGGGGCTAGTGCAACGCCAACGATCACCGCTACCGCGACGACGGCGCGTCCAACATCACCACCTGGTCCAATCTGGGTCATACCGTGTCCCCAAACTATAGTTGATCTCTCCGGTGTATTGGCAGACTTCGACGCAGCCCCTCAATACGAATCATGCACACCCCTGAACGGGAACGTGTATGTAGGGGACGATCCCGATGTTATGCCGTTCTTGCCGTTCGGAGAGGAGGATTGGGATGGATCTCCTCTTCCTGGCGGTGGCAGGAAGCGCTTTTCATTCGAGGACTACATCGGGGAATATGGCCAGCTTGCATGGATGTCTGAATTTGACGATCCAGATCGTAAGTGCTTTTGTCCAGCTCGACTCCACTGACGGTTCTGTTGTAGTGGACTGCATTCTGTATGCAACCACTCAACGCCTTGCCTCGATGTCGATATCGTACGCTCAAATGGACGCGACAAGTGTGTTCGCGCGGACGCCCAGGCTGCCGTTGCTTAGCGTATCCTCTGGGGATCATCCTGGCTTAGAGGCTAGAGCTGCGAAGAGGTCAGTTATCCGTTCATCCAAGCCAAATCGCATCTGACCGTAGACAGAGACTTCCCTCCATTCCCCACCCTACCATCCACCCCCACGCCCCGCCCATCTGCGCCTTCTGTCTTGTCGACCCTCAAAACCCAAATCTACCCGCTGTTCTGCCACAACCTCACCTGCATCCGCCATATCTGTCCTACACATTCGGAGGACACGCCCTATCCCCATGCGACGGCCCCCAGAAGGAAGAGTGCTCAGTTAGCTAATGTGAGCTTTGGTTCTCCACTGGCGGCGCCCTCGTTCGCCTGGCTGACGTCTGCACCTTCTATAGGATGATCCCACCCCAGATCTTTGCTCACCTACCTGTTATCGCCGCCGCCGCGGTCTTCATACAGAAATTTCAGGTACTATCCCCATGTCGTCCTCTTCCTCCAGTGTTGTATCACCACCTGCTGAGCGGGGCCGGAGAGGCATAACAGGACCATCGCAGCCGGCTATGCCTGATTCTTGGTCAGCCGTAGACAGAGACACTCTCATCACCCTCCTCGAACTCGATGCAGACGCCCAGCCATGCGATCTAGCCATTCTAATGAAGAAGAGTTGCAATGATGTGCGTGCATCCTCATCTCCCTTTGTGTTCTTCTGGTCTCTTCTTGCTTCCCATCCAATAAGCCCTTTCATGATTTTCACTCGCTTTATGTATATATCTTTAGCAGACCCACTATTTCTAGCATGTCGAGACCGACGTTGAATGCCGTGTAGATATTCCGCTTCCGCGAGCACATGTTCCCGGATCCGATGATCCCTTCCCACAATCCCAGAAAAGCCTCACTTAGACCGCCGAAGCGTAGGGTAAGGGATACAGTCATACTCGGTACGTAGTGGTTTTACATTTACCTGTTTTTGCGCACCCCATCGACCCGCGTCGTCAAAGCGCGACATTGTCATGTAACCCTCATTATATGTGGAAAAGGGTGCTAACATGTCTTCTGTTATATACAGATTTGCGCGACCATCAGACATATACACTGTATGTTGCCAACATCTCCTCATAATTACTCCTCTAAATGGTTGCATGCTTACTCGTGACCGTTATAAATGGTCCAACGGGTACTGGCAAATTCGAACTTTCATTCCATTTTTCGTAGCCCAGGCCCTTGTTTCCACCCCGGACCCTGCGATGACGCCTGCCCTTGCGTGCGCGCCAACGTACAGTGCGAGCGTAAGTGTCTGTGCGACGACTCCTGTGAGTTCAAAGTCTATCTGTTTATCTCGCTTACTTCGTTTGTTTTTGACTATACGTATCGTCGCGCCGCATTTACGCACCCTTTGTTCCTATCTCTCAGACCCTAACCCCTAATAACAAGCGTCACTTCACTTGCATTCTTTTTCACCCCTTGCTTTCCGGTAGTCATAATCATACTCATTGTTCTCCCAACAGGTCCCCTCCGCAAGGGGTGCAACTGCAGACCTCAGCGGGGTGCCAAAGGGAGCAACAAGAGTGGCAGTACCAAAAGAGTCTGCTGCCGCACAGAACAGTGTCCCTGCAGACGTGCCCACCGTGCATGCAATCCAGAGCAATGTGCTGGGTGTACCATTGCGGATTCTCAAGCACCGACGTGTCTCAATATGGCTGCTCTATGGGCAGCAGCTGGTAGACGTCGTAAAGTCTGTTATATCTCCAGAAACGGCCATGGTGGTAGGACTGACAGATGTGCTCAATAGGCTGTTGAAGTTCGCCGGTCAGCATACGGATATGGCCTTTTCCTCAAAGAGAGTGTGCTCGCTGGTGAATTCCTCATGGGTGCGTCTCCACGCCTCTCCCCTCTTTGCCGTTATCCTCCCAACTTGATGTAATCCGTCTCGATGTCCTCTCCGCACACTTGCTCAACTGTTTTGTTCTTTCAGAATACACAGGTGAAGCAATCCTAGACCCCACCTGTATCTCACGGGACTACATCATCGCCCACCGCCAGCGCAACTACCTCTTCGCACTTAATACGACACTCGGGGTCGACTCGTCGCTTGCGGGTGATCCATCTAGGTTTATCAATCACGGAAACCCACCGGATTTGGTTGACGGGTATGTGGGTGCGGGCGATGGCATCGCGAATGTTTACTCGCATGTGGAGATAACCAATGGGGGGCATGGGGTCGTGCTATACGCTGGTGAGGCCTTCCTTATCTTCGCGCGTGATTTGGGTTCGATGTTCAATCGTTGGGCCTATTTCGGATAGCCATAGACATGGATGCAGGGACAGAGTTGCTGCTTGATTATGGCCCCAAGTTCTTCAAGCAGGTGCACGGTGGCGATGACGATGGTGACAAGGGAGAGAACGAGGAAGAGAAAGAGGAGAGGCAGATAGCACTCAAATACAAGGGGTACTGGGATGACGATCCCGAGTACGGAGAGGCGGAAGAATATAAAGAGTAGGGTGACCGGTGAAGCTTTGACGCTTTGAAGGCACATGGTGCAGTGACTATTCTAGTAATTTTGGACAACGTAATTGGGTAGAACAGGTGGCGATGGCCGCTCACAATCTTGGCGTCAGCAATTTCCAGTGTATTACTTACGCGCAAATCGAAATGCAGAACATTGATGCTATGAAATACAAGGTCCAAAGGACATTATATACAATCAATCCACCGCGCACGTATAGTCTTCACACCGTGACCTCCCAGTCTCTCCCGCGGAGGCCCTAGCAGAACTATCTAGCAAATTGATGTTGGGTGAGTGCGTCGAAGTTTGAACCTAACTGCTAGGCACGGTCATCCCTGAGAGACGCGCGTTAAGTTGTGTGACTCGTCACAATTGTCACAGCACACGAGCACGAGTATGAGCTTCGAGGAAATCCAGAATCAAACCAGCACGGCAGGCTGAAAACCGCGATGCTCATCCCCCACAGACTCTTCCCCGAGTCGACCTTGCGAGCGGGTTAAGGTCTGAGTATTCCAGTCCTCCTCGATTGGTCCTAGCTGGATCTGGCCATCACTGGCCAAGCGCTGCACCAGAAATTCACCCACGTCGTCCATACGCCCGAAGACCTCCCGAGAGGGCACGGGGGGCAGTTGGTCTGAAAGTCGGCGCGAGGACCGGGTGGCTGTTCTCGTTCGTTGCTCTTTTTATCTGCGCATTGGTCCTCTATCGGCATGATGTGGTTTTTCGCAGACAGCCATATGTATCGACGTGGAACTCACGATTCGCGCCGTCTCGTATGGTTCTCACAAGTGCGCTCTGGGGCATTGGGATTCCGGCCTGGCTTTCGCCATAATCCTGTCTTCACATTCGCCACCACGGTCTGTGTTTCGCGTCTCCAGGTGGCGTCGCGTTTCACAATTCATCCACTGGTATGGTACACGGTACTGAACCTGATGGAGCCCGTGTTGGCCGTGGGGCATGGATATGTTGAACCCTTGCCAATGAGTGTGACACGAGATGTATGCCTGTAGATAGGCTTCGCTCGTGGTCGCGCGGATCCCTGGGTGCCATTATTACGAGCGTCAGTACATTCTTGGTATTGCTTTCTCCATCTGCTAATCGACTGGGTATGTGTATCCAATGTAGTATCGCCCTGTTGAGCTCATATCACGTCGGCTAGTGACGGGGTATCTGTCGGAGGTCCCTGGTACACTATTTGGGCCACGTAAGCGATGCGGGCGAGGCACTCTTCCGCTGCGAAGCGGTTGTTGTTATGCTCTTGAGTAGCTGGGCAGCGGCTTTTTGGACGCGCCTACTGGTTGATGTTCCCCAGAAGGCCTTCGTGTACGAGGAGTCTCAGTGCTCTTACGCAGACGAATATTCAACGGACAAGGCTGCCATCCTTTAGTGCACTTCGCGGTACACAGAACCCAGTCGGCTTCGTGCCGCTGGTTGTGCAACTCGATTCAGACTACTCTTGGTCTGCCGTGTTAATTTTTCCCTCTTTCCTCTCATTTGCTGAGAGTGCGAGTCCTTTTGTAAAAATAGCACGATCTCCTTGCAATAAATCTTATGGGTTGAAATTCAAAGCACGGATTGCGAACTATATGCGTAAACCTGAAGCTACCCCCAATCTCTCCGGTGTTCTCTTCTGCGCCGCCACCCCAGTGATTCCCTCTCTGCAGTCTCCCGCGACTTCTTGTCCTTCGTAATCATATTGAGCCTTACTCTCTCCGCCCACAATTCTCTCGCTCTGATATCATTGTCCATCTCCCCCGTGTTGATACCTATGATCGGCTCGACAATATTCAGGAGGCTCTCATACAAGTTGATCTTCTGCTGGTGAGGAGCTGCGAAGGTCAAAACATTCGCGTTAACTGGCGCGGGTGGATTGACGGCGTGAGTTGCCGGTTCCGTGTGGGTAAGCTCACAGATAGTGCTAGGGTAGTTATGCACGACGTACCTTCATTTATCAGTCTCGTTGGGACTTGCCTGATTTACGAGCCCCCTGAGGCCCTTTTGATACCCTCGGTGGTGTCCTTATCATTGTCATGCTCGACGCTAATTATCCTTAGACTTGCAGCAGCCCGCCACAGGTACGCGCTTCATCCGGATGGGAGAGGATGTACCCCACATGCCCGATGTCGATAATCTCCGTTCCCGATGCAATGCTTCTGTACTTCGGCCCTGGTTTCCCGTCCAACCCCAATAAAATAGCAGGCTCGTCGTTATTGCCAGGAAAGAGGCATCCCACACGGGTCCTTGGGTGATCTCATAATGTTGGGCGGTGTTGTAAGAACGAGGGCTCAGAGCCGGACGTCCCTGAACTACGCAAGATAAGTTACTGCTTAGTAGATGGAGACCCTAAAAGAGAAATCAGCATCCATGGGACCCATCACTGACCAGATGTTCACCGTCCTTATCGCTACCGTTGGCATATACCGAAACAGAGTGACGATTTTATCCATGGCTTTCTACCTTGATGCGGACTGGCCAGTAGTATACTGTAAACGCAACCAATTAGAGCGATTAGGGTTCATATTCCTGGTATCTCGTAGATATCGAGAGTCACAAAATAGTCAAGCGGGGTTTGGGAACTTGTTCATATATCGCGAGGGAATTCAAGGACTGCGAGAGCTGTGTAGCACTAATCAACGGGGGATTGATCGAATAAATGTTACGCGGAGCCTTTCACTCGTATACGCCCGGTGATGATTCAGGAAGCCTGCATTCGACTACTTCTCTGCAGCTTGATCTTCGAGCCCGGCATTTCACATCATTATGAGCCTTTTATAAGATACCAAAATGTGTTCCGACTGTGCGTAAGTAATAAACTGACATTAATCGACTCGCCACCACTTGTTCTACTCAATCACATTGTCTAATAATCACAGACAATCGCGATTCCGCATCCATGGCCCCTCTACTCTTTATATTCTTCCGCCTCCCCATACTCAGGATCATCATCCCAGTATGTATATTTCTTCGCTTCCTCCCTCTCCACATTCTCTTCATTGACATTGTCTTCCTCGTCACCATCCTCGTCACCACCGCTTATCTGCTTGAAAAACTTGGGCCCGTAATCGAGCAGCAATTCCGTACCTGCGTTCATATCTATGGCTATCAGAAATAGACACAATGCTTGATGAACAAACTAAATCGCCCGCAAAGAGGAGGAAGGACTCACCAGCGTATAGCACAACCCCGTGCCCCCCATTCGTAATTTCCACATGTGAATAAACATTCGCGATGCCCTCACCCACACTCATAGAACCGTCAACCAAATTAGGCGGATTTCCATGATTGATAAATCTTGATGGATCCCCCGCAAGCGACGAGTCGACCCCAAGGGTCGTATGGAGCGCGAAAAGATAGTTGCGCTGGCGGTGGGCGATGATGTGGTCGCGCGAGATACAGGTGGGGTCGAGGATTGCTTCACCTGTGTACTCTGAAAGGCAAGTAATGAATGTCAAAGTAATCAGGGAGAAATTCAAGAGTAGAATGGGGCCGAACAGACATACCCATGAGGAATTCATCCGCGAGCACACTCTCTTTGAGGAAAAGACCATAGCCGTGCGCCGATCGTCGCACTTCAACAGCCTATTGAACATATCTATCAGTCCGCCCATCGCCCGAAAAAACGACGGACTTTACGGTGTCTACCAGCAGCCGCCCATAAAGTCGCCATATTGCAACAAGTCGGCACTCGGGAATCCGTAATGGCACACCCGACACATTGCTCCGGATCGCATGCACGCTTGGCGCGCCTGCAGGGGCAGCGTTTTGTGCGGCAGCAGACTCTCTTTGTACCGCTGTCTTTATTGCTCCCTTTGGCAACCCGCTGGGGTTTACATTTACATCCTTTGCGAAGGGGGCCTATTAAGGGACCAACGGGTATGAGTATGAGTATTGCGAGGGGAGTGAAAATATGGTATATGAAGGAAAGGAGTGTTTGAGACTCACAAAAATCGTCGCACAAGCACTTGCGCTCGCACTGCACGTTGGCAAGCACACAAGGGCAGGTGGCATCGCAGGGCCCGGGGTGGTAGCATGGGCCCGGGCTGTGAATGGGAACAAGGAGGGGGGGCAGCCACGACGGGTTCGGGTTCGCGAGCATTTGTTCGACCATTAACAGTAAGAATGGTCGCGAGTTGACATGCATTGATTCGAGAAGAAAGTAAGTATGATGTGCGCAGGAGCAGTGAAGAGGGAGAAGAGGGATGGAATGAAGATGTTTGGAAGTAGGAAGCCGGAAAGCGGGGCAGATAGGGACGACGTACGGCGTGTATGTCTGAGGATCGAGTACTACATCCAACAGAAGGCGTATTAGCGTCCTTTCTCACATTCGATGGGGGTATAAACGTTCAAGGGACGCTCTGCAGCAACACAGGTAGATGAAAGATGTAACAGGGTGCACATACCGAGGATGTTATCCCTTGTCCCATGCTTAGACGGTTTAAGTGGTGCTTTCCCAGAATTGCGGGAGGCAATCATCGGATCTGGGAACATGCGCTTGCGGAAGCGAAATATCTACACCAAATTGAACGTTAGTCTTGACGTTTCAATAGATCTGTGCGGTTGAGCCGGTAATAGAGATTGTGAACGCGCAGAACAGAGTGAGTGGTCATTAAGAGAGCCGTTGTAGGGAGCAAGAAGCAGGAAAGAAACAGTCGAAGAAAGCGGAAAACCACAAGGGTCGAGAACAAACGTACGTCATTACAACTCTTCTTCATTATGACGGCCAGATCGCATGGCCGGGCGTCTGCGTCGAGTTCGAGGAGAGTGATGAGAGTGTCTCTATCTGCAGCGGACCAGGAATCCAGAATAGCTGGCCTCAATGCTCCTGTTGCGCCTCTTTGTCCATGCTCAGCATGCGGTAGTACAGCATTGGGGAAAGTGGATGACGCGAGAGCAGTACCTGAAGGTTTGGCGATGAGGAGGAAGCATGTTGGTGAGCAAGGGGAGGAGTCATTCTACGGAAGATGTAGGCATCAGTTATGCGAACGAGCATGTTAATGACGAAACTAAAGCTCACGTCGACCAAATAAACACTCTTCTTTTCGGGGATCGTGGCGTGGGGATAGGGCGTGCCCTCAGAGTGAGTAGGACAGATTTGCCGGATACAGGTGATGTTGTGGCAGAACAGTGGGTAGATCCGGGTTCGGAGTGTCGACAAGACAGCAGGCGGAGATGGGCGGGAAGAGCCAGGGGAAGGAAGGGAGGGGAAGGGAGGAAAGTCTCTGCCTACAATCAGACGGGGACTGGCCAGGATGGACAGAGTACTAACCTCTTAGCAGCTCTCGCCTCCAAGCCAGGGGGGTCCCCAGAGGGCGCGCTGAGCAACGGCAGCCTAGGCGTCCGCGCGAACATGCCTGTCGCATCCATTTGGGCGTACGATATCGACATCGAGGCAAGGCGGTTAGTGGTCGCGTACAAAATACAGTCCACTGTGATACATCCATTAGTTTGGTCAAGTTGGGACTAATCACAATGACTTACAGTCGGGGTCATCAAACGCAGACATCCATGCAAGCTCACTGTATTCACCAATATAGCCCTCATATGCAAAGCGCTTCCTCCCACCATCAGGAAGAGGATATCCATCCCAATCCTCCTCTCCGAATGGCAAGAAGGGCATAACATCAGGATCGTCGCCTACATACACGTTCCCGTTCAGGGGTGTGCAGGATTCATATTGAGGGCCTGCGTCGAAGTCCGCCAATACACCGGAGAGATCGATTGTAGTTGTGGGACACGGTATGACCCAGATTGGACCAGGCGGTGATGTTGGGCGCGCCGTCTTCGCGGTAGAGGTGAGCGTTGCCGTCCCCTTCCGTCTCTCACTCATTAGAGCCACTAACCTGGCCTCACAATACCCCCGCTCCCACTCATAGAACTCATCCCACGTGTTCCGGAACACCTCCAAGCACACGCTGCGATGGGGATTCATTTCTGCGCCGTCATTAGTCGACTCTAAATTATGGGGTTTGCTCGTAACGCCGGTGGTGGCCGGATTCGCGTCCGAAGTGTGCTTGTTGGTCGATATGTTGGGCATCACAGATACGGAGGTGATCGCCTCACTTACAGCACCAGGTATTACAAGTTCTGCGAGAGAAGACTCGGAAGAGTCCTCCTCCTCTTCGCGTAGATGGTCGTATGAATGGCGAACGAAGGCGCTCGTCATAGCCACTGAATATTGGATCTTGAGATAGTAGTAAAGCAGCCCGGCGGGCCAGTCTTGTCGGTTCGAGGAGGTCACAAGAGGTCACAAGCTTCGTGAAAGTCGCGTGATCCTAAGTAGACGCCCACAGGTGCTCCTTGTCGCCATTTTTTGTTAGTTTTCCACTTCCAATGTCTCGCATTCTTCCTGTTGCTTTATTGGACATTGCTGTCACACAATGTCTTGGTCGCGCTGGAGCGCATTCTGTGCGGAACCCCGCCAATATTCGCATGATGCACCAAGCAGCGTTGGCTACGGTCCCCGACACCCTCCCCCCGTCAATGAGCCATCCTCAGGCATTCGGAAGGTTGTATTTCTTTGCATTACATGTCGTTGATGCTGATATTTAATAGGCTGAAGACACGCAAGGTTCGCCGGGGAACCCTTGCCGTTCGCACTGCACTATCGAGCACCGAATTACAGAAGCGCGTTCAAGCATTGGAAGTCGCTGGGGCTATCGAGGTACGTGGTACTTCCTGTCCTGTCCCACAGCTCTCATATCTCTGCCCAGCAATCCTCTGTGGACGCGCAATCGTACTCGGAAGAGCAACTTGTCTCCATTTACGAAGATCTATTATCCATACCGATGGAGGAAACCCCTACGCCCCAGTTAACGTCTCGCGAGCAAGACTTAGGGGCTGTCAATGCCGTGGACCTTCGTCTTCTGGAATCGGAGCCCACGCACAACCATACATCGCTGCTGACCGTTCTTCAGCCGGTATCCCTGCCCGACAAGCAAACGAAATACGGGCCATCGCCAGAGCCGTACAAACGGGTACTATGGAGGATTGAGTGCTTGCTACAGCGTTTGGAGGCTGCTCAGGCTAGAGCAGGGACACACGCACCCGCAGTGTCACTAGGAGTGGTCACGGCGGCAGAAGGCGAAGCGCTGGTACGGGTTAGTGTGAGTTGCTTCGATTTATAGGTATCCAAGTGTCTGAATTTCGCTGTTAGGTCGATGCTGAAGATTTCGAAGCGGCGGAATACTCTCTGTCTCTTATGAAGGTCAGCTTTGGGTTTGTTGCCGTTATCATGAAAAGTGGTTGAACGTTCATCTAGCGGCTTGGGGTGTCTACGCCCGAACCCGTACTCAACTGCGTACTCGAAGCGTACGCCAGAAAGGGGCTCGTTTTCGAAACGGAGCAATTCTTGACGAATGTACTGGCTGCACCTCCGACAGAGACACAGCGGCATCTTCACGTCAAAGCGCACTTAAGAGCAGTCGCAGCGCCGGACACGATCCCCGAATCAGCGTTGTCCGTCTTGCATCACTACGAGAGCCAGCACGCACCAGCACCGATGAACACGTACACGATGCTCATCACGAACCTCTTCTCGAAACACTCTGTCCTGGCACGCGCGCAGGCTTGGGATATCTTCACGCACATGCGCTACGTCGCTCACCCGAACCCCGATGCGTTCCTCTATACAATGATGATTCGTGCCTGCGCGTCGCCCTTCGCTTCGTATCGCGCAGAGGCGGAGCGCGCGTTGGACCTCTGGACCGAGATGACCGTGGACAAGGGACTCCCCCCTACAGTCGGTGCCTACAACGCCGTCATCCTCGCCTGCGCGCGCTCCGGCGAGCTGTCGTATATCAACGAGGCGTTCCGCCTGGCGAAGCAGATGCTCGACGCACATCGGGATGCCCACGGCAACTCGCAGTTCCGGCCCAACTCCAAAACGTTCTGCGCGCTGTTGGAGGGCGCTAAGCGCGTGGGCGATCTCAATCGGGCGCGTTGGATATTGGCGGAGATGGTTCGGGTGGGGGAGCCGGATGAGGGCGGTAGGACGAGCGTGCAGATCACGGAGGAGGCGATGATGCATCTCCTCCATACGTACACGGCGTACACGCCACCTTTTCATCGCGGGATCGCTGTCCTCAAGCAAGGCGATTCGGACACAGACGGCCCTTCCAGCGCAAGTACGATTGTGCCTTTATCAGAAACCTCGGTTCCGGAAATATGTCCAGAATCGAACCAGGCGTCGTTCACTCACCTTCCTCCACAGAGTCGCGCCGAGGTCATAGCCGAAGTCCAGTCTCTGTTCAGCCGAATCCAACCCCTTGCCCCAAGGAGGACCCCAGCATCAAAATACGACGACGCTTTTGCTAACGTCACAGTTTCCACCCGGCTTGTTAACTCATATATCTCGGTATTCTACAGGCATTCGTCGTTGCAGACATCGAGGGATCTATTCAACCAGCTATTCGAGCAGATGGGCGTTAAGCGCAATGCACGGTCCTACACCGAAGCGCTGACGAAGTGCGTTATGTCTAAGCAGGGGGCGGATAAAGATGCGGCCTTGGACTTCGCGACGTCGATATGGGACCGGTGGCTGGCGCTGGAGCATGATATGAGAGAGGAAGCTAACAGAAGCGGTAAAGTGTTCGACGGTCGTATAGTTGAAAAGGCGCGCACATTGATGATACGCATCCTCACTCTGTGCGTTTTCTTTCTCTGCCTCCTATAAGGGTGACAGCTAGCTAAAGCCTCCCCTCCCCTCCAGGCATGGCAAAATCGACGAGGCTCTCGACCATGTGCGGTCATTCGTGCAGGACTTCCCGCCTCCGGCGATCCGCACTCCTCGGCCGTGGACGACGATTCGGGGCACGCGCACCGTGCTGTTCGCGCCTCGGCCGCTCGTACGCGCCACGACCCCGGTGGAGATTCCCGATGATACCGTGCCGCCGCTGCTTACCTTCGGGGACGTGGACGTTCTGCACCACCGGTTGGTGGCGATGGGGAGAGGTAAGGATATTGGGTACTTGAAGTGGGTTGTCAAGTCCTATGAGGGCGCACTGAGGATGAGGAGGGAGAAGGCCATGAAGAAAGATGGGAATTGAACGTGACTGGTGTAGGTGTCGACAGATAGAACGCCCCAAAGAATTTCATTCGCCCGAAGCTGTGACCCCTTCGCACCTCGTCGCCTCCCCTGGGTTCGCCTTCAGCGCGATGAGGGCTCCCCGATAGCAACGAGAACCATTGTTGGCACGGATCCATTCGTGATACATGGTTGGGAGAAAATGGCGGAATGGATAAGGAACCTGGACAGAGTTCGACGTTTGCCGCCAGCGATATACCCTATGATAGCATCTATTTCTATCTTACGGAACTAGGTGGGCAGGAAAACATCCACGATAGAGCCAAAATTACTCTAATGCCTTGAATAATACCTTAGCCTTTCTTGAGGGCATACACATCGGTCCATACCACTCGTCTGCTGGCCTTTGCCCTGACTCCAGCTTCACATCATAATTGAGGATGACGTGTGCCATCATGCTCTTTAAGATCGTTGATGCGAAGAAGCGACCCGGGCTAAAAGGCTATTGTTCAGTATACTTTCATCCCTCATAGCATTGACCCAAGTACCACGCATGACGGCCTCCTCCAAAGGAAAGGTAATTGTGGGTGCTGGTCAGACGCAGTCTTTCTTCCTCTATCTTGTCCGATTTTCCTTGCATGACCAGATTCTCCCGAGTCTTTGAGAATCTGAGGCCATCGAATTCGGCAGCGTTGTTGTACAAACTCTCATCTCGGTGGGTCGCTGTGGGTGCGGCGGCCACGATGATGCCCGGTGGTAGAACTGTGCCATCCGAAAACGTGAAGGGGACCATCACCTTCCGCGGCAAAGACACTGCCGGGTGAAGTTGAGTTCTAGATGAGGCTGGTGCGAATCAAAACTTCTTACTGGCGCCCATTCCGTTCAAGCGCTGGGATTCCTTGAAGAAGGAGTCTAGTTTCCAACATTTTTCGAGTTTGTCCGAAACCCAGTCGTTCGCGCTTCGAAGGCGATTGGGACCCAAGTTATCTATAAGCTCCTCTCTGAGGATGTTGATATAGGTTGGTTTACTTGCTAGGTGGTATAGAGCGTGGACAAACGTCTGCAGGGAAATCTGGGTAAAAATACACACAATCACCAGCTAAGTGTAATACCGATGAGGTTGTGTGAAGAGCAAGGAAGTTCACGTTGAGCATCCGAACAGCAAGAGATTCATCTGTTTGACAATGACCAGGTGTTGCGGCGTCCATCAACCACGATAGCATATCATTCTAACAAAGTAAGCCGATAAGAAACACAGTCAGTGAGATGGAGGGTACTCAAACCGGTTTGTCTGGATAGGAAGGCCCATATTCTTGGATATGATGACGACGCTCGGAGATGATTGGGCGTATGGTACGTAGTAGACGCTCTTGAAGTCCATAGACCTTGCTCCAAATTTGACCCGCTACTCTTGGAGGTGTCAGGGCGTGCATTCAAACAGAGATGAAGGGAATTTACGGTTTGAGGAACGATGGAAACATCCCGGTAAACACTGTCCCGAATACTACATGGTTGGTAAACTGAAGGTTGACGGAGCAATATTCTTCATCACGACCTAGCATAGATTTAGATAAGAGATCTTCGCCTGCATGGTTAGTAAGAAATCATATATACAAAGTGGCAGACCGATAAAAGCGCGGTTGGTTGCACGGCAAACTATTTTGGAGAACGTTTCTGTGGCTCGAATTGGTACCCATACTACGAGAGTGATTAGCAGTAAGAACTGTGTGTGACTGAAACACAGCACTCACTATCTTTCGAGAGGTTTGTGCGAATCAAATCGTCAGTTGCTGAGACCATTTCGTCAAGAATTTCCGGCAAAATTACGGCCAGGTTCTTCGATAAAATATGGCGAATGACTCCAACGTGGTAAGCATCACGTCGTATCTCCTCCCCAAGGGTGTAATCTGATTGAAGGAGCTATGAACGATTGAGTATTTGGCCGATATTTGGAGGCACCGGAAGTCTCCTCACATCCACCATAGCTGCTTCCATGGATAGGACGTGCTCCGGAGCAGTCCTTAGGTTTTCCAATAGGGCATCTCCAGATGCAAAGGCAATCCAACGATCCATTTGAGCCACCTTGAATATCCTGCCCTTATACTGAGAAAATCGTCAGTGAAGGGGAGTGTTGAGTTGGTTTGGATTAATTGTTGAACCTTCTTGTAGCCATCATAGAGCACCGATTCCGCGTTTATTGTGAACCGCAAACTAGTGATATAGGAACTGAAGATGCCGCCATGGCCGGCGGCAGGTATATGTCTCTGGGAAGGCTGTTGAGTCGAAATTCTCTGGAAAAAATTTCCAGAGTAATAGTAGACAAACCAAAGAAATGTGTCGGCGGAGTGCCTGCGCTGAGACCGCTACGATGGCTGCGAGGATGACCAGGCTAAGCAACATGGGAAATGGGGTCGCAACTACGGAGCGCCAGCCTGTCTAACGCGTGGTGAAATAGCAACTTAGTAGCGCGGAAGCGTGGAAGCTACTAGATATTTTAAGTACATCATTAATGCCTACATCGCACGGCTTGATCAATACTATCGGGCATTGTGATCAGATAGTAATGATACGAACTTGAAGCACAGATGGCGAAAACAGACGAACGCCGCATCATGCATCACACGCATGGAGGGTGTAGGGTGTTCTCCAGGAATACTTCGTTCAAGCTGCGTGGACGTCGGACGGATCACAAAAACTTCCTTGGAGCTGCAAGTTGGCTACAAGGTAAGTATCCGGGTTGAACGTTGATATATGATATGTGGTGCTTTATTTGTGTAATGCACTGTCATGCAATCAATGTTAGTGATCATTCGTAACCTACTGGGATCATGGGCGAGCCGCCGAGATCCTGTCTTGGCAACAACAAGGGCATCAGAGATGCTGCGTCTTTCGTGATGGTCAATTGTCGAGGACTCGCATGGAGTACTTAGTATTGGCCTTTTCATTGATCGAAGAGGATTCAATTTTTAGATCAGGATGTTTCTGCTTTGCCATCAAACCAGTGTTAAGGCGGCTTGCATCACTGTGCTTTTGGGGTGAATTCAAGACTGCGACAAGGAAGGGGGTTGGAATCAATGGATGAAAGCAACGGCGTTGCGTGAGAGCTGGAGGTGGATGACCGGACATTCATCTGCACTTCCTAGGCCCGCCCAATATCAGATTCAGATCTTCTGATATCTACTCTTAGTAGGTTCGAGGGGAGGGCCTAGTGACGAACCCGTCAAACTCGCGTGCTACTATTTGTTGGAAAGATGGGAGCGCAAATCCGAACCGCAGGATGTGGACCCACCATGCACAACGTGGTACGAAGAGAAATGACAACTACTGATCATGTCAAACAGTGGGACACTCCAGTGATATATAGTGACATGTCGGAGCATGTTGGCTCACTGAAGGATAGGTCGTAAGACAAGAAATCATTACACTTATTGGAGCAAGAAAGTGATACATCTAAGTCTACGCTAAAATTGCTTTAGACTCTTCCCCATGCGATCGAATTGGTACTTGTGTACCCGCTGTCTGTCCCTGTCCCTAAGAGCTCAGAAGATGTGACAGCACCCGGGGCCAAAACAATGCGCCGCAGGTTCAGAACAATTCTAGATGCGATCATAACGCTCATACTCCTCATTGGATTGATTAGGACCCCTTGGAGGGCCGCTCGTTCGGGCGGGATGGCCAAATACAAAACAAGGGTCACGACGCCCGTGCTGAAGCCATTCATGAGTAATGGCGCCAATCCCAAAAATAAGGACTCACGAAAATAAAAATGCGTAATAGAGCAAGCAGTCTTTGAAAATGCCGACTACAATCCGTTTGTTTCCTTGCATAACTGAAGATTCGTCAGTAGGAGAATCGAATGAGATAGAAGAAATTCACAGTATTGGTAGGCCCGTATCGTTGTTACGGCGAAAATACTAAAGTCGAAAACAATGGAGGTTGAGAATATGACTATTCCTGCGGTCTTAGTAGGAGCGCCGACCGTGAAAACACACGTCAGGCGAGGAATCGGCAATCGCAAAACTGGGGCATGGAGCGTTAGAATTCTTACTTTCAATACAGCAGTTAACTTACATTCAACCTGCGCCGAAGACACAGAAATGCCAATAAACGTGCCAACATTGCAGAACTAATCCAAGATTGCATTAGTTGGCGGAAAACGAGTTGCTTCCGTTCTACCCACAATCACCAAAGCGATCAACAAGTACTTGACCAGACGTTGGCCGCGCCACAAAGCGTAAGTTCGCATAGCGAGAAAAACTAAGGGAAGTGTGAACGAAGTAGTGCGCGTATTAGCGATGACACTGACCAGTAATCAGAATGAACAAAGCCGTCGGGATGAATTGCACAACGTAGAACATGTATCGACAGAACTAAGTGATGACGGATGGTGTCAGTATATTGTAACTCTGGGGCAAATGAGAAACTGACTGAGAACGGCGCATCTGGCCATAGATAATCTACAATAGTCATAAGCCGACTGACAATTTGGGAAAAGAGGATGCTTGCAAGTGAACCCGAAGCCTTGCACAATGATGCTTCCATATTTCATCACAATGTACATAAATGTTCCCTTTGACAAGGGTGCCTTCTGCATCTCATATGAAGATAGTAATGTGACGGTCAGAAGTGAAGTACTTACCCAAATGAAGATGTACTAAATATGTAGTCGCAAGAGTTAGACGGGTTTCAGATGTAGAGCACGATGGTTAACGTACTTCACTAGGGTAGACTTTCAGTCATATGTTATGCAACGTGTATCAGAAGTTTATCACGAACCATTCAAAAGTGAGGGCAGCATCGTAAATGAGCAGCGCGTAGAACGCGACTATCAGAGATGAGTCAAGCTAGTGTAGTCAATAAGGTAGGTTAGTTGGCCTACCCAGGAGATACTGTAACGACTGTAAGTATTTGTGCGGAGAATCGTACAGACAAGCTCACATTTAATACCAAGGTATCCTTTGTCACTTGTAAGAAAGCCTGGTAGGCCTCCATCTGTTGTTCAGGGGACAAGGGAGTGCTATCCATGAAGTATTTGGGACGACAGTATTGTAAACCTGTTGATAAGATCCATCCCCGCTATATAGGCCCGACTGCTACAGACGGACTAAGTACGTTCACGGAATAGGATCTTGATTGGGCGTATGGATCTTTTGTATGGGCATTTGATCCATCGTTGATACAAGTGGTTGGATAGGATCATGATGCACCGACACTAAACTTGATTTCCGAGTCCCCGAACTCGGCGGGAGGTTATTGCGGCGCAAGGAGAGACTACACCATCGTGAGTGCTTACCATAGCCCCCCCGTTACACTTCTCGGAATCAGAAGGTTGATGCTTCGAAGCTTGAAGCCCTCGAAGACTCCAAAATCATTCCATCAAGGCACTGCCTTCACAAGTTCACTTGATGTATTGGTGTTGATTGATGCGTAAGCATCGCTCAGAATACCTTTGGGAAAGAAAAGGCGAGACGTGCTTGGCCCTGCACTGCAATATCCTCTCTCAACACTCTCAACTCGCCAGTGGTACCAACACCAATGCCACGTTCTTACCTCGTCGTCGGTGGCGCCGGATTCTTGGGCTCGCATATCGTGCAGGCTTTGGTCGCCCGTGGGAACAGTGCGGTTGCTGTATACGACGTGAAGACCCCCGTTGATGAAGACAGAGTCGCTGGCGTTGAGTACTTTATAGGTGACATTATTGACGAGGTCAGGTTGGTCGAGGTCTTGAATAAGGTTAGTGGGCTCAATTCGACCCTAGTTACAGCCTGCCCTGAACATGCGTTAGGCCCAGGTCGACTTGTTATTCCACGCTGCCTCCCCAGTCCACGGTTTGGATGACAGTTTGTACTTCAAAGTCAATCAACACGGCACAGAAAAGGTCCTGTCGGCGTGCAGGGAGGCTAAAGTCACGAAGTTGGTGTACACTTCGTCGACGGGCGTTGTGTGGACTGGAGCGACGTTCAATGGCATCGACGAACTGAAGGCAAAGATGCCGGCACAGGGTTACGATGCATATCACCATACCAAAGCTATAGCAGAGAAGCTTGTCCTTGCTGCGAACGATGAAAGCGACAACTTTCAAGCTGTCGTTCTGAGGCCTTGCGGAATGACTGGGTACGTGCAGTTATAATTCATAGCCCATAATCCCATCGTTCTGACCTTTGGTTACTGCAGGGAAAGGGACAGTCAACTCATCTGGCGCCTGGCGAAGGTACTCAACGACGGACAGCAAAATGTGCAAATTGGTGACAACAGCAATCTTGTTGACTATCTTTACGCTGGGAATGCCGCTGATGCGCACGTCCTTGCCGCGGAACGTCTTTTCGATGCTCCACTAACAGTTGCGGGAGAGGTTTTCTTCATCACCAACGGTTCTCCGATGCGCCAATGGGACTTTTCGCGCATGGTTTGGAGGGAACTCGGCGACGACGGCTCCAAGACAGCCATTGTAATTCCCCGTAGCATTGGTCTCATTTTGGCCACTTTGGCCGAACTTTGGTGCCGTATTACAGGAACCAAAACTGAATTCAATAGATTCAGTGTCAGATACGTTACTGCTACACAATGGTACAATATAGACAAGGTGGGTATTCACCCGCCGTAGTGTTGCCATTGCTAATGTTGACATTAGGCCAAGAAGCTCTTGGGTTATGAACCCAAAGTTTCTTTAGAGGAGGGTGTTCGTCGTACCGCAAACGTGCGTCATTAGTTTCTTGGCGATCTACCGAACTGACATGTCTGTCGAAGTGGTGGAAAGAAGTTGGTAGCACACGGCACGCGCGTGAGCGACACTCGTAAGGGTGTCCGTTACATACTTTCTCCCTTTTCCACCGTAGATGATTAGAACTAGGATGACTCAAAATATCGAGGAATGGCAGAGTTCCTACGGTAATTTCAACAAACTTCTCGCGACCTCCATCAGTTGATTTTTGTAACAAAAGAAATCGAGCTTTTCACATCACTGACTGCATCTAGCGTCAAATTTGATTCAAATTATTCTGCCAAGATGGTAGGTATTTTATACGATCATCCCTCTCGCAAACCGCGACATCGAGCTAGTCGCCCGTTTGTTACCTACTCAACCAGAGCTGCCAGTGAGCTTATGCAGATATCCAAGGTTTCATCGACATCTATCAATCGATGATAACACAGGTAAGTCGCGCAGCAAGTAATCCTAGTCCGAAACCCGGGGCATCAGCAGCCACTTAACAAGAAACGAACATTTGGGAGCACTCAAGAACATCAGCGCTCGGAGTAGAATGATTTGATTGATGGTTCTTTCTACTTCAGCCCTCGCCACTCGGAACTGCAAAGCAATCCTAATATCTGCCATTACCCCCGACGCCAGCAACGCTCATGGGGGACCTACTGTAAGATCAATAAGATATCCACGATCATTGACAAATCATCGGCCAATCACCAAATTATTCCTCCCTCGTTTACAGATTAGTCTGGATGGTATAGGTTTATATACGATGAAGACATCGACGACCGAAACCATCACCGATGCTGCCCCTACTTTTTACTCTGGCTTTGCCTTCCCTCTTCCTTCTCTTGCAGTGGTGGCGTCGACCAAAACATCTTCCTGGACCCGTTCGACTCCCAGTAATTGGGAATGTATTAAGTCTGGAGCCACAGTTTCCTTGGTTGACGTATTGCCAATGGGGAAAAGAATACGGTCAGTGTAACGATGCTTACAACATCTGTCGCTCATGATAAAACCTTAAGGGAGCCCTTTCCGTTTCGAGATTTTTGGCAAACATGTAGTTGTTGCGAACACAGCAGAAGTAGCCTCGGAGCTCATGGACAGACGCTCTAGCGGTGCATTGAGCAAGCCAAGACTGGAAATGGTGCACTTGATGGGTTGGGATTTCGCATTACCCTTCATGTCACACCCCGACCTTCGTTGGAAACTTCATAGAAAGCTTCTTCAGAGAGAGCTTGCTGCGAAGTCATTTCATCCAATCCTGAAAGCAGAGACCGAGAAATTCCTGGGGAACCTTCTAGACTCCCCCAACGATTTTTGGTCTCATATTGCTATGTAAGTGCATAACGAAGTATTTCCCTTTCGGCAAGCTTACATAGTATATGGTTCCTAGATTGTCCTCATCGATCATGATAGACTCCATGTATGGGGGGAACTTTGCCAAGCAAAATCGATATCTTGCGGCCTACATCCATGAAACATTTCAGATGTTCTTGCATGAAGTTTTCTTTGCGTCACCCGCTTTGTATGCCTTCCCATGGCGTCGGTATTCTTTTATTATCTCGAGGGTTTAGCTAAAGTGAAAGTTCTAGTTAAGCACTTTCCCGAGTGGCTTCCTGGAATCGGGTTCAAGCGCACAGCACGAAGGATCCGACAGCGAACCAACCACTTCGTCAATGCGCCGTTCAATATAGTAAAGGAGCAAATTGTAAGTCACCACGATTGATGAGTTACATATCATATCATCCGGCGGTGCAGGTATCTGGAAGTGCTCCTCGTTGTTGGGTAGCCGATATACTGTCTGAGGGCGAGATTGACGAAGAAGACGTCAAAGCAGTCGCAGCAACTGCAGTGATAGGTAACGTGGCTTCCGTCGCTAAATCAAAGTATACTGAAGCACATCGTCGTCGTAGGGAGTATGACTGTATGTGCATGTTTCACTTAGCCCTGGTCATTGATTGTAACCATATGCCCTATCCAGACTGAAGCCGCGATCAAGACATTTTTCCTCGCCATGGCGTTGCACCCATTATCCCAAAGACTTGCCCAAAAAGAAATTGAGGCAAAACTTGGGCCTTCAAGACTGCCAGACTTTGAAGACAGGTCATCGTTACCTTATGTGACTGCCATAGTCCGAGAAGTGTTAAGATGGCACCCACCGGCTCCTTTAGGTCTGTTCACATCGTTGGGCTGACTCGCGATCGGTAGAACTTAACACGTCTCAAGGTGCCGTACATACAACAACGTGCCGCGAGGAATATGAAGGATACACAATTCCTCAAGGTGAGTTATCCGCAATGATAAAAGATCTCTCTTTGACGTATACCGCAGATTCCTCGATTGTTGCCAACATATGGTACGTCAGTTCGTTTTGTTACTACATATACTATCTTAACCCACTTCTCATAGGGCAATGTCACGCGATGAAGAGATGTACGGAAGCCCTGATATTTTCGAACCAGGGAGATGGATTACTCCAGACGGTCATTTGAAGGCAAATTCCACCGGATTTATGTTTGGCTTTGGCCGAAGGTAGATCGACTCACCATATATGTTTTCGTGGTTACTGATGATGCCATGAAAGGGTGTGTCCAGGCAAAGGTTTAGCCGAGGACTTTCTATGGCTCGTTATAGCCAGAGTCCTGAGTGCATATTCTGTCGCCAAGGATAGAAATGCTCATGGTGAAGTCGATCTTACTGAGGATTATGATTCCTCTTTGTTATTCTCGTGAGTTACTCTTATCAAACCCCGATGGGATTGGGCACTCAGTACTCAGTGCTTTGTAGTCAACCTCGGCAGTTCCAATGCTCCATCACGCCAAGGTCTCCTCAAGCGCACCAAATGATTTCATCGTACAAACAGGCCGCAGAACTTGACATTTTAGAGTAAAAAACCTTGCGTCGTGATGTCCTTCTTTACTCCTACATAATTAGAGACTGAATAATGATTATTATGTTCGTGAATCTTAGCGCTTCTAGCTGGGCTTCCAGGTTGATTGTGTCTTGCGTGACCTTTTACACCTCGCGCATTCATGTTCCAAGATATACCGAAATAGAAACTAGAGTCATCCCGCATTCCCTACTTGTGGCTTTTTGCATCCGCCCGAAGCCTATCGCTGTCGTGCCTCCCTGGAATAGACTGACGAGTCATAAGTAGCAATATGCATCCATATCACTCCAACCAAAATATACCTATCAGTGTTCAAAGCGTACATACGACAGAACAACTAGGAGAAGCCACGTAAGCGTAAATACCATGTACCTATCAACCTCCGCGAATGTTGAAAGCCTAACACTCAAACATTTATGTGTTAGGGGTGTGCGAGGTCCTAGGAAGGGCGTCAGCAACGGAAAGGTAAATGAAAAGTGTCTGCGTCGCTCACGTAACAGCCCAAGATCCGTCAGGAGCGGTGCAGAGGCCCACCGAATGAAGGGGCATAACGGGAGGGTAACAAGCCGAGCCAGCCCTCGTGGCCGCGTTGCCCTACATTTTCAATATTAAGTTGGGGATAAGGTAGATAAATTATTCGCTCACCATGTCAACCCAGCACTGGGTGACGGAGGAAGGACCGTTGTTAATGGTAGAGAAAGTGCATGTATTGAAGGTTAAGCTCTAGGTAATCGAGAAAAGCAATTGTAAGCAAACGAAGAACCAGAGAAGTGCGAGATGGCACGTTACCTTGCTCTCGCCAGGCTGAAGACCGAATGAAGGAGGGAATCCCTGCTGCGAGCCAGGGAGAATCTGATTCTAAATTAGTTGAGGGGCTTCAGGGGCTTGTACGGGATGCGCACTCTGATGGCGTTCTGAAGCATTGCGCAGTCTTCAACAATAGGTGGCAGGGGACCCGCAGCGTTACTACAAGAGTTGTTACCTAGATACGCAAGTTATATTGTATACAAGATACGACATGCAAATGCTTACAGAGAGCACCGCAGATCCTCTTGTCGTCGGTCCTCTCTTCAATTCGGGCGCCGGGACAGGAGGTAGTTGTGATGGTCAAGAATTTGCCATCCCCCACGTCCACCGATTCAGTTTCTACCTAGAAATCCACGTCAACACCTTCTGAAAATGAACGTATTGCGGACGTACCACCGGGTTATCACATACAGCCCTGGGCACTGCGAAGATAGTTCTGCAATCACTTCGCGTATGCCGATGATATCATTCACTCACCAACTGAAGCGGAGGCAGTAAAGGCAAGAGCAGCAAGCACAAGCAAGCGAGTAAAGGATCCCATGGTCACTGTAAATTAGTCGAAGGCGATGGGGTCTGGCCGTCTCGCTTCTCGCTAGGCGAGGCTTTATAGTTTTCAATGGTACCAACGTGCAACAGGGACAAGGGGTCGAACCTATGGCAGAAGAACTGACTTTCAGCCAGAAGCTTTGATGGGCATCATGCTTCAAGGTCTATAGCGGTCTACGGCAAGGCACCCCCCTGGGTCTTCGGCTGTTAAAGAAGAATGTGAGACGAAATTATGTTCTTCTAACATCGGACGTTGACAGTTCTTGACCGGCCTGGAATGATAAATTATGTGTGCCCCCCAACATCCGAGGGGGGACACGATCAGCGTATACTGAATTATGAGATGCCAATTGGATCTAAGAGAAGGAAGGAAGATCATGCACCTGTGAGGCGAATCCAGGCCGTGGAAGCTCGAGGTCCGCGTCTTCGGAGATGAAGACGCCAAACGTGACAGCCACGGGGGAACGTGAGCGGACGACTTTCGGGGCGATGCCACCCTAATCGCACTTCCTTTCCCGCCATTGTTTCGTGCATAGAGCGCTGACGTTCTGCCGACAAGGGATCAAAGGATCATATTCTGATAACACGGACGGGTTATTCAATTTAGTCGGTTCGATGCAGCGGGCAATATGATTGGCCTAGCCAGTGGGAAACAGTCCGTAGAGTGGCATGTGGTCGTATCAAAGATGGGTATTATTTACGGAAGTGATGGAAATAACTCGTTCCTCGTTCACGTCGGATTTTGCGGTATCCTGACACGCGTCGAACGTACAATTGAAGTGTATTTGAGTCAAGCGTACCTATGTCACAGTCATCGTCAAAGGGGATCATCAGTGACGCTGTGCTTACGCTGCTGCCTCTGCCCTCCGCTTCAACTCTTGAGCCATCGCCTCAAAGCCCAGCTTCAAGTTGGCCTGCGTAAAGAGTTTCACTACATATGCCAGCACGCCGCTGAAAACTTCGATAGTTTCGTATTTCGTCTTCCCGTCGTCTCCTACCGAGAGAGACTGCCAGCGTTCGGCACGCAGAAGAAACGGGTACCCGACGATGGATATCCATTTAAGGCAGCAGTTTTCGGGATCCACGGTGACAACCTTCACGAACGCAGATTGCTTCTGAAACATGCCAGGTTTGCCCATGGTTGGGGGTAGATGGACGGGCGCTATCAGCATATATTTTCCCTCCGCGAGCGTTTGGTCAGGGAGAATCTCCTCTGACTCGTCGACTAGCACCGAGTCGCGACTTCAAAGAAGGTCATGAACGCCAGAATGCAATAAAAAAACTAGAGGCGCACACGAAAGGATTCCTGGTATCGCCAGTGAGTCTTCGTAGGAATTCAGAACTGAAGCCACGCACCATTCTTTGTAAGAGGGGAAATCCGTTAGAATCCCCCACACTTTTTCTCGTGGTGCATCGATGATAGAAGAGGCAGAAACGGCAAAGACACCATCAGCAGCCAGAGGTGGGAGGTTGTTGGGCGACGACATTGAGTTCCCTCTCAGGGTTGTGGCTGCCATAATATAGCATAATATGCACGTGCCGTGCATAAGCTCGGGAAGCGGTTTCCTCGCGCTTCCTGAGCCTCGCGTCGGTCAACTACATGTAAGCTTACAGCGATGGAACACTTGACAACCCGCTTCTTGGACGCAGTTTGGAAGTTCACTTGACTTGTTATGAACGTACCCAGGCTATCTTCCACGCTTCTAGGTGCGCGTACAATAGCGTAACATGAATGTTGCAGAGTTAAGTGGGAACATAGATTGCACAAAGGGTCTCACAATAAATACTCAAACCACGCTGACTGGTCGTCTAGTCCCTTCTTCTCCCCCGCCCGCGGCGACGTCCGACGCACCTCTGCCTTAAGGTACTTCTGCCGAGCGAGATAGCCTAAATTTCCGGCAGCGAACAGACCCATCGCGAAGACGCACCAAGGAAAAAGAAGATAACTGTTAGCATGGTCACCTTTGGCAGGACGAATGCCCGACGGACCTCACGCCAGCTGAATGCTTCGTCATCTGTGGCGGTCTCTTCCTGGAATTCACGGACAACGTAGTCCCGTTCATCGGGCGTGAAGAAGCAAGTCGCCTTGGGAGGAGGAAAAAGGAGGCAATGCCGAATAGGACGTCCTTCGAGGATAAACACTCATGCCCACCCGGGTCGTGCTTGCGTGGGGGATTCTTTTATCTTGATGACACCAAAGGCGAGGATGCCGGAAAAGGCACTGGACAAGGAAGCCAGTGAGAAGAACACAGGACATATGTCATGGTCAGCGCTATCGAGTACTGAGTGTCGGTCATCCTAAGGTCCTCTTGGAGGCCTACGATGCGGGCATTCCCGGTGTTCGTACGGTCCACCAATATCAGAAGGCTATAGATATTCTGCAGGTTACCAAGAAGCACAGTATATCATGACGACGACCCGAAGCACATATAAGTCGAGCTTGCGCCCGACGCGCCTCTCAAGGGCAGGGGTCATGGGCTGAATGGATCGAAGACGCATGGGTGACGGCACTGGGCCTATTGACGGCCTCCTTGTCTTGGTGGGCTGGGTCAGACATGACGGCGGATGGCTGGGCTTCGACTCAAGAGTATCGCTATGTATATGAAGATTTCGATAGTCAGTGAGATACGCCTCCAGTTAACTCGTATTTCATCTTACCGTCAATAATTGGGGGACTTGTCCTAGCTCCTGGAGCCTCTTTGCCTTCCGTGAGATGAGTACTTCTCATGTCTCATGGACATTCCGGTGCCACTGACTTTCTGGGCTACGCAATGCATGCTTGGCACGACGTGAAGTCTCCTCCCTTCTCTCTAATTGATTGATGCCCAATGTATTCCGAGCATGTCACCCCGAGCTTTAAGCTTCCCTCCATCCCGCTTTGTGTAGCATTCGACTTACCTCGAGACAACTACCCTTTACCCCCTACCATTCATCCTCTAATGCACTCACATTAAATACTGAGTTCAAAAATGAAACCCTGAACAAGATCGAAACGAGGGCAAGTGTAAACCTGATAGAGAACGAAAAGACAGATCGTCAGACAGCCAGGAAATGAGGACGTCCTTATGATATAAGGGCTTGTTTAATATGGTCCCCTCTACTACCATGACCCCACACCTGAGCGTATTTGCCACAGCGAGTATTGGTGTTCAAAGGACTCACGAGGTAACAGTCCGGCGCACTCGAGCAACATCTTATACACATCATGCGTCACCATCGAATCCTACCGTCAACGTTAACCCCATCATTGATTGACTATGAATTGGACAAATGCCCGCCACGACCCGAACGAACCGTAAGAAAATGCTGAGCCGATGGAGTGCAAAGCTCCAGAAGCCTGAGGCCCGAGGTCGTCCATTCGCCGACTCGGGATTGATTTGCGATCAAAAGGGGGAGACGTGGACGTGGAGAGCGGGAGGTGCGTCCAATACCCGCCCGTGCAACACCCGCATCTGGAGCCACAGGCAGGAGTATGTGCTGTATTGGGTGCTTACATGATTGAGGAATCCGCAATAAGAGTTCATAGTGACCACGGGTGAACCTTTGAGAATGTGGTAAAGGGAGGAAGCTAGAATTCGTGCAGATAGACGATGCAAGACGCCTTTGGGCCGCAAGTGGCAATAATGATAATGCCTGATTTGGTGAATATATTACCACGATCACGCGCATTAGATTTTTTTCGACTAATTGTAACTAATAGTATCGTCTGTAGCTTCAGTTTATCTCTGGTACGGTCTTGTAAGACGAGGAAGATGCCTTCAAGTCTGGCAGCGCAGCTTGCCCAATCTGCGTCACTAAATGCCAACCTTCTAAATGAAAAATCCCGTCGCAAATCCACAGAATCGTATCTATTCACTGGACGACAAGCCGACCAATACGACCTCGAAACTATCCACGCCTTAGCCGTCAATGCTTTCTTGCAACTAACGCAGTTGAACCCAGAGTTTCAACGATTCGAGGCTCCTTTACTATCAGAGGCTGCGAAGTCAACCGATCGGACGCTGCAAACAAAAGCAGAGAACGCGAAGCTGGATGAAGCGATAACTGGATTCCTCCACTTGTTGGGCCCGTATGTTCTGGAATCTCCTACTGGGAAGGTCTTGGAGTGGCTCGTTCGGAGATTTAGGTACGTCTGACTGACTCCCTGTATCTCATTATCTCGCATGCGCCTACGAATCATTTACACCTAGAATCCACGAATTCAACGTCGACGCCATCCTCACGCTCTTCCTCCCCTACCACGAGTCGCCGCACTTCACCAAGATGCTCACGATCCTGCACATCCCCCCGTCGTCGCCGTGGAGTTTCCTGCGCGCGCACAAGGCCGCCGCGACGAACCTGCAGCGGGCATCCCTCGTCACGGAGATGCTCAAAAACTCGCCTGCAGCGCGAGTCGTTGCAGGGTTGCTGCCGAACGCGATGAGAGAGGGGCATCACTACCGCGCGCTGACTGCATTCCACGCTGCCACGCTGCACGATTTTCTAATGAGAAGCGAGGGGGTCGACGAGGGGACGGTTGCGTACATCCTCCCCGCGTGCGTCGATCCTCTGAAGTCCCCTTCGGCGGGCAAGGACGAGACGGTGCGCGTCATATGTCCTCCTTTCTTCTCCTTTGCTTACGTCCTTCACAGTTAGCGAGCTACATCCTCCTCGTTGCGCTCAGCCAGAAATGCCGCCTGTCCCCAGACGCCGTGAACGCGATCGTAGTCGCGATGACGAAGCGCGCGGCGCTCGTCACGCCCAGCCAGTACCTCAAAGCCCTCATCTCGGTCTGCGAGCCACAGGAGTTGGAGGAGGGGGCAACCTTCCCCCGCTCGGTGACGAAGGGCCTGCTCAAAATACCGTACGTGTAGACACATACCTCATGCTTGGTTTCAAGCAAGTCTCATACGGGGTACCCAGGAACGCGAACCTGCTCCAAGATGTGGACGGAGCGCTCTCCATCGTAGGCTCGGAAAAGTTCTTCAATCCGCTCGTACCAGGGCTCTGCCAGCGGTGCGTACGCCTCCCTCCATCTCAACGTATCATAAACCTGTCTCCTGATCCTTGTGCTTGGGTGTCAGCGTCGCCGTCACCGACGGCACCGACGACCAAGACCAGCGCGCGCTCGCCGTGCTGGAGCTCCTCAGCACATCCGCGCACACGCCCCCAAGCACGCTCAACGTCCTGTGCCGCGCCGTCATCGAAAATATGACGTCCCCATCTGCGTCCCTAACCGACGACGACGCCCGCATCCGCCAGAAGAAACTGCGCAAGCTGCTCGCCGCGCTGCATCAGCGCCACCCGGGCGTCGTGCTCGAGTCAGCGCGCAGGCTTTCCGCTATCCGCAGTGATGAAGACCAGGGGGGGAAGGCTGTCGAGGAATTGGTTCTCTCGTTGTCACTAGGGCTCGACTTGAAGGAGGCGGAGTTGACGGAGGGGGCAGAGGCGGCCGATCTGATAGTGGCGGCGACGAGCTTCGATCTAATTGTGCGTCTGAACGCTGTAAAACGACTCCTGGCCATCGTTGCGTCGTCTTCCGGAGACGAAGAGGGGTCTTCTGCGGCAGGGACGGAGAAGGTATGTTCACGTCTATGTTTTACTTTCACGTTCACGTTCATGTTTTGTGTTTATGTTCGTGATTTGTGTTTATTTTCATGTTTTGTGTTTATGGTTACGTCCGGACGACGACGAGGGAATGAGGGAATGAGGCTGATGCTAATGTTCCATTTAGAGAGCGATCTGCGAAGCGCTGCTACGGCGGATCGTGGACGACGAGAGCGAGGTCGTGGCAGCCGTCTACGCGGAGCCTGGTATCATGACGCCAATCATCCTCGCAAACCTCCACACGTACCTCGCCTACCTCAGCACCGCGCTCTGCGCCGACCCCTCTCCCTCTCCCTCCTCTAAACCCGTGCATAAGCCCAAATCCAGACGCGCTCTAATCAAAATGCATCTCGCCTTCGCCGCGCACCACGTGTGCGTCGCTGCGGACGACGCGGGGGTGGCGGAGCGGGTTTTCCGCGGGGTGGTGTTCCCGTTTGTGATGTACTCGAAGGCGCGGCAGAATACGGCGGAGGGGGTGTGGGAGATTGTTGATGCGGATGCGAAGGCGGCGGCGGGGGTGGGAAGTAAAGGGAGTAAGGGAGGGAGAATTAGCGAGTGCGATTGGCTGGGTGGGTGTGTCGATGTGTGGAGGGCCGAGAAAGAGAAGGAGAAGGAGAGCACTGAGGGACGCGATGACCATGTCTCGAAGATGGCGGCTATGAATCTTGCTCTGGCTGGCAAGATAGCAGGTACGCTGTTGTTCGTCACCACTATCCCCCACCACTCTTGTTCCCTTGCTCTCCCCGATATCTTACTCCCAATTGGCCATTCGACAGATAACATCATGATGTCCAACCGCTTCAGCGAGCACATCGAGACTTTTTGCGATCACATACGCAGCGCCAACACCCACGCGCGGGTGTTCGCCCATTTTATCGCGCGGGAGCTGTTGGCAAGGTTGTCGGGCGAGCATCAGCTGGATGCAGCCACAGAGGTCCTCAGCGCCATGGGCCTGAGTGCTCATGGCCCCATGGAGAACGTGTGGTATGGCCTGGATGCCCCCGAAGAGGTGCGTTTGGTTGTTTTGCTATGGGATACGCGCAGAGGACGGATTGCTAATTAACTACCATCGAATAATGAACGCGTAGGCGATAACTGACGAAGCTATCGGACGAGCCATCGTGGCGAAACCGAGCAGCCAGAATACACTTCGGTTGCTCCAACTTTCCATATTGGCGCTACTGGCTACCGCACATCGACCCGCTGACATTGCGCTCAATTGGTTTGAAGTAGCCTCCCCCGCTACCGCAGTAAGTGCCTGCCCCTTCTCCGGTATATAGTATCACTCACACTGGTGTTTGATCCCAAACAGCAGACCGGCTCGGACAGTCGAGGCGTTCGCTACGTCCAACACGTTAGGAAACTCTACCAACTCGCCAATCTCTACATCCCTGTAGTATTTGCAGTCCACGTGTTATCCTTGCTCTTCACGAATCTTGGTGAGGATTCGCTAGCCTTCCTTGCGAGTGTCTGGACTTCGGATGAACCGATATCCTCCTCTGCCGACAATGACGTCCACCAGGGCTCTGATATGGCAGATCAACTGCGGATCGCATCGTTGCGGCACGCTGCTGCGTTCCTCGAAGCCCACAATCAGCAACAGAGCCCCTCCCAGTCCATCGATTTCCAGACAATCTTGCCAGCTCTCTTGCTCGCTATACAGAGTTCGAGTATACACATAAGGCAGGCTGGGGTGGACTGCATATTCGCCCTGCGGTCCTCTGCGCAACGGACCTTCTCCACCGTCTATGCCCTGGACTGGATATATGGGAAGGACACTCGTGAGTGTGCCGTGATTAATTGAAGATGTTGCTGAGGTGCTGACTCGTTCGTGCAGAGAAGCTCCAGTTTCTTGACCAGGACGACTTCAAGAAATATATCGAGGCGCTGGCGTCTGAACCCGAACATCTTGTCCACGATGGCGGATACTTGGGTGCATTTCATCAGGCTCACCTAGGCTCCTCCTCGAAGAAGAAGCACGTCGAGTAAGCGGCCTCCCTCCGCATTGTTCCAGATGCTGATCTTTGGCATGCTTTCGTAGGTACCGACGCCGCATCCTGTGCTTCCTCCTCTCCCATGTTTCGTCTCTCCCGTCTATCTCTGCTAAAATCACCGTACTTAAATCTATTGAAAGCGTATCGGACAAAGCGAAGTGGCAGATGCTCCTCTCCTTCATCAAGGCGATCGAAGGGAGCAATGTCGAGACGCTCCAATCGTCTTTCGGGTCCAGGGAAGCAGAATTTGTCAAGCTTGTCGTGGCTTCAGTGGATGCGTCCGCTGTCCCCGAATTGAACGAGCCCAGCGGCTCCCTTTGGCCGGTGTTTTTGGCTCTGCTTCGTCAAAGTTTCTCAGAGAGTAAGTCGGACTCGCTCAAAGGAATCAAAAATATGTTGAATGAACTGGGTAGATGCTATACCTTCCGCTCGCACTGCTCTGTCCGAGTCCCTTGAACATGGTTTGTTCTCTGGCCTCAATCTCCAGCATCAAGTCACTACGTGTGAAGTACTGCTTGAAGTAGGGGCGGCCACCCAGTCAACGGCGAGTCACGATTGCGTAGAGTATTTTAACTCACAGTCTGACGCCCGTCTATAGCGCGCCATCGTTAGACAGCTCTTTATGAAACTAGACCTTAGTGTTGCCTTGTTGACGCAACTCCTTTACAAACTTCTGTCGCCTTCTCAAAGCGTCGCGCCTCCGCCTAGCAAACGCCCAAAGGTTTCAGAGTATGTATTAGGCATCTCCTCTTTAAACCGTACTGAATTGATGCACGTCGCCTCTGTAGACCGACCCAGGACTCGCTATCCGCGTTCAGCCTATTCGTCGAAATCCTCGGTGCGAAGGACCTGCCTGCGTCAATTGACTTGATCTCCCGCCTTCTGGAAGCACTGAACAAAGTTCTGCAACTTGTGCCATCTGTACAGAACGATTTGAGCTATGTTCAGCAGTTGTTGATGTCGACTATCGAAAACGTTGCCGACAAAGTTGTGGTTTGTAGAGATGCTTCCTACCTCCTGACTGGCTGCTAACTCGTATCGCGTTTACAGGAGGCACCCAACACTGTCTCGAGTTCCATCCGATTAGATGTGTTGGTGGAGGTTGTCAGAGGTGCGCGATTCTTTCACTTTCGCGTTGCCCTGAGAGTATGACTCGACCTAACTTTGTTTGCAGTGGCAAGGAATCCCCAAACCTTCCATCAGGCATTGTTACTCATAGCGAACCTGACCCGTCTTGCACCCGAAGCTGTCCTGCATAACGTCATGCCAGTGTTTACGTTCATGGGATCCAATGTTTTCCATCGCGACGATGCCTACAGTTTCCGCGTGGTAAAAAAGGTGGGTGTCGTCAGTTATTGACCCGTCGTGTTTGTCTCCTTACCGTGACTTCTACTACCTTTAGACAATCGATAGCATTGTCCCTGTGATGGTATCCTCCCTCACAAAGATACACAACGGTGGGATCAATCTGTACATAAGCGCCCGCGATTTTCTGCAAGTATTCTCGGATGCCTCAAACCACATTCCCCGCCATCGCCGAACAAAGTCAGCATTCCGGAGATCTGTATGTCTAGTGGATCGGAACTAACTTTTCTCGTAGTTTCTTCCTTCACTTGATTGACGTCCTCAGCGCCGATGCCTTCCTCCCCCCTGTCTGCATACTTTTGGTCGCAAAATCTGCATCTCGATCGGCGCGAGCACAAAGCGACGAAGGCCCGTTCGCCCTACCCAACTCCATATTGCGACACTATCCTTCAACTCTCCAAGTATCCGTACGTGGGTAGTTTCGATCATCACCCGCTAAGCACTCATGATGTTTTTAGACCCTCGTCGAGGTTCTCAAGGAGAGTCAGCGCTTGCTCAAGTACTGTGTAGACCCATTGAATGCTGCCCCTGCCTTGTTAGCGGAAGCCAGGTAAAGTTCGCCTTCGTTCCTTCGGAATTAACGATAGTTAATATGCGACTGTAGTGACGTTGATTTGAAGACGTTAGCGTCTCGGGCGCAAGCCTTAATTTCCTTCGTTGGGCAGGCTCTGACGTCCTCGCAGCCAATAGCTTCAACGAGCAAGCTGCTCGTCGCAGAACTTGTATATCTCCTCATCTCTATCGCCACCGTACAGGACGACGCCCTTGAAGATATCAGGAAAGCAGCCCGAGATAGCTTGAATCAGATATTAGCAGTCATACCAGCTGTGGACTTCGTGTCTTCAGTGTTAGTGATGCTTGATTCAGCCGATCTCAAGGTAATTAATTGCGTTACTTAATGTTCACATTACTGGTTCTGAACACTCTTCTTAGATTCAAAATGGTGCTCTGCAACTATTAACCGATCGCTTGGACCGAGTGTCGGAGGGTGTTCGACAGGAAGCATCAGCGACCTGTGTTCAGATCCTCAACCACATAAAGTCGATCCTACACGACAATATGCGGACCTCCCCTCTTGGACTCTCTTGCTTCAGTGCCATCAAAATTATTGCGTCGTCGTCATGTCCTGGGGAGGAGCCAGCCCTTGTATCACTTTTACCACTCATAATCCTTGCGATACGCACAAGGACTCTAGCGGAAGGTGCAATATCCGCGCTGTCGCCCCTGATGTAAGCCTGCGGTATCACTCGATAATTGCGTACCTCATTCTCTTCTAGTCCTAAAGTCGGCCCTCGTATCATTCCTTTCTTCCGCGAACTCGTTGCCGAGATTATATCTCTGTCAAAAAGTGAAGGTAAGTACGATAACGACTACCAATATCCCCCATCTTATTCTATGCCTAGGCATCCTGCAACACTCGCTTGATGCGCTCCGTAGTCTTCTCTTTGTCATTCCTACTTTTTGGAGTCCCAACGAACTAGTTCAAGTATTTGACCTCTATGTTGGTCTATCGAACACGTCGGACCGGGGTAACTCGATGACAGGCTTCATGAAATCATTGGCGAAGCGCGTACCATCCAAATCCTTATTGGCTTCTTTAATCCAGTTCTGGACCACAAAGACAGACTCCCAGAAGCAGGTACGCTATCTATATATCCTACTTTACATTGGGTTGTTTATGGTTTGTCAGTGGCCGGAGGCGTCCCTGGTCGCCTTTTTTGACCTCGTAAAACGGGCTTTACACGCTGCTGATAAAATATCAGTGACCGAGCACCTAAAATTGTTGTTTAAGCTCTTCATGGGGGCATTCGAGTCTGTTAAGAACGGCTCCTCAGAAGCAAATGTGGTTCGTCTCCCCCTACTACCTCCTGTGGCCATTTAACCCCATTCTTTAGGCAGAGACTAGTATCGTCACAGCGTTCCTGGAACTCGTTATCAAGCTGAACGATGCCGCTTTCCGCCCTCTCTTCAGGAAACTGTATGACTGGGGGTTCACAGACGACCCGGGTTAGTTGTGTGTTTCGGTAGCCTGCGCGAGGGAACTTAATCAGCTTTCTTCATCCAAACAGGCGACATATCAAGAAGAATAACCTTCCTGCATACCTATGTTGCACTTCTCGACTATTTCAAGGCAAGCAGCTTCATTCTCTTCGCGTTCATTAGCCCTGATCAAAGGACATAATCTCAGAGCCTGATGACGCCATACATGAGCTTCCTCTTGCCCCCAGTGTTAGCCTCCCTGCAAGATTTCGCTGCACATTCCGCGACCGATGTTGACTATTGGATTTGTCTCATTAAGACCTTAACGAAGGCCTTCATGTTGGACGACGGAGTGTTCTGGCGCGACGATAAGCTTCGGCAGATGGCGAAGCCTTTGGTCGGCCAAATATCGATCTGCGTTGAACTTGAAAATGCTATTGCGAAGGCATGTTTACCTGAATGCCTGGTAGCGCTTGGAGATTCGATAACGGACGATACTTTGCTGAAAACTCTCAATATCGACATCTTGATGCACACAAGGTCTGACGCGGCTAAAGTGCGGATCTTTGCCTTGCAATGTTCCGAGCTCTTATGGCGCAACGACGGCGGAAAGCTCTTAGGTAATATCCACCATAAACCCTTGAGATATTCTAATACATTGACCATATGCAATTGTAGGTTTTGTACCAGAAACGATAACGTTCATCGCAGAATGTGCAGAAGATGAGCACGACTTGGTTGTCGATGCAGCAAGAAGCCTGAAAGATGCAGTAGAAAGCGTAGCAGGGAAGATAGATGTGTGAATGCTGGGGGAATAAATAGCCGAAATGACTTTCAAATATGATAGCTGTATATAAGTAAAATGCGAAGGGTATTGGATGTCGTGATGTCCTTAGGGCTCGTCTTCTACTGCTTGCATGTCGGTCTCAATTTGTGTGCATCGTGAAAGTAGTTGCTGAATGACCGGCCGCCCACAAACGTTTTGAAGGAAAGATTTCTATTTGAACATATGCTAAGCATCATCGTTGTAGCGACGCAAAACGTAGCAACCTACCTTCATCAAATCACCAGCGTCAGGCCTGGTTGCAGCTGGTTCCGAGCACAGGCGTAAAAAGTCGTGAAAACTGGGAGAGAAATTGTTCGGGTTCGTTAGGGGCGGCCAACGGGAGGCGAGCTGGTGATTGGCTGAGAAGGGCGGCTCAGCCTGGGCCATTTCCCAAACGGTAGCACCGAGCGACCAAATATCGACTTTGAGCGGGTCATATGGTCCCCTGTAGATGTATTCAGCATGAGTCATATAAATATGAAAAGTATACGTACGACCGCATCTCAGGTGCCTGGAGAGAGCGAGGTAAGCATTGGGTATTTACTTGCGTTGAGCAACATACCTGCCAATAGACTACGCCAACAACGTCGGAGCATTCGGAACCTTCAGATGGAACTTGGATAGCATGCGTGAAATCAGCTGAAATGGTTTCGAATGAGTATATGGTCGTGAAGGTCAGTAGCCTGTCACCTACCGAGTTTGAGGATACCATGACTGTTGAGGAGTAGATTATCCGAGCGGACGTCTCGGTGAGCAATCCTATGTTTTCGCAGATAGTCGAGTGCCAAGAGAATCTATGAGACGTCAGACAAAGGTGCAAGGAATTAGAGCAAGTCTCTCACGTCGTTCGCAAATCTCGCTATCATCCTGTCGAGCAGCACCAAGCCTTCAGGGACTAACGCGACGACGTCAGCCAGGCTCCTCTCCATGAGCTCCATTCGAATCCATAGGGAATCTTCAACAAGATCAACATATACTGCGTCCATGCCCAGAATATTGGAATTCCAAAGCCCCTTCATGAGTTTCAACTCGCGCCGCAGGTCCACCAGTTTGGGTGATCCAGAAGGTAGGATGGGAATATTCTTTATCGCAACGAGTGTCGGCTTGTTTGATCCTCGCTCTTCCGCATCACGCGCCTTCGTCAGAGGAGGGAGCTTCAACTTATGTATCTTATCGGATGAAGCGAGCCGAGCAGAAAAGACGGATCCACTTTCTCCCTCCGCAATTTCTTGTAGGTCTAGGTAGTAATCCCGTGGATCAACGGCCTCGTCGATGAACTCCTCTAGAGGCTTCACCACTTCATGTTGCCAACCGCGATACCTCTGGTAAGGGGATAGAGGTGATATGGATGAAGTCGTAAGCGTCCGCGATAAACCAGTCGCGCCCTTCGTCGAGTGGAGGGACGCTGGTCCAAAGCCAATCACCTCCTTCATAGGGTCCGTCAGCGGCAGAAGTTTATCCGAGTACGATTTGTGGTGGGCTAGTATAGTTGGCTCGCTCTCTATCTCTGATATCGGCGTTGGTTGCTCCCGAGAAATTGAACTAGACGAGCCTGTTCCAGACCAGGAGCTCTCTTCACTACCGAAATGAGAACTCTGCGGGGATGCAGGATACTGCTTAACATCCGAAGCTGCGATCTGGAGCGTATCTCGTTCAGCAGCAGGAGGTGGAGGTGGGTCGAGATGCGACTGCACCCCAGACGATTCAGGTGGGCTAGGAGCAAGCCCACCATATGCATCAACAGCAGACGGGCTCACTGGGCTTAGATACGTTGGGGAATGGACAGGGCCACTAACCAACGCAGCGGGTGCAAGTGTAAGCTCGCCTCGCTTGCCTGCACCATTGACGAGCGGCAGACCATTTCCCTCGGCTGGCGCAGGGGACGTAGATCGGGCAGAGTCGGACGAAGAGGCCGGTGAGTCTGTCCGAGGTGCAATCACTGCCACATTTGCGATGGCCCTCGTTGCATACGATGCCGAGCGGACGATTGTGGCATTGGTGACCGTTGCCGAAGATATTGTCGACATGCTGGAATCCCTGTTCGCATCCCTTCTGTCATCATAAGAGTCATCTCCCACCGTGAGTGTGCTAAGTCGATTACTGCTCGCATCCTCGTCTTCTGCCTCAAGCAGGTTCGAGAGTCGGCTCGAATTTTCCGTCTTCGTGCCGTTGTCACTCGAATCTGCCCCAAACATGTTGACCTGGAATTTGATGGCGTTTTGACGAGCGTTCTCGGGGCTTGTAGGGAGCGTTGGGGAAGTAGTTTCACTAAGAGCGGGCTCTTCACCTGCCGACTTGGGGCCTCGTGACGAAGGATTGACGACAGACATGATTTCGTCGAACAAGACCGATCGTGTAGGATCACCTGGAGATAAGAAACTACCCGGCGATCCTGAAGGAATCGGTGATGGCTTAGATGAAGTGGGCGAGGGAGCGGAAGTGGCGGCACGAGGCACAGGAACCATGGATGATGTTTTTCTAGCGGCTAATAGTGGAGGTGTAGGACTGGGTAGTTCGCGGAGAATCCTATCCTGTTCGCGTTCCCAATGGCTTATCCTTCGGTATCCTTCCTCGACCTTATCATCGCTATACGTACTGGCGTTACTCCCGCTGCGCATCGATCGCGTACCGGAATACTTGGCGGATACAGTTGACGAATCGAACCGGCAGCTATCCTTATCGCTCCCACTAGCACTAGGAGCATATCGAGAACCAATCATCGCCTTCTTCCCGAACTCTTCCTCATCGGCCGTACTAGGTATAGCTGAGAAGACAGCCTCACTCCACAAACTCAAATCGTCGCCGCCACCGTCGTCCTTGAGGGTGAGAGATAGTCTTGGGGGCATTGTCCGTGAAAACCGTTTGGAGCGTCGTTTCGCGCGAGAAGTTGGCGTAACACTGATATCCGAAGAAAGAGAAACACCGTTCGCGTCGAAAAGGTCATCTTCCCCGCGAGCACTCTGTAACTGAGGAGAGGCGTCTGATGCTGAGCCCAAAGCATCTCTGTCAGCAGAATAACCAGAGATCGTCGAGGATATATCACTAGGTTTCCTTTGCATGATGGTATCCCTTTGAGATCTTGACCTAGTGACGCCGGCGGACCGATCTTGCTCTTTCTCCTTTTCGTCTTTGCTATATCCATAACCTGTCCCATTGATTGGAGGCATATATGCAGGAGGTGGCGACCCTGGCGATCCGATGCCATTCATAACATATAGGTTGGGAGCTGGACGTCGAGGTGGTGTTGTTGGCGCTGGGTACAGTGGTTGTTCATTGTGCGGTGGATGCGATGACGGAGTTGGTGGCAATTGCGAGGAAGGCGGAGGATACGGTGATGAAGGGGAAGGCTGTGTTGATGAACTGATATGCAGCGGTTGAGGAGGGGGTAGGTCGGGCAAAGATAAAGGAGGGGATGAAGGTCGGCTATTTTGAGCATTATGGTTTAACGGAGGTGGGAGAGGGGGCATCGGATAATTGTATGTGTATGGGTGTATAGCAGAGTTTTGATCATCAGATGTTCCACGAGATCTGATACCTTAGTCGTACCACGTTCCTTGGTAGAAATACAGGAAACGTACCTCGACGATGCTATTGAATTACTCAATGACGCAGTGCTGGCATTTGTGACTGCAGAGCCGAGTCTTGAGTGGCCGGGGTTCGTCGAGCCATTAGATGCATTTCGGAGAGAGGTAGATCGGGGGTTGGGTTGTATCAAAACGGTTCCTGTGGAGGACGTGATCGGGGTCAGCGGAGGTGGTTTGGGCTGCAACGACAGATATCCAGGTCAGACATCGATTTCGGCTAAACGAGTTCCAGGATAGACATACTTGAGGAGTATTGTTGTTATATATATAGGCTCCCATTTGTTGCTGTTGCAGTCGACGCCGTTCAATAATCATAACAATCTCCTCGTCACTAAAACCTGCTTCCTTCAGCTGAGTAGACCACGACGGCGGAAGGCCTGACAGTCTAAGGAGAAGGTTTAAGCCGGCCGAGGCTGACAGAGGACGCGAACTTACCCCTCGTCGACGTGGATATTATGCTGAACAACAACGATTAACGGGAAATTGTCGAAAAGGAAACTCGGTAGAGGGTAAGGCGCACCTGGAAATTCCATGGAGTTGATATCCCATCATCGCCGTCGCTCTCATAAATGCCAGTCCTGGAACTCGCCTCACTGCCGCTTCTGTCTCTTCCCGTGCTTCGACTACTTCCACTCCCAAAGAGACTCTTCAGTTTACCCTTCCCACCGGACCCCTTCACCGCGCCCATGCTCTTCATGCTCTTGAGACTGCGTACGCTTTGCGCAGAGCTTGATTGCGCGTTCCCGTTAGGATTCAGATACGCCCCGCCATCGTTATCTCCACTGCTGCTTGCAGCCACGCTTGGGTTGGGACTAGGTGAGCGCTTGCCCATGATGCCGCGAAGGAACGCGCTAGCACTTGCTACCGCTTTGACTTTCCCCCGTGCAGCTTCACCAGGTCTCAAAGTATCACCACCATTGAACTGATTGCTTGTGGACACTTGCGAGACCAGAGACACGGCGGACGCAGAAGGGTTGTTTAGGCTGACGTTGGAACGCGAGTACGGGTTGGGAGACGGATTGAGATACCCTGCCGTCCGAGATGTTTGTTGGTTGCTTTGAAGATCGTAGTCGGAATCCTGGCCCTGCCTCGAGCTCGTACTGGGTCTCCGCCCTGTATCGCCGGTAGAAATGAGAGTTGAGTAGGATGCAAACTGTGTGTTGATGCTAATAGGTGTGCTTGGAACACTCTCATCGTCTCTCCTCGTTGATTGTTTGTTTCGTTTCTTACTTGAATAGCTGTTGTCCTTCGGTGGAGGTGGCGGGGGTAGGTTGTCTGAAAGGGAAGTAACGAGCGAAGGGGATGAGGAGGAGGCCGCGAGCTTGAAGCCTTTGAACGACGAGAATCTCGAGTTACCAGACATTGTTGATCCACAAGAATGAGCTACTTCTCATCTGGGCGCCTTCGTAGTCGTCGTTGTCTTCGGCCTGGAAGCTCGTACTCGTCGTCGTGGTTGTTAACGGAAATTGGAAAGTCTTTGGCTACCTTCGCACGAATGCCACTTTTGTGACTGTGAGACCTTTTCTCTGACCGTGTGAACTTGTAAACCATTCGCAGAGCATTGTCAACAACATGGCAAGGCACATTGTCTTGACCATCTTGTCAAAAATCTCATCATGAGTCTACCCTTCCGTCGCTGAAATCACTGAGGAATTTCTATACCTCCGCCAGAAGAAGCGCTCAGCGCTCAGTACCGCTTTGGACCAGACACGTTTTGAAGCCGTACCGAAGCATATCGACGCCAACTTAGGGAAATCATCTCTACAGGCAACGACTTTATCAAATGGCATTAGGCCCAAGGACCTCCGGATCAGATACGCGCAACTGAGTCCGTTTCACACCCTGACTTTGCTTATACAAACCTTGTTCAAGACGCCGTCCATCGTGCGGTGAAACGACTTGTGACTATCTCCGTAGGTCAGTAATTTATCCCCCGTTATACACATGATGAACAGAATCTAGAAGGCCAATGATCAAGAAATGCTAGACGAAGGGCGACAACGAGAGCTTTGCCGTCCCCGTTTCTTCACAACTACCAGAAAGATAATTACAAGAAGCCACAGGATCAGAGAACGCTCAAAATACGTACCCTGCAGCAAATGAACAAAGAACAGGTTTTTCCCAATAATGCGCCGACGATTGATTTCCGACAGGGGCCCCAAAAGGCCGTCACAAACAACCAAACCCCACGCTACGAGCATATAGGTCAGCTGTTTGAGTTTTTCCTTGGTCTTAGGCTTACGCTGCTTCGTTAGGCTGAATGGTGAGGGCTGTGGCACAGGAGGGCTACGATGTCACGGCTAACAAATTGTTGGACCACTGCAAGACATGGATGCTTCAGATACTTACATGCCGAAACAGCATAGGCAATCACGCTGGCTTCCATTCCGGTCCCAAACGAGGAAAACTTGAATACGATGTTAAGAAGTATGACAAGCACGATGATATTAATTGGCCCGAAACGATTTGCAAGTACCCCTGGAATGATCCTCCACGGGAGATCTGCGGCGTTCATTATGGCAAGCTACAGATAATAGCGGTCAACCACCAATCTCATCATCACCCGCTGAACCCTCTTACAGTGTAGAATACGGTGTTCGCATCAACTCCATGCAAGATCACATAAAGCTGCAGACAGAAATCTAATTTCACGGTTACCCGAGTCGACGTAGGCGAACCCAAAAACATACATGTGAAGATGATCCCCCAAGCGATTACGAATGCCCTTGTCAGTGAGACCGACAAGTAGAGTTGCAGACCAACCAAGTGCTACTACCGATCATGCGTCACGGTTGAATCTTAGTTTTCTCTGGGGGTACGAGGTGCGGGGTGTTGAGGCATCCGTGGGCCTTTGATTCGGTCCAGCCGGCACTGGAGAATGCGCTGATCGATGTCCTATTCATGCTTGTGTCGTTCGGGTGGTGCATCGGCGGCGCATGTTCTCGCAGTGGGAATCGATGTATATATCCGGTATAACCGGACGGGGGGAGTTCCTGTCGAGGGTCCAGTCCTTACTTCCTAGAAACGACAACTGTGCTCATAGGGCCGACTCTACCGGAAGCTGTAGCTTGAGATACATAGCGCTTGATATGTTGCCCAGTAGGGGTCGCAAACAGGGCAATAAAATGAGAAGACAAGCGAGGTTCTAATCTCCCATAGTAGGTCCGCAATCGTAGTGATGGGAGGTCTCGCTAGGTTTGATTGATGTAGTTCACGGCGAGCAAGCGGTGGTAGCAGTGATCAGAGGTATTTTGGGCCGACTGCGTCGCAGCCTATATATGTATTTCTGCGTAGACCCAACTTTGTTTTTCCACCAACGTTTTGTCAACTGTGCAAACTTGTGGCAAGACGCCAGCTGGCGCCGGTGTCGCCCCTGTCAAGCAACACGGTAAAGTGATTTAACAATGATTAGTTAGTGATCTGTACAACACCCGTGTTCGGTCTTCGAGGAGTCTCGATGTACACTGACGAGCTCGTCTTTTCATCGTGGCGTATGGATCAGGGAACCATATTAACCAGTGCCAATCACACTGATTTATTGCCTGAAGACGTCACAAATGAATATGCACCCCGAGCCAGCACGAGCTTGACAACCTCCCCAACACGTATTAGTCTTATTACCACTGAGACCTCTTCGGAGCAGGCTCCTCTAGCTGTTCTACCACCTTGGTAACGGTGACCCCGTACTCCAGATCATCGACCAACGACCCCTCGCGTGCCTTCACGACGTGTGTATCTAGTTCATAGAAATTGGGCTATCCGTAGTGAGCCAACTTGTAGAAACAAGATAAATACACTCCTCACCGCACGCAGAGGCATGAATGACTCCTGTCATCTCGTCAGAATTGCGAATAACTATGGTCAGATGGAGTGAATAGATACGCACTGTATGCCTTCGCGGTCCACTGGCGCTGATATTGCAATTCACATTACCATTTGAGGACCCTAAGGAAGGGTGATTGACGAGTGTTTCACGAGCGTTGAGGGTTGAGAGAAGACAGTTGGAATAGAGCTTTGAGAGGGCAAGATCCCAGATGAAGTTCCTAGGGTTTGATTGAATTGAAATGCTTCTGGATAGAGGTACTGGATTCGTACAAAGCAGTGCGCTTAGAGTATAGATGAGCAAGAGTACTCATAATCAAGAAGGGAGAGATGGATAAGCTCACAGGAAGTGCCATGAAAAAGATTACATCTGCTACGGCAAAGAATGCTCTAGAGGTCGTGTTAGCACTCAGATACCAGACTTTCCCCGCATGATACAGAATATTCACATACGTTACTGCTCCCGTTTGTACAGACACTTGCATAGCAACCACATCGGGTCAGCTTGTGTACATTTGAGAGCGAGCCTCACCTACTTCGAATGATCTTATCTATAACTGAGTCCGTCCTTTCGAACCCTGTCTTACGTCGTGTCTAGAAAAAGATTGATCAACTACAGCGGCAGAAGGAAGAAGCTAAACCCTCACAAGACTGACGACTAAGGCAACCGTTATGCAGATATCAGCAACAGAAGCGGAGAGGAACCAGAGCAGAGCGGGAGTGTGCTTTCGACACACAAAGTCAGCGTGCACTGAGATATAGTGACATGAACATACCAGCTCCGGCTTTCGCGAGAAGAGCTGGATGATGCCAAGTTTGGCGGTGGTCCAGACTCCACCAGCTGGTAGCAAGCAGATTTAATGGACGTATCAAAAGGCCTGAGAAGGTGCTCACCAAGGGCAGTGATCGAGAACAAAAAGATAACTGCGGGGACCCAGTAACTCCTGGTAACCTTGTAGATCCGCCAAGCGAAGAAGAGTTGGATGGGCGTAGAGACAAGGACCTGTAGACACATTTTCACGTACCACAATATGTGAAATACAGGTTACTCACGATAATGAGTGGCTCTTAAAAGTGAAGGACATTGTCAGCAAATTATTGACCGTACATGTGTCAGTAACTCTTACCAGTGACAAACACTTTGACATGCATTGGATTAGTGCGTCATCGGGCTCGCCTGGTAATGGACGTACATGTGGGAAAGCGTTTAATCGTGTCGGGCAGCCCTATATGTGTGTGTCAGGCGGTCCTTGCTGAATGAAACAAGTGAAGCCTACCGAAGTTAAGAATCAGTGGTTCGTACATGATGTGCATATCCAACGCCGTGTTTGCAGTTTCGACGACCAGAAGGTATCCAACCTGAATTTAAGACGAGCCAATAAATCCACCAAGACGATTCCAAAAGGCACAAGCTTACAAAGAGCTTCATATATAGCGAGTCGCTGTAGTAGTTGGGAATCAGTGCAGGGAAACGGAGGCAGGCGTGAATGCATACTTGCGATACATCTTGAAGTAAGAAAGCATCTGCCGTGTACACCTGCATGAGTGTGCGTTTCAGGCATAGATACTCAGAAATACCTGTACGATCAGGATCTACAACGAGTGGGTCAGGTGGTGAATAGCATCCAAACGGTGCAGGCATACCCCGTAAAGAATCATGTTGAGGAAAACACCTAAGAGCATAGGCCCAAACCTACAAGGGGGGATTAGTGAGCATTGTAGACATGAATATCGGGGGACGCACAACAATCTGACATCTGGTGGGCCAGTGGCCATGACTGTAGATGGAGTAACTTCAAGAGACGCAAGCTGGTATTACTGGGAGCTCCAAGGACCTTGAAACGGTGACAATGAGGGCGAAATAGCAAAACATATTTATATCCTTAGTATCCGGGACCTAGGGTTCATCACTGCACGCGGTGCGATTAGGTTCAGAGTTGTCCAGGGTCCAGAAATAGGTGCGTCGTGAACAGCTTCGCTGTTGTTCGGGTTGGGGTTGATGATTCTCGCGAGGAATATCCAAGTTAGCTGTAGTTTGACGGCGGTGTCGTGCAGTTTGATGCATATTGAAGGCTTGAAGTCAGGGGAGTCGCAGTTTCACGATGAAGTAAATTGAGGTCTGTAACCAGGAGCCTTACAGAACTGTGATTGTGATCGATCTCGAGCCAATGTAGCACACTGTTGGCCACCCAGTACGATAAGTGAGGCGCGCTGGAGACTGATTGAATGCATTGAGTTCAACATCTGATGGAGTTCCGAAGAAAAGACTAACTGATTGATTTCTAAACTGCTCCGGACTGGGGATATCGGCATCAATGCTCGAACGTACACTAACTTGATCCTCCTCTGTAGTCCTGCAAGCACCCCACAAACCAGTGACTGTCGATTCTCCGTAACCGTAGTACTACCACAAACTAACCTTCGAAAACATGCATATTTGGGTGCCATCAATTGAATTGATCCAAGTTGTACTCCCTTTGTCCCAGTTTGCGTCACGCCCAGGATGGTCGAGGGCTGATCGATGATCAACCAGCATCTTCTGCTGCTGTGCCTGCAGAACGTAGAAGCCAAAGTGACTCAATGCCAACGAGACCACACCTGGTTATTTATGGACTGTACAGTGGTCAGCCGTTGCTTCGGTTCTCCCACCAGTGACCACACTACGATGCCCTTCACGGATCATCTTAAATATACAACAATGCCAATACGAGCCAAAGTCCACCCACCGTCATGTCTCGCCTAGCCCACGGTAAAGAGGATGTCAATAGCCTGAGCGCCACCCACGCCTCTTCCTCTTCCATATACAACCCCGCCCTCGAGAAGCGCGTCTGGCGCAAGCTCGACTTATATGTACTCCCAGTTGTTGCCATGTTTTACTTGCTATCTTTCTTGGTGCGTTACATAGTATGTGTAAGGCTTTTGGTGTCAATGGATTTCGCAGGACCGGTCGAACATTGGAAATGCTCGAGTCGCAGGTCTCCAAAAGGACCTCAAAATGACTAACAACCAATACTCCATGGCACTGACTGTTACCTATATCCCGTATATCGTCGCTGAGCTGCCCTCAAACTTATTGCTTCGCGTGAGTCATTAGAGACTTTCTGTGATGTTCATTCACCTATTTCAATTGCCAGGCTGTCGGCCCCAATCTCATGCTGCCAACGATGCTCACGCTCTGGGGAGTGGTAACCACGCTCCAAGGTGTGCAGATTCCTCTCTTCTTTCTTTAATCTGACGCGGATTTCACTATGTTCAAGGTCTTGTCAAAAGCTATTCTGGACTCCTAGCAGCACGCTTCTTCCTCGGGCTGCTTGAAGGTAAAATCCACTTGTCGCCCGTTCTACGGCAGGGGAGTCCTTGACACTGGTTGTAGGTGGCGTCTTTCCAGGGCTCGTCCTCTACCTCTCACTCTTCTATCCACGCCATAAGATGAACACTCGGTCGGCCATGATTTCATCTCTACTTAATACACACTTACAGTGAAGAACAGTATCTCTGTGTTCTTCTCGTCAGCCTCCCTGTCAGGCGCCTTCTCCGGCATCCTTGCCTTCGGTATCATTAAGATCAAGGAATCACCCACACAAACACGGCCTGGATGGGCATGGGTATTCATCGTCGAAGGTCTTTTCACGGTTTTGTTTGGCCTAGCTTCGTTTGCCCTCCTTCCTCGCTCTCCCAAGACTACTCGCTTCTTCACGCCAGAAGAAAGAGACTACGTTGTCCACGTCCTCGAGGGAGACACCACCGAGGGGGACGAATTATTCAGCTGGCGCGAGGTCCGCCGGGCGTTCATGCTACCGCAAGTGATGACACTAGCAATCATATTCTTCTTCAGCGGTACGCTCTAGCATAAGTCGGGAGATAGGGTGTGCTGACGTACTCCTTACATTACCCAGGAGTCGTACTCTACGGACTAGCCTTGTAAGTCTGCAAAACTATTCCCAACAATCCAAACTAAACCACCCCAGCTTCGCCCCATCAATCATCGTGGGTCTGGGATACACTGCGTCGACAGCCCAATTGATGAGTGTCCCGCCGCTTGTGGCTGCTTTCGTCGGTGAGCATCCGTATATATTCGCTGATTTTATACGCTAAGTAGCTCCAGTCGCCATCCTTTTCGCTTTCATATCCGATCACTACAAATGCCGCGGCCTAGTCACCATAATAACCTCCATCTTCTGCACGATCGGCTTCGCTATGTTCCTCGGTACTCGTATTCGCTCCCTCAGTCTACCTCGTACTTACTAACTAATAGCAGGGTCTGAAAGGCACTCCGTACAATACAGTTCCCTTTTCTTCTCTATATCTGGTGTCTATGCCATGGCCCCCGTACTCTCCACCTGGTCATCCAACAACGCCGCCCCCCACACGCGCCGCGCGACCGCTATTGCAATTGGTTTCATCTGCACCAATTCGGGTGGTATCCTCGCAACATGGTTACTGGGCTCTCTGTCGGCAGCTCCGCGATACCACAGCGCAACGATCGTACTCTTGGTGTTTTCCGTCGCAATGGGTCTGTTCGCTGCCGCGAATTTAGCGTATCTTGCGCGGGAGAATCGGCTCAAGGCGGAGGTGCGTCGGACGTTGCCGCGGGTGGAGGAGAAGAAGGGGTTGGGAGACCAGTCAGCCTGGTTTGAGTATCTGCTGTAGAATCCCGCTTGATCGATTGATCCCTCACCAGTCCCATCAACACTACTTGGCACTCCAATAATAGCCTAGGACTTGATAATCGTGTCTTCTAGGATTCAATCACCGGTGTATCGATCATGAAGCTGCGGGACTCAGAAGGACCAACAGTAAGCTATTTTGATTGACAAGCGATGGAACCTTAGGCAACTTGAGACCGGAGCACGAACGGGAGAATTACCACAATGATGGGATGCCGACGAGGTCATGGCACACGACCGATGGTACCACAAACCTGGGTAATATATCAAATATAAGGTGATGGAACTTCAACTAGATGGACAAAGATCGAGGCCGACATTTCAACTACAGAGCGGTGGAACTTTACTCACCTCGCAATAGGGTTCCACCGTAACCGGCCAGCACGTCTTCCATGTTTACGGTCCTTTTCCGTTTTGGCCTACATCACTGAAAGTCAAAGATTGAGGATGGCGCGTACAAACAAACACTGGGGGGACAAACAAATTATATAAGGCATAAGGATAACTTGTGCACTGCACTGCATAGCATTGCGATTAGTCTTGTTCAACCGCATGTTCTCAATGGCGCACCGTGTTACGGTCCGTGTGATCACTATGCCCGAGTCCTAGCTGAGAATCTAAAAAGCCGGGTGCATTGATGATCGAAGTGAAGAAGCAGGACCAACTCGGATAGATAGCGAGCAACGTGCAGTTGTCTGCTATCGACGGCAATGGGCGTTTCTGTGGACGTGGCGCGTCGCTAGTTCCAGGTAAAGGTGGACAGAACGTCCAGATAGCAAGGGCCGGCTCGTTTCGGTTACAAGCTGTTTCGCGATTGGTATTGGTGGAGTCTGCCAGTGTAATAGATCCGAGTGAGCCATTCCTTCCTTTCAGACGGTGTGCGTTGGACTCAGTAATTTGAGGCGTTATATAAGTGAAATCGTACCCCCAAGGCTCGCGACAGCCACAGCCCTTGCGACGGATGACGACGAGCCGTCTTTCGACGAGTACAAACATCGAAACTTTCTGGTGACAGGAATAATGGCATCGTGCCTAACATGCTCATACATTGAAGTATGCAGCCATCCGGAGTCAGAATTTGGGCTCGAGCTTCAAGCTTCAAGACCCAAACTTCCGTAGCCAAGGATACTCTCATCCGTCAACTTAATACATCGATGTTACGGCTTACAGCTCACAGGCTCACAGGATCCGAGCTTGCTAACTTACTCAAAACGAAGCAGGGACACGTCGGTATCAACCCCGTTTCATGATTGAAGTGAGTGGGCTGTTTACGAAGGTTGAATGCTATGGAGCAGGATTTTCATGAGCGGATTTTAGGACTTTATTTAACAAACTCGGCACTCGTTCAAATGCATAATAGAATGGAGAACAGGAAGAAGATTCGTATCAGGCAAGTTGAATCAGAAAAATGATGCATGGTACAGACGGTAAGTAAGTCTATACAGGCCATGAACGGTACTCGTGTGCCAGCACGGGGTCAAGACAACGAGGAAGTAATAAAACGACGGGCACTACTTACTATGGGCAGCACACCTCAATGTACCGCATTATCAGAGGTCGGCACGATACAACTCCTACAGCATCACTGACACAGGTAATGAGAAAATCACGATTCACGACACGCTGCATGGTCCGACTCCATCGTACATCTAAGTTTGTGTCTACGCGCTGCTACATGCCAATGTCGGCTCCATACCATACCACCTACAAACCGTCGTCTGCAAGCGACCTTGTCGAAGCCGAAGAGGCTCAGTATCAGGCTAGTACTCAATCATTTCCTACAATCAATATTTGCGAACAAAAATGATGCTAATTACTTGGAGGTGTCCTTGATTATATATATGTACAATGATGCGAATTTGGAGTCAAATCCCATCTACCACTATGTCAGACCTACCCCACCACGACGAACGGAAGGAGGTCGACAACAGCCCAAGTATTGCCACACGGGCCTCTGCGTCCTCCTTTGTATACGACCCCGTCCTCGAAAAGCGCATCTGGCGCAAGTTCGACCTTTATTTCGTCCCGATCGTTACTATGTTCTACTTACTCTCGTTCTTGGTATGGTGCACAGCAGTATGCTAATGCCTGATATTGATTGTTTCTCATAGGACCGTACAAGCATTGGAAATGCCCGTGTAGCAGGCCTCCAAAGGGATCTCAAGATGACCAACAGCCAATACTCAATGGCGTTGACCATTACCTATATCCCATACATTATTGCTGAGCTGCCCACAAACCTTTTACTCCGCGTGAGTTATCCCATAGCTTCCGTACCGTTGCGTGTTTAACTAACCTCGTTGTGAGCCAGTCTGTTGGCCCTAATATTATGATGCCCACAATGCTGATACTCTGGGGTGTCGTAACAACACTTCAAGGTATGCGGCTTCCTGATATTACTCCGGACTGTGTTCACTCCCCAAGGTGTTGTCACAAGTTATTCCGGCCTTCTGGCTGCACGCTTCTTCCTTGGGCTACTTGAAGGTGATGTCCTTTTCATTGAACTGTTCGATAGGATTTCTAACAGTTAACGTAGGCGGTATCACTCCAGGTCTAGTCCTTTACCTCTCACTCTTCTATCCGCGCCACAAATTAAATACTCGGCAAGTTGGAATGTTCCTCTGTATCTACTACATGCTCACAATGTTGATAGCTTGGCTGCCGTTTTCTCGTCGGCTTCCCTGGCCGGCGCTTTTTCGGGCATCCTTGCCTCCGGTATCGTCAAGATCAAAGAATCCTCTACTCAAACACGACCTGGATGGTCATGGATTTTTATCATTGAAGGGTTGTTCACAGTCATATTCGGCCTCGCCTCTTATGTCCTCCTTCCTCGCTCTCCCAAGACCACACGTTTCCTCACTCCTGAGGAACGGGACTACATCGTCGGTGTGCTTCAGGGAGACACCGTCGCAGATGATGAATTGTTCAGTTGGCATGATGTTGGTCGGGCGCTCGTGGCACCACAGGTGATCGTGGCGGCAATCGTCTTCTTCTTCGTTGGTGTGTGTGTGCATTCGTCGAGAGAAGGGGGGTGTTCTAATGGGAACGTTCAGGGATCGTGCTTTTTGGACTGGCCTTGTAAGTCCGTAGAGCTGGTGTTAACGAGCTGAGTTCAATTGTCCCAGCTTCGTCCCGTCCATCATTGTGGGTCTAGGATACACTGCATCGGCAGCCCAATTGATGAGCATCCCTCCGTATGCGGTTGCTTTTGTTGGTGAGCACCAGTCTACTTGCTGATTTCTACATGCTCAGTACGCCTCCAGCGGCTATCCTCTTTGCATTCATATCCGATCACTATAAATGCCGTGGTCTGGTCCTTATAATCATTTCCTTCCTTTGTACAATCGGCTTCGCTATGTTTCTCGGTATTTATACATTTCCCTTCTTCTTTCCGGCCCAGTGCCCACTCACCAGAAACAGGCTCGGATAAGCAAACTGTACAATATTGCTCCCTTTTCTTCTCCGTCTCGGGCATCTACTCCACGGGCCCCGTGCTATCCACTTGGGCATCTAACAATAGTGCCCCCCACACACGACGCGCGACTGCCATTGCAACTGGTTTTATCACTTCGAATGTGGCCGGCATCCTCGTGACGTGGTTATTTGGGTCACTTTCAGCAGCTCCACGGTACCACAGCGCGACGATCGTACTCTTGATATCCTCTGTCGGTATAGGCCTTTTTGCTGCTGCGAATGTAGCGTACCTTGTGCGGCAGAATCGACTCAAGGCGGAGGTGCGCCGGACGTTGCCGCGGGCGGAAGAGAAGAAGGGGTTGGGCGACCAGTCAGCGTGGTTTGAGTATATGTTGTGAGACCCTTTATGCAGATAACTTATGTCTGTCCCTACCCAAATCTATGATATGTATGAGAAGTGTCATTATTAGAATGTACATGCACCTAAAAGCGTGTAAGATGGCGTGAAGGTATGTTCATAGCGAGTCAAACGACGTTAAATCTCTTTTTCTTCACCAACATCTGGCGGGCTGTGGCAAAACAAACGAAGCCAACGAATACAGATACCTTTAATGAGCGACATTCAGTCTAACGAAAGCCTCATAGTTTTGGAAAATACTTGCCCCGCTAAATATGATAGGCTTAGACCAAAGGAAGGATTTCCCCAACAATGCACCGTCGATCGGGGCGCCAATGAGAGTTCCAAAGGCCGACATGAAGTACCCAACGCCGAAACGGATTCTAGGATCGCATAGGGTAAACAGCTCGTACGACACTCCGCAAAGCATCACGGACTCACCCTACTTCGTTAGGGTGAACTGCGAGAGCGGCGGCACATGGAGCCCAGAGCGTCATGACTGTCGATCGAGCAAGCGCTTCGTTCAGAGAACAACATTGATCTTCGGTTAACAAGGACACTTACATGCCCCGGAGAACGCGCCGTAGAATACGACAAACGCAACGATGCCTCCCTCAGCGCTGACTCCGAATAAGGCGAAGATGAGGGCGGCATTGACGAGCAGCACGGGCGCGATGATGTTGAATGGCCCAAAGCGATCTGCGAGTATTCCTGGAAGAACTCGTCCTGGAAGGCCGGCGGCGTTCATGATGGCGAGCTGGATATGGGTTTCGTTGAGTGCTTCTGCGTAAAGCAATCTCTAAATTGCCTTACAGAATAGAACGCAATGCTAGGATCCACGCCATGTAGTACCGCAAAGAGTTGCACGTAGAAATCTAACTCCGTAGTTTTGTTAGTAAGTAGTAACGTTAGTAAACCTCAGGCCTACATGGAAAGAAAATCCCCCAAGTAATCACAAAAACACTGAATACGTATCAATAAAAACGATCGCCGCAGACTGGCTACAGAGTTGACGAACTTACCCAAACGACGACAGCATGAATGGGATATCAGTCAGGATGTTCTTCAGCACTGGCTTTTCGCCGCCCCCTTTGACAGAGGGGTTGTCGCTCATCAGGAGATTTGCCATGATCAACAATCCTAAGACGACGAAAGCGCTCGCCCGGACCCCCCATTCGAAGCCGACCGAGCTCTGAAACAGTCGATTCAACATGATCGGGAAAATGATGCCTCCAAGAGATGATCCTGTCGTCTGGTAAACGAAAATAAATCAGGTTATGGTGAAACTTCCCTACCTGTGACGACCACGCCCATAGCGAAAGCCCGACGCCTTTTCCAGTGGTGGGCTTGGACGGCCACAGCAGGGACATACAAAAGACCGGCACCAACTCCGAGACCGACACCCTGAGAGAGGTACACCTGGTAGTATGTATCTGTATGGGCGAGCGAGACCATGAATAGCCTTGCAAATGGCGATCAGTGTATGTAATGGGGGATCACAAGCATTGACTTACGAAAAGACATAGATTAGGGATCCGACCAAATTTGTCTGACGGAGATAACCCATGCCCAAGAGCTTGCCCGCGGGAAGGCCCATGGCGAACAGAAAGAACAATTGAGTCGATCCGATCCAACTGACGTTAGACGCGGTCGCTGCCTGCGACCTGGTGTATATGTCTTGGTACACACCAAACGCGTTGACGTATCCAAACGTCACTGTTGCCATTAACACGCTGCGCTGACATGAGCAATGAGAATTCGCGTCCAAGACTTGCACTGACCCTCCGAGAAGTGTGCACCAAGCCCTGGCGCCGCCATCGACTCGATGGGAAGGAGTCTCGGGCAATGGTAAATCAAAGCCCTTCTCCAAAACTTCGACCTGTTCTTGGAGAGTAATTTGAAGGGTGGTCTTTGTGTCCATGGCGTGTGGGTAGGGAGAGGGATTGGACGGGTGAGAGGCCTTTTCATAGTTCCCTCATATATCTAGGTTCACATCTGCAAGCCCAGTCATTGGCGGGAGAAGACATCGAATGACGGCCCGACCTCAACGCACACATTGGAGAGTGTGAGAGTACTGTGCAAGGTTGATCAACGTTTCAGTGACTGTACTCAATTTAGACGAGTCATTAAGACAATTTCGTACCCATTGTGCCTCCCAAAAAAAGATAACAGCTCCACTCCCAGTATTGACCCCCATATGTCCTGAGTGCTCTGCTGCGAGCTCAGTCGCCGATAGTTCCTGCTTTATCAGGGATGTGGGTGGCACTGGCGACTGTGCGGGTGTATTTCAAAAGGCTTTATACCAAGACCAAGGTCGGGAATCACGTAGTGTTTGATCTCAAAAGGGACTTACTATTTCTCTGGCAGAAGCTTGCGCTCAAATGCAACGCAGTGTCCAACAAAGTGTTGCGTAGATTGAACGAACTTAATCTCACTGTCGACTTCCACCGTAACACCACAGAACATGGTTCTTTGCATATGCAAACTAAGTATCGTGTCCTACGTCTCCCCTAAACTCAACTCGTTTTGACAGGCTCCGTAAGCCGTTTAGTACATTTGGAACAAGCGACCGAATATATATAGATAACAACTCAAAGGAGAGGTGAAGCAGACACCGTCGGTCAAGAATTGTTCAAACATGGTTGGTTCCCCTTTGTCTCACAAGCATTTGACGCACTGTCGCTAGAGAGACAAGGCCAACGAACATGCATACCTAGGAAAGTGTTAAGGGAGTTCCCTACGTCGCAGAAAACACATACCCCACTGAAAATGATAGGTCTCGCCCAAGGAAACGTGTGCCCAAGCAGTGCGCCATCGATCGGTGCTCCAATGAGAGCTGCGAAACCCGATAAACAGAATCCAAAGCCAAGTCGTACGCTGGCGCCACTGATGTGAGTCGATTCTGGCGAGAAGACAGATCTACTACTCACCCCACTTCATTTGGATGACGAGCGAGAGTAGTCGCGCAGGGCGCACAGAGTGTCAAGACTAACTATCCATCAGGCCCACCTCAGACGATGAAGGGGATTGTTGACACTCACATGCTCCGGACGATATGCCGTACAGTATAGCGAAGGCAATTGTGCTGCCCACTGAATTGTCCCCGAATAACGCAAACATAAAGACGACGTTGAGTAATGTTACTGGCACGATAACAGTGAAAGGCCCGAAACGATCCGCAAGGAGTCCGGGGAAAATTCTCCCTGGGAGCGCCGCGCCGTTCATGATAGCCAACTGCGAATGCGGGAGCCGTCAGTCATTAATCATTTACGCAGGGCTGATCTTTCTTACCGTATAGAACGCTATATTGGGGTCTACTCCATGCAAGATTGCATACAGCTGAAGGTAGAAGTCTATCCACGAGTTGATAAGCTAAATGACTGTCGACAACGATCTCACATACATGGGAAGAAGATCCCCAAAGAGATGGCGAAAAGACTTCAGTGGCGATCGTCAGCGCTTGAAGGGTAGACATATGGGTACAACTCACCCAAAAGACGCCAACAAATATGGGACATCCGTAAGTATATTCTTCAGCGATGGCTTTTCGGAGTCATCTTTGGCCGAAGGGTTATCGCTTATCAGCAGGTTTGCTATCACCAGGATCCCCAGCACGAGGAAGGCACTCGCACGAACCCCCCATTCAAAGCCAACCTTTGAGCTTTTGAACAGTTGGTTCAACATTATCGGGAAGAAGATGCCTCCCATAGACGACCCTACACCGATTATCTGCATCAGTCTACTCAGCGACGATTGATGTTGCCCACCTGTAACAACAACGCCCATCGCGAAGCCCCTATGGCGTTTCCAGTGGTGGGCTTGTACGCCCAAGGCAGGGATATATAGAATCCCCGCACCGATTCCCAGCCCAAGTCCTTGCGCAAGGTACACCTGATAATATGTATCCGTGTGCGCAAGCGACACCATGAATAACCTGATCTCTTAGTGAGTAAAGTTGTCTTCGATGGAGAGGAAGACGACTTACGAGAAGACGTAGATTATTGTTCCAATGATGTTGGTATACCGCATATAACCCATGTCCATGAGCTTCCCGGCAGGAAGTCCCACAGCGAAAAGGAAGAACAGCTGGGTGGACCCAATCCAGCTCACGCTGGATGCTGACGCCGCATGCGACCTGGTGTAGATGTCTTGATAAACGCCGAAGGAGTTCGAGTATCCAAATGTGACTGTCGTGATTAGGATACTACGCTTTCGTTAGCCAGAGGAACAGGCACCAATCATGTGTGGCTTACCCCCCAACAAGCGTGCACCACGCCCGCTTGCCTCCGTCGACCTGTGGGGCGGGCGGTGCTAGCTTCAATACTGGCTGCCCAGACGAGAGGGAGGTCCTCTTCTCGTCTAGACTTTGTAAAGAAGACGTATGAGCAGTTTCTACATCCATTGAGGGCGGAGGGGGATTCCTATGGAATGATTTAGGTGAGTGCCAGTGACTACTTCAAAAGTTGTTATTTATACATATTGCAGGTATCCGAAGACCTCGAGACACAAGACAACTCAAGCTTCGCCGTCTCACCAAGCCTGATAGGCCATATGGCTTGGGTGGAAGAAGCTGATGTATGATGATAGCATGAACACAACTGGCATTGGAACACGGATAGCAAAACTCCCAGTCTACCACCCACGCTCTTCGTTTCAAAGGTGCGGCCATCATGTATTAGCTAGATCTTATCAATCTAATTCAAGCTGCACCCTCGATTACATCGTGTCGACAATTTCGGTAGCTTCTGGTGCCTTCTTTGTTCCGAGTCCTGGGATTTCTAGTGTAGGTGCGAAATCGTATTCGCTGGTGTGAATGCGAGGACTGGGAATGGTGTGTTCCCACCAAAAGACGAAGTAAGAAGGAACGAATGAACGCGATCCGAACGCCACGTGACGAACGGAACGGAGGACGGAAACGCGACCAAGCAGCGCCGCGTGCGACTGCTGGACTCGACTCAAACGCAACGCAACGGAGGGAAGGGGAGACTGTACTTCTTGTTATTGTAGGTAGATATGTAGGTACTATATATACTTGTACTACATGTAACTAGACATGCAGAATGCGCATGTGTAAGTAAGTAATCTAGTACCTAACATAGAATGCGGCCGCAGCTGATGACGGACCGAAACAGGAAGTAAACGAAACGATAGTATACGTACAATAAACCATGAACCAAGGCTCGAACAGGGTGCCAACCCTACACTAGCTGCGACTGAGGACCAAAAATGTCAGAACAAACCAGATCATTGCTATTACAAGGTCTCGCCAAGAGATCTTAAACCTGGTCGCAAGGGATGAGTTTCTGGAAAGATGGCGTATCCCTATAGAATTCTCCGGCATCTAAAATATTCACTCTAGCATCACCATACCGCATGGATGCCGACTTCTCCATTGTATCAGGAAAGTATCCGACTAATTCGGTTTGATGTTCAGTTTGATACTTCGACTCTCACCGCATCAGCACTTCGAAGTTCGCACTGTGGGCGCAAGTGCCCGGAACACCAAAGTACGTGACGTCTACATACTGCCTCTCCAATTTCGACTCTCAGGCCAATACTTCGACAGATAACACCCTTTACGGGTAGGGCGTGCTGGTAGATAAGCCACGGTACAGCAGGTTTCCCGTTTTGGCTACCCACCGTGCCTCATATCTGGTCCGCCCTCACTTCCTAAATCAATCCATCATGATACTATGTTATGGTCTCCACCGTCAGGACCCGGCGACTTACCATTCACTCTCACTTATCTCGAACGACAAGGCAATACTGGAAGGGTACCATCGTTTGATACTACACCTGTATTTGGTGTTACTCCGGCGAGCCGTATATATGCAACTTCTCTACATACCAGAAGTTCAAAATAAATGTCTCTCAAACCTCAGGTTTTGGAACATTTGAACGTCGTCAGTGCTAACGCTGGTGCGCTCCATGCATCATCAAGTAAGTCATGACTTTCGTACTGCATGTGTATATAATGATGACGAGTCCCAACAGGTGTCTCTGGCATCCTACTCGGGTGCTTAGTAGTTCAGAGCTACGTATATTACAAAAAGCACTATGATGACCCTCTGGGGGTGAAGATTTTGGTATGGCTTCGGCTTGTGAATAATAAACACATATTGACACCCAGCTCATTAGGTTGTGACATTGGTGTATGTGGCTTTTCGAAGAATACGTTCGTCGTGCTTATGCCATTACCTTCTCTAGCACCTCCGAAATAGCTCAGCAGCTTTGCATGATCGACGCAGACTATACATTGGCCATCTCGAACTGGGGCAACCCCACGATATTCTTCCGTTTACCAGCATCATTGTGGGCCACCATCGTCATCAGTGTTTTGAACTCGCCATTGGTGGAGGTGAGTCACTCTCAATAGACATCACATCTCGCCTATTTCTGCTCGCCCATTCATAGTCCTTTTATTTTTGGCGCATCTACAAAATCAGTCAACGAATGTGGCCGAGTGTCATTGGTACTTTTTTATCTTGGCTTCGTTGCGCTGGATGGCTTGTGTTCGCTAGTACCGCCGCTCAGCAAGGCAGTTTGACCCCCGGATTTATTGATGACAAGTCCTGGCTCATTATCACGCTTGTCGCATTTGGCCTTGTCACCAATGGCTTCCTCGCAGCGGTCATGGTTTATTACCTCATCCGCAACAGACACACGCCGTTCCGCAGGTGCGTCTTACGATCTGTTTCTGTCTGTATATCACCTCTAGAATGGGTGTACCCCCCAGGACCAAACTGTTAATTGACCGCCTTATTATGTGGACCGTCCGTAAGTATTATGCCCGTGCTTACCCTTGAAATAACTTAATTTCTTCTAGAAACCTCCATCATCACTGGGTATACTTTACTTGATCCCCATGCTATGTGTCACTTGTTTACACCCCCCAGGTTGGCATACGCGGCTACACTCATTTTGGTCTGCATCACAATTCATTGACTTGTTATATCTCAACTCAACATGCCCTGTAGTTCATTACCCTCAGAAATACTCGTAAGCCTCTGAGGGTCTTTAGGCTCTCTCGACGTTGTCTCATCCTTCGAGATAGTTATCTGGTTCGGTATCCTGGCCTGCACCACTAAAGGTACGCTTTCAGCGATCGCTTTCCTGAAGTGTGTGATGTTGACTTTGTTTCACAAGTTTGTGCAAACTGCCTGCTATCGTCGTGAGTGATCGACTCGGAGCAGTCTTCGCGTTACTTCTCATATTGGGCTCCCTTGACTGTGTTCGCACTAGATTGAACGACAGGGCAAAGATCAGAGTTCATACAAAGTCCGAAGCCCTCTCGAGCTCGGACGTGCCTATGCAGCCGCAGGTTAGATATCTTGAACCAGATGTGTTTGATTATTGCTGATTCGCCAGCCCAGACCAACTCACAGCAGAGTCCCATTGTTATCAATATTTCTACAGAGCAGGCGACTTGCACTACCGCTAGCAAAGAAGACAAATTGGTGAGCGGATAATGTCTCCACTGTTAGCGGTGTTCTGTTAACTGACGGATCGGTGATGGTGCGTGCCAACAAAAGGGATCGATTTAAGTCCGGCCATGTTCCATCAGTCCTCCGTCTATTGTTGTCGCTATTATCAGTGTCGTGATTTTGCGGTTGAATTCCTCTTCTATTTATCATGTATGAAAAGTCTTTTATGTCTCTTTGTACACGAATCGTTTTTTATACCGAATCGATGTGATTATGTTAGCGGTACTGGAAGTTGACTTACATATGTCGAGACAAAGAACCTACCTCAGACAAACAATAAGTAGCTTATGTCGAGAAGCGTCCGTTGAATCGCGATGTGCCCTGGTAGTATGATGCCAGTGATCATCTTGGCGTCGGATGTTGAGACGTTGAACGTTCAAAAGCCTCGAGAACCTGAGCCCGCAGAACCAGCTTTCGCTTCTGATTACTTAGTTTTCGCAAGAGTGAACCATCGCGATACGCCATAGCCCTAAGGGAACCACAGTCTTCGGAATTGAAGGGTACAACTTCTCCGTAATTCGACAGGACGCCTGACTACCGATGTATCAACTCTGAAACAGGCAGACCCGATTAGATGCGAGGGTCGATCCATGGCTATCCATTATCGATAGGACCTAAAGCGGTTTGATCGTGTCTGTTGGAGCTGGGGAACTTGAACGAATAAGGCAACAATCCGACAACACGACGCCGGCGTACTGACAAGTCGACGGGACCTGGTAATGGTGTGAATAGCTCGCACGATGCCAAGTGACGGGGCTGAGCTTAAGCTTGATGTCGGGCTACCAGCTGGCCAGCGGTGGGACCTGATGCTGCGTCAACTCATCAACGTCAAGCGAACGGGTATCAAGTACTCAACGGTGAGACTCCAAAACATGACGCCAACAAGTTACAAGGGCATACAAACTCATCGAGCTCCATATCCGGGCATCACCCAGTGGCAATGGGACTTCGGTTGACATCGTTCGCCTGAAGGCTGAGCGCTGAGGCCTGAGCGTTCGAAGACATGAATTGGTTCGAAGAAGAGTATGGTGCAGAAGTATCGATTACCCGGACGTGAGACTTGAAGAAGCTTGCGTCAGTGAACAAGCTGCTCGGGACTGGCACTTGTGACCAACGGGGATATTTCTGCCATGCCGCAACCGTGAGTTGAGCACAGTCGTGTACATATTTCCCTGCTTTCCGGCAGCACCGCGATCTTCGGGTTTGACGTCGGGAGTCGGTGCTACGGTGGGAATCATGCATCATGGGACTAGAAGCGGATACCGGCATACAAACTAGTGCGCAACAAGTTAACAATGGGTCAGATAACGGTTTACGAGAACCTCAAGAATAGGATACGGGATACGCATGATGCCGACTGGGACTTCCAAGTGATGATGGTATTTGGTACTGTATCCCGGGGTGTAATGGCCGCCAGCGGTGAGACTTGGGCCTACGCCGATTCAGAATGTCGGCGTACCAACTACGCAGCGGTGAGACTCGAGACTCGAAGAAGCTTGATGCGAGCTGGATAAGGGACTTGGAGCGGCTTGAAGCTCGACACCGGTGTATCAACGACCCAGCGGTGGGATCCGTTACTTATCATCATCAACGAATGTCACCATCAGCCAAGCCACATGAACATCATCAGCAGCCTCCATCGCTCCGGCCTTCAAAGCTTCAGCGTTCAACGTTCAACTTCCAGCACCTTCTCGGATTGCTGTTATGATATATATCATATCATATCATGTATGATCTATTGATACTTACGATGGTCGCGCGATGTATCTCAACCTCAACGTGGGAGTTGGCCTCAGGTTGGGTGTATTGATCGGTATCTTGGGCGTAGCAGTTCGTTCCTTGCCTTATCGCGAAGGCGCGAAGGTGTGTCAAGGGTGCACCGCTGCACTTCAGCTTCATCAGGCACCATGCATCACCGGGGAGCCTTCTAGCCATCTCGAAGACTCACGAAGAGTGCCCAAGGATGGGGCCTTGGATGCCACGTCGTAAGTCAGCCGAGTTCTAGACGGTGTGTGTATTAGCAGGACCCTGGAAAATGGTAGTAGAGGATTGATCCCATTTCAGACAAAAATGGCGGCCGAAGGCCGCCCGGCTTGAGCCGTTTCAGACAGATTTGGGGGGAAAATGCGCGCATATCTCGGACAATTTATGGGACTCCAGTCAAGGCCTGAGAAAAATATCAGACAACAAGGTCACGCTGGAGGCCTGAGGCCTGAGGTCCTTGAGTGCGGAGTACTTCTTTTGGCCATTACAAATAATTGATGAACTATTAGAATCACAGAATACGCACCTTCAAGCATAGCTATTGTCCACTGCAGGGTTTCCCAACAGTCCATTATGATTAAATGTTGAAGGCATGTCAGTTGCAAGTACGAACCCCCTGGAATTGATGGACTACGGGTTTGTATTTATGTACGGACGAAGGAGAGGTCATGGCTGAGGTATGCTTGCTACTAAACAAACTACATATCTAGCAACTGATTGTTCCACCCAGGCCACAGTTATTGTGATGTATACAAAGGGCGGCGGAAAGGCTGGACACCTTGCGTCACAACTGACAACTACCAACATTGCATCCATGTCATGAATGGGACTGCAAGTCTTTCAGCATTTCAATTCAGTGGTTGCACACTAGAGTCCCATCGCAACATCACAGTTTCTCACCTATTGTTTTTTTCCCTACCATCATTGACATTTTATGGCGTCTCAACGCACCTCCTGCATCAATTACCGGTCAGAGCAACTTCGAATTGTCGGATCAGGACTTTGCACTCTTCAAGCTACTCACAGAGAAGGAAACATTAAACATTCTAGTCAAAGTCATGGTATTGTCGCCGAAACGGGTAGTAAAGAACCTTTAGGGGACGAATAGGTCTTCTACCTGTTGAATACAGCCTGTACCGAGTTATATTACTGCTTATACAAGCTTATAGAGCCTCTGGGCCTCAAAATAGCCCTTTTTTTGAGGCCTAAGGCCGATTTCAGACAAAATTTGTGATCTAGAAAGGCCTAATCTGAATTCGGACAACTAGGGAGGCCCGAAGGGCCTCTACCCGAAAATCAGACATTTCTCCCCCAGGCGAGCTAGGTTTGTTCAAAATCAGACAAAAAACCCCAAAAACCAACCAGACAGACTCACACCCGCCGGCCTCAATCCTTTTCTACCATTTTCCAGGGTCCTGTATTAGCTGGCATGGCTGTTTGAGTTCTCGGTGGGAGCACGTTTTCGAGCGCAACTAAGCCACCGGCCCGGGCATCCGGCATTCTCGTGAGGCGCTTCCACTTTTCGTTTTGGTCCCGCCCTACGAGCAAAGGTGACATGGATACGAATGGTATCAAAGGTACATTGTATTTTCTCGAGCTCGAGAAAGAAGAATGCTAACCATTTTAACCCGTTAATAAACACCATCCGTTGTCTCAAATCAAATTCGCATTCGCACAATGGATCGCGGACGTGTGATGGACTTACATGCTAATGCTGACCTTGGTTTCTCCGTAAGTATCGGTGGTCTACGAACACAACGACCTCCTCGCCATACTCTCTTCACCACCGACACAGCCAAATCCGAGTCATTGATACAGCGTTTGTTCTCCCCCCTCCCCAAGCTACCAGAACTAACGGACTCGCCCCACACGCAGCGACTCGGAAGAAGTTCGCAGGCACAAAGGCGATATTGGGTAGTCGAAGGTGAGTGCATACTGTGTTGATTGTTGATGTGGTTCAGATGGCCGCACTAATTATTCTCTGAGACCTTTCCTTCTCCCCGACTGAGGGCGATGAGGATACAGAAGTCTGGTATTATCGATTATCGTTGTGGTTTATCGCAGACCATAGAAAACTCGAGGACAACAAGACTTTTCTTCGCCAAGATTGTAACGGGTAGTCGACCAGCCGCCACACCGGTACCGTAGAACGGATATCTCGAGCCCAGGAATAATCTTGATCGATTGATCCGCGACCCCGTATCTGTATCCTCGTGTGTGTGCCCGTGGAAGAAGCAGTTGTATTTGGGTATTTGGGTTCTGCAGGTACGTCGTCCCACTCTGATCCTCTTTCCCTTCCTCCGCCCCGGCCGATTTGTCCTAGATGTTATGCATCACTAGTACTGCGAGGTGTCCGAGCCGATGTGCTTACGACTCTCATGATCATCGATCATCTACCATCAGCGCGGCAGGTCTCCCCCTATCTAAATATCTATTATCTATTCTATTCTCTTCACTCCCTTATTCCTCTCTCCTCCCTCCCTCCTCCCTCCCTTACTCATTCAGCAACTCGATTACCGCCGACAGGCACCGAAACGCTCCGACTCGGAAATGCGCGTCATGCAATACACAACTTGACTCCATCTTCCTCTCCATATGCTCTTCCTCTCGAGCTACGCAATGGCCGCATACCGGCCTAGTCTCCACCTGGTCGCCCGAACGTAACGACACCGCCCTCGCCCTTGCTTTCATATGCTCGGTCGCTTCATCTAGATTCTGCATCAACGCTTCCCAAATTCCGCCACCTCCATCTTCCTCACCGTTCCGGGCGTCCCAACTCTCTCCCGCCGCCTCGCGAACCGTAACGAGGACGGGCGTATTAGGTGCCGCGGACGCTGAGGTGGGGAGATAGCTTGGTATAATTCCGCGACGCCCCCCTCATGATGACTTCGCGGGGTACGACTTGCAGAGCGGAACCTTTCAGTGGCGGTACTTCCTCCCTCACCCTCGCAGCCCGTCAGCATCAACGTCGCTGGATCACACCTATGAGACTCGGAGTCGGGGTCGTAACCTCTTTCCCGATAGGTACGAGGTCCTCGAGGCCGAGCTCTTCGAAGTTCGGAGCGCGGTCTAGGCTTTTGGACTGCTCAGGCTCAGTAAATCAAACGATGTTCGGTAGCTCATAAGATCGGAGAGTGTGCTCTCACAACTTGACGGCCACGGAATACAGGGGAAGCGCTGGCGGCTTGGCTTCCGGTGGCCTGGGGGGGTGGATATGATGTTAGATAATATATGATGTTGGTGTTGCTCCAGGGAAGCAGGAGAGGACTGGATATCGGTGATGGCTGCTGGTGCATTCCATGGATGGTGCAACGAAAGTCCGAGTCCAGCTACGCGCTGCTTCAATTTCAGCGTTCAATCAAGCCCGAGACCGAGGGATCATTGGGTTGTACGTCCATCCAAATATACATTCAGGTGCGCTTGCTTCTCGGAGAAGAGTGGGTCGAGCGCGCGATGAAAGCTACGTAGTTGGATACGTCGTCGACGAGGGCGACGGTGTGGAAGTGCTGCTGCCTCTCCTTCGGCTCAGAAGACGCGGATGCCCGCTGACGCGCTGAATCGACGTGAGCAAGGTCGTGAGCAAGCCAGAGAGCCATATCGAGATGGAGGTCTAGTTGATCTGCCCCGTGACACAACACGCACAGACCAACAAGCATCAGCGCCCTATAACGATGCGTGTCGACGCCTCCAACCTTTCCTCCTCTCATCTCTCTCCCTCCCCTGCCTCCCCCAATCTCCTCTCCACGCCCCGCTCCCCGCCATCGTGCCCGTCGCGTTGCTCCCCAAGGTCGATGCCATTTAGTCTAGTACTTGCGTGCAAGACGGAGGGGACTTTTATGTTTGCCGGACTCGGAACGTGCCTGGACGACGAAAGGGTTGAGCTTCTTTACTTCCGTGTTGGACTTGTTCCATGACCATCCCATCAACAAAACTAGCCGATGTCGCACCGAACTAACTCGTGCTCGTGGATTCTTGGTTATTTTTATCGTTGCTGTGGCCAAGGCGAAAGACGAGAGGACTGCGTATCGGTGTTGGCTGTTGGTTGATGCGTCAATATTGATCCACGGATAGCGCAATGAACTATACCAGCAAAGTCCGGCGCCCAGGCATGTCGTTGTGCATCATTCAATCCCGAGTCCGAGGCAGGATTCAATTGTACGTGTGTCCAAATATAGGCTCGGGTGGGCCAGACGCGTCGCGATGGATGCTTCTCGGAGAAGAGTGGGTCATGCGCGCTCTTTCTGAGTGCGATCCGACGACGGTGAGCGTATGTAGGCGTGCACAGATGTGTGTCATGCAAGTGGGTCTGACGAACATATCATTCCACTCACCCAAGCTATTCAATACCCCCGCGATTCGCCTCCACTCCTTCATCCTCCTTCTCCGTCATGCCCCCCTCCACCAACCACACAGACCTCGACATCGAGAAGCAGCATGCAGCCGGTGCACACGGCCCGCCGCAGCGCTCGACGACGCGCTCCGTGCTGCTCATCATCACCTGCACATTCGCCATGCTCGTCAACTCCTCCAACAACACCTCCGTCGCCATCGCCCTCCCCACCATCGGCGCAGCCCTCAACATCCAAGAAGCCCAGCTCCAGTGGCTCGTCTCCGCCTATTCCCTCTCCTCGGGCTGCCTCCTCATCCTCTTCGGCCGCCTCGCTGATCTCCACGGCCGCAAGCGTACTTTCCTTGCAGGCAGCATCTGGCTCGCGGCCTGGACCCTCGGCTGCGGCTTTGCGCAAACAGAGATCGAGCTCGATGTGCTGAGAGGCCTCCAGGGTGTCGGTGTCGCTGCGACCATTCCCGCGTCGCTGGGTATTCTGGCACACGCATTCCCCCCAGGTACACTGCGCTCTATCGCGTTCGCAACCTTCGCAGCTGGCGCCCCCCTCGGCGCATTCACAGGCATGGCTCTCGGCGCTGTCATGACGCAGCTCTCCGCGTGAGTCCCCTTTCCTCCTTCCCTATCAACCTTGTATTTATTTGGCGTGTACAGCCCGACCTGGCGCTCCAACTTCTTCCTCTCCACCGGCCTCACCGTCCTCTACACCGCCCTCGGCTGGTACGCAATCGACGACGACGAACCTTCCTCTGCGCAGCGTGGCGATAACAGGTCAAAATGGAGTTTCCTGCGCTTCACCCGCTCGACCCGCGACGCGAATAGTGCGGACGAAAAGCCCCCCCAGGTCTTTCAGCCCCCAATCCTCCAAGACGGCGAGGAGGAAGACAGACGTGTTGACTGGCTCGGCGCGTTCCTCGTCACCGCCGGCCTCGTCCTCGTCGTCTTTGTCCTCTCCGACGGCGAGGTCGCCCCGCGCCAGTGGGCCACCGCATGTAAGTCACTTTATTCGTTTGCTTTGTTACCTTCACTGGGTAACCGCTCCTGTCTCCAGACATTATTGCGCTGCTGATAATCGGGTGCCTCTTCTTGGGCGTGTTCATGGCATGGCAACATTTCCTCGAGGCGCACCAGCTCAAGCATCAGCTGCACGCGCGCGATCGAACGCAAGATCGGCTCGGCCCGTCCGAGATTACGCCCATCCCTTCCCTCCAATCCACCCCCACGCGCGGCGAACCCACCGCTCCCGCCCGGAGTAGATACCCACCTCCCCTCATTCCCCCCGCCCTCTGGACTCGCTCCGCCTACCGTCTCACCGCCGTCATGCTCGTCGCCCTCCTCACCTGGGCGTCGTTCTTGGGATGGAACTTCTGGACCCAACTGTATTACCAGCAGTATGAGGGCTTGAGTCCCGTCGGCGGGATGTTGAGGATGTTCCCTATGTACGTGTTTTTTTTACAGAGATGATCGTCAGATGCCGACGCGTCTTTTACCTCTATGGGTTAACACGTTACACGCGTCGCTTTCTCATCTCCTTGATCTCATTCTAATCCCAGGGTGAACGCACGCTGACGCTTTGTTTTTTTGGGGGAATATAGGTTCGTAACAGGCATCATATGCAATATCATCGTGGTGATGATCGTCGCACGCATCCCGGTCGTGTACATCCTCGGTGCGTTCCTTTCTCCCACTCCGCCTCCCATCTAACATCCACCCCTTTAAACATTAACATTATAGCCTCCGGCACCCTCATAACCGCCTGCGCCTCCATCTTCTTCGCCCTCATCCCCTCCACGACCACCTCCACCACCTACTGGGCCTACGGCTTCCCCTCCGCCATCTTCTCCGTCTTCGGCGCGGACTTTGTCTTCGCCGCCGGCACCATCTTCGTCGCGCGCGTCGTAAAGCCCGAGGAGCAGAGCCTCGCGGGCGGGCTCTTCCAAACGATGACGCAGGTACGGTCTACTCCTCACCCTTCCAACCAAGGGTGCTGTATACTTACGTACTTTTTCTGTTTCTGTAGTTGGGCACTGCCCTCGGCGTGACCGTCACCACCATCGTCTTCAACCGCGTCGTCGCACAGGACGCCCGACGCCTCGGCCTCGACCCCGCCTCGAACTCACCGCAGGGCGGCGTGCCGGACCACTCGGAGCCGATGCTCGCGGGGTACCGCGCGGCGCAGTGGACGGCGTTCGCGTTTGGAGCTGTTGGTGAGTGCCTGCTTATATTTTAACGCAAAGCAAATCAACTCATCGTCATCCGATTTTTTGGGGATTAGCGACGCTCGTGACGGTCGCGACGATGTCGGGCGTCGGGATTGTGGGCGACCGCAAGGGCGCTTCATCCTCATCCTCATCGTCCTCTCCTTCCTCTCCCGCCCCTTCAAACCCGTCTTCAAACCCTCACCCTCCTTCGAACTCGAAGGATCCCCGCTCAGATGGTGTGAAAGACGAGGAAGGGGAGGTAGAGGGGGTGAATGAAGAGGGGGAGGTGGGGTCGCAGACGGAGACTGTCGTACCAGGACATTCGGCGCCTGTTTCGCGGGCGGTGTCAAGGGAGCATGCGCATGCGCATTTGGGTTCGCATTTGGAGCAAGATGATGCGAGTGCGGGGAGGGTGGTATAGCGAGAGAGGAAAGGAAAGGGAAGAGGGAAGAGCTACGATGATACGAAAATAGCAGTACGCAAGCGCAAGAAAGAAAGGAGTGAGGAAGTGGAGGAGTACGCGCCGTCCCGCCGCGAACCCCAATGACACATTGAGGAAAACCGGTCACCGTAGGTGTTCGATCATTCGCGGTGTGGCGTCCATTTCCATTTCCGTGTCCTGTTTGTGTTTTGAATGGATTCTCGCAATTTGCAGCACTTTGTAATTCGCAATTTGGAGCATGCATGGCTTTATGACTTGTATCGAGTACTACCCAATATCCGATATCACTATCACGCATCCCGTATCCCGCATCCCGCACCCCGTATGGAATAATTATCACTAGACGTATATATATATATATATATATACAAGTTCACATCTTTACATTCTTACATTCGACATTCGGGACCATTCATCAATCATCATTTCGTACACTTGTCATTGAAACAACTGTTCAAACGAGCAACGAGAAAAGAGAATGAGGGCGACGACGCGCCAGCCGCCGAGTACTCGAACCCACTATGTAGAACCTTAACCTTCAAATCACATTCAATTCGCGCGTACCATTACCATTACCAAACCAGCGATATATTGGTACATCGGTGCGACGCGATGTGCAGTCGAAGCAGGGCGCGGTCAACCGGACACCAGTCATCTACAACAACTAACGATTTCGGATTTCAGATTTTAGATTTCAGATGCGGAAGGTATGTCAACAGATCTGTTTCCTGTTGCCTGTTCCGTGTGTTGTGTTGTGGGGCCTGGTGTTCCTCTTCTCTGCACCTTCCTGCATCCTAAATCCCGAACCCCAAACAATACCAGAGATTTTATATTTGGCGTCTACGATCGCGTATCAAGAAGCCCATCATAATCATAAACGGGAACGCGAAGACAAAGACAAAGCCTGCGCCCGGGTGCACAGGATCCCGAATATCGCGCTGGCCAACTCTCTGGGTTTCTCGACGGGCAGCTGTCGCAGATGAGGAACATAGCAGCATCGTCGTTATTAGTTCGTCGTTATTAGTTCGTTGTTTCTGATTCTGAGGAGTGGATATTAGATCACCCACGTAGTGCCCAGCTCCAGCGATAGTCGTCACAGAGGCCAACTTTGCGCGGTCCGCTTCGATATTCTCGGATATCATCGTGTAGATGGGCTTCGGCCTTGGTGGTTCAAATAGTAATAGATAGTAAGCGCGGCATCCATATTTAGATTTATATATTTAGATTTTTGAGGATCGAGAATATCAGCAGCGAGAGGACGCACCAGATGTCCATAGCGTCGCCGAGGATGAGGTGCGTTGGGAGGAGGTGCATGATGCTCCTGAGATACGGCAGCTCGTTGAGGTTGGTGCCATCGTCCAGGAAACACGCAGTCTCCTGCTCAACGGGGGTCTTGGTCGTGACCGTCCCGGGAAGCGCGGGATCCGGCCTGAAATACGTCTCCTGCGCACGTACCGCCAGGTAAGGATCAGCCGTGACGAATAGCAGACAAGACAAGATAAACGGTAAACGATAAACAATAAACGATAGAAGAGTAGGAACGCGACGAACGGAGATGATGTGCAGCACGTCTGGATGGAAGTTCTTCCACGGGACATGAGTCTTGAACCACGCCATGGCGTGCTCCGCGCTGGCCCAGCGGGTCGGGCGCCGCGAGTTCGACCGCCTCACAGCGTCGTACAGCTGCAAGAGGGGGCCCCAAGCTGCGTGTTCGATATGGGGCGATTCGACGAGGATGAGCGCGCACAGCGGCAAGTGCTGCTTCGACGGCCCCAGAGCGTTGATCCTGGAATGAACAAACAATACCACTAAGCAAGCTATCTCACAATCTCATGCTACACGCAGAGCAAATCCACGTAATCACGAACAAGAACACGCACAAAGAGCCGCCTCCGCCAGAATGCGCGACCCCGACGAGGTTCTCGCGCTCCTCTGGCTGGAGGATGTTGGACGCCAAGAACGCGCGGATGGCCGCGCCGGGTATCCGCCCCGGGACTGCAGCAGCCTGTTCAGCCCATCGATCAGGCGGAAGGCGGGGGACCTGGCCACGTACATGATTTTCGACGTAGTGTCTCAGTACTTCTTCGTTCATTTGGGCGGCGTCGCCGTGGTTGGGCCGCTCTACGACCCATGCTGAGCGGATGCTCACTGCTTCGCTGTCGGCGGTCAGGCGGTATAGCTCTTTGATTACGGGGATGGCAGTTTCCTGAGCTGAGAGCACGTAAAAGTAAGCACCAGCCGCCAGTTGCGAACAGGGCTATGGAAAATACCTAAAGATATACCGTTGCTGAAGATGATGTTGTACTGGACAGCACCGTCGATATTCTTATTCTGGTCGCGGCGGCGTTTGGGGACATAGCGCGTCGCGGTGGTGTGGAACTGATGGTCTTGGAAAAACGAAAAGCGAAAAGTCTGCGCGACGAGGGGGTGCAGGGTGTGGTCTGAGAGCGGCATCGACAGCGTATTCGAATAGTGACAGCCGGGGCGAGCCTGCGCCCACCTTTTATATTTTATACGGGCACCTACATTTGGGGGACCCATACGGCCACACAGAGGGTTCCATGGCCAGGATGCAGGATGAAACGCACCGGAAGACTGCCAGATCTCGTATCTAGAGCGCTGCGAGACGACGTAATCTTGAGTATGCTCAGATGATCCACGTAACCTGATCCTGATGGCTTTTTGTTTGCTTTTTGTGGGTCATGCATGAGCGTCGTCGGTGATGGGAAGCCTCTGCATCGCGCTTCGCAGGGCCGTGTGGGCGAATAGGAAGGCATCTGGCAGCTGTACGTAGTGACAGAGACAGCAAGATGTGGAACGATGATCGATGCAGAGATGAATATATAGTAGAGGCGGAATGAATGGGTAGAAGAGTATGCCGAGATGAAGGGCGAGGGAGGGCGAAACGAGAGATTGTTTGCGCAAATGCGGAGAAGCGTGCTATTGAGGTAGGCGGTGAATAAGCTCGAAAGAGATCTAGAGATCTTAAGGTAATCGACCCGGCGGAGCAGGAAGCACAGAAGGTATCGGAAGAAGAAGCGCCGCTATCCTCACCCTTACCCCAATAGCCGATACCTCGTGTGCAAGAAGTATTGCTGGACCTTCATGAGTTGAGGTATATAACCACTGCCCAGAACGAGGGCGAGGTGCTCGAAACGAAGCTCGTTCATGATCAGCGATAAGCAACACTAGGCGCATCCGCGTCATCGTCGCGCCGTAAGATCAGTAAGGTCACCGAGTGCTTACTGCCCACTACCCCAATCGTCCTCAATCCCGCTGTCCTCCTCCTCCTCTTCCGCCTCCTTCCGCCTCCTCAAGACCCTCCCCAAACACACCTTTGCCGCCTCAGACAACCTCGACATACGCCATACGCTTTGAGGCGATCGACGACATCGGCCGTGACTCCACAACCGGAAATCAATCTTCAGTACATCAACGCGCGGCTCAAGCTCCCTATGCTCGTCAGGATCTGCTCCTGATGTAGCACTCTCTTCGATATCGATACTGCAATGCTTAAAGACAAGGCAAGGCATTTGCGCCGCACAAAGGGGGGGTCGCTCGGTTTCGCATGGCCTCGATAGAGATAGAGCGCGTATGAAGCTCGCATCTCGCATCTCGCATCCATCGATCGTCGCTGCTACCAAATCGCGTGCTCGCTCATATTGACCCGATCCGCAGGAAGCGGTCGACAATGATATGCGCTATGCACATCGGGCACGGAGGGGCGCGTTTTGAGAGCATGCGATGAGTGCTGGTGCCCATTCGAGACATTTTGTGTTCGGTAAAAGAAATCGAGTATATCTCAGATGCGAGTGCGATTCTTGGTCATTGGCCAATTGCAGCAGACACCCGCCACGTTTAACCGGTGTGCCCTCAAGATGGGGGGAGCAATTTCTCGGTGTCCGTGAATTCCGTCGGCTGTAAGGAGTTCTTGGGCATTGTGCAACTCCATCTTTGAGAACTAGAGAGCGCGGTATTGGCAAAGGGCGAGCGACGCAAAGGAGAAGACGCGTTATTATCTGGTGGTCGTGGTTGTGGTCCAAGACTCCAAGTTCCAAGTCCGCTCCATTTACTTATGTACGTTTTGGCCTTAGTCGACAGTCGCCGCGTCGCGTCACAGCGTGACTGACATAGTCACTATCATATAAGCAGAATCATTAATCAGTAGCAACGAGCAAGCAACGACTCGGAGTTCGACCTCGTAGAAGCGAACCCCGTTCATGTCGCGCACACGGCCCTCTCCTGGGCCGGAATGGGAAGTGCTGCTCGCAGGTATGCAGTATGTCCGATTACACGCTGTATGTGCTGAATCCTGATTATGCTCATTATACTCATTATCAATGAATCAACTTTCCATGATACCAACAATACCAAAGAAGAAGCATCCGACTCGTCTGAACCGGTGCTTGAGTACTATGACGGCGACCTTGATCTGGATGGTGCCTCCGCCCCTCAGAGTTCTCCTCCTGAAATCGAAACCCAACAACAAGGACAAAGGTCTCCTTCCCCTGTGCAAGTAGCGCAAGGTCAGCGAGAGCGGCGTCGCACCACGCCGGAGAAGCTTGGCCAGGCCTACACGAGCGCAAATGGAGTATCAAATTCAAACACGATTGAAGATGGTACGTACGCACCCCATATTGCTTAACCAGCCAGTACACCTATAACACAAGCTCACTAATGACACACTCAATTCTGTGATTTCCCTCCTTTTACTATAGGTAACATGGATGTAGATGTTATCGTCATCTCGTCCTCCGAAGGGGAGAACCACGACGGGGAGGACCGCCCTTTCTATTACAAGCCTCCCAACAGCCACAGGAAGAAGCCAAAGCCAAAGCCAAAGTCTACGTCTAAATCCAGGGGTAACCAAGATCGGGACAGAAGGGACACGATAATGCTAGTTGACACCGTCCCAGAAGCCACGCCTCCGAGAGGGAAAGTCATCTTCATCGACCCCGACATTATCGAACTCAGCGATACCCCGGCCCCGCCGCCGGCACCATGTTCTCGCCCGAGCCGCCCGCTCCCTCGCCCTCTCCGTCTATCCCGCCGATCGCCCTCGCTTCCCCCATACGAGTCCGATGCGTCACCGCCACCCTGTACACCCCGCACACCGCACGCGCCCCCGCCCCCGCGCACGCCTCTGTTCCTGCCCACTCCGACGCCCCGGTCGCCGCCCAGGGTGCAGCTAGTGCGCTCCGCGCCGCAGCCGTTCCGGGCGCGCAAATCGGCGTACCCGCCTACGTACACGCCGACGCCTGCGTGTCACGGTGCGTCGCGCGCGAATGCACGCTTCGAGCATGGGCAGGCGGCGCGACATGTGGGAAAGGGACAGACCGAACGGGAGGAAAGGAGGAGAAGGGAGAAGAAGGAGAAGAAGGAGAAGGAGAAGAAGCTTGCTGGCCCAAACTCGCAGAACAGGGACAGGGACCGCGACGCGGAAGCAAACGACGTCATCGAACTCAGCGACACCCCCGATGCGGGCGTCGACGATTTCGACCCCGACCCCGATCCCGATCACGCGTACGATCGCGACTCCGATCCCGATTTCGCGGCCTTCGAGGACATCGTCTTTGCGCCGCGGAAGCGCAAGCGGCGGCCTAGTCACCAGCAATCGCCATCCCCACCGATGTCCGCCTTGGCAGCTACACCCAGCGGCGTGCAGGCACGCAAAACGGTGCCGATGAAGGTGTCGAGGGCGTTCACAAGGGAGCAGTATGCGCCGAACTTAAACTCGGGGTCGTGGGCGCCCAGTGCGCGGAAGTCGGCGTCAGCGGCGGGGAAGACGTTGGAGCGAAAGCGCAAGTTTCACCCGGTGGGCACACCGCGCGAGCGGAACGAGGGGTGGTAGCGAGTACTGATTGTCGAGTCGCCATGGTCCTCAAGCTGCCCTGTTAATTCAGTTGACGTGCTCGTTCGCTTTATATTTCTCTAGTTCCTCAAGCTTTGACATCCACATCCACACCATCACGCATCTCTTGCCCTATGCACCATTTCCCCAACATTTAGCTCTGCTCTCTACATATCTACATCGCTCTCCGAATCTTGCATATCATCTTGTATCTTGCTGTACATCTCTTCGCCACATCGCTTTCACCCTTTCTGTTTTGTGCTCGCTTTGTACTCGCTGTCATCCTCGCTATCGTCCTCGCTATCTTGTTGTCAATGTTGTCAATGTTTTGATTTGATTGTATCTCGGAATCATCGCTATCAATGATCAATATCGTGTACTACTCATTACGCAACTGTCCTACCCTTGTGCTAGCTATGGTCCCTATTATTGCGCCTTCTATCGCGCCCTTTGAGACATATATGCTCACCTTTCTGACTATCCTATAGCCCTATCCCCTCTTCATGCGCTTTACGTGATGATGCTTTTTATGGACGACACTATTTGAACAGCGCAAGTCCACCCGACACATATTATTCCTGCAGTCCTCCTGGTATGCTTCCTGAACGAATGGCCTCAAAGGGGCTTCCATCTTAGAGCCTACCTGCATACGTCGCCTTCAAAGCTTCGGTACTTCAAGTTCAGTGCTCAGACGCTCCTTGAGTGCTCTACCGATATCCTACCCGTCGTCCCGGAACGACGTATGTAGTCTAGCTTTCCGCTTGTGACATGAAGGGTCCCCACCTCGTGAATCTCACAGCCGTATGGCTAAGTCGCGGAGACTCCATCAGAAAACTGGTTTAGCGAATTCAGTCTCGACGTGACAGGATGTCGTTGGATCAGCTTCCGAACTGATGTTTTGACCCCATCTTTCGAGTATAGGCGCATTGCAGCCGGCGAGCACAGAAATCGCTGATGAGGTCGGGTCTGATTCTGATTTATGCAACTCAGTTCTCCACAAACTCACAGCATCATGAAACTAGAGTAGAATCAGCTTCGATTGCTGATGATGTGCCGCCACCCTTGGGTGCTGGGATATATAAACCCGCGATGGTGAAGCTCCGAGTACTTGTGTCCTTGTACGAGCCCTTGCGAGTATGTCCGACTGGAACAGCCCCGAAGTAATAGCCAGCAATGGAGGTAGGTATCCCCCGACATGAACCCCATGAACTTGCTTAAGCAATGATCTTGATCCTTGACGGAACACCAGATTCCTTCGAGAGAGTTTTTTATGCGCTTTTTGGACTCTACATGTAGGTCCGGTCACAAATGCAGAAGCGAATGGCTCACCCACGCCGGGACACACAGCTGGGAATGGGCTATGTTCCTCGACGCGGACTGGCGGTATGTCAGGAATATCAGACGCTCCCCGCTATCCCCGATGGTGAGTTTCTTTGCCTTCGAGACTTGTCCTGCGTCTGTGCGTACTTATATACTCATCCTTGACTAGATACTCTCCTTCTTGAACCGTTACTGCCTCCTTGCTGTGTTGATCAGCGTGTAAGTAGATTCACCTGCTCCAATCATCTAATTCTAATTCTAATATTGTCGTATCACAGTTTAATATCACTCCACTTGAACGCCACAAGGTTAGCAGACACCGGGATGCGTGTTCGATATACTAGGCCTCACGTCAGCGACACAGCGGGGTCAACTGCCGTTCCTTATACCTCTCCGTGAACGCAAGTGATCATCCCAAACCAAATGTGTCCATTTCCGCTGACCTTGCATTTCAATTTAAAGGTACTTGGTGACGTAGCCCTTGAACTGGCCAACATCGGATTTACTGTGCGCATGTACGGGAGCCCTTCCAGTCGTCAAATTTCTGTTCACCGTGTCTTCGCAGAGCGTCGCTGTGGCGGCACAGCCGACTGGCCCCCCACCTTATCGCATTCTTCATTACCTGTCTGGGCACCCAAGCATGGCTATTATGGGGTGGTGCGTACGCCTTGTCCAGTACACCGTTGCACGTACGCTCACCGCCAAGTCTACTGTTTCCCAGCATACATCGATTCTGCCTGGCCACCCGACTCCGAGCTTGGCTGTTCCATAACCAGAGTGGAAGATACATTCTCAAACATCGGCCACATATTCAACGCAGGCTACTCCCTCGTTTTGCTCGCCTTCGTCACCTGGGACTATGCCCGTCCCTCTGGCCGCCACGACGTGCTCCGCCCTCGCCCTCACCCCGGTCCCGCATCGCTGAAGGATTTGTGCTGGTTCGGCGTGGCGTAAAGTTACTTACTGCTGCGTGCATCCGAAACGCGTGCTGATCTCTTTGCGTTATTAGCTTTCTCGCCTCTTGCACGAACGCGGTCTTCGTTTGGGTGCATTCGAACCCAGGCATGGCGACAATCGCTGTATTGCTGTCCACCACCGCCGTCTCCGTGCGTGTACCTCTCCGCGCCTGCCCGTCCAGCTCCTCATAATTCATAATTCATGATCCATGATCCATGATCCATAATCCATAATTCGTTGTATGATTACTTATCGAAGATCGCCTCGTCCCGCGTGCTCCGCCTTCGGGAATGTGCGGCGCAGCCCCCTGCACTCCCAGTAACAACAACAACAACAACACCAACAGCAGAACGTATTTCGACAGAAGCGCATTCTCCGTCTATGCGACCGAGACTCGGTTTTAGGGGGCGGTGGAAGCTGGCCCTCGGGCGCCCGCGCACGCACGACGTCCCGGCGGGCTCGAGCTTCCAGAGGCTCTACAGCGCGCCCGCCTCGCAGACAGGTTCTTACTCAGGCTCTTACTTACCCGCATCCGCATCCATGCAAGCGGTGAACTCGACTCGGCCGTCGTCCATCATTCTCCCGTCGTTGATCGCCCCGTCGTCGACGTACAGCCCAAACCGCGCTTCGTACGACCCGTCCACCCACCTCGACTCTGCGAGCGAGTCGAGCGCCCGCGGGGATCGCTACGATCTCGATGCCCAGCTGGGAGCACAGCGAAGGAGTTTGTGAGTGCAGGAACTTCAGGTAGGCCGCCCATATCCGCTGCGAAGGATTGTCTATCTATTTAACAGACGAATGCGTGTGCCCCATTGCAGATAATGCAGATAATGCATAATGTATAGAGATGTCACTTTCTCTCTGTAATACATCGCTGTTCACGGAATTGGTGACCCGGCTTCATCTCAGCGCCAGACACAAAAAACTACGAGAGGTAGGGTCAATAATTTCGCTCGTATCTGCTTCGCTTTTTATCGTAGTCGAGTGTGAGGTTCATCCCCTGATCAATACACAGTGTAACGTGCCAGAAAGCGGGGCGGGATTATCGAGGCTTACGCTCAGTGGCATGGACTGTGAAATAGGAGTGGCGGCGGCGGCGGCAGAGTCTTTGTAGAAGGCTTCAAAGTGGGCTTTCGTTGGAGGGAGGATCTCGTCGTCAGCTTACTTACCATCCATTCCCGTCACGCCTCAAGGCCTCAAGTCTCGAGTATGCACCACCACCACGCCGACTTCCCATCGAGATCATAGACGGGAGTGCCAACCACAGGATACAGGCGTTGAACACTTGACTCTCGAGCGCGCCTGGTAGCGACAGTAAAGCCAGATGGTATTCTGATACCAATAGTAATTAGTAACGAGAAACAAAGAACAAAGTGATCTAATTAGCAACGCGACTATATTAACCAGTGCTTTTATGAATATGTGTATGTGTATGGGATTGATAAAGATAAAGAGAGACACGAGAATCAAGAGAATCAAGAGGATAATGAGGATAATGAACGCGGCTTGTCAGCGAGTCGGGCGGAAACGACTAATGCCAGGCGGCTTTGATGACATCCGCAGCCCTCTCAGCGACGATGTAAACAGGTGCTTGGGGATGTCCTGCGGGGATGAACGGCTACACATATCCAAACGCGTTAAGTTACCGCAATCAACCACGCAAATCGAATTCCACTCACGAAAACAGAAGCGTCCACAACCCTCACGCCCCTCGCCTTCTTCAGGAGGAGCTTCCCATCGACGACGCCCTTCCTGGGGTCTTTGTTGGCAGCAGCGGTGGAGAACGGGTGCTTGATCGTCGTTCCCCACTGGCGGACGTACTCGACGATGCCGGCGTCGGTCGTGGTGTTGGCGGCGTCGGCGTAGACACCCGTGATGTACCCGTCCCACGCGTGTGCGCCAGTCAGTCGTTGGGCGGCCTTGATGGACTCGACCATGGTGGCCATGTCGAAGTCGCTCGTGAGGAGCTTGGGGTCGATGATGGGGTGCGCGAAGGGGTCGGAGGAGTTCAGGACGATCGACCCACCTGCGCCGCGCCACAGATCAGACCTGAGTTGGAGGATGGGAGATGGAGGGAGAAGAACGTACGAGAAGTAGGAGAGACGACGACGTTGATGATAGAGAGGTACGACCCCGCCGACGGAATCGGCTGCGAAGTGGTGAAGAACCCGTTCTAAAAGCGACGTGGCGCGTCAACAAAAAGGGAAGGGGGGGTGGGATTATGCTGGGCAGCGGGGGACGTACTCCGAAGGCGAGCTCGTAGTGGGGGGACCGGGGCCCTGGGGATGGGTCGCCGTACTTGCGCAGGACGGGGGAGTTCTTTGGGAGGCGGAAGAACGACCTGCGGAAAACAAAAGAATCGTAAGCCCTAAACCACGTACGGATGCCCAGGGCATACGGCACATAGCACATAGCACATACATATGGTTCGACACACCATTCGCCGCGAGACGGCCAGACCGATTCGTATTGTACAGCTCCATCCCCTCATCGAGCGCAACAGGGTCCCCGCGCAGCAGCGCGTCCATAGTCCTGTTGCTATTCACCGTCCACTGGATAGGTACGAGGGGCTAAGCAGGGATGCTCAGATCAGCATTGAATATTGAATATTGACCGTTTGGAGTGGTTGGGGTGGTGGCGCGCAGGAGACTCACATGGTCCTGGAGGTTCTTCCCGACTTCCGGGAGGTCGACAACGGGCGTGATCCCCACCTGGCGCAGCTCGGCAGCGTCGCCGATGCCGGAAAGCATGAGGATCTGCGGGGTACCGACAGCCCCAGCACTATTTGTATCGTTGCATCGTCGCATCAATACGACACTCCAAAAAGTCAGAACTCAACAAACGCACCTCAAGACGACCTCCTTGGACGCCGTGAGGTTGAACCGGGGGGCTATTGGTCACAGAAAAACGATATCAACATCAGCATTGTTTCACTAGGGGTAGTACGAGTTGCATACTCACCTGAAGAGTTGCTAGCAAACTCGACGCCGCGGAATACGGGCAGCCCTCCGCTGTTACCTGTGCGCAGAAGCCTGGTAACCTGGGCGTTGTACAGCAGGTCGAGGTTCCCGCGCCTCCGCAGCGCCGGCGCGAGATACGCCGTCGCCGAGCTGCTGCGGAGCGCGCCGCCGATAGTCGAGTGCATCCACGCTAGCCGTATCGCAATCGCAATCAGCAACCAATATCCAATATCCAATATCCACGACGCGGTATGCACGACAGATAGATGATAGATAGTAGATGATAGACACGCACATATTCCGAGCGGGTTTCCGGAGTTGTAGTCGGGGTTGAAGGGGAACTCCTTGAGCTCGCGCGTGGTGGCCAGGATGCGGTCATCGATGTCGGTCAGGAAACCCGGCAAGCTGTCAGTGTCAAGTGCACTCAGTCAGCATCACGACGTTCGCGCACTGCACCCCGCATTCACCGGGGGTTACTGTGTATGTATGTATGCATGCATGCATGCATACGTACGTACGTACGTACCTGGTAAGCAGAGGCCCATGGAAGCCGTGCAGATCGGGGACGAACTCCCCGGTCTCGTCGTGCCCGTCGTTGGGCGGGACGTGTTTCTCGTTCTTCGCATTCGCATACATTAGGATTAGGATTATGGATTATGAGCACGTCGCATGAGATATAATACCCAGAGTATTAATTTGTTTTTTGTTTGCATACCTTGTAAGCATATGGCAGGATCTTGCTCCACGCCCACCCGTCGTCGCCCGCAATCTTCGCAAAGCGATCGTAGTCGTCGGACGCACAGCGCGTGTACACCATGTAGTCTAAAACACAAAACACAAAAATAACAGAGTCAGTCAGGGGATCAGGGGGGACGGGGGATCAGGGAACAGGGAACAGGGTACAGGGGCCAGGGATCAAGGGTAGGGGAGTAGGGGGATGGGGGAGGAAAACGCACTGATAGAACTGCTGCCCCCAAGGACGTATCCGCGCGGGTACGCAATGCGCTGGTCGTTCAGCGCGCTCTGCGGCGTCGTCGTGTAGTTCCAGTCGAACGTCGTCGCAGGCGACGCGGTGGGCCCGAAGAACGGGATCGTGATGAGGTCGGAGTCGAAGCCTTCGTTGCTATATCACGATATAACACACACACAGATGACAGATGACGAATGACAGATGACAGATGTCGTTAGCGCCAGCTCCAAGAAGGGTAGGAGAAGGGAGAAGGGAGGGGAGAGGAGGGAGGGGAGGGGAGGAGACAATAGACAATAGACGAACCTCCGCCCTGCTTCGATGACCAACACCCTGTGGCGCGCGTTCTCCGCGAGACGCGCGGCGACGACGTTCCCCGCAGTGCCCGCTATTAGTTTATAATCATAATCAGTCCATCCATTCATCCATCGGACGACGAACCAATGATACATATACGAAAGATACGAATGACGTAGAATGATGTAGAAAGGACGCAGAGCAAGAGCAAGAGCAAGAGGATACGTACCTCCGACGACGATGAAATCATACTGCCTGCCGCGTACGTGCGCCGGGTCCGTGAACACCGCGCCGAGGGCCGTCTGTGCGAGCGCGAGCCCGAGCGCGGCGAGGACGAGCGCAAAGAGGGAGAGGGAGAGGGATGGGGTGCGCGTGGGGAGCATGATGCGAAGTCTGCGAAGGCGTCAGACGAGTGCCTCGTATCTGTATCGGTATCTGTATCGTCTTTGTGAGACGGTGAGACGGTGAGACGGTGAGACGGTGAGACGGTGAGACGGTGAGACGGGACTGCTGCGATCTTGTCGCCGAATACGAGGAGCTCTTTATACTTTATACTTTATACTAACCCCCAACCCCCCCGTTCGCCCCGTTCCCCGTTCCATCGACCCTTTCCCTCATCCACCCCCTTCCCTCATCCACCCCCGGACCGTGGACAGCCCCCCCCTCCCTGGAGCTCCAACCCGACCCGACCCACCCACGAACGGCCAGGACTAGGCAACGCCAGACCAATCAATCAATATCAATCACAATCACAATCACAATGACAAGGGCCGGCGCTGTCACTCACTCACTCACCAATCGCCCATGGATATCTCGGTATCTGGATATCTGGATGACTCCTACGTGCGCCTGTTCTCCGAGCCACCGACCACCGACGCCCGCTCCATTTGCGTTTACCGCAGTCACGGAGGGTTGATCCGAGCCTGCGACCCGACCCGACGTGACAGCTTTCGGCCCAGGGAAGGGGTTTGTGTTTGTGTTTGTGTCAAAACGTCGCATCGGTATTCAATATTCAATATTAATGTCAGATACCCATACGCACACGCATACGCACATACAGGAGACACCACCCCCCACCGCGCACGCCAATTCAGAGTCCTCCAATTCAGAGTCCTGAGTCCCGAGTCCCAAGTCGCGTACCGCGTACCTGCCCGGCAGTCCGAGCGCGCTCAGCGGCATTCATGATTCGCGTACATCCGTACATCCGTGAACGGCGACGCAGGTGCCTGATTCGAGATTCGGTGCACAGCAGCGGCCAGCATATCTCGATAGCTCGATATGAGCATGGAGATTGGAGATGGGAGATTGGAGATTGGAGATCCTGGTGATTGGAGATCCTGGTGATTGAAGGCGCCGCCGGTATTTTGTTGTATTGAGTATTGAGTATTGAGTCGCAAGCCCGTCTGGGAGCCTCTAGCATCATGGCATCATGCATCATGCATCATGTATCATGTATCGCACTGCTTGGGAGCTTTCACGATCAGGGGTCCAGGCTGCCGTCGAGCACCCGAGCCATCATGATGCAATAGCAATAGCATCAACATCACCTCCACATCCACATCCTACGCCGACGTTTCACCGCCAACGACACAGAAGGAATAGGAAAATGGTGGCGGGGTCAACCAGATTCGAATGTATTCGGGGGACGGGTCAGGCCCCAGGGTGCATGATATTGCTGTGTCACTGCGCAGTGCGGACACTTGGATCATCATGCATCATGCATCATTGCATCATTGCTGTCTCGCACAATGTTGAATATTTGAATGTCGAATGCACGCCCCTCCTCGGCTTTGGCCAGTATCGCGCGCTGATAGTTGCGGCACCATCCGGGGTCGACGGACTGTGAAACGAGGCAGTGAGCCATCATGCATCAGTCAATGGGCGGGAAATATGTCTATGTAGTAACCTCAATGTCAATGAGGAGTTACACCGGCAGTAACGTTAACGTTACCTGTGTACCATCAATGATGGCGGGCTCGCTTACATCGTCTTCCAAGGTACAAGTCCAGATATGGATCGGTGGCGCCCCGATGCTATTGCCATTGCCACAACACCGTTCAATCAGTAAGTCCACTGTTTATGTATTTAATTATGTGTGACGTATGACGTACCTCCTAGTACAACAACAACAACCCCTCGGGAACCCACCCACTCAACCCTTGCCCGTGGCAGCGGGAAAACGAAAAACCCCAGAAATGTGACACCCGGCACTGACATGGCAGCCTGAGAACGAATGCATGGCCTTGATATCGAGTATTGACGCGCCAGAGTGAATCCCGAGTACGGCGATAGGGTTACAATGTACATAACGAGTATAGGCACGGGGCCTAGGAACAATGTTCAGCCGTCTCAGTGGCCGCAGCAAAGCAGCAAGGGGGGGAGTTATTGCGGCGTTAGGATGTACAATGTACATGTAGCATCAATGGGGCAGTCGGGATGATCAACGATGGCGGAGTCGCGGACCTATAGGGAGCTGCAGTATATTCAAATACCTTGAAGGTACGCACGGCACATGCGCATATGCGTATACCACAAGCACGAATACGGGCAATGCATGAATATAATAAGGATCCAGTTGATCGGCGCGACTCAAAGCTAACAGATTGGATATCAATCGGTGGCTTGCTGAACCAGATTTTGGATGTGACACACCGTGTAGAGCCGCCTCCTCGCATACCTATGATTACCCTCTGAGGCCTGAGGCCTGAGGATCCCACCTTGGTAGACAAGGCAGGTTGAGGACGATTCCAATGACGTCCCCGAGTTTGGATTGTACTATAGATCTGGCAACCCACATTCAAATGGCAGGCACCCAAAGCGACGTCCCAGCACCCATCAACCCTTCACTTCAGGCTTCACAAGTCGGCTCGGACCCATGGACCCGCGAGATGTCAAACCTGGAGTCTGAGAACTGGGAACAAGGAGGGGTTCAGGCATTGTAGTGCTGGTGCTTTGGGCCCTCCAATGAACCAAGAAGTGATTGAAATATACTCCTTGAGAGCCAGGGTGTGGCTGGAAGTATCTTGATTGACAAGACGGGAGCGCGGTGTTTAGGCTCGCTTGGTCCAATGACGTCGACAGCCAAACAATACCACCATCTCTACACCCAATGCCAGTAACGTGTCCTCGCATTTGCGGCGCTCATACTTGGCTAATGCTACGCTCTCTAATTCTCAGAGATGGAATCGCTTAATGCCCAGGAGCTCATCGACGAGGAAATTGCAGCGCTGTGACACTCGGAAACTCCGTAACTTCGAGCATCTCGAAGTTACCTCCGGAACTTCTTGGCGAGGTCTTCGTCGTCTTGTCGAAGTCACAGTATGATGATTCGTGCTGCTATGGTGCGACGATAAAGCACTTGGTCCACGCCGGTTAACTGTGTCGGGTGTCTGTCGCAATTGGCGAGAAATTGCACTCCACACACCTCACATGAGGGCTCCCTCGATCTACCGAAGATCGAATGTCTCGAATGGGCACTGGGCAACAGTGCTCGTAGCACGGTCTAAAGATGCGCCCCCCGTGTCCGATGTACACACCACACACCAGCCATTCCCGTACATGTGGATCGCGCCGTTCCAACTTCTCAGCTTCGTCGTCGCGCGGATCGCCAAGATACAAGATATCGATATCGATATCGGATTAGACTTGTCTGGTCGACGGTCATCCTAAAATCGAGGAGTTCAAGTTTCTCGGGTCCCAGGACATAGCTTGTGTACTCCAGTCCTTAAGGCCTTCAAAACATCCTGCCAGTATAATGCGAACACCGACACTACCAAGACCTAGGGAGCAAGGAGCAACAATGTCCGGATCTCCATCGTTTCTATGGTACGCAGCACTCCTTCTTTAAATTGGAGGACCTCGAAACTGGCCTTCCCTTACTATTAGTAATTAGGCCTATAGGGCTCTCGGACCAGGGATCTCGGAAGGCCGCCCAATAGTTCAAACGTTCAATATTCAATATTCAATAGCCACCCTGCCCACCCCCTCATTTGCCATTTCTATCCTACACAGCGACGTACGACGCGAGTCGAGGACTCTGCTCTTTCCGGTTCATCCGGCCCACCCGCTATCCCCCACCGCTATCCCCCGTCTGCATCTGCGGGGATTCGATTCCCGCCGCCCATCCCCCGCCGACGAGACACGCTGTGTACTACTACTAACGACCTGGTCCCCATCTTTACTCGTCGATTATCTCTCACACGGGACCCGCTTGCACATTTCGGGGTGGGGTGGTGTCTTCCGTCTTTCGTCTTTCGTCTTTCGTAGCCCGTGGTGCGCGCTTCGGTACAGTAGTACATCGTCAACGTCCTAATCATAACCATAATCATAATCCAGTCTTCGAATTGAAATTGAAATCGAATTTCTCCCCTCCCGTCGTGGAGATGCTCTGCGCTCTCTCTATTTTCATTTTAATTTTATTATTAATTTTATTTTTATCGAGGCTCTCAGCGCTGCTCCCCCCCTTCTTCCGTACGTCCGTTCCCCATACCCCCTACACCCCCTACACCCCCCACCCCCCCTACACCCCCTACACCCCCTACGCCCCCTACATCTGCGGCTTCCCCTCGACCCTCGATAGAAGCAGCAGAGCGGGCACTGGGCAAGCGTACTTGGTCGACGAACAGGTACGAGGTACGAGGTACGGAGCACAGAGCTTGGGTGCGGAGGTGGAGATGGTGGATGCGAGCTTCGTATGCTATGCGCTCTATTGGGAGTGCTGCGTCGATAGCGCGGGTTCTTGACGTACTCAAGACTCAAGATTCACAATTCGATTGTAGCGCCACGGGTGATATCATCGATCACCTTCGAGGGTATGCCAGCGTTGTCTCGGACGGCTTTGTGAGGACAACGAGGACGAGGACGAGGACGAAGACGAGGACGAAGACGAGGGTGATGGCAATGGTGGGAATGGTGGGAATGGTGGGCAGCAAGTACAGTGACCTTGACCTCGTCCGGTCTTTCGGCGTAGCAATGGTGTAGATGCCCAGTTCTGATGTTCTGATGTTAGCTATTACTGACTTCACTTCGAGCACCTTACTCCCATTCTCGTTGCATACTCCATACCTGCCCATATAATATGAACCCGACATAAAACAGCATGCAGTATGTTTTTATAACCTCTAACCCGTAATGCCATAGTCCCCAGCAACGCACACGAAACCCTCATTCGTAAGTACTGATAAATACAATACAACTGCAAAATGTATGAACACCGAACAATGCTATACTAGCATTGAGCACCGGAATTCGACTTTAAGCGCGGGCTATCACCCATCAAAAGCGCGAAGTCACATAAGGTACATAACTTACACACAAAACCTCACATCGGGGGCTACGACGCGTCCTCCGGACTCGACCTCGCAGAAGCAGAAGTCACCGTGCTCCCACTCCGGGCCGTATAATACGAATACGAGTTCGTCCGATTCGTATCCCTACCTGTGTCCGCCGTGCCCGCGGTCCCGGCGCTCCCCAGCCGCGGCGTAGCGACCTCCCCCAGCTCGGACACCCCCCCATCCCCATCCCCACTCCCACCGCCCTCCTCCAACACCTCCAACACCTCCGACACGCCTCCCAGAACTCCCCCTCCTCCCCCCGCCCCTCCCCCTCCCCCGCTGCCGCTGCTGGACCCAGGGCTCCCAGAAGCCACCCGCTCCACAGCAACCGACAGGCTGTTCGCCCGGCTCGGCGGCTCGCTGCCCATAGTAGAGAACGTGTTCGCCCGCGTGGGCGGCCGGCTCCCAGAATTATGCGGCGAAGGCGTGCGCATCCCGCCGCGGGCCGAGAGAACACTGGCGGCCTCCCCGGATCCTATCGACTCGATCGTAGGCATCCTCTTCACCAGCGCGCCCATCACCCGCACGTGGCCCTCCGGCGGGCGCGGCCGCCCGTACTCGTCGTACGCCGCCATGGTGTGGATGTAGTTCTCGGGCGGGCGGGGCGGCGCCGCGCCGGGGGGCAGCCGCGGCGTGTCGGGCTGCGCGTAGAGCATCCCCTCCTCCGTCTCGCGGTGTATCTGGCTGATGACCGAGCTGTACCGGTCGAGGAAGCCATCCATGCCGGAATCGGCTTTTAACGGGTTGTTGTGGACGTCTAGTTCGGTGGAAGAGAGGTCAGATGAGGAGGAGTTGGGTGAGTGGCGCGGAGCACGGTTGAGCCGGGTTTGCGAGGATGATTGGCGGCGCAGGGAGTTTGAGGAGCGTGCGTGGCGGGAGGAGGACGCGAGGGTGGTATAGGAGGGCTGATGTGTGTGGTTGTCGGCGAAAGAGGCTGAGTGGGGGGCGGCGCTGGGGGGTGGGGCGTTGGGTAATAGCTCGGTCGCACTCTGCCCGCGGCCGTGGCCGTGTCGTAAAATGAAGGGACGCCGTGGGAGATGCCCAGGACGTCGCGTGCGCTGGTATGCGAATGCGGTATAGAAATGAAGGACCTGCAGAGATATGATATGAGAATGAGATGAGCCAAACGCGCGAGAAGGAAGGGACTTGCTATTAGTGCGATTGTAAGCATTATACGGACGATAGCGAAGGACAACCACGTCTGCCATGTCCATGCACTGCATTTTACGCTCGAGACCGACCACACAACATCGATGTCCATATTACATCGTTCCAGGAAGGCGATATCGGGGCGTTTAAGGTTCCTCCATGCGACTACCAGCGCAATATTCACGATCGTCGGCACGAGGAGCAAGAAATGCGAGATTGCATGCAGAACAGTGCGCAGGATAAACTGAAACTGGAGGGGAACGTCGTGGAACATCAGATACGCCTTCAGGACCGCGAGCACCTCAGACGTCAGGAATATCGCGAGCGACACGGACGTGATGGTGCCTAGCGACACCGCTGCGATCTGCCCCCGAAAAGACGTGTACACGGTGTACGCGATGAAATAGCGCACGATGTTGTACGCTGTCCATATCGCTGCGCACGTCAGCGTCAGCACGGCCGGGTGAGAGCGAGTGTTACGACGGGACACACCGATTATGAGCTCCAGCAAGCGTTTGACGAGGCGCAGGCGGCGCAATCGGCGGCGCACCGCGAGTTCTGTGTACCCCTTCCGCTCCTCGACGCCGAGGGTGTCCGAGAAGAGATCGAGACGGGTGTCGCCTGCGCCGGGGAAGCCCTGCATGTTCGGGTGCGAGGGCTGGTGCGAGAGCAGATCGCGGTACGTGAGGGATGATTCTGACGCTGTGTTGCGCAGAAGGGGCTCGGTGGGGTGCGAATCGGAGGTGGTCGTGCGCAGCGTGCCGCTCGACGCGGTGCGGTGGTGGGAGTGCATGGAGTCCTCCGAGGGCTCTGGCACAAAGATGGCGTTGTGGAGATACAGCGCGGCCATAGCGCTGGGGGCCCAGAAAAGTCGTGTGCGTGCGTCGGCGCGTGGTCGGGATAAATTGAGTTGAGATTGAGTTGAGTTGGGAACGAAGTGGGGAGATGGATGGTGGGAGCGGGGAAGTCGTGAAAGATCGTCGCGGTGTTCGTGCAGGTGGCCAAACAGCCACGTCGTCGCAAGGGGGCGCACTCGAGATGGATGTCTGACCGCAAAGGCCCAACGTTCGATTTCCTAATCGGGACTGACAGCTCGGCAGGCAGCCCGTGCCAGTGGACTCGGAAGCCTGAAGGAAAGATGAAGCAGCGATTGGATGCTCAAACGTTGATATCAAGACTGTAATTTTGTCTAGCTCGGTACTTGAGAGCAGACAATATATACCCCGGATGAGAGGCACAGAGGCGTTTCCCCGACCAAGGCATGTCCATCAGGCTAAATTGATCGTACGGCGTCGGAAGTCGTTCTGCTCCACAAGGGGGGTGGCACGATTCCATCAAAGAGTCCATTTCTTCGACATCGGATTGGGGTAAACCGGACATGTGCTCTGTGTGGTAATCGTAATCGCTAGCCGTGGCCGCCGAACTTCGCGCTCCTATCAGCCCCTGAGCAAAGAGAGCCGTCACATGATCGCGTCGGTTACGTTCGCCACAACCACCGTCTCTTCTGCCAACACCACCTATGGCGACCCCGAAGCGCAACTTCGCGGATGGGCCGGCTGGCGCAGGCAGTGTCGACCCCAAAGACAGCCGCGCGAAGCGCTTGGAGCGCCAGCAGTCGCGGTTTCGGGATCGTGGCGGGTGAGTCTTGCATCGACATCGACATCCCTCTGGAGTCTGGAGTTTGGCGACTAACGCTAGAGCGCAGGATATTCGTCCCGTCCAACCGGAACACGCTCCTCGATGTGCTGCTAGCTCGTACTACGAGCCGGGACTCGCCGCGGACAGCGGCAGCCTCATCCAATGCTGCTCGGAGGCGCAGTCTATCGAGTTCTCCCCTCCGCCGACCCTCGCACACCCCGAGGGAAACCCCAAGTATCCCCCGAGGCCGCTCGAGTGATGTACACGCCGACAGCGATGCCTCAGTAGCCAGTATGTGCAATACAAACGAAATAGCTTCGTCTGACGACCTGTAGGTCCCTCAAGACCGGCAAATGCTGGAAAGGTGGCGGCTGGTTCTCGGACTCAGAGCGGCGGGGATGAGGTTAAGGTATCTAAACGGCCTTCTGCAAAGACGAAGCGGAGAGGGAAGTCAAGGGCGTCCGAGGCTGGGCAATCGCGTGAGCACAGTCAGTTGCGTCACGACGCTATCTTATCCGTGGTACTAGCAGATGTCGGCGCCGAACACCTGGCAGCTGATGCTTCATCAGCATCCGAGCACGAATCATCAACCTCAAAGAAACCACGCCCGAATTCGAAGGCCAACCCTCCATCGGCATCGGCTCGGAGAAAATCTCGATTGAGTACGATATTAGAGAGCGAGAACGAAAGCGATGCTGCTGTGGAGCCTCCGCCTAGGAAGAGATCGAAGGCCCCTACCGAGCGTTCTCGTTCGCTGTCCCCCGAGTCGGACGTCGTCGAACCTGAGGATGTTGGAGAGCCCCCAGCTCGGAAGAAGCCCAAGGGCCGTCCGAAGCGCCCAGTTAGCCATGCCGAGGCGACTGAAAGGGAGGAGGAGGACGTCGTCGTCGTCGAACGGCCGGTTCGTCCATCGACATCGAAAGGGAAAGGAAAGAGGCCTGCTGTTTCGGAGCGAGGACTTCCATACGACGACGACGACGACGAGCCCGATGTTCCAAGGAAGGCTGTGAAACCTCCTCGACCCACAACCTCGAAGAAGGGCGCTCAGAAAAATCAGACAGCCCCGTCGAAGGCGTCCCCTCTCCCAGATCCGCCGGTGCCTCTGGACCCAGACCCCGGCGTGCTGGCGGAGTCCCGAAACGACGGGGACTGCCCACCCAAGAACGCACGGCAGTCGAAGAAGCGCCAGCAGGAGGAGGAGGAAGCGGACGCGTTCGAAGACACGCAGCCTCCCCGCAAGCGACCGAAGGGCCCGCCGGCGGATACCACCAAGGTTCAATCGAAGAAGAAGAGGTCCGCGGTTGGCGACGCCGAATTCGATCCTCCTGCTAAGAAACCTCTGAAGGCGAAGATACGTCAGCAGGAGGCGGGGGAGGATACGTTCGAGGACCCGCCGCCTCCCCGCAAACGACTGAAGAGCCAGCCCGCGGACAATGGGACGAGACCTGCTGAGAAGTCTTCCGCAGCTGCCGACGACGAACCCGATGCCGATGCTCCTTCCAAGAGACCTCCCAAGTCGAACAAACGGCAGCAGGAGGAGGATGCGTTCGCGGACCCGCCGCCTCCCCGGAAACGACCGAAGAGTCAGCCAGCGGACGGCAGTAGTGCTGCTAAACCTAAGAAGAAGTCCGCAGCTATCAAGGGCGAACCCAAAGGGTAGGCGTTGTAAGGTATATGGTATTCAAGCACGCGTCTAATCGGTCTCGTAGAAAAATACCCTCGTCGAAGGTTCTCAAGGAGAATACGGCTGATAGGAATCTGCCGCTCAAGGCTGCTAACAAACCGGCTAGGACAAAGGTAGGGAGTCGGCGGTTCAGCCGTTTCTCTGTGTGTTGTTGCGGACAGCTGACATTCGGTGCGCTCATGATCAGAATCAGAAACCCGTCTCCAAGCGCCAGAAAGCCAGACCTCTGCCCAAGGTCGTCCTCGAGAGGATCCAGCGCTCGTTGAACGAGTCGCACGAAGTCGACGATGAACCAGACCCTATTGACTTTTTGTCGTGACACTGCACGAACGAACGATTTGGGTGCCTCGTAAATCGTATATCGTATATCGTATATCGTATTTTCTATCACTACAAGCTAAGCAGCACGTTTTGTGTTTTGTGTTTTATACTTGTTTTGTTGTCTCGTTCCATTCGCGTGGGCTATGTAAAATTCTAGTTATTTGTGCAATATGCGACCATATATATATATCTAGGACAGGCATTGAGAAGAATCTACATAACTTTGGTCCCCTTTTCTAGTTCTAGTTTAGGCTTCTGTTGAGCCGTTGCAGAGCACCCTAGTGAAGAGTGTCGATTCGGACCGCACATTTTCTCCGACAGTGCGCCGTCAATGCGTCAATGGGAGCCCCGATTGTTGCCATGAAGACGTTTACAGCACGAAAGTGCTGAGGAGTGCCCATATGAAGTCGACCCCTTTCTCGGGCTAGGCGGCGAGAACAACCTTTGGTAGCGTACCCTATGACCTATCGTACCCCATGCTGTGAAGAGTATTCAGGGGACCCGCTTCTATCTGATACTAATGTGGCTGGTAATGACTCCCTCTCGCTAGTTGTAAGCACGTCAGAATGTCTTCGCTTTCCGTGGAATGTACGGTGATAGCCTACAATCTAAGAGCCTGCGGTAATTAGTAGTAAATCAGACCGTAGCAACATTGCCTGGATATGATAGCTTTGCAAAACAGGTTGTGCGGCACTGGGTAAGCTGAAGGACTTCCTCTCCCTCGGTCGCAGCTCGGTCATCGGGGTTGGCGGCAACACCAATGTCGACGAATTAGTCAAATATTTTCATCTGAGCCGTGGAACAGGCACCTGACAGTAGTCCCTGTATGGAGTCGTTCCCCCGTGGCGCTGCTAAGGGCTGCTCCACATTGTGATCTTGGTAGTAAGTTACCGGCGGCCAATCAAGTCACATAGTGATCGTACTCCCAGTCCCCACGATCAGCCTTCCTTCGCAACCACAATGTTGAGCATTGTGTACGGCGTCCTCTCCCTTCCCCTGCTAGTTTATTGCAGCGCTAAGCTGCTAGGCTCCGAGAAGGCACCAAATACGTATACGTTCGCTCGCGGATACGTGCTGAGAAATAGAGTCACGCATCAACGGCTGCTGCCCGAGCCTTCGTCGCATCGGTTTGTCTATCCCACTGTGTGTTTATTGGTGTCGCTGTCTGCGCTGGAGAGAGGGGCCCTCGACGTGGGACGCGGCTGGCTTTTTGGGTATGGCGGTGTCTTCGGGCGCTTGACGGGGCTTCGCCCGGGACCCTACCTGACCGCAGGCGGCAGCACTGGGAACGGCTCCTCGACCATCCGCGAAAGGCTAGTACGGGTGCTTACACCCCGGTTTGGCAATGCCGCTGAGTTACTGGAGGACGCTTGGATGATGACTATGCCAAGCTTTCTTGGGTTCGAAGGGATAAACCCCTTGACAGTCTACTTCTGCTACAAGTCGACTGGCGAATTCTGGTTGTGTGTCTTAGAGGTCCGCACCCACATTCATATTGACGGTTGTATATCTGATGACGAACAGATTCACAATACTTTTGGAGAGAGCCACGTACATGTCCTTGAAGTCGGCCAGCGCGAGGATGCACCTCCTTCTGGGTCAGTAGCTGCTGATGGTATTCTGTGGTCAGGTATACCTAACCAACAATGTGCTGATAGGTACGACCATCAATGGACGTTCCGACGCGAATTCCATGTGTCACCCTTTAACGACCGGTCTGGCTTCTACACTGTCGCAATCAAACAGCCAAACCATCCTCCTATGGCTCCGCCGTCTGATAACAAGTTTCCTCTACCTGTCGTTCGCGTCCAGCTGTACACAGACTCGGACTCTGATTCTGCCCCAGACTCTCCTGGACCGCTGAAGCTTGTCGCTGTGCTCCGGTGTACATCCTCTGCGCCTTTAACCGCTCCTTCGCTACTTTCAGCTCTCCTGTGGGCACCCCTGGGTCTGCTCCTCTCGTTCCCGAGGATCCTCTACCACGCATGGATCCTTCACTACGTCAAGCGCCTAGACGTATTTCTGCGCCCAGAACCGTTTCCAGCGAACCCCGACTGGGCTGCTGGCGCCACGAACCCACCAAAGCTCCCGCAGCCAGCCGGCGTGAAGTGGCAAAGCGAGGGCATCCTCGAGCGTTCGGCTAAGCGGCGCGTAGTCTCCTTTCTCCGGCAACGCGCGGGATCAGCAGGCATATCCGTATCCCTCGTTTCTGCTGATCCGGCAACACCTCGAGAGGACTTTCCGCTGCCCTCTGGGGGCGACTCGAAGGCGGGCAGGCATCTGCAGATAGATTATCTTGCCCCTCGGTTCTTTACTATCCTCTTCCTCTCGCCGTCCGCTGCGCACGCGCTACTCCTCGGACACACGTCGGACAAGGTCTTCTTTCCGTCTTCTGCTGAGCTGTTCCTCGAGGTATTCTCTGCCCCTCTGTCAAGTGTACCACCTCTTTCGGCGGCACAGCAGGCTCGTCTCCGAGGGTTGCCCCATTCGTTGCAGCATTCCCTCGCCCTACCTATACCGCCAACCCACCCACTTGATCTTGGATGGAACGCGACAGTGACGTGGTCCATGGTGAAGTTGCTGAGGACGCTTGAGGAGGTGGAGAGGTGGATATTTAGTATCGCCCGGGCTCGTCCAGTGAAGGGAGACGAACCTTGGAAACAGTGGGAGAGAGCTGAGCACGCGCTCACGAGTAGAGAGGATTTCGGTACACTGCGGAGAGAACAGGAAGGGTATGAGCATGGTAGCGTTCGGTCTGGATGATATCTCATGTGGAGTTGGTTTCGTGGGTATCCGCGATTGTAAATTTGTAACGATGACACTCAGAACACGGCACATACCTGAACGCAAAGCCATCGAAAGCCTATCAACAACGTATACTCGGCAAAACGACCATGTCGGTGTTTAGTGCTGTAATGTACATACATGTATATCATCTAAGTGCCCGTGTTTACTCTCCCTTCCATTGATCGAGAGGGATGCAGTCGCCTTGTGGCATAGCGAAGGCTGGGTAACGAGCCCCCGCGACATCGGCATTCTCCACGATGGCGCTGATGTCCTTGACATCCTGAGCACTCAACTCGATCTCAGCGGCTTTGGAGTTCTCCTCCAACCGTTCAATATTACGGGTACCAGGGATGGGGAAGTCTAACGCAGAGCCGCTTGGTCAGGGGCAACTAATAGCGGAGGGTAATGCGAGCACTCACAGTTGGGGTGTGCGGCGATTATCCAGGCCAAGGCAATCTGGCCGGAGGTCGCTTTGTACTTCTCAGCGATTGCCTTCAGCTTAGCGACAACTTCTAGGTTCTTTGGGAAGTTATCGGGCTGGAAACGGGGGAGCATCTTTCGGATGTCTCCTTCCTCGAAGTCGTTGGGAGATGTGTACCTTTGAGATTTGTGAGTACGAATGTAAAGGGACCAGCGGGATCGTAGCTGACTTTCCACTGACGAGGCCACGCGACAGCGGCGAGTATGCGACGATGGCGACCCCGGCATCTTCAGCGGCTTTGGCAAATCCGTTCTTTTCGATGCTCAACTCGAAGGGGCTGAATTCCATCTGGGCAGCGATGACCTTCTCGCCGATGCCAGGGACGGATTTGGCGCGTAGGAGGGTCTCCTTGCTGCACTCGCTAAGACCGATCCATCGGATTTTGCCGCTCTCTACGTAGGGCTTGAGCGTTTGGACAACGACTTCGATGGGGACCCTGGGGTCGACGCGGTGCTGGTAGTAGAGGTCGATGTAGTCGGTTTGGAGGGCTTTCAGGGAAGCTTCGATCTGTCTTGCGATGTACGATGGCATGCTGTTTGGTAGATGCTTTGCAGTGCGCTCGGGGTCGCTGTAGTCGAGGGCACCGAACTTGGTGGCAAGGAAGATTTCCGAGCGCCGGCCCGTCTTGGCGAACCATTTTCCAAGTGTTGCTTCACCTGTGTGATGTGGTGCGTTGAGTACTCGGTAATACACGCGATATGTTGTTGAGCAACTTACTTGTACCATAGAAATCGGACGTGTCCCAAAAGGTAACACCCCTGTCGGCAGCGTATGTGAGGGTCTTCAAAGACGCTTCCTCATCACTCTTCCCGTAGAAGATACCGACACCTAATAACAACCATCCGCGTCAATTTAATCCAAGCGAGAAGAAGCACCGCTAGCTTACCCATGGTACCGAGACCGATTGAGCTCACAAATGGGCCATTTTTGCCTAGTTGACGGGTAGGGTAAGGCATTTTGAAGAACTTGGAGAAGCTGGCTTGTGTAGTGCTGGTGGTTTGGAGTTGAAGCTGAAGATACTGGATAGGAAGCGGTGGCTTCGTTCTTTATACTCATCTTAAGTGCCCTGCACCTGTGCCGGTGACGAAACTAGGCGTTCTTCGGCAAATACCAGGGACCTAAAGTGGGTCTACGCTGCGGTCTGCCTGACACATGCATCACCACCGTGCTTAGCCCACATAACCTCCGATGTATCCAATTCGGATTGATCCAAAGATCCAGAGCACCAAAGACGACAAGACCAATGCAAACGACTGTTGTCGCCCGCGAGTAGATCGTCCGCCACGGTATTGGTGACTGCAGACTGCAGAGAAGCGAGGCCAGCCTATGGACTTGGGAACGTGGGAACTTCCTCCTGAGCGCGAATGACAGGGGCTTCTACAAATGTCACCCTAAAGTTCAACGTTCAACGATAAAAATAGTCGAGGCCACACGCGCTGCATAGATGGCCCTATCTTCAGTGCACGTATGCCAACTTGGCATCTGTACCTGGCTGGAGATACCATCATCTGCGAGGTGTTGCGGCGAAGAGTGGCAGGATGCGACTATTAATACCCTCCGCGCCCACTTCGACTGCAACCCATCCCGCAAAGTCAACTCCAATGTGGGGGCAGGGCTGCGTCAATTAACGAACGACAGCCTAGATATTCCCGAGGCTGGAATACTTGCGGCACGAGCGCACATCAGAATAATCAATGATTTATTGATGGATTAGAACGCACAGTGCTGTGATACATGCAGGGTGTAGTACTATTCATTCTGCACAGTTTCGTAAGCTGATATTATCTGGTGGTCCCCGCTCCGAAGGTCCCTCCCGCAGAATTCGATGCAAGGCCGAGGATGGATTTAAGATGGACGATGGCGGGCAAGTGTGTGGGGCAGTGCACGATGCTTGATATTGCGCCACCGGGAAAGAGTTCTGAAAGCTGTAAGGTACCAGGCTCAAAGGAGGTTCGTTAGGAGCGATGATATATCAAGAAGATGGACAAAGGTTGACTGCGGCAAGATGGGGCGCCCGGAAGCGCGAACTAATCATTGATAGCACCACAATGCGCGTCCCCTGCTCATTCGCCAAAACTAATTTTCTCGTCTGTGAAGCTTCGACCACTTGTTGAACATTGAAGGAGGGTCGCATAGCTCCTCGGACGCGCCAAGCGTCAAAAGTGAGCAGGGGAAGATTGAGAGGAATTCCATTCACCGCCGTATGAAATCTGGTGGTGAATTTCGTCTTCCTGTAAAGACATGGCGATGAAACGAACCAGGAGGGAAGTGGCTGAGCGGTCCGAGACACAGCCAAACAAAGGCGGCGGACAGAGTAGCTCGCTGTCGTCGTAGATGTGTCACGCTTTGGGCCAAACATCGAGTTGGTATAAAAGGGCGAAACCTTGGTTTATGTCCTTCGTTCTCTCTTGCTTCTCTTCTACCGCCATCCTGTAAGTGACCAGCCGCCTTTGTCAAATCTCCCACTCATACATTCCCATAGGGCGAACGTGTCATTGGGGCCATCGGTCGTAGGGATAAAGGGTGAAAAGGCGCGTTTGACAGCGAGTTACGGCAGCGAGTCCAGGGATTTCACAGCATCTCCCAGAGTTCCTCCGAACGAACTGTTGTCACATACAGCGAGCGGTCCCAGTATCTGATCAATGACTCCTCGCCTTGAGCGGCCCACGCCCGCTGTGGCGGTCGCCAGTGCTTGCATGTGCTCGCCAAAGGCCGTTGGCCTTCAGATCCTCTCCCCAGGATTTGTGGCCTCGCCCTGCAGCGGGTGAAGAGCGCCGGTCGTATCGCCCCAGCGGGCGATCAAGCTTCGGGCTCGGTTTGAATGTGGTCGTGCCGCTGTCCGCGCGCACTTGTGTATGCAAACTGAGACGAAGGGCGTCCCCTCGCAGTTCGGCAGCGCAGTGTCCTCAGTCAGCCAGCCGGGTTCCAGGCGATGTGTGCGGGGTACAATCGTCTGAACTGCGACTTACTTACTTCTTAGTAGTGAGTAGATTTTCTCCTTCGACGATGAAGAGTTTGCTAAAGCGAATTTCTTAGTGGATCGCCAAGGGCGGGTTGCCGACACCTGTGGGAGACGCAATTATCCATCTCGATGTGCCCAACGGTGAGGTCTCGCTCAGGCTGTCTTCCTAGTTGCAGCCCCAATCAACATGCACGAGCCATGGCTGAGATGCCCTCGAATGTATATTTAATTGCCTATCGTCACAATCTGTTAGAGCTTCGCGCGAAGGAGAAAAGTCACAACACGGAACCCACCTTGTGTGATTTCGAGACGACCATTGTCTTATTCGAGCCTTACTAAAGTTATTGTTGGTCAATCGATGGTGTTGAAGCTAGTGTGCAGCGCATCGCAGCCTCTTATTCCCCGTTCTCCGTGGTTCGGAGAATAGGAAATGGAAACATAGGCGGCCCCTTCACCCTTCCATCGGGCAAGTTTTCTTTCGGTTTGCAAAGTTCCTGGCCTGAGTTCAAGGCTTCGAAGGCATTCGGTAATTTCTGGTTTGTGGACCTGGGAGTCGAGTACAACATGTTGTTTACTAATAGACCTACAAGATATATGTTTATATGTTCTACAGATGTCAAGTTAGTATAAGCAATCTTGAATGAGGCTCGTGTAGTAGCAAGCGTGGATCATATGCGTCGCCCAGCGGCAGCTGCTTTCTTCTTCTCTTCGATTTCAGCTGCTTTAGCTGAGCAGCAGATGAAGGCGATCAGCGAATAGACAAAAAGGTACGATGCATAACTCACCGTCAGTTTCGGCCTTGCGCCTTGCTTGAGCTGCTTCACGCTCAGCCTTGATCTTGGCCAGGCGAGCGAGATCAGACTTCGCCTGGTCAGTCTTGCCTTGTACATGGAGCTAGAACAAGACAATGTGAGCTTGGCGATGCAGGGAGGCACGGGGGCGAATTACCTTCCAGTAGCGATCCTGAGCTTCCTTCTTCTCCTTCTGTTCCCTGCGATAATCTTCAGTAAACGGCGATGACTGTCATCACACAAGACCACTTGCCTCTCCCTACGCGTAAGTTCCCGAGGCGCGCTCAGATCTGATATATTCATCTTCTTGGTGACGTGGTTCGGGTTGATCAAATCAGCATCCTCCTCGTTGAGAGCGGCCTGTTGCTGTTTCTGCTCGGCTTCCTTCTTCTTGAGCGCTTTCCGTTCTGCACGAGTTAGTTCTGGCTGGTTGCTGGTACCTTCTGCCCCTTCTTCCTCCTCTTCGCTACTTTCCTCCTCCTCCTCTTCAGACTCTTCGTCCTCGTCATCGGAGTCCTTCTCTTCGTCATCGTCGCCCCGACGCGCCCTGACAACATTAATGATGAGAAGACTGGCCACATCTTTGATGGGATAGGTGGCATACCATCTCTTGTCCTGGGATACAGCTGTCCCGTTCTCATCCAGAGTCATGACCTTGCTGTTCGCCGACGTTACCGATGTCAACATCGCACCCAAGTACAGCTGTCCTAGCACACCTGAAATTCCTGCCCCCGCCGCGCTTCTGCTTGAATTTGCCTGCAGGATTCTGGGTTAGCGCAGAGTCGTGGCTGCGCAAGTGTGCACTCGCCTGATCCACGAACCATCGTTAATGTTGATGAAGTGAGAATGTAGGGAGTGCTGATAAGATCGAACTTGTAACAGGAAGTGGCGGCTGGGCGCTAGATGACCATTGACATCCGCCTTTCGGAGTTTGAACTACGGCGTTCACGTCCGAGACCAACCAGTGACCGCCGAATTCCAATTCTACTAACCATGGCCACTATTCCTGCGCGGCTGGCCCAAGCGACTCGTCCGTCGACGAACGCCGTCGAAGCAAGGCAACGTGTAATCCAACTCTACCGCGACTGGTACCGTTCGGTGCGTCTACCTTTGTCTGGTGGATTTGAACGGGAGCGGGAGTTAACGGTTTAACGGTCTACGGACTCTAAAGGCGCCAGAAATCATTGAAATCTATACATTGAACGTCTCACCAGCACATATACGCCACACGATACGCCAGAAGTTCGAGGCGAATCGATATGTTACGGACCTTCGCGCTATCGATGTGCTCCTGCTGAAGAGCAGGCAGGATTTCCAGGAAACTATGAATTGTTGGAAGCAGCCCGACCATGTAGTGGGGATTTTGTTGAAGCCGACCGAGCGGCCACAGAAGACGTTCATGCAGAAGTTCTTAGAAGGTGAGTCTTGAAGCCGAGTTCCTATGCATGTATTTCTGAATGGTGACATAGGACGGGACGAGGATGCGATCATCCCAGCGGCTACGGGTGTTGTTTAGATCGAACACTAGAGGCTGTCCCATCCTTTATTTTATCACAACAGCATCGCATGCCATTTTGGGCGATTGATTCACCACCTCGCAGTACACCATGCGCGGTTAGTGCAGCCATCTGACCAGCGAATAAACTACGCCGCATCCCAGCCGAATACATACCTACACAGCGATGGCACAAGTCTGTCACATACCACTGGATCGTCGAGGAGTCGCTCATCATTGACAATGTGGGCCAACAATGCGGTCCCGCCGCTCGTCACAGTGGGTTGGTGAGAGTAATCCTTCAAGTGTTCTGATGGATTTAGTACTTGTGGAGGAGCATGCCGGCCATCATGACCCCGAGTGCTGTACACCGTTGCGTGTTGGAGGTTGACGCGAACATGGGTGCTTGAATTTGAAGTAGATATGTCAATGAGCCGTCGAAGCTCGCCGCTCAAGTGGCCCAGCGCACCGTCGCGTAGAAAGCACTCAAAATACCAAAGCAAACGCATTGCACTACCCAGGGTTGCCTAAGCAGCAGACATCGCGAAATTTATATTTTCATTCAAGACTGACAGATCAACAACCGATCCTAGACGTCCTCCACTGCTGCTTCACATTGGAAAACCTACTGATCTTTCATATATTCCCAGGTAGGCAAAACAAGATAAGATCCAGTCACGACTGGGTATGCAACTGCCATGTCTCCTCCTTACGCTTGATCAGGTTGACGGAACAATGGGACGCCGTCGCTGATTGTTCGGCCCCCTTCTTACGACGTAGGAGGTGGCGATGGTGGGGTGGGGTGGCGCATATTCACAGCCCACAGACATGGCGACATATGTGGTTGGCTGGTGTCTTTTCTTGGATCAATGGGAGAGAAATAACTGCGACATCAGGATTGTACGTGTCCTACCTTTATGTCGTCAAGTCGTGACGTCCCCTTGGCCCCGGCATCTTGTCACACAAGGGTACGGTATTCAGCGCTCGATACAGTCCAATCAAAAGATATGCAATAATCCAATACATTTACTTTCGTCTAGCAATCACACCTCACAAGACCTATATATACATTATGCGCCCGACTTGATGATATCTGCAGCCTATATGATTCCATGTCAGAACTAGTAATGATGGCTTTGCACTGTCATACCTTCTCAGCAACAGCATACACGGTTGCTTGGGTATGTGCCGCGAGTTGGATAGGAATGACAGATGCGTCAACCTGTCCGGTATTTGATCAGCGACCTGAGTTCGCCTCAATACGATGTACTCACCACCCGCAAATTCTGAGTCCCGTATACCTTCAGCGTCTCATCAACAACTCCCCCATCAGCGCGAGACAACATCGCCGCTGTTCCGACAGGATGGAACACCGTGGACAGATTGTCCTTAATGAACGCCTTAATCTCCTCGTCTGTCTTTACCGAGGCACCGGGGGAAACTTCAGCGCGCACGACGTCCTTCAATGCATCGGTGGAGACGACCTTGCGAGCATATTTCACCGCGTCTACCATGATATCAAGGTCGACATCATTGCTCAGTACGTTAAGATCAATTGCGGGTGGTGCAAGAGGGTCAGTGGACGAAATATGGACGGATCCAATTGAGAGTGGGTGAAGCAATCCGAGGAAAATGCTGAAATATTTCTTTCCGGGTTGGGGGACAGCGCCCTTCGCAGGGAAGAAGGCCGAAACTTGCACGATCCTGTTTGGCAGGTGGTTAGCACGGGGCGAGAAACCCTGGATCCACACTCACTCAAGCTGGGGGACCTTGTCACTGCTGAGCCACTCTTGCTGCTTCTGCAGGATCTTGGTCGTGCCTGGTAGCGCACCCTCGTTGGCTTGGATTTGTGCCGATGCTTTGCGAGAGATAATATCCACGTCACTGAAGTACCTGAGCGGCAAGAACGCGTATGCAATGGACGGAGTACTGGCGAATATTCCTTCCTTCTTGGTTTGACTTTGGAGATAAAATATAGTGAATAACGCGGATTCGATGTAATGGGCACACGTACTATAATTCCATTTCTTTGCCTGCTTCGGCGGGATCACCGAGGCGATCCATGGATTCATATTGCTGATCCATCTCAGCAGTATACATCGTAGAGATGTGATCCTGAAAGCTGCGATAAGCGCTACTGTCTATCACTGCAGAAGTGTGATGCTCACCTCTTAATCATTTTACGAATGTCGAAGACGGGTAAGTAAATGAAGAAAGACATCAAAGTACCGTAGGCTTACGAAGGTTGGCACCGACACCTGGCAAGTTGACGGTGACGGGAATACCATGGCGCTTGAGGATAGCCTCATCACCAATTCCTGACAATTCTAGTAGCTGAGGTGTCTGGAACGATCCTAAAAATGTCTCAGCAAGGGCTTCCCTCTATATTTTTCTACCTACCTGCAGCGAGAATAACTTCTCTCGTAGCGGTTACTTTGTGTGTGATCTTATCTTTGATGTATTCGACGCCCTCTGCCCTGACATCTTTCCCGGAGGGAGAGTCACCGAATAAAACGCGCGAAGCAATAGCATCAGTGATCACGGTCAAGTTCGCCTTGCCTCGTCAAGCTCAACTTCTCGAAGTGGTTGATTAGCGTAAACGGCAGCTGCGAAACGCAGCCGCCAAAATGAATTTGTGGACGAAACGAGCGCAGGGCGTACTCTGCACGAGAATTACAAGTAATCTAATAGTAAAGACTAGATAGGGTGAGGAGGGTGGGCAATGAAAATGAAGCGGCGAAGCCGAGGCGATAAGCCTAGTCGAAGGAAAGGTCAGCCTTGCTAAAGGATAAGTCTCGCAGCGGCGCTGCTCACTTGGGAAGGTAGGAGAGGAACCAGTATTAGGAAGTGAATAAGGTAGGAAGGATCTGATCAGGATGATCAGCGTAAGTGAGGCAAGGCTGAAAGGAGGGCTTACCAGTGCCGTTGCAGCTGAGGCTTGCTAGACGAGCACTGGTGGATGGAGCTTATGTACCGTTTGTTTCTCAGACTCGGCCTCCGCTAATCTCTAGCACCGGAGTCAGGACCAGCACACATGCTCAAGAATGTTCGAGGCATGAAGGGACTCAGGGAGTGATCAAGGGATAGGAGGATGTCGAGCACGACGACAAATGGCGGAGTCGTGCGGAAGAGGGTGGTGGAAGATTACGCGCCGAGGCCTGTGGAATTGTTCACGCCCTTGGCGCTCACCATCACATCGACCTCGTCAAGCTCAACTTCTCGAAGTGGTTGATTAGCGTAAACGGCAGCTGCGAAACGCAGCCGCCAAAATGAATTTGTGGACGAAACGAGCGCAGGGCTAAAGTGCGTATGGGTGTTGTTGCGGGGATGGTGGAGGTGAAAGGAGATGAGAAGCGAGATTTCGCTATGAGCGTAGGTTAAGGGCGAAGTCTTGAATGTAATGATGCAAGCTGGAGTTCAGCGCGAACTGCTGGGTTGTCGCGGATATAAATTTTCCAGGCATCCGAAGACCACCTGCCAATGGCCTGTATGACATCCTCCGAGAGGCCCAGGCTAGCAAACCACGTTGCACCCCCCGCTCGCAAAGAATGGCCGCCAAATTCACGACCAATCAGGTTGAACAGTCGATGTTCGAACCAAGTCCGAGAAGGGAGTGTCCCATCTTCGCGCAGCCACAAGGCATTCCTGAACCTATGGCAAGCGTCTCGGCGGGCTGTATATTTACGCAGAAGGTCAACAGGGCAGGTGATGGTGTTGGGCATGGGAAGTAAAATGATGTCGGTCCCTTGATAGAATGGGTCTGCTTTGTGATAGGGTAAGTGATAGCCAGCACGATTGTTGGTGAAGTGCAGAGACGACCGCTTGATAATCTTTCGCCAATCGAGGTGGACTCCTCGATGAACAAGCTCACCGAGACGATGGCATGCGAAGAAACCACAACTGACAAGTGTGGCAAAGAGGAGGTCGTCGTAGGAGTTGGTAGCCAAGGCGAGCGCCGCAATCTTCTGGAGATGGTGTATACGCAGTGGCGGTTTTCGCTTCACAGGGTCAGCACGGACTTTTCGTGAACCCCGGATTGTTGCTTGCACAAGAGGGTGTTTCCGGTTCTCGTCAAAAGCAGGGAAAATGTCTTTAAGGTGGTGGCGTGCACCTGAGAGATACTTTGGTGCAGAGGCAATATGCATAGAGGTGAAGGCGATGTACCGAGCTAGAGTGAGTGGTGATGGGTCGAGGGGAAGGTTGTGGCTGAGGCAAAAACTGGCGTAGTCCTTAACTCCGGTATTGTAGGAGCTCAGAGTGGAACGTTCGATAGCGGATCGACGGAGAAAAGCCACACGAGCATCAAGGTCAGAGATATTGACAGGCGTGCGAATGGGTGATGCGGCGAGGGCCAACAAGTCTTCTAAAATGTGTTCCTCCATCTCTCATCCAGGAGGTCGCGCGGTGGCGAGAAAGATGAGATCTTGTCAGCTGGAAACTGCCTTTTGTAATCGTCGAAGAGCAGTCGTGAGAGAAGATCTGCTTTAATGTTCTCCTTGCCAGGGATATGGCGTGCTTGAAGGTCGACACCAGTGGTGAGAACGATGGAGGCAATGGCTTTCAATGGTGCATTGTGCAAAGGCTCGTGGGCAGCGAGGGAGTTGAGAATTCCAACGGAATCGAGGCTATCGGTGAATATGAGGAGACGACGTGGGGGTGTAGTCAAAGAAGCCGCGTGATGGACAGCCGAGAGGATTGCTACCATTTCAAGAAAGAAGATGTCAATTACATAACGTGTTTGGTTTTCACGGATCTGGTATACAAACGCGTTGCCAGCGTAAGTGTAAGCCAGCGCATTGCGGAGGCTCGCATCTGTCCACATGACCATGTCAGCATCTGAGTCCTTCCACCGCAAGGCATCTATGAAATGGACGCCAATTGAGCGAGGGATGACATCCGAGAGCCAGGAGAGACTCTCGCGGACTTCACGATTGATGAAGATGGGCCGCTTCGGGTGTTCTTTGCCACTCATCTTTCGATAGAGTTCCGATAACGCAGGCCTTCCCCAAGGCAAGACATTA